AAACATAGTTAATTGAAGGTAAAGTTTTTGAGTACTGGTAAAATGAGTTGCTGATTCATGCACTGCGTTTGATGGATTGGAATTGCACAAAACAAAGCGCTCGGGTCACTACTCAACGTCAAAGATTCTATGTGAGAAAATCGACCGCTGATATCTCGACAGCGCTGCGATCTGCAGTGTGTGCCAGCATCCGCAAATCAATCCGCAAAATCTAGTGATCTGATATCAGTGTCGTCTGTCCTTATGTTAACCGAGATATCAATCGAAATGCTTACAGAGTGTACAATCTTCAAACCGACTATGGCTTTGTGAGCTGCTCATGTTACCTGGATGAACGCAAACTAAATTTTAGCGATGCATTATTTGCTTCCACTAAACTAAGAACTCAGTTTGCATTTGGAGTGACAGCATTTGAAGGACGCTTAAAGAGAGAAATCACTCCACTGCTATGAATCCCAAAGATAATTCATCAGCACTTTCTTTAGACGACAGATCAAGTAAAAGATTCAATTTGAAAGTAGCATATAATGACATCCACTGAGAAGATTATGGAGAAATTGCTGTGGAAGATGATGAATTGTAATCAAAATCAATTGCTGCAACCACTGATGATAATGTTCAAGCCGCTGATGCTAGCACTGGTCCTGAACCAGATATGGCAAAACTCGGTAGAACCAAAATGCTCGTTAAGAGCATCATGATGAGATTGACAATGTACTTAATTCGTTAGTATATGACTAAAGAAATGCCATTAAAGACAGGAGTCCCCTGACATATTTGGCCGGTGCTTTTAATGCAGCTACTACGGAGTAACCATCTCCTGCAGACCCAATCGGCAAAGTTGCTTCTTAATCAGAGCTCCGGCCAATGTTTGAGAGCAGTAGTTATTTATTGTATAATCTTCCTATTTAAGTAAGACCTGTTCGCCGGTGTTGCGTTTATACAATGAAACTATGCTGCAATTGTGAGGTTGCAAAACGAGAGAAGTAGCTCATGTTTGTTTTCTCTTGAACGAATTGATTTCGCGAAGCTGAATACTCCACTAATGATGAATGAAAGTTCCACGGCCTTTGTTGCTGCTACAGTCTCAAAGTTACTCGTGCTTCAGTAGATGGATGTCATCAGCGCATTCATTTATGGTCATATCCACGCAGCAAATGGCATCAAGGAACGTCCTTTTTTTCTTAATGCTAAACCTGATCCATAAAATTTGAATTCAAACAAGTCAATATATGGATTCCAACTTTCTTCTCTTTGTGGCTAAACAAAAATGCTTAATGATCACCAGTGATTTGGATTGCAAAGAGGTTCAACTGAACTTGCAGTCCATTATTAACCACAAAGCAATCACAGTGCAGGCTTCAATTTTTTGTGACTGATATTACTATTGCTGAATTATCAGATGCAAAAGTGGAGCTGCCAAAATCATATTTTAGTTTATTGATAGAAATGAGAGTTCTTCAAGTAATTCAGCGACGACTTCCTGGGCATCACGCTGCTCAAAGTAAGAAAAGCATTTTGAACCCTCTGCAGACCAGCGTCACAATAACGGTTCATCAATTTGAAATAATTTAGTTTATTTCGCAGCCTACACCAGCGCTGATTGGGCCATCCAAGAGGTTTCGCAAATTTGATGGCTATGAGTTGGATGCCGATAAAACATCACATCAAATATCATTCATTGCAACGTTGCTTTTCGCTGCAAATAGTTCACCGTGAGATATTAATTTGCATCTGCGTTACTCAGTCAATATCATTGTGCATCATCCAAATCCATTTTATTTTCGCTGGATGTGTGTGATGGCATTGAAACTCAAAACACTGACTGATTATTACAATGCTCTTTCATCAGCAGGATAATTTAGATACTCTGACACTGATTGGGCTGGAGACATTTGTGAACGAAACTCAATTGAAGGAAATACATTCTTCATTAGTAAAACCACAGTTCTTTGAAGCTGCAAAACCCACGCTTCAGTGGCCGTGCTCACTTGCGACGCTGAACATATTACACCTATTGAAACAATCAAAAAAGCAGTCAGCTCAACGCAGCATTTCAAATTTATTCACTCAGACCTTCATAAAATAATTTGGTATTATGATAACAACACAGCTACTATCTCGGTTAACCATCCCACCAAACACAGTGAGTCCAATCATTTTCAATGTGATATCATCTTATGAAAATGCTGTGCGATGTTGCGTTTGCTTTTGCAAAAGTTGATACCGAAACTAATGTTGTTGATATGATGACTGAGCGGCTTAGCGCTCCAGTGATCAAATATGAAACGAATTGCTTTCATTGATGAGATTGTTCAAGCACTGCTTTGCTTTCAAGCGGTTGAAATCAATCTGATCATTGGACTTTCATTGACTTTTTGTTAAGTATGCTACTGTAACTACGTACACTTTATTGAATTATTGTAGTTATATCATTTCTACAACGGTCAAAACTCAATTGATTCACCGGGTTTTTCTGTCATTATTAAACTCTTTAAGTTGGTATAACAATGAACTGCCTTTTATATTCTATTCGCATAGAGTTGATTTTTGCTAAGTTCGTTGTCATGTCTAGCGATTGAGCACATTGCAGTCCATGAATATAGCAAGAAAAATGGTTCTCAGAAATAAGTGATTGCGAACAAACGAACACGCAGCTTAGCAGTTTTGTCTTATAGAACAAAACAGCTTGCCATGCTTCAACGCTTCAAAGTCAAGAAGGGCCTCCCTAGTGAATCCCAGATGGCAGTGGTTCAAAACCACCCAACTTTTGTACCAAAAGATGGTTCAACGTAGAACCAGGTGATTCAGCCTAGGACCAACTGCACTGCGCAGCTGAGCAGGCCACTTGTGATTATGATGTTCACCCACACTCGATTACCGCCCCGCCGACGCGCATGGTCGTTTCCTTTTCCTTTAAGCTGTTTGACTACCTGAATCCCATCGTCGGAAATCTGCTGTGAGCATCGAAAATAACTCAATTTCCCCTCTGTGTCTACGATTGCCTCGCTCCCGTGAAGGTCTATGCTTTAACCTAGTTTGTAAAGAAAGGGTTGGCGGCCATTTCTGCGTTGTCCTTTTATATATACGATTTCAACTCAATTCATTCCTAAGAGCTTGCAACAACTGCTTATGAGCCAAACTGTCAATGATCGCGGGCAAAAATCATACATAATGATCGATGCTGTCGACTATCCTATTTTCCCATCGCCCTCCAATTTTAGTGCGGCGCAGCTTGAGCCATTGGTTTAAGCCCTTATTAAAGAAGGTGTTACTCTTGTTGTTGATGTTGATTTAGACAAAGGAAAAATTGATTTGATTTTTCTTTGCATTAAGTTAGATATTGGCAAATCAGCGTTTGCTGCGCGGAGAGAGATGCAATACAATATGAAGTATGGCCGTTGACTATTAGTTAGCTTGCACCCCTTTTACAGATCCACTTCCGTAGAGGCCGCGCGTACAATGACTAGGACACCTACCTGCGGAGAGTGGCAAAATCAATTATCCGACATGAGGGATTACAATAATTTCTTTAAGGAATGGTATTAAAATATTTTCAAGGTCTACAATGGGTATCAAGTCGCCGCTAATCTCAATGCCGGATTTGCTGTACAGACCACCTACGTTACAACGGTTCCTACTCAATCTACTGACCCTCACCGGATTCCACTTACTGGTGCAACGGATTTGGGCTATCATTTTGGTGTTAATGCATTCGCTTGCAGCTGCGGTTGAACGGGGCTTGCCTCTGTAGTTGATGAAGCATTCAAGGAGCCAATACGAAAATAAATAACCTGCTGCCACTGTCACACAAAAAACTTCTGGTTCGTGAGTGTTTTTCACCACAAGCCTGTTCCCGCTGGATGATGAACACCAACTGCTGCTTCTGCTGCTGTGGCCGTTCTTCAGGATTCAAAAGCTGATCAATGACTGTTTTCATGGTCGTTGAAAGTATCTAACAAGCTCATGCTAAGGTTTAGACTACTCTATTATAATTCTGGTTCTTCTCAGCGTACGATTGCTAGCGCCGACCAGTATTCGGATTTGGCTCCTTATTGAGAGCACATAGCTGATATTGGTGACACTAATGTTGATCTCAAAGATATTGGAACTGTCATGCTCTAAATGGTGAATTATTGAAAAATGTAATTTAAGCGGCCGATGGAAAAAGTTTCATTGAAATCATACTTGCAGCAACAAATCGCATGGTTCTTATTCAACAATGATTTGTTCTTTTCAATGACAAATTAGCTGGAAACAAAGCTGCTTCAAGATGATGTACATGTGTCATTGCCTCATCTCCTGTTGCGCTAATTTCCGCAAAGTGGCGTCGAAGATTTGGGCGAGCAGCTCAGGCTGCAGCAAAAGAATAGTCACAATATTTGGATTTTCGGCTCCTGGCAGCCCAGAATGTGAGTCTTGTCAAAAAAAAAGAAGTTAAATTACTGATAAGACTTACACCACACAGCCCACCACTCTGGTTGGTATTTACATGTTCAGATTCTTGGACCAAAGCCAGTTGCTGCACTTGATGAAAATCGCTATTTTCTCACCATTGTTCATGGTTACTGAAAGTTTGATTTTGTTGCTGCAAATGTCACAGGATCATTACCTCTTGACAAGTGGAACATTGTGTTAAATTTACCCAACCAGTACTGATAAAGCGAATCCTAATGACAGATCCGAGAACCAGTTTGCATCCAAGCAGTTCAAACATTATCGACAATCTGAAGGGATCAATCATTCAAAATCAGATCCTTATGAGACATTTCAACATGGCGTGGCTAAATTTTGGCAAGGTGCAATCGTGACAAATCCAGCACATTGTTGATTGATGCTAATGATTTGATTAATTGTGGAATGAGGCAGCCATAGGCGCAGTGTTTTTGAATAGGTTGATTCCCACGAAAGACGGCGCTCCGTTGACTACACCCTTTAAATTATTTTATTTAAGACAGTGGACTGCAGCTACGATGAAGAGGTCTGGACCAGCTGTTTATGCCAGCATCCCCAAACACGCCAAGTAAACTAATTCAGATAATCTAAATAACTTCGACCTTTGCTGGCCACGACATCAGTAGAATGGCGCTGCCGAATGTACAATTGACATTAAAGCTCTTTTGCTGTTAGTTCCTACTGTCGCTCTGACCAAACGAAGCTTCCTTTTAATGTTCCATTATCTGCTGCCATCAAAAAACCAATTCTGTCAGCAGCAGCAGTTACACCTACTGCTGCTCGTGGTACTGCCAATAATTTTGTCACTGCTGATAATGACAAAAATAACACAACCGCAATGTCTTTCAGTAGACTCATCAAATACTATCACCAATGAAAGTGATAAATGTAGTGACATCAGCTCAGATGATGAAGAGAGGGACGGTGACAATCTCAATAAGTTCCATTCAACGAGATCTGTTGCATGCATTGATGAGAATGTTGGTGCCTGATGCTAGTACTGGTGCTGAATCAAATATGGACCATCGCGCCGCAACCAACGAAGTCTGCCATCAAAATCACCATTTTATTCATATGTAATGTAAGTGGTTTACAAGAGACACAAGAGTAATCGATTAAGATAAATACCCCGTGAGATATTTGGCCGGTGCATATTGAGTTGCACATACTGATAGATCAAATCCTGCGAATCGACCTGCACAGTCGCTTGCAAAGCAGAGCCCCGGACAATGAGTCATGGAAATACTTACCGATAGGTAATCTTCCCTTTAGAAAAACTCCTGGTAGCCTTCGTTGGGATTCTGCAATGAGGTCAATGCAAACTGGTGACTTTTTTAGAGCCAGCCTAGATCTTCAACGCAACTCGTCGCTTGAGGACATTGATAATACGCAGTGACGTATTGCAATAATTAACTATGAAAGAGTTAGACTTCTTCATGCATTTCCAGCCAGAATCTCAATGAATGCTCCTAAAATGATTGGACAACTGCATTCATAGTAGTGATACTGATGCAGAATATCATCTGAAACAACAATTTGAATTTGCTAATTCTGAGTATCCTTTCAAAAATTGCACATTCCACAAGATAGTTTGTGCACTCAAGCAGTCCCTTTTTGATGGTACCAGCAAATCATTAATGCTGTCCAATTGCTTGCGACTCAAAATGTTTCAGCTGGGCTTGAGGAGGTTTACTGTTCAAAGACCCAACACCACTGCACGCTTCAATTAGAAGTAATGGGGCCTATTGCTGGAGGTCAATCAGCCGCAATGATGAAACTGCTGAAATCATGTATCAGTGCATCGAAGATAGGAAAGAACTTGCAGTATTTTTGGGTCTCAATTTTGCAATCGATGTCCCTCAATGAAACCAAGATATTTTGGAATTAATAAAGACCTAAGTCAAATTCATCGTTCAAAAGCATAAAATGAATGAGTCACACTCGGGAGCTACCTCAATGATGATCAACCCATAGAACGTGCTACTTAAACCACATCGTTCTGAGGTACATGCCTAAAAATATGAACGTTACAGATAAACTGCTGGGTCGGTGCTTTCTGCTGCAACTTGTTTAGGGGACGAATGTGCTGTTGCTGCTGAACAACTGCGTGGAAATCCTATTGTTCCATGCACGATCTATATATGTTGTGCTAAACGAGGGATAAAATTTTCAAACTCAAACACATCAACAGTTCATCACAAGCAGCTTTAGCAGTTGAAAATTAGTTGATACTTTCACATTCATGAATCCGGAGACATCGCTGATCCAAGATCTGCTGGTGATCATCATTTGTTCATTAGTCAAAATGAAATTACTCGCAACACCGAAAAACAGGTTTCAGTGGTTTTCCGGCCTTTTGGAGCTGAGCATCCTTTTTTCTCCGAAGCAGTTGAAGATGCTCTGTTTTCAATGCTGGTTTCAAATTCATTCGTTCAAATGTTGATAAACCGACTTACTATTGTGATAGTAACTCTGCTATCAACTACACCAGCAACCCCTTCACCCTGAAAATCTTAACACATATCTCAATGCGGTGTCTCATTGAAAAGGGTTGCGCAATGTTGCAAATAGTTTTCCATAAACTAATACCAAAAATAGTGCTTCTGACGTGTTGACTAAGATGCAAAGCGACCCAGCCTTCACTTATCTCAAGAAGGTGCGTCAATAATTGAATTGATGTTTGTTTCTTTCCAGTTCATCCTGTTGGACTTAATTATATCAGTTTATTATTAGTAGTTAGATTTTCGGTCGGCAATGCTACCGTATTGTTATACATTTGATAGAGTTACTTCATATTTATGACTATGACAACGGCTACAATATGATTGCGTCACAAGTTCTCTCTTTCATCTTGATAGGTTTAACTAGGTAATACCCAATTGCTACATCTGTGTATGATTGCTCTATTTCTTGATGAACGTAATTCGTTGTTTTTGATAAGGGTTCTATTTTAAATTGGAGTCCTTCACTATCAACCAAACTGTAGATCAGAAACAAGGGGGCAGCCAAACCCACCAATAAAGAAACTAGCCGGGTGATGCCTTTCCCAAGCAAGGCAACGGATATCTTATGCCTAAATGGTGAAACAGATAGAAGAGCTATCCTACATCAACCCATTTCTAGTACCTCAAAAAACACATTAATGGCTGGCAAAAGTGTGGTGCTTAGAGAAACGTAGCAGCAGCTGGTGCCTCCTCCACCGGGCCCCTGCAAGGTTATCAGAAGACCATGCATTCATTTCAGACATTGAAAACGTTTAGTGAACGGCAACGCTCATTTGTTGCTTCTTCAACAAACATCAACAACATTGAACTCCTAATCTAATATCTGCATTTAAGCAGACAAAAACCTGTTGTGGGGCTCATGACTTCCACATCCAGTCTCTCGTTGCCTGTCACCGGTCTTTTCTCCTGACCGTCACTGGTTTAATCTGGGACTCAAAAATGTAGCCGGCAATTTCTTTAAAGATATTTTTTTTGTGAACGCTTTCAGCTCAAAATAGTATAGTCAATTGGCTGCAACGAATAAAAAGAAAGAGCAATTTAAGATTCCTCAAACTTTTTATAGAGATCTCGCTTGGATCACCAGACGTCACGTCGGCCGAGTGATAGCGGACCGTGTGTATAGGCAAATCCAAAATAACCAATTCAGGTGACTGTCGGCATCATCATCAAGGAAGTGCAGTGGTAGGCGGCTTCATTTTTCAGCAAAGTTGGTAATAACAAAGACACCGGAGAAGCGAATGGAGATTCTCGGGAGCTTTAACGCAACCTCTTTGACAAACTGACGCAACCAGAAACATTTGAGTAGCCGCTGTCAAACAACGTCAAAATGTTCCAAAAGACCATCCGCGTTGGCCAATCGTGTCCCGCATGTGAGTGCAAAGAATGGTCCCTCAAAATCCTCTCAAGGGCGCAGTGTCGTGGGATTAAATGCCGCTCCGGTCTTTTAATTGAGTGCATGTTGCGGGAAAGAAATGAAACATTTCGAAATACTGGCAAGTGCGTAGCGCTGAAAAAGCTCGGTTATCACTTCCGGCATACGGCTTGAACAGTTACTTTGCCATGTGCGTCAAAACGGTTATTAGGCAACTTCTTTAACCAGGGTTTTTAGGGCACCCGTTTCTCCTAACGACTGCTTTTTCTACACTGTTGCCTTCTACTATAAAATGATGGCCTACACAAAAGAAGTAATACGACGTAGATCGATTTCACTAATCAGAAACAGAAACAAGTACTAAATAGTACCGACTGTATCAGCATATGAACAAAAAAGAATGAAAAGAATACGATCCATGTGTATTTGTTTATAAGATTATATGACGCCAGCCAGTTAAGCAAATATATAAACACACCGATGCATAACTGTTAAAACCCAATTCCTCTAGTGATAACCATATAGAGCAAAATCGGCAAAAATATCAAAATTAAGACAAGCAGCAATTCACTCATTCAAAGCAATTATTGAAAAGTTCAAATGCAGCAAGTCTGCGCAGATTTGTCATTAAAACAAAATCGCTTCGTTGACCATCAAGTTACAAAATAATAAAATGAACAATGACATACTGTTTTATAAAGTGAATTCAGGCTGTAAATAAATTAGGGGAGGAGCGGATGCTGAATCGGATAGCCAAGCATAGCGAAGAACTGCTTTCAAGAAGGATAAATGGGATAGCAGTATCCTTACTGTAGTAGGTGATTTCCTGCAATTGCAACACTGTTTTCTGGACTGATTCTTCAAGTGAAATGAGCTTCGCTCTTGAAATTGAGAGGGCTCTAAAGGGTGCTTTTTGGAGGTCTAATGTACTGGCTGCTTGAGTAGTGAGCAACAAATGGCCACCAGCTGAGTTTCCAGTACAAGATCTCCGCCCAACCACTGTCGGACTATCGAACAAACACAGCAGATGAGGCAGCATTCCGATGAACAATTAATGGATTTGCGAGTCATGGTCAGGAGATCCACACTACATATCATTCATGAAAGATCAAGCGGCAGCAATATATTACCATCGTCATCCTGGAGTAATGCACCAATTCTTCAGAGGAAAATCTGCTGCAGAAAGCCGCAGATCAACAATTGATTGGTAAAATCAAAATAGATCATGATCCTCCTCACAGCAATCTCATTCAAATAGCATTCTCTAAAAGAAAATCATCATTTATGGATGCCAGACATGTCTCACAGCCATTGTGAGATGTTGAACCATCATTTGCATTAAGTGTTCATTTGTGCCAAGTTGCCGTTCCTACATTGAACAACGCGATCTTCAGCAAAGCGACGCCAAGGTACATCGTCATTGTTGATTTTCAACGTTAAACAAAAAATTTGCCTAATCAGAATCACCATTAAAACGGATGATTTTCAAAAAGTAATAACATACACCTATTATTTGAAACGGCATTGGAGCGTGTTTCTCGAGAGATTGAGCACACCATGCTCAGCTGTTGGTTGGAGCGCAAGCCATTGCAGAGCTAGAAGCGCCATTTCAGAACAGAAATCAAACGACTGCATCAGTCCATAAACTGTTGTGCCGAGCATTAATTAACTGAAGGGTCTTTGGACATTAACAAATCTAAAATACGTAAGCAAATCAATTTCAGCGTCGATGTGAATATCAAGAACTGCAGCAGTCAAATGAGGTTGAATAAAATTTAATGTCATTGGTGAAGCTAGAGAAAGCACAATGTTTTTAATGTCGTTCCTTAACACTCCGCTAAGCCACTTAGTGAGAATCATGTGTGATCGATAGCAAAAGCATATCCAACCTGTCGGACTAATTGCCGTTTTTTAGACAGAGCTAAGCGCATTACAACCTCCCAACGAAAGCGCAGAAGTCATCTTACAGAAAGCTGCAAAAGCATCCGGTGGATGAAGCTCTGAAGCGTTGGTTGCGGCAGTCGTTGACAAGGATCAGCGCATAAGAGGTGCTCAGGAAAGAGATTAGGTGTAGCGCCAAGCTATTCGCAGTAGCCAGATATATTACATAAGCCCCGCAATCGATGGTACTTTACCAATCGTTTGTGCACCGTTTAGACAAATCGACAGTACTAAAATTATTTGCGTCACAACTGTTTTTGACTTAAGCATCTTTGTCTATGCGCAGTGATTGGCAATGATTAAATCAGCATCTTATCCAATGTCTTCAGAAAGTGAGAGAGCCTGATTTGAGTTTAATTGATTCTTAACGACGCCAATATCTTTGTCACCATCAAGAAGGAAGTCATCATATGCGTCATCAACTTTGACGACACAATTCGATGGTGAGTTCAAACCGATTGCAGTTGCGCAATCATTGTCACCGATTGCAATGGAGTCACTCCCGTGCATCGGATGACCAACAGCAGCACTAACTCCAAAAGCGAATGCTACCGATGAAAGAATGGCAAGGATAAGGAAACACCAAAGCGACCCTGCGGCGTCGCTACCGCGGCGCGGTCAAATGACATCAGGCAGTGGTTAAGAGCTTTGAATTGCTTCTTGGCATTTCACCTTAACTGCTGCTCAGCGAAGCACGATGGGCTCCGATTCCACCAGATTTTAATTTGGTGATCTGTTGGCAGATCAACCAATATGCCGGACATACACACAAATTCAACAATGCAGGAGATGAGGTATGTTCCAAAACAAGTGCAAAGTGTGTAGGCATCCGAACCTCATATTCAGCGCAGAAGCGATTTACCATTAATATGACTGACATCGCTGTTCCAGGCCACAACACATCACAATTGCGCTGTCCAGCAGATACAATCCTTGCTTCGGCAATGCTGATGGTAGCCAATGGACATCAACGCACTTCGGATTGGGCACAAATGACAAATGCCAGCTAACATTGACGTTTCATTCTCACAGAGCATGTGAAATGGGTGGGATGCAAACAGCGTATTAACCGACAGAGTATCACCACCCTAGGCAAGTGATCCAAGAGTGCACAAAATCAAATTGAGTTTCATGACACAGCTGATGATGGGGATGCTATTGAAAAGCCAAGCGGATATCTGACGAACCAGCCACCACTATGAGAAAAGTGTACCACTCTTCATTTTGACTAACGGACATGTGCTCAAAATTATCATGTTACAGCATCAATGAGCTGCTTTTTTCATTGGCGGCAAACTTCATAAATTTATTAGTGGTTGTGTCTCCGCAATCGAGAACAATCTTAGTCACTAACAGCTGATATCATGAATGTGTTGGGTGTAGCACTGGCGTAAATCTCATCCGTGAGCCCCACGCATTGAGGACAGTTTGCAGCAATTCGCTCAACAGCCGCGGCACTCCATAGCGCTCCTACAGCAATGACATTAGTCAGCTATCAATAGAAGCTTCAATAAAATTTGCATCGCACGTTTGGATGAACACCACAACTTATTATCGCTAGAGCTGCTATTAGGATCAAAGATCCAGCATGCCAAGCAAGAATAGAACGTTTCAACAATTCAATCTTCGAGATACCACAGTACCAGAAGCAGTGATGTCAGTGATAAAGCCGCCAATAACCGCAGTATGACCTGACTCGGCTGTTAGACGGTGCAGGGTTTTCAAAAGGGATAATTATTTTAAAGTGTATCATAATCAAAGAACCACTTTTGAATGTTTACACGTTATTGCTACTGTGGATATTTTACTGCGCATATTGAGATGGCTTGAGCTACACAATTGCGGATCGCAGGAAGCAGCAGCCGCCCCGCATAGCTGCAGTGCGCCAGCATGCACTTGTAAAAGGCAGAAGCTCACCAGCCAAGTGTCATTGTTTGCAACATCAATAAGACTGTACTGCTTGTTCATTTGTTTTTTGGACTGCTTTTACCTTCAAAATGATATCCGCCCTGACCCCTATCTGCCACTAGTCGCGCCATCATGAATGTAACTGGGCAAAGCTATTGATACAGCTAATTTATTTTTGTCATAGTCAGTACATGGGAAAAATTTCTTCAGCAAATATGTTGTCCTGAGCACAATTTAGGGTAAGATACTTTGGCAAGTCTATCCGCATACTTTATCTTGAAACTACTGCTTTAAGATTTGCTAAAAATCTGCTGCTCGTTATTTAAGTGGATAGTCTGCTTTGCCCTATAGCACAAATCACTGAGTTGGTTATGGTATAGCATCCTTAGCACCAAAAGTCCAATAACAATTATCCTGATTGACCAGTAGTTTACACTCATGCCATCAATGGTATAGCATCTTTGGAATACAGCAGGTGCTAATCCGCGAGTATCACATCAGTGGCAAATAAAAACAAATTTATCAATACCATTGTCTGAATCATTATTAACTCCAATAATGACTCTTTTTTTGATGAAGCCTTACACCAACGGACCACACTAATCAGCCTTGAGATGCATGACAGAAGCCCAAATAGTAAAGTCACCAGCATATATTGGTTTTTGTGATTCTTGGCAGCGAACATTCGCAATCTGGCTCATAACCTGTTGAAGCGAATCCATAATTCTTAGTAAGGTCAAGAAGTATTTAAGAAAGAAGAGTGTAGAAGAGACCGCCGGCTCCTTTTATAGGGAACTGGGTTAGATCACCGAATGTCACACGCACACTGAGAGGAGATACCAAGGGACCGAACGTAGACATCTGGGAGGCACACATCAGTTTTTGACTTATTTTGATGATCTGCTTCTTTGGTTGTTTCCTTCTTTTATCTTGATCTACTTTACTATCTTATGATGGATTTTGTAAAACAAAAATTGTTCGATAAGATCCCTCACCATTTGATATCTTCTTTTTTGTGTCAATCTCCATTTCAAACATTTAAGGTAGAGAAAGGTTTTTTTTATAAACTTGATGATATTTCACCGATTTTTGATAAATGATGTACTGGGATTAATTTTGTTGTGGTGGACTGTTTTAAACATATTTATTCAATTTACTGTTACAGATATGGAGATTCACTGCTGTAGCACATAGTTCAAAATAATTAATTTCAATATGGGCTTTCAAAGCTCAGCAAGGTAAAACATCAAACACACTAAAGAGTTGAAATAAAAAATAATAATGTGAAAATTTGCTGCTAGTAGTCCCGTAGAGAGTTGTAATGTTCTCCTAGTCCATATGAGTGTTGGTAGAATGCCAACTTCAAATCGGGCTTAATGGCGGATTTCAAACTTTCGTTAAACTTGATTGGTGAGCCTCCGGCAATAATTACAGTAATCGGAATACCGTAAAACTTGCTTATTGCCAAAATTTCTAGATCGCTACCCCAGTAATTGCCAAATTTAATCTTTTTGCAGTATTCATTAATGTCTTTGATTTTCAAAGTTTCTTCATCAAATAAATATGGGGCATATGTTTCAGGGTCCTTTGCTATCACATCAGAGGCAACGGAGCGCAACTGTTCAATATTTGATTCTATGTGATATCTTTCCTTCAATTGATCTTGAATGGAAGCAAATAAACAGTTTCCGTCAGCTGGCACCTCAAACTCACTAAGATTATTTAGTTTCAATAGTTCTTTAAACGTTTCCTGCTCCAACTGCCTAAAGTTGATTTCAAGCAGGGATTCATTCTGAGCTTCAGTTTTTATTTGTTCAATTTTTGCTTTCCTCTTATTTAATCTTTCTTTCTGTCTGTTCTTTTTTGATCCTTTTCGAAACTCTGTTGATACAGTGCCACGGAAAATATTTTTAGGATCTTTACTATTCTCTTTGATTTTATTTTTGTTGTTCGATACTTTTTCGGTTAAAAAATTTTCGCTTCCAACTAATAAAGTCCCAATATTGTTTGAAGTATTATCAGTATGAGATTCATTGTCCTTGTAAACAATCTGATTTTCAGCATCCGTATCCAAACAATTCTCGGCAAGATTCCTGACTACTTCCTTTCCCACAAGTTTTTGCTGTGCAATCTCAATTTCGTGTCTCTTTCTTAGGTTTTCCTGTAGATCTTTACATCTGTTTAGTATAGATTTTCTTGTTTTTTTCGTTGCTTGCTTTTTCAATCCTGTAATCGTTGAAATTAGATCACGATTCTCTTTTCTGTGCTTTGCCAATAACACTTTTTCAGCATTTTGACTTTTTTCTTGTTCGTCCATAGTAATATCCCACTTACACTGACTATATTGCTGGCCAACGTTTTTGGTTTAACTCAGGTTACTTTTGTACGGTCTGAAAAACACAAACAAATCCATTGCCACGGCTCTAAAAAACTTGCACTAGCCACACCTGCCGCAGAACGCCAAATTTGATGGTAAAGAAAAAGCTGATGATTGGACAGAAATTTTCCCTTTCTTCGTTGTGCTCATAAAAATCTAAAATCCTCTCAACCACTTTCAAAACAAAAGAGAACAACCGGTATGAATAGGTTCTTTAGTGGGTTCAGAATTTCAGCTTCTTTGAAACCAAATTGCACCAGATTGCCAATACTATATGCCGAAAATTCCTTGCAATTCAGCTATCGCTTTTGCAGATTTAATCATACCAACCTCGTTTTGCAATACCATCCAATTTACACTACAATCAACCATCATTTTTTTGTTCTGAAAAGATATATTAATTGGTCTCCATTTTCAAAGAAGAATAAATTGACGTTTGAAACAAAGGATGAATCAACTCTTGATGTTGATTACAAAAATTTGTCGCCCCAACAAATTGATTTAGTTCTTGGTTTAAAGAATAAATTAAGAGAAATAGAGCAATTGAAACAACAAACAAGAAATATTGAAAACAACAAAATCCAACTTCATTTAAAAACAATAGAGTTAAAGAATTCTTTTGTTCAAATCGTAGATTTTTCAATACAAACATTACAAACTAAAAAATTAAACAATTCAGTTCTTAGGCTTTTTAACAAAGTTTTAATTGAAATTCAAAATGATTATATTGCAAAAACTTGGAATACTGATTATAAATCAGATACCAATAAGCCGATCCGATTCAAAGAAAGTATTGACTACTTGGATAACTGCTTTACGATAAGACAATTGATTTCCCTTTTGGATTTATTGAATTTTAATCTAAATAAAGAGTTGATGATTTCTAAAGAAAACAAAAATTTCAAATTATTTCCCCAATTATATTCCTTAATTCAAAAAAATATTGATTTCCAAAAAGTTGTATGCAAGAGAATTGAGTCTCTGGTTAATTATAAGTCATATGAAATAGATGAAATAAATCTGATTGAAACAGTTGTCAAATGTTTTAGTTTTTTCTTTAAATACTTGAATTTTATCCCTAATAATCAAGAAAATTCGCTTAAAGCTCTAGAATTCGTATTGCAAAAGTTCTCCAAATCAAGCTTAATTGCAGATGACAACGATTTAAATTACTTTAAACAGTTGCTACTATTTGAAATAACTGAAAATTTGTTTAATTTTAAAGTTCAATCTCACAATTTAGATTTATTATTAAATTTGTCTGAAGTTTCAAATTTAATTCAGTCAAACAACATTATATATATTAATTCAAATTTAATTTTAAAGATTTTTAATTCATTGAAAAATGATCAACTTGAAAAAAAATTTGTCGATTCATATTTAAAAATGTTCAACTTATTCATTATTCTTAATAACTATGAAAAGCTTCATGTCAATAAAACTCAAGACAGTGGAACAAACATTTATAATAATGGTAATTCCATTGATTTTGATTATGCCCTTTTAAATTATAGCAACAAAGAATTATTGAGGTTCATTACATTTTTTATGAGCAATGAGCAAATATCTGATGATCTACAAATAATTTTAAAAATCTTGCAAATCTGTGAAGATGAAAATCTAAATGAAGAGACAAAATTGATTTTCAATACGAACTTAATTCCAAGGTATTTCCCAAATGCTAAATTTGACAAGGAACATTTGTATCTAATACACAATGAAGAATTTTTAAAATTGGTGATATGGAATTCAATTAAATTTAAAGAATTGGAAAGCTTGGGTATCAACTTGATAGATCACATTGATAGCACAATAAAAAGGGACAAAATGGGTAAATCATTATCTGATATTGTATTGTCATGGGAGCTAAACCGATTGACAGATTTTGAACCAGGATTTTTAACAAGAAATGATAGATTTTTAAATAAAATTGAAGAGGTTTCAAGTTATAAGCTAGTGGAGACTGAAAAGGAGAAGGAAGTTGAGAATTACAATAGTCTTGAGGTTGATTACCATTCTCTTCACAGGAGCCTGTGTTATTTAGATGTTAACACGTTAAACCACTTACTAGAAACTTTAGTTATAAAAAATCTGCATTCGGATTCTGTGAATGAGTTGATTCAGCATTTTAAGAAAACATATCTGATTGAAGAAAATATAAGGACATATTATCTTTTAATTGAAACATTATTAAATGAAATTAGAAGTGGTAAGAGTAAAGAAGAAAATTTAAGAAAGCTAACAGATGCCCAAGATATATTTATTAACAGTATTAAAAGTGGAATGGATTGGGTAGATTCTAACAATACTAAATTCAAAAAAGTCATTCCCAAAATCTTTGAGAAAACCTTTTCAACAGAAATCATTGTTGATGAAGAGGATTTGAAAGAGCAGTATAAATTTTTGAAAAAATTTGAAAAATCAGTTAATACTATTGATAAGATTAGTTTAAACAGTGTATTGAAAGCATTTTTAAAATTTGATTGTGTTGGAAATGTAATACAGTTTTTGTCTGATCAGTTGGAAATAGATAAGGAAAATAGTAAAACAAATTATTATTACAGATTGTCGTTAAATAATAAACTAAATTATGATATTTATTACACATTGATTTGTTATTTCATTGAATACAAGGGAAATGGAGAAGACGAGATTTGTTGGGCGGTTTATGGGTTGTTACAAGAATATTTTCAGTTTCCATTTGAAGATTATGGAGCAGTTTTGAAGAAATTGATGTACATCAATAATCCCAGGGGAGCACTATTGGTGTTTCAGCAAATGAAAAGATATAATAGGTTATATGGAACACCCGAGCCAGATACAGAGCATTATAAATTTTTAATATCAAGTTGTGGAAAGTTATTATTTGAAGAAGGGATATTACAATTGCATGCCATGTATAAAATGGATTTAAAAATAGAAAACGATATTGGGATTTTGAATTCATTTTTAGAAGCATATGGAAATATTGTTGAACCAATAAAGGTGCGAGATATATTTGAAAGTATGTTAGTTACACCCAGAGGCCACAAAAATTTTATTAACCATCAAACAATTAATTATACTTTGAGAGCATTTTCGACATTTGCAATCGAGGATGTTTATATTCTCTGGCATAATTTATCAGATTACGAAATTGAGCCAGATTTGAGTAATTATTTGCAGTTTATTAAGTGCAATAATTATCGAAGAGAATATATTAACTTGATTCCAATATTCGAAGAGATGGAAAGAAGCGGAATAGCAGTCAATAAAGATGTTTTAAAAATTACATACAATGGAATAGCAGGAGTTGCTAATAAGAAAGTGTTCAAGGAATCATTGAAGACTGAGCATTTGGAAATATTGAATGAGTTAGAAAGTGAGGGGCAGTTGATTCATGATAATATTGATCCACCATATTTGCTTGATGATTTAGAGATAAAGCAGGAACCACTAAAAGTTTCAAGCAAAGAAGTTGTACATAAAAACTTTATTGAATGAAGATATTTATAGGCACAGAACGAGTGTATTGTATAAAATGAAAGATTATTCGAAACTATAAAATTGTAGAAGTAATGGGTAAAGATGTTATAATTACAAACAAAATCTGAATCATACTCCATGTCACAGGAATCCAAGTTGAAATTTTGAGTAAAATGGACTGATAAATAGTTCCTATAATTAAAGATATTATGGAGCTAGCAACGAACGCCTGAATGGATGCAATGAACAAATATAGCAAAACTATCAATAATTTATTAATCGCAAAGAGGTTTCTTTTCATCTTCCGAAAAGAACCACTACTAAAAGAGCCTTGAGAATTGATAGCAGAGTTTTTGTTAGAAAGATTGAGAATGGCGAAGACTGCAACCAAAAAATAAACAAAATTGTTGAAGATCAACGACCAAAAAAAAGTGAATCGCCAAAAGTCAGCAAGGTGGTAGAGGAAGGCAAATTTAAACCCTCTAGAACCTGGCATATACAAGGAAGGAAAGGAGGGTGTTTTGTAGCTGCTGGGGGGATATGAAGGCATTTTGGAAGGAGAAAAGAAAACTGGAGGAAGCAGAAGCAGCAGAAAAGTTTGTTTTATTTACCGCGGAGTTGCAAAAGCGAAAAAACGACACCAGCAGGACTCGAACCTGCGCAGGAAATCCCAAAAGATAGCTTGAACATATTCAAGTCTTTCGCCTTAACCACTCGGCCATAGTGCCAAAATCGTAAAACGAGTTTATTTGTTATTTTATGGCCAAAATATTGATTTAATATATACTTTTGAAATATTTAAACCAGGAAAACCATGCTTTTTGAAAGATATTACACTGGTTTTCTTTTGGTGGGACTTTCTCTATGTTGTTACTACAACTGCAAAGCAACTCAAAGGGCTTTTCTCTAATAATACCTCAATAGTCATTAGATGTTGAAATAAATGGCTTTCCTCTGTTATTAATGTATTGTATGTTTGTCATTGAAAACTTTCATCTATGTTGGGATGCATTAGACATAAAACCCTCTTGAATTATACTCTATGATTTAAATATAAGGGGAAAGAACCAAATAAAGACTGCTTTATTTTTTTGTATGATTTACCTGCTTTTGATTAATTTTAGATTTGTGATTTGTTTTATCCATTTCAAATATTACATTGAGCTTTCATTTACGACCAAAATTTTATTTTTTGAAAACTCAATGTCATCAGGATTCTTTTGTTTAAGAACTTTTAGGTCGATAATTTGACTTCCACTGTGGTTTTTAGATATCCTTTATGTGGATGAATTTTATGAATTTTCTTCAGTTTTTGAACCAGAATTGTTATCATTTGCTGCAACTTTTTAGTTCCATCATTTTGAATTATATGCATTTATCTTTAGGTAATTATTTTGAGTAACTTCTCTTAATAAAAACAATTGTACATTTTAGATTTAGGTATATCTTTCAATTTCAGAAAGATGATAGTTTAGCAATTAATGAATTCAATTTCATTAATCAATTGATGTATCCTAGTTGAAAATAATTAAATGATATTAATTGCTATTTGAGTAATCATTTCAAACTAATTTGAATCGATTTATAGTTTTCAGACTTTGATATATTTTCAGGAGGGGAAACAGAGTAAGTTCAATCCATCATAATAATTTTAAACTATAAGATTACCGAAATCACCATTAACGTTATTGTTTAAACTGATTACCTTTTTGCCTTGATTATATTCATTTTAATTAGAAATTATAATTTTATCAAAATACTCATGAAAAGATTATTCCCATTGAACTATAACTTCAAAATTTGATTGTGCTTTTCTGTATATCACTTAAATTTTGGTATGTCCAGAAAAGTTTACACCACTAGAAATTAAAAAGATGAAAAATTGAAAAATAAAAGAAAATTTAACCTTCAGTAACTCCAAATATGCATATTTAGTATTTCAAAAACAATAAATGATGATATTATAAAGCAAACATTAAAATATTTCCAGATATATTCTCTTTTGATTTCCTGAAATATCGTTGTTGAAAAATAATTTATAGAAATGCATCTAAATAGTTAACTGAATCCAATTAAACAAAAACCAAAATAAGTTGTTATAAATTGAAATTAAATGGTAATCACTGAAATGAACTAGCTATTAAACACAGTAAAAAGAGGTTTTCTATTGATTTGAAATCAGATAATAAAACAATTGGAAAATTAATTGAACGGAAATAATTAATTACAGGTGGCATCTTTGAAATGACTTGAAATTTTATTTATAAACTCTATGTATTGTTTGATTAAGTCTTGGGTGTATTGGTTTAGAAGTCAAGTGAATCGAAAAAAGCACTAAATGCAATAATAAATAAGTTGAGAAAGCACTTTGACAATCAAAATTGTCGGAGAAACAAATTCTAAAAGTTCTAAAAGTTCTAAGAGTTTGATTTCGGTTGAGTTCCATATGAGCCGGGTTATTTAATTTTTCAAACTCTCCGTAATAAATGATACTAAGAAAATTTAAAATAAAAGGAGTAATATATTCTCCTATTCTGCATTTAGGATTAGTTTGAAACAATTAATAAAAAATATCTGGCATTAAATAATGATCTTTTGTAATCTTACGTCAATAACTCTAATTGAAAACTGCATCTGAATCAAAACAATGTACTTTCAGAAATATCACACCCTCTTCGCGTCTTGCTGGCAATTGAACAATCAGTTCTAGTGGAATTGTAGAAAACATCTCAAGAATCCAAAAATATATATGCATCCTAAAACAAAAGTAGCCGCTATTTGCTTGAGTAAAAAATACAACAAGCATTAAAGCTTTTGCTTTAGGCACTATGGCCGAGTGGTTAAGGCGAAAGATTAGAAATCTTTTGGGATTTCCCGCGCAGGTTCGAGTCCTGCTGGTGTCGTCTGTTTTTGCTTCAGCGCCGAAATCCGCGTTTTTCTTGGACAAATCGACGCTGAGGTGGCAGTTTTTCATGCTTTTTCATTTTTGGTTTAGGGGCTGTTAACTTTTGCCAATAATTGTCCAAAGCATCTCTCATATCAGTTAGATTCATTATATCAATTCCTTTCTTAACTTCTGTTGTTCAATTCTTTCAGAAATCATTTTTCTGATTTGTTTCTTCTCTAGAGTCTGATAGTTGTTGCTTGATATAACTCCATCATGTCCAATGATCTCCCCATTGAATTTACTGAATTAACAAATTTAGTATCTGATTATTCAGTTGATCCATCCAAGATTGATTTCAAGAACTGTACTTTATCTGAAAATTGTATTTCAATTAAAGATGATTCTTCTGTTTCAATTATTCCCTTGAAATCTTCCAACTCAACTAATGACGATGCTTTGCCATCACCCCAAAGTTTGATTAAAAAAAATATGAATGCTGATAGTATAATTATGCATCCAAATGAACTAATTATTGGTTTAAAGTCAAACCAGACAATGCAAATTTTCAATTTAGCTGAGAAAAAAAGACTAAACAATTACACCCTTCCTTCTCCAAACGAAACCGTTTTATTTTGGAAATGGATTAATCCAAGTTATATTGTAATGGTATCAAATATAAACTTATATCTTTGGAATGCTGTCAAACTAAACTCTGCTCCTATATTGCTCACTCAAAAAAATCAGGCTTTGAACAATTGTCAAATCATTAATATCTCGGCCAACAAGAAGTTATCCTGGTTTGCAATTAACGGAATTTATCAAGATGGTGGTAAAATTTTAGGTAAAATTCAATTATTTTCCAAAGAAAGAAACATTTCTCAAATTATCGATGGTCATGTCTCCAATTTTGCAACTTTCAAAAACTATTCCTTGTTTATCATTGCCAATAAACCTAACAATGTAAATTCTTCATCGTCCAATAATGGCCATGTTCATATAATCGAAATTGATCACGATGCAAATTTTCCTCCTTATCAAAAAAAAAATGTAGACTTATTCTTCCCTCAAGATGCTGCTAACGATTTTCCAATCTCTTGTCAAGTCTCTGAAAAATACGGTATCATTTATATTCTATCTAAACATGGTTTTATCCACTTGTATGATGTAGAAACTGCTCAAAACTTGTTTGTCAACAGAATCTCCATTGATCCTATTTTCACAGCTGTCAATCATAAAAATGGTTTATTGACAATTAATAAAAAATCTCAGTTGTTATTAATTGATATCAATAAAAACACCATTATTCCCTATGTCTTAAATAAATTGTCAAATGTCAACTTGGCGCTTTCTTTAGCGCAAAGAGGTAACTTTCCTGGCTGTGAAAACATTTTTAATCAACAATTTCAACAGGCTTTAGCCGCTGGTGAATACGATAATGCTGCAACACTAGCTGCTTCCTCTCCCCAACTAAGAACCCCGGAAACTATTAACAAATTGAAAAATATTCAACCTGTTCCTGGTCAAATCTCTCCAATTTTAAAATACTTTTCAATTTTATTAGACAACGACAAATTAAACAAGTATGAATCAATTGAATTGGCTAAACCCGTTTTAACTCAAAATAAAAAACGGTTATTTGAAAATTGGTTATCTCAATCAAAACTATCATTTTCTGAAGAATTGGGTGATATTACTAAGCCTCATGACACAACCTTAGCTTTAAAAATCTATCTTGGTGTTGGCAATGATGTTCTTGGTATCGAAAACTCAAATGGTTCCTACAATGCTGCAAATAGCAATTCTTTGACTTCTTCTCCTTCTTTGAACAATAAAATTATTATTTGTTTAGTTGAATTAGGCCAATTTGATAAAATTGTTCCTTATTGCACAAAAATCAATTTCAAACCAAATTTCTTAACTTTGACTCAAATGGTTCTAAGATCAAATCCAGACAAGGCTGTTGAATTTGCTAACGAATTATTCTCCAAGGGTATTATCTCAAATGATCCAAATTCTGACTTGAGCGTCGAAAAAGTTACTGATTCCTTTTTTTCTCAAAATTTTATTCAGCAAGGAACTGCTTTTCTTTTGGAAGCTTTGAAATCTGATCAACCATCTGAAGGTCGTTTACAAACAAGATTATTGGAAATTAACTTGCTACATGCTCCTCAAGTTGCTGAAGCAATTTTATCTAATAATATGTTTAATCATTATGATAGACCAACTGTCGCTAAATTATGTGAAAGTGCAGGTTTGTTTCAAAAAGCTTTGGAAAACTACACTGATTTGAAAGATATTAAAAGGTGTATTGTTCATACTGAAGCCTTACCAATTGATTGGTTAATCAACTACTTTGGCCAGCTTAACATTGAACAATCAATGGCATGTCTTAGAGAATTGTTAGATAAAAATATTGCTCAAAACTTACAAATTGTTATTCAAGTTGCCACCAAATATTCAGAATTAATTGGTTCGGATTCTTTAATTAAATTATTTGAAGAGTTCAAGTGCAGTGAGGGTTTGTACTATTATTTAGCTTCAATTGTCAATTTAAGTCAAGATGAAAATGTTGTCTTCAAATATATTCAATCTGCTTGCAAATTGGGTCAATTTAAAGAAGTTGAAAGAATTGTTAGAGAAAATAACTATTATAATGGTGAAAAGGTTAAAAACTTCCTTAAAGAACAAAAACTACAGGATCAGTTGCCTTTAGTCGTTGTTTGTGATCGTTTCAATTTTGTTCATGATTTAGTTTTATATCTTTACAAGAATCAATTTTTCAAGTTTATTGAAGTTTATGTTCAACAGGTTAATCCATCAAGAACTCCTGAAGTTGTTGCTGGTTTGTTGGATGTTGATTGCGATGAAAACATTATCAAAAATCTCTTGGCTAGTGTTTTGGGTCAAGTTCCTTTGCCTGCATTAGTTGAGCTTGTTGAAAAGAGAAATAGATTAAAACTTTTGTTACCATATTTAGAAGGTCTTTTAAATCAACGCAGCCAGGATGTTGTTTTATTCAACACGCTTGCCAAAATTTATATTGATTCAAACAACAATCCTGAAAAATTTTTGCAGGAAAATAATCTATATAACACTGTTGAGGTTGGTAGATATTGTGAAAAAAGAGATCCATACTTGGCTTATATTTGTTACTCAAAGGGTCAGAATGATGAAGATTTAATCAGAATCACAAATTACAACTCGATGTTTAAATATCAAGCCAGGTATTTATTGGAAAGATCTGATTTGGAACTATATAGCGTGGTTTTAAGTGATGAAAACATGTACCGAAGACAATTAATTGATCAACTTGTTGGTACAGCTATTCCAGAATTGACTAATCCAGACCCTGTGTCAATAGCTGTTAAAGCATTTATGGACAATAACTTACCAATGGAATTGATTGAATTATTAGAAAAAATTATTCTTGAGCCAGATTCCACCTTTAATGATAATGCTTCACTTCAAGGTTTGTTGATTTTAACTGCTGTCAAGGCCTATCCAGCTAAAGTGATGGGGTACGTTGAAAAGTTGGATAGGTATGATGCAAAGGAAATTGCTCCTTTGTGTATTGAAAGTGGATTGAATGAGGAAGCCTTCCACATCTATGATAAGTTTGAATTAAAAGCAGATGCTATGAAAGTTCTCATTGAAGATATCATGTCTTTAGATAGAGGTGAAGAGTATGCAGAGAAACTTGATGAAACTGATTTATGGTTCCAATTAGGTACTGCTCAATTAAATGGTCTTAGAATTGACAACGCTATTAGTTCTTATATTAAATCCAATAATCCATCCAATTATTCAGATGTTATTGATGTTGCTGAACAGGCTGGAAAGTATGAAGAATTAGTTCCTTATCTTAGAATGGCAAGACAGACTTTGAGTGAAAGTAAGATTGATGGTGAATTGATTTTATGTTTGGCTGAATTAGATCAATTACAAGAAATCTCTATTTTCTTAAATAGCACTAATACTGCCCAGTCGCAAGATATTGGAGACAAATTGTTTGATATGAAAAATTATAAAGCGGCAAAGTTATTGTACGAAAACATCTCCAACTACTCCAAACTAGCCAGCACTTTAGTTTACTTGAAGGAATATCAAGAGGCCGTTGATTGTGCCAGAAAAGCATCAAACATCAAAGTCTGGAAACAGGTTAATACTGCTTGTATTGCTAGTAAAGAGTTCCGTCTAGCTCAAATTTGTGGTTTGAACCTTATCATTGATGCTGATGAGTTAGAAGAGTTGGTTGAAATTTATGAAACTAATGGTTATTTTGATGAATTGATCTCATTATTTGAGTCTGGTCTTGGGTTAGAAAGAGCCCATATGGGTATGTTTACTGAATTGGCAATATTATATTCCAAATATATTCCTGCTAAAACTATGGAACATCTTAAGCTATTTTGGTCTAGAATAAACATTCCAAAAGTATTGAAAGCATGCAAAGAAGCTCATTTATGGCCAGAATTGATTTTCCTTTACTGTCACTATGATGAATGGGACAACGCTGTGTTAGCTGTTATTGATAGATCAGCAGATGCTTTTGATCACCAACAATTCAAAGAGATTATTGTCAAGGTTTCTAATTTAGAAATTTACTACAAAGGAATCAATTTCTACATGAATGAACATCCAGATTTGATTGTTGACTTGCTTTCTGTTATGGTAGTAAGAGTTGACATTGGAAGAGTAGTTAGAATCTTTCAAAAGTCTGACAATTTACCAATGATTAAACCATTTTTAATATCTGTTTTGGATAAGAATAACTCAGTTGTCAATGAAGCATATCATCAACTATTAATCGAAGAAGAAGATTACAAAACTTTAAGAGTAACAATTGATGCACACGATAGATTTGATTCAATAGATTTAGCTTATAGATTAGAGAAGCATGAATTGATATTCTTTAGACAAATCTCTGCTTATCTTTACCGCAAGAATAACAAGTACAACAAAGCAATTTCTATATTAAAAGAAGATAGATTATGGACCGATTTGATTGAAACTGTCACTATTTCTAAATCAACTAAAATTTGTCATGAGTTGTTAGAATATTTTGTTGAAATTGGAAATAGAGAATGTTTTGTTGCATTATTATACGTTGCTTATAATTTGGCTGAATACGATTTTGTTTTAGAGTTATCTTGGTTGCACAACTTGGGTGATTACATCAAACCATACGAAATATCAATCAAAACAGAACAAAATAATAAAATCAATGAATTATTCAAAGATTTGACTATCAGACGAGAAAAAGAAAAAAAAGATGAAGACACACCAGTTTTTGGTAATCAGCTATTGTTGACTAGTGGACCAGCTCCATTAGCTGTTCCTCAGCCAGCAGCTCCAATTTTAACTGGATTTAACCCTAATAATTCTGGATTAGGATTTCAAGCTACCGGAGCTGGATTTGGTAACATTTACTGATTGATTTGAATTGGTAGTTGGTCTTTTGTTTAGATTATTCTTGTGTTTGAAAGGTTCAGTTATTTTTTTTCCTATTTTTTGCCCACTTCTATTTTTTTATCTTTTTAACCCTATTTTTTTGTTTCAATTTCTCTTTACTTACATAGTTTTTAAAATTAAAATGTTCTTACCTATTATATTCTTTAACTAGAAGAATGCTAAATTATGTGAGATAAAATGTAAACTTGATTTTGAATTAGGCCTTTTTCAAGTAATGTTAGAAGTTTATGCTTGGGGTGTTCAAAATAATACTGATTTCCCTGAGAAAGCATCATCAAACTCCCCGAATCAGCATGAAAGAATACCTTTATAATCAATGAAGACCTCTATAATTGAGTAACTGGAAAATTAACTTTAATGAAGTATCATGATTAGGAATCAACTATGGGGAGGTCTGAGCAAAAAGTTCATGTTTTAATTCAGTATCTGTTTTCATGAAAGATATCCTGTTTGAAACATTCATAGCGAAGTGGTTTCAATAGAGTAATCTTAGACTAAAACTGAGACATTTTAACATGAGAAGGTTTCATTTCTGATACGATGAAATCCTTTCTTATGACTATTCTTTGTTAATTTTGTTTGCTTTTTCAACAAAGACTTTCCCTGCTATGAATTTATCAACAGACACCATGATAGATTTGGATATGTATGGTTGAACTGTTTCACTGTTTGATATTGTGATGAAATTACAAGCATTTTCTATTTGGTGATACATATCAAGCAAATCTTTGATGAGTTGTATGATGATTTTTTCTTAAGTGTTTTAAAATAATTTGAATTCCCATGTTGTACCGCAGGTTTAAAGAAACAGTCACTGGTTTATTGTGTTATTATCAATTGAGAAATTTGAATCTAGTCTTTATATTATCATAAAAAGCTGAATTATTTTTTTTTTATTTAAAACAAATGGGGTTATTCCACTATTGAACGATAAAGAAATCCTAAGGGACTGGGACACTTTATATTGAGTTCTGTTGGATAACAGAAAAAGTAGATAATTAAATCAAAAAAATACAATAATATACAGAAAAAAAATAAAATTAACAATTAAAAAGCAATCATTATAAAATAAACAAAACCCTCAAAGGAGAGAGATAAAGGGAAAAGAATAATGGAAATGATCGAAAAAAAAATATAAATGTTTTTAAAAGTTTATATATCATTGTTGAAAAAAATAAAAGATCAAAATAAAAACTAACGACCGAATTTTTTTAATTCCAAGTATCTGAAAAATGGATAAGTCACACCTGAAAAACCCATTGCTAACCACATACCAAGATCACCACCATATTCACCAAATTTTGCAGCAATTGGACCAATATAGTATACCTGGGCCATTCCCATGGCAGCCCCCACAGCACCAAAGGCAAAAGCGCCCATGGAAGCAAAACCATTAGTCATTTTGCTAGCGTCATTCCAAATTTCCCAGTTGTAACATTGCTTTTTGGTAATTTTAGCACTATGAAGTTCAGATTGGTGTGATTGAATATAATTATCAGAATCTGAATTTGCTTGTTCAAATTCTTTGGTATAAAGATGAATAAACCATTTTGTTCTGAAAATTTGGTTTTCTTCAAGCAACAAAATAAAATAAATTGAAATCCAATAACCAATCATGGGTAGGAAATTACCTAAGATGGTGGCAAAATGGTTTCTACCAATCATAGCACAAGCATAATAAATCAAGGTGAGAATGATGGCCCAAAGAAATCTTGGAACTTTTGCCAACCAACCTCCATCTAATTGAAGACCAAAGGCAGCAGAGTAAGTATTAATGATATTATTTGAGATTAAAGATAAAAATAATAACATTAATAAAAATTTACCACCAGCACCCCAAGGAGAATAAGCTTCGGCTAGCAAACCACCCATTCCAAGATTTTCATAAGCTTCAAGCCATGGAGGATAAGCGTTAGCAATGTTTGATAAAATTAAAGCAATACAACTGACGAAGGAAGTAGGAATCAAGATACCAAAGAAGGTAATGAAAAAAGTTTCCACATCATTAATTGATTCAGGGAAAAGAATGTAATAATCAGCAGAAATTGAGCCCCAAGTGGAAGTACAAGCATAGGATAAAGCGAAAAAAGATAACCAATTACCCTTAATGGTTATAGAATCACCATGGGAGTGTGATTCTGGGAGATAGGACATTTTGGGGCCTGATACAACATACAATAAGAGAAAAGCAGTTAACACAGGAAAAGCCAATAAAGTTTCGACTCTTAATAGCTGCTTGATACCATAAATGGAAACAATTAAAGAAATGAAAGCAACAATTGTGATACCACCTTCAATTGGAATCTTGCCATCAGATACGGAAGTTAAAATTTGGCCACCAGCAACAGAATTAACAACAGACCAACCCATAACACCAAGAACAGAAAATAACGCAACAAATTTGACAAACCACCAACCAAACAATAGTCTTGCAGAGATCATCTGTCTACAGCCGGATCTTGGACCCATAATTGAACAATAACCAGCAATTGCACAACCTAAAGTCAAACCTAATATACCCGATAAAAATGAATCTTTCAAACCAAGACCAAAGACAACTGAACCTAACAACAATGAAGAAGTTGATGACAAACCACCAGCAGCAGACAACCATAACCCAATCACTTGCAAGATAGCCTTTCTTTTGTTTGTGGTTCTCTCAAAGGGCTGAACCCTTTCTATGCCTCTTTCTTCCACTCCAAAGGAATCTAACTTATTTGAAACCTTTTTGAGAAATAAGAAAAAATTGTCAGTTTTTTGGTAAAATTGCGATTTTTCGTGAATTTTGTCATTTTTGTCATTATCGATATTATGAACGACATTTGATGAGGAGCTAACATTTTCCACATCAATGCGATTATTTTTTTCTAAATCCATTTTGATCTTTCAGTATAAGAAAAAGTTTAGAAAACAAATATATATAAAAGCAACTATACTGAAAAAAACCAGAATCACAGAAAACCAAGAAGAAAGAGGTGTTATTAGCAGTTATTTATAGTGATGATATTACAATAGTTGAAAATAATAAATCTTTTGATAATCTGATTTTTGCTTGAATAATAACATTTTTTTCCTAAAAATCAATAGAAAGTCAAAATCATTGATTAAATTGACTAATTTATAAACGACTATGCAACTTGACAGGAAATGCAAAACCGTTTTAAAGATCAAAGACATCAAGTTGATAGGAATAATTGACCTGCGCGTGACTTGTGGGTATTGCAGGCGCGGTTTTGTATGGCTGCAATGAAATCCAACCAAATTTCGAGGGCAAAATCCATAGAAGCACATGATCCGGATCTCGACTTCCCGAGTCAGTTTGTCTAGTTTTGCTCTAGCGCCGAGTCAGAAAAAAAGTGGTTGTAAAGTGCAGCAAGGCTCTTTTCAAGCGGATACTGCCTGATCCGGTGAGAAGGCCCGTTGCACTGGCGTCAAAGAAACCAGGAGGATGTTTCTTTTGGTGGCTTTCACTGCCAAATTCTCTGCTGATTATTAGGCTGGGTTTGGTGAGTCATGCCAGGATAATTTGGGTTGAAAAAAAGAAAGATAGGTACTGGTTTGTCTAATTTGGTATCTCCAGAGATTTTTGTTGAGCTTTTAGCGTTGGTGCTTGATTATTTGGTCAATTTTTCAGTGTTGCACAAGCTGTTGAAAAGATTTCCCTGCAAAAAAGGGACAAGTAAAGGTTTCACGTTATCATTGGTCATTTAGACACGTGATAAATGCACATCCATCACTTTGAAATTGTCACTGAGCTTGATTTTACTTTGAAAAATCCACCAAAAAGTGGAAAATTCTGGATTGAATCAAAAGAAAAACAGATCAAATTGGATCAAAAAGCAAAAGTATTGAAAAATTACTGACATTTGTGATTAAGTCCCGAATAATTGAAATTTTTTAGGAAAATTTAACTAAATTGATTGAAAATCTTAAATTTGGTAAAAAAAATTCAATGAAATTTTAATTACAATTGTAACTAAGAAATTAAGTAAATAAGTAAATAAGAAAATACGAAAATGAGAAAATAAGGAAATAATATTTTCGAAAATAACAACAATAAACAAGAGAGAAAATCAAATTAATTAAATAACTTGTAAAAACCATCGGTGATGATTATCATTTGAAAATTTATTTTCGTATCAACGATTATAGAAGATGTTGAAAAAGAAAAATATAGTAATAGTAGTAATAATATGAGAATAAAAGTGAGAAAACAAAAAAGAAATCTTTTTTTTTTAGAAAACATTTTAAAATAAGAAAAGAGAGACAAAAAAAAAAGTAAATACGTTTAATAAAATAAAGTAAAGTAAAGGAAAATAAAATAAAATAAAATAAAATAAAAAGTGAGTCAACTAAAACATTAAAATGGAACAATTGAAAAAATAACTAACAAAATAGATATATATAAAAAGGAAAGGCAATCAATAAAATCTGTTCAATGGAACAATAAATATATTTTGGTATAAAAAATATAAATGATAAAATTAAAGAGGGAAAAAACAGGAAAAAGAAAAAAAAGAAAAAAAAGTAAAATAAATAATTAAAAATAAGAGATATAAGTTAAAAAGTGAAATGTTAAACAAGAATCAAAGAAATAAAAATAGAAGTTATTGGAATTAAATTTAATCATATTATGATAGGTTTATAATATAAGAAATTTTAAATAAAAAACAAAAGATTTTGAGGATTTTTGTTTTGATTCAAATTAAAATTTTGTAATTCTATTTTTAAAATTTATTCAAAGAAAATCAATTATCATTATCATTTAATTGTTTACTTAAATTTGACAGAGAACCATTGATTGGAGTATTAATCAACGAATTTTGAGATGTGTTTGATTGGGAATTGGCTTGATTTAAATTTGTTGAGCTGTTATTATTGCTATTGATTGATGAATTAATTTGAGAATTTGATTGATTTAAAGCGTTGTTATTAGAGCCACCATTATTATTATTATTATTGTTGTTGTTGTTATTGTTGTTTGAATTTTGAATTTGAAATTGACGTGGCATATTTCCACAACGATCTTTACCGTAGTTAATTTTAAAGTTTTTAAAGTCGTTATTTGTTTTAATACCATCGATTGCTTTAATTGCATTGGCTATGTTGGTAAAGTTAACAAAAGCACATTTCTTTTCAGGCAAGAAGTTGATTTGTTCGATTTCGCCAAATTTGCTGAAATCCTTTCTTAATTTTGCTTCTGAATAAACCGTTTCTAGATCTTTTTCAATATTACCAATGTAAATATTTCTTGAAGCACCACTAGAAACCGCTAGAGCGATTGGGTTTGGTAAAGGACCAGAATGCTTGCCCCAACCTACTTTAATTCTTCTGTTATGAATTGTTAGACCATGTAGATGACACATTGCAAAAAATTGAGCAGCAGCAATTGGATCAATGAAAGTTATAAAACAAACATGACGTTCGTTGAGATATCTTATATTTTGTAGTAAACCGCCTCTAACAACGTTACAAATTTCTTCAATTGAGGAGTCAGGATGTAGGTTACCCAAGTAGACAGTTCTGTTGCCCAAATTGTTGGCACCACCGGCACTAGTGGCTATAGCAGCAGCGGCAGCAGATTGTTGGACTAGGGCATTTGAAATAAAGTCTCTATCAGCGGCAGTAACCAAGTGTTCCATGCCTGGAGCGAGACCTAAGAATTGAGCAGCATTGTGCTGTTGAGTCTTTGTAATGAAAGCACAACGATCTTTACCGTAAAAGACTTTTCTGTTGACATATTTTTCTTCTAGAGGCAATTGTTGAACGACTCTGACAGCGCTTAGGATTGATAGGAAATGAACAAAGGCTACGCCTTTATCGGGGAGGATTTTTATGGTGTCGATTTGGCCGAATTTGATGAGATCGTTTTTCAAGTCATTTTCAGTGATATCGTGAGGTAAGAGACCTAGATAAACGTTTCTTGTAGCACCATCTCTTTGTATAGCGTTTAAAACGGCGGGAGTTATAGGGGTGCTTTTACCCCAGCCAATTCTGATATCGTTGTTTTTAATGGTTAATCTTTTTAGGATGGCGTCTGAGTGAAAGAGAAGAGCAGAAGATTCGTCTATAAAAGAGATGAAGGCGCACATTTTCGAGGGTAATATGCGAACGCTTTCGATGATTCCACTTCTAACATGGTCAAGCAATTCTTCGGGAGTAATTTCAGGGGGGACGTTGCCTAGATATACGGTTCTGCTTGGAGCAGAAGTTCCAATTAAGTCGTTTGAGGAGGAGGATAGGATTTGGTTTCTGTTGATTTGGTTTGGGGATAGAGATTGGTCAATAAAGGATTGAGATTGAGGTTGGGGTTGTGATGTGGATTGAGATTGGGATTGGGTGTGTATTATTTGGTTTTTGATTAGGGGGCTATCAATGTTGTTTGGGTTGATTTGGTTAATTTGGTTGTTGAGGTTGTTAATGTTGTTGATGGTGTTAATGTCGGCGGTAATGTTGTTGTTGTTATTTGGTAAAGATTGGCTGATTAGAGGGTTGTTTAGGTCATTCAAGTTTTGGTAGTCATTGTAATCTGTGTTGTTGTTGTTGTTGTTAGTTTGATTGTTGTTGTTGTAATCTAGGTAGGCATTGTTTGGGTGGTTGATAATGTTAGGGTTATTCAAATCGTCAAAGTAATCGTCGTCCGGATTACTGATTTGCGAGTTTGTATGGTTGTGAGTAGGAATGTTGTAGCTGTTTAGGTTGAATTGGTTATTTTGGTTAATGTTGGGGTTATATTGGTTGTTGTTGTTGTTGTTGTTATTGTTGGAAATGTAGTTTTGGGGTATGATTGGGGTGAAGGACATTTTATAAGGCAATTGGTAGGAGATACTTTGCATTTATGAAGGAGTGAGTGAAAAATCAAGCAAGAAACACGAACAAGAGGGAAATAGATATAGTCAAGTCTAACGAGGTGTGATTAAATGAGTATAAGTAAATGAGTATGGGTGAGTATGGGTAAGTATAGGCGTGTATATAATTGAGATTATAAAACTAGAAATATAAGTAAAGAAAGGGCTAGATAATTGGATGATAATTGGATGACAATTGGATGACAATTGGATGAATTGAAATTGAAATTGAAATTGAAATTAAAGTGTGGATAAAGATATAATAAATGAGTAAAGATTAGTTATTAAATAAATACACTTGATAGACTGTAATTGGGAATTTGTAATTGATGAATTAAAACGAAGAAAAAAAAATAGAGAGAGAACGAAAATTTTTTTTTGGATGATTTTTGGATGATTTGGTTTTTTTTATTTTTTTTATGGGATTGATTTTTCAGAGTAAAAATGGAAACAATTTGAGGGTCTGAGGATTTGAGTAGGGAATTAAAAGATCGTAGAAGGATTGGGAATTAGAAGCGATGATGATTAGCCAGAGGAGTATTAGATGAATAAGGTGAGGGTGGAGATGAAGGTGAAGGTGAAGATGATAAAACTAATTAGATTGATTGATGGAGATTAGTAGAAGATGGTAGGGAAGAAAGAGAGAGAGAAAGAAAAGAACAAGAGAAGAAGGAAAAAAAGAGGTGGGAATGAGAAAGAGAAAGAAAAAAGGTGATTGAAGTGAAAAAGATTGAGAATTGGAGGGAGAGCAGGAAAGAAAATGAAGAGAAAAGAAGAAAATGAGGAAAATGAAGAGAAAAGAACGAGAATTTGAAAATAGATCAAAGAAAAGGGAAATGGGAAACTTAAACAAGTTTAAAAGAAAACTAAAAGTGAGAGGTGGGAGGAATTCAAGAGAGAATTCAAATTCCAAAGGATAGCTGTCCAAAGTAGAGAAGAAAGTGAGAAGTAAGAAGTGGAAGCTACGGGGGGAATATGGGAGAGATGTGTAGGTGTCTACAATAGGAATATATTCTGGAGCATAGAGGGCATAGAGAGGTTGGAGCCTGGAGCGTATGAAGCACAGAAGGTACAGTGTATGGAGTGGATGTGGAGCATAAACCATTATATCTGGTGCGTCTGAGCATTGTGTTGCAAGGCCTGTGCTGGCCCGTGCTCCAATCGCAGCGGCCCAAGACGGCCCAGTGGCGTTGTCTTTTGGGATGCAAAACTGCAAGAATCGAGCGAAGTCTCGCTCCGAAACGAGTCCACTCCCAACAGAACCCGCTGCGCTGGCACATGGGCAATGTGCATGTGTGTGCGGCAGAACATGGCGTTGGTTGGCTCACCATTTGCTCACTTCTGGTAGATGTCCTGGAGAGCCAAAACAGACGTTAGCACCCCAGCGAGCCCCAAGTAGCCCTCGTTCACCTTGACGATGTTCAACCGGCTGGCCACAATAGCCAGATCAAGGGCGTCCCAGAGAAGGCGTCTTCGAATCGAGTGTCGCTCTGCATAGCACCGGTCCAAGTATTTCTTCACCTCGAGCTGGTCGTCCTCGCTGCTGCTTCTACCAATCCCGGTGGCACTTTGCAATTTGCGGTGGTTGATGACATGCCGTCTTATGTTGACCAAGATGTTCGAGAAGATTCCCATGAACCAGTTGATGTTGACGAGATGCCTGAGGGTTCTCAAGTCTTTCCGTTTCAAATTGAGCATCTTGAGCAGATTCAAAAAAAACATGGAGTCAAACAAAAGGTAGAAAAAGTAGAAAAAGTTCTTGATCACCGATAGATGCTTGACAATCAGGTCGATCTTGTCGTTTCCTGAGCGGAAAATGTCGTTGATGTTGTTCAAGTACTGGAAACACTCAAAGAACCGAATATATTTTCTGATGATTGAGATGGTGTTTCGAAGATTGGTGAACAAAATGATCTGGTTTCGTTTGCCCTGGCCCAAGTAGTAAAACGCTAGGTATCTGGAGAGATACTGGGCTAGCCTGGCAATCTTGTCCTTGCCCTCAATGCTCTGAAGCACTCTCTCAAGCCTGAGCAATACGGGATGGTAGATGATTTGCTCCATGTGTGCGATTCCTCTGCTTCTCTTATCTTATCATGCAATGCTTCCCCAGCCTTGCTCTATTATATCTTTCCAGTCAGTCACGTGACTCAATCTCTGGTTCGCGCCGGTTTTGCTGAGCTCAGCAGCAGCGGTCATTCCCTCTCGACCGCGTAGGTGCGGCAGCGCGGTCTGCAGCCCCGGCGCCCAGAGAAAACGCGTCTGCAAGTAGATCCAGCCTGCTGGCACCGTGCTTTGAGGAAGCACCCACGTTGCAAGCGCGGCCAGCTATTATTAGCCCGCTGCCTGCTGCCCGCTGCTGCTGGACCAAAATCTAGACCGCTGCCGCAGTGGCCAGCTCACCCTCCCGGTTCCTGGCAACGGCCTCTGTGGCAGTCGCTATGTGTCGGCGAACACACGCAGCCGTTCGTTGGAGGAGCGAACAAACAACCGCAAACTCAGCACTTTCGGTGCTCCCACTGGTATAAATATCTAAGACACCACCCAACTCAACTGCTCTCTTCCTCTCTCTCTTTTTTTCTTTTCTTTTCTTCTTTCCTTTTCCTCTTTTCTTCTTTCCTTTTCCTCTTTTCTTGCTTTTATCCATTTATGCTCAATTGACTTCAATTCAATTTAATTCAATTCAATTTAATTCAATTCAATTCTCTATAATCACCATTTCTCTTGTTTTTGGTTCATTTCGATATTCGATTTTCCACTCATTCAAATAACCTAATCTATTGCAATCCAATCCAATCTATTCCATTTCAATTTTAACACTTGCCAGTTTCAATTACATTTCAATTTAAATCACTTGTTCTTATCCACTATTTTAAAATTTCCCCTTCTACAACGTCTACCTTAATTCCACTATAAATATCCAACAATTTCTCTCTTCTTCTCTCTTCTCCCCCCCTCTCTCAGTTTCTTCTTTTCTTTATTTTTCTTTTCATCTTTTCTTTCAATTACTTTTCTTCAACCTCTACTCAACTTAAACAATCAATCCTCTCCTATTCTTACACCCGTTGATTCTACTAATACTAATAATAATACTAATATCCCTTTCTCTTTGAAAATGTTGTCCGTATCCAAATCAAAAAAACATGAAAAGTCTCAAAGTGCTTTCGCTTTTGAAAACACTGCTACTACAATTGCTGCCTCTCAAATGAGAAACGCCTTAAATAAACTATCTGATTCTCTAACCGATGATGATCCAGACTTGAGACAAAAGTTTGAAATCGAAATGGACAACTTTTTCGCCTTGTTCAGAAACTACCTTTCTGACAAAGCCTCTGGCAACACCCTTGTTTGGGACAAAATCAAATCTCCAAATCCTAATGAAGTCCTCCACTACAACAAAATCCTGTCCATCAATGCCTCCTCCCCTTCTTCCCTCTATCACAACAATAGCACAAATAACAACCTCTCAAAACTAGCCGTCTTGAAGCTAAATGGTGGTCTAGGTACCTCCATGGGTTGTGTTGGTCCCAAGTCCGTTATCGAAGTAAGAGATGGCAACACCTTTTTAGATTTATCCGTCAGACAAATCGAATACTTGAATAGAAAATATGACTCTGACGTCCCCCTCTTGTTAATGAACTCCTTCAACACTGATAAGGACACTCAACACTTGATCAAAAAATATCAAGGCCACAGAATTAGAATCAGAACTTTCAACCAATCAAGATTCCCAAGAGTTTTTAAAGATTCCCTACTACCTGTCCCAACAAACTACAACGACCCTTTGAACTCCTGGTACCCTCCTGGCCATGGTGATTTGTTCGAAGCTCTTGCTGCCTCAGGCGAACTAGACTCCCTTATCGATCAAGGCAAAGAAATTCTCTTTGTTTCAAATGGTGACAACTTAGGTGCCACTGTAGATCTAAACATCCTAAACCACATCTTGGACACTAACGCCGAATATATCATGGAATTAACCGATAAAACTAGAGCTGACGTTAAAGGTGGTACTCTTATCAACTACGACGGTCAAGTTCGTTTACTAGAAATCGCTCAGGTCCCCAAAGAACACGTCGAAGAATTCAAATCAATCAAAAAATTCAAAAATTTTAACACAAACAACTTGTGGATCAACTTGAAAGCAGTTAAACGATTAATCGAACTAAACTCCCTCGACGTCGAAATCATCCCTAACTTTAAAACAATCTCCGTAAACGGCTTGGAATCAAACGTTCTTCAACTAGAGACCGCTGTTGGTGCCGCTATTAGACATTTTAACAATGCCCATGGTATCGTCGTCCCAAGATCAAGATTCTTGCCTGTCAAAACTTGCTCAGATTTAATGCTTGTCAAATCTGACTTGTTCTACCTCCAACATGGCGCCCTCAAAATCGATCCCTCAAGATTCGGTGGCTCTCCCTTGATCAAATTGGGCTCCCATTTCAAAAAAGTCAAAGACTTTCAATCCAGAATCCCACACATGCCTGCCATCCTAGAATTGGATCATTTAACCATCACAGGTAACGTCAAACTAGGCAAAGATGTCACCTTAAAGGGTACCGTCATTATTGTTTGTCAAGATGGTCAATCAATCGATATTCCAAATGGCTCTGTTCTAGAAAACGTTGTCATAACCGGGAACTTGAAGATCTTAGAACATTAACTATCAAAATTTACCCCAAATCTATCAAATAAAAGAATCTCTAAATTATAAACAATAAAAAAATATTAAATGTATTCTAATATTCAAGTTAAGTTCCTTTCTACTTTCATCCACTTGTTTTTATTCATTTCTTATTTTTTTATTGCTCGCTTTTTTCTATAATTTCCATTTATTTATTTGGCTTAATTTCATTATTATTATCATTATTAATACTATTACTTTCACCACTTTCTAAAATCACTCCACTTTTAACTCTCTTGTACGCTTTTTTTCCTCTTTTCTCTATTTGTAATTTACTGATTTTCATTTTTATTATTGGTTATTTTATAACTATTTACAATTATATAATACTATATCAATTACTTTAAAATGATCATTACCAGAAATTCATTTAAAATATCAAAAACTCATAAAACTTATTAAAAGAAAACAAAAAAAAAAATTATAACCAAAAAATAAAATAATCAAGTAACTTTAATTCAAGAAACTTAAACTCAAAGAACTAAAAAGACAATAAAATATTTTTAAATTTGCGAAAAAACAAACTTAAATGATCATAAACTTCCAGGATAACTAAAAACAATTCAAAAAAAAAGAAAAAGAAAAAGAAACAAAAAGGAAAAAGAGTATTAAACAAAAAAAAATAAGAAAATTAAATGATCATTTAAAGTAGATCAAGTTTTTAATACATTAAATTCTTTTATGAACAACACTAATAACAAATTATGAACAATCACCTTATTTATAAACTTATCTATAAGTTTTTAATCTTGGAAGCATTCTTCTTGATAAGATTTCTATTTAAATTGTTAATAAGTAATATAATTGGAAATCTTGGTTTTCTCAATCTAGCAGCAAACGCAAGACAAACAGTCAACAAAGCAACTGCACCAGCTTGATGCAAAGCACCCAATGAAATTGGCACCAAATAGATTAACGTAGTGATACCCAAAGCAGCTTGAGCAGTTACTATTCCCATAAGACCATGCATTAATCTTATAGCCTTTTTTGGAATAATTGCTTTGTATTTATTCACATACATGTGAGCACCCACTACTGAAAAAAATGTAACAGTAGCCCAGACTCTATGGTGCAACTGAACAGTAGTTGGATTGTCAAATAAATTTCTGAAAAACCAATCAGACTTATCATCCTTTCTAGTGTATTGCAAGTCCCATAATTCTCTTGATGAAGGCAACCACGTTTCTCCCATTTTGGGAAAGGTATTATAAATTAATCCTGCATCCAATCCTGCAACCATTCCCCCAGTCATTGCAGTTATAAACGTAAAAGCAACTAAACCAATTGAGATTTTTCTGATAGGATTCAATAAGGGAGATTGCAATTTTTGAAATGTCTTGACAGCATCCTTGGGATTATTGATCCAAGAATTTTCTCGAAGAATTTCCAATCCAGTCCAAAACATTCCAATATACAATAAGAAAGCAGCACCAAGATGAGTGGTCAATCTGTATTGAGATACAGTTGGTTTGGATTTTCTGTCATCTAATTGAGCTTGGTCTAAACCAGAGTAAACCATCCACCAGCCAATGACCCCCTGTAAGCCTAATAAAGCAGTCAACAGAACCATTCTTCTGTTAATATGTCTCGAAGTTTTACGTTTTGCAAAAAAATAAACCGAAGGAGCAATCATAATTACACCAATAGCCCTGCCCCATAATCTGTGAAACCATTCCATGAAAAAAATAAATTTAAAATCATCCAAATCGATATGAGAGTTCAATTGAATAAATTCAGGACTCAATTTATACTTTTCAAACTCTTCGATCCACTGTTGTTCATTCAAGGGTGGTAAAGTACCAGTGACAGGTTTCCACTCGGTGATTGATAAACCAGACTCAGTTAATCTAGTTAAACCTCCCAAAACTACAATTCCAAAAACCAAACCTGATGTTCCTAATAACCACCATCCAACGGAACTAGATGAGTTTACTAAGGGTTTATCAGCTCTTTTTTTACCAGACTCTTGCTTGGAAATAGATGGAGAATTATCAAACGAAATACTTGGATTAGAAGTAGAATCAGTGCTTGAACCGTAGATTGCAGAAGTAGTAGTAGAAGAAGAAGTAAGAGCGGAATTCAAAGAAGAAAAACCTCGATTGAAAAATTTTTCGGTGATTGAACTGGAAGTTTTTTTCTTCGAGATTTGAAAAGTGTGATTGTTGAGCCCATTGTTTCTAATCCCAATGTTAAAAGAATTGGTCGAAAAGAGCCTCTTGGTGGTTGAATTTAGTGGAGCACTTAGTTGTGATTGATTTGTAGAAGAGAGCAGTGCAGCTGGCTGACGACATAGCTCAGAATCAGTTTCAAGAGAAACTTTGTTGACTTGACGAGAGGAAGCTTTGCAAAGAGAAGAAGAGCAACTCTTGGTGATGCTGAGAATAGAATTGTTTTTGATGAAAAAAAACTGAGATCTTGCCAACGTCGAGCTCATTTTCTCTGTTTGCGACAGCTGTAAAAAAATCTGATCAAAAATATCAGCAAAAAGAAATCACCCAAAAAACGACGGTGAGCCAATCGCAAAGGGGGAATTGGCGCTTACTCCCTTAAGGAGAAGGGCACCGGCGTGACTGCGGTTTTTACACTTAAAATGTTGCGGCGAAGAAAGTTCGAACCCAGAACAGTGCAGTTGCAAAAGGAGTGCGTAAGCCCGGAATCGAACCGGGGGCCCAACGATGGCAACGTTGAATTTTACCACTAAACCACTTACGCTCAGACGCTGGGAGGGGAAAAGCTGTAGATTTAGAGATAGTGCATTGCTTTTTATTTTTAAGGTTTCTGAAAAAATTTTGATGGACTTTTTATTTTTTTTTTCTATCATCTCTCCAGTAAATGAAAAAAACTTGAATAGCTTTGGTGTTGTCGAGCAGTTCAACAAAATGCGTAACCTCAGTTGTCTCAACCAGTCCACAATCAAGCCCATCTCGGTTTTTGCACCTGATTTGCCCATAATTGGTTCTTCTTTCAATTCAATTGACGACTCCATCACTGTTGCTTTGGGCCCTGATTCAAATGATGGAACCATCGAAATCCATCAATTCTATAAGAATGGTAAATCAAGACTACTATCATGTTTCCAGATTACTGACTATATTGATTTCAACAACTTTGATAACCCAGAAAGCAATTCTTTACTATTGTTTAACAATTTCATTGAGTCCAACCAGCTATTGTTAGTCTTTGCTAACGGAGATGTTATTCAAATTACTTATGTCAACCAATTAGATCATAATGCTGCGACTTTCGATGAATATGATCCAGATTCAGTGCAAATTGAAATGTTTGATGTCGAATGTCTTTTGAATTCAAAAATATTCGCTGCTGCATTATCAAATGACCAAGAAACTATTACATTAATAATCAACGATTATAATGAAGTCGATACCGATTATCTTGACGACGATTATCAGCCAACATTAAACTTAAAAATGATACTACTATCAAGGTATTTCGAATTTATTATTTCTGCCCATTTAAATGATAAAAATGATTTAAAAATTGAAAAACATTTAAACTATGTTTCTGTTGGCTGGGGAAAAAAGGAAACACAATTCAAAGGCAGGGGTATGAAATTGGTTGAAAGAGAAATTCTAAAAAGTCTTAAAAACTCAGGTTTATCTGATTCAGATTCAATAAGAGATCCAACTCTAAACGTTTTACAAAATGGGTTACCAAGTCCCTTTGATTTGAATAACTTTTCAATTTCTTGGAGAGATGACTGCGACTTTTTTGCAATTTCAACTCAATCTCAACTCAATCTCAACAATAAAAGAAGAATTATAAGAATATTTAACAGAGAAGGTATCTTGCAAAATATCTCCGAACCCTTAGATGGCTTAGAACATACTTTAAGCTGGAAACCACAGTCGTCTCTTATTGCTACCACTCAAAGAAAATTCACCCCAACAGTTTCTCAGGATGAAGATACTGATTATAATCCTGTTGATCAAAATAAATACGACTTGGATTTGATTTTCATCGAAAAAAATGGTTTAAAACATGGGTCCTTTAATTTAAGATTACCTTTAAATACAACTATAAATTCAATCAAATGGAATAATAACAATCAAATCCTAGCCATTCAATATAATAACTCAGTTCAATTATGGACTTCTAAAAACTATCATTGGTATTTAAAGAAAGAATTTATTTTTGATGGCGATCAATATGATGATTCATTTATCACTGACTTACTTTGGCATGATGAAAACCCTTTATCTTTATTAGTTGTTTTCAATAACAAAATCAAAATTATAAACTTAGCTTATAAATTCACTGAAGGTCCAGTTTGCTCTTCAAATGATAAAGGTTCAATTGCTGTCGTTGATGGTAAAAGAGCAAATTTCACCATACTCGGTGACTTAAACGTTCCTCCTCCAATGTACCAATTTCAATATTTGATCCCTGACGGAAATATTCTGGATATTGCCATTTCTAAATCAAACGAGATTTTTGCAATTTTGTCCAATTCAAATCAAATCTATATTGTTCACAAAAGCTTAAATGATACTGATCCTCACTCTTCTCCAAATTTAATTTCAAACATCTCAACTAGTTTAGATTATTTTGCTAGACAAATCAGCTTTATTAATAACAATCACATTGCAGTCTTGATGAACTCCAAATTTAAAAATGATGTTTTAATCCAATTCATTGATATCTCAAATCTATCAAATCCCGTTCTAGGTCAAACTTTCAAGAAAGAAAAACAAATCATAATTGCTATAAAACCAGGCTTGAGTTTTGACCAATTGACTTTTCAAACTTCTTCTGGCCATGTTTACGTCTTTGATGACATTGAAAATCAAATTATTACTGAAATTTGCACATTTCCTGAATATTGCTCTGATTATCAACTAACCAAATTGAACCCAAATACGCCTAAAATTGAAAACTTCACTTCTGAATACGATTTGCAAGACCAGCAAAATTATCTTAACCAAGACGATGATCAATACATATGTTTTGGTCTAGCCAAAAATGGTAAATTGTATTTAAATGATGACCAATTTACCACTTCAATTACTTCATTCAAATTAACCGAAACCTATTTAATCTTCACAACAGCAAAGCATTTATTAAAATTTTTCCATTTAAATGCTAAATTGCTTACTCTAAAACCCGAAGATATTAATTTTGAAAACAAATATATCAAGGATGACAACAAGAAAAGTACCAATAACAACAGTAATCATTTTGATTTGAATAACAGCAAACTTGATAAACATTATGACAATAACATTCATAACTTTAATCCTAACGATGAAAGAATCAGATCAATAGAGCGTGGATCATTGTTGGTTTCTGTTATACCAGAAAAGTCGTCTGTTGTTCTTCAAGCTCCAAGAGGAAATCTTGAAACTATTTATCCTAGAATAATGGTTTTAAATGACATTAGAAAACAAATTGAAAATAAAAAGTATGCATCAGCATTTTTAAAATGCAAAACCAATAGAATTGATTTCGATATATTATACGATTATAATCCAAAATTATTTTTAGAAAATATTGAATATTTCATTAATCAAATCCGAAAAGTCGATAATTTAAATTTATTCATCTCTTGCTTACATGAAGAAGATGTCACACAAACCAAGTACAAACAGTCCTTGAGTATAGATGATGAAGCAGGCAAGAAAAAAGAAGATATTGTTAATATAACAAATAAAATGGGAACGATTTCGATTCAAGACGATAAAAAACCTAATATCAAGGACAAAAAAGAAAACAAACCCCCTGAAGATTCTAAGGTTAATAAAGTGTGTAACGCTATTTTGAATGTATTATTGTCCGAAGCCAAATATGAAAAGGAATATTTAAGGACTATTTTAACATCATATGCATGTCAAAATCCACCTAATCTCAAAGAAGCATTTGAGTTGATTTCTAAAATCAAAGATCAAGATGCATTGGAAAAATCTATTGAATATTTATGTTTCCTTCAAGATGTCAACTATCTTTATAAAGTATCGTTGAGCTATTATTATATAAATTTAACTTTATTGATTGCTCAAAAGTCACAAAAGGATCCCAAGGAGTATTTGCCATTTTTAAATAGGCTATATATCAATAAAGAACTTAGGAGAAAGTTCATGATTGATGATTACCTTAAAAACTATAATTCAGGGTTAAACCATCTATATTTGATATACAAGGAGAAACAAAGCAATAATAAAGATTACATAAGTGAGGATGATATTAATGGGGAAATAGATGATTATGTTGTCAACCACAATTTATATACAGAAGCACTCAAGCTATTTGAATATGAGAGCATACGTTTCAATGAGATATTGAAATACTATGCCGAGTATTTATATGAAGAGCATGAGTATATTGAGAGTGGATTAGCATATGAGCTGTTAAATGATTACAGAAATGCTATTGAATCATATATTATGGGGAGAGCATGGAGCAAAGCCATTTCGATTATTGAACATAGCGATGATCAAGAGGATGTTTATGAAAGATTGATAACGTTGTTGACGGAGGATCATAGGTATTTTGATGCCGGTAAAATTGAATATTATTACAGAAATAATCTTCTTGAGGCATGCAAGTTGTATTGTAAAGAATACTACTTTGATGAGGCTATTTTGTTGGTTATTAAGGAAAATAGGTTGGAGTTATTGGAAGTTATTGACGATGAATTGAACGATGGGTTTGGAACATTGCTTGAGCTATTTAGTGATTTCAAGGGACAGATCAATTCCCAATTGAAGAGGTTGAGGGAATTGAGACAAAAGAAGAAGCAGGATTTGTATGTTTTTTACACTGGATTGGGAGAAGCAAATGGAGATATTCCTGATGGAGTTTCTGTTGCTGAATCCATGGCATCGACAAAGGAATCGTTTTTCACAAGATACACAGGTAAAACAAGTGGTACAGCGAAAACAGGAGTTTCACGAAGAACAGTGAAAAACCGTCGCAGAGAAGAGCGAAAGAAAGCCAGAGGTAAAAAGGGCACAGTGTATGAGGAAGAATATTTGATCAATAGTGTGAGCAGATTGGTGGAGAGATTGGAAAAGTCGAAGAGAGACTGCAACAATTTGCTCGAAGCATTGATCAGAAGAAAACAGATTACAAAGGCACACAGCTTACAGAAGTTGGCAAAAGAAGTAATCTTGCTATTGCAAGAAAACGTTGGGGAGATATACACTATATCCGAAAAGGACAGAGAAAGAATCGATGAGTATGGAGAGATATACTATCTTCCTGAGATAGCAATTCCCCAAATCAAAGACTTTGAAAGTAAGAAGATATTGGACTACTGAGTGGGAAAGGGCATTGGTTTCCCAGAATTTGGCGTTCCAACCTGATTTTTGTCTTGCAACACACGTAATGTTCGTCGATATATAGCATAATATACTATTTGAAAGAAACCTTCTTGTTAGCAGCATTGGCAGTGCCAAACTTGTCGTCAAAGGCCTTTTTGGCCTTGAGAATGTCTTTCTGGAGCGCAATCAACTCGTTCAATCTGCCGAGCTTGATGGGGTCCTTTCGCAACGCAAACTGGATATCGTCGACCTTGATCTTGGACCTTCCTGAGGTGTGTGCAATCAAGGCAGCCTGGTGGCTCTGGAGTGAGAGCTGTTAGTAGAGGAGCTGGAACTGGAGCTGGAGCAAGGAAGCACTTACAATGTCCACAATGTACTCGACAAGAATGCTCTCCAAGGCAGCAGCAGTCTCGGGCAAAGGATTGGAAACGTCGCCACAGGCAAACATCAATCGCTCGATGTCGCTTTGCAAGCTCAAGCCCTTCTTCTTGGTGGTCTTTCCCATGATCAGGTTGGTGAAGAAGAAGAAGCAGAAGAAGTGCTCCGTCTCTTTCTGAGAGCGACTTTTTTTGTGGGCGAAAAGACGCTTTCTGCCCAGCTCCAACATAACTGCTTAGGTCTGCTTCAGATACTGCTCCAGCTCTAAATCGTTGCTACTTCAGCTTTGTTATACTCGACCTAGGTCTCCATCCACTGTGCTGCTATCTTTTGTTTGTTCACAAGAAGAGTTTCCTACTCCAGCCATACGATTCGACCATGGACTCGTCCAACTACGCCAGTTTATCTATTTTTCAATCTAACGATGTTCACAAACTATATCCAATTGCAAAGAAGTTGTATCTTGAGAAGAAGTTCTTCAGCTTGTACTTGAACAACCAGCAATCTGCCATTCTCAGGCTCATTTTTGGTTCGCACAATGACCAGCAAAAGGACTCCCAGAAAGAGAGTAGAGTTCTATGGGATTACTTTATGCAAGGCAAAATTTCCATTATCTTCAATGATAAAGAGAAAGACACCCACAACAGCAAAGATAGTGCTAACCCTAAACACGAAGGCATTGATCAAGATACCACACACTCTGAGCTACCAAGAAAGAAAATAAAATTGGAAAGTGCCTCTGCAAGCGATCCCATAGCCAATATCTCTGTTCAAAAAGATCACATAGATCAAAAACCTTTTATTAAAACTGAAAATGACGACAATATCCCAAGTACTCGTAATGAAACTAGTGAGGGTATCATCACAAATAACATCCATTCTAATACCAACACTCTTATATCTACTGACAATAATATCAAAATAGAAGCTGAAAATTCAGTCCCAGTTATTCAAAATATCCAAAATATCCAAAATATCCAAAATATCCAAAATATTCAAAATCTTATTACACACAAAATCTCAAATTATAAATTTCAAAAAGGTCTAACTTTCTCAAAATCTTTGGCCTTGAAAATTAGATTTCTTCTATGGGAAAAGGCTATTGACTACTTCTATTACAACAAACTATATCCTCCAAACGATTTCTCGGATCAAGTGCGATCCTTATCTTCAAAAAACGATTTCTTAGACACCATAAATAAAGACGAATTCAAAATCTTTGAGGTTGATACCGATAATGAACACGATCAAGATGATCAAAAAAATCCATCTCAAACTAATCACAACAACAATGACCATCAAATTGTATCTGAAATCAAAAATTCATCCACCCAAAAAATCGTAAATCCCATTAGAGATGAAGATGATGATTATGACGATGATTATGATGCCGACGCCGACGACGACGACGACGACGACGACGATGAACATAAAAATAACGATAATACTGATGAAAATGAAAACCAAAACCAAAATACTAATCAACTCCCTGAAAATAACTTGCCCAACTCTCCAGAATCATCTTTACTAAAAAAATACAACCAAAAAAATGGAATCATAATACTACAACTAGACCCCGATAACAAAATCATTAATCTCTCTAGCACCTCGATAAAAGAAAAAATAAACGAAATAAACAATAACAAATTTGAAAATTCTACAATCTCAGATCAATCCATTATTAGCATATCCAAAATAATCCCTGACAACTCTTTAATAGTGCCGAACACTCTACTTTCAATAAAATCTGAAAGAGATACCACATCAACTGATAATATCAACAATAACTCAAACATAAGCAACAATAATAATCGAGAGTTTGAAATTATCAAAAACTTTAACAAAACTTATCACAATTTTGAAGCAGACAAGGAAAATCTCCTTAAAAGAAAAAAATTACAAGAAAGTGATAAAAAATTAAACGAGCAAATCTCAAACACAAAACCTTCAATCAACCTAAATATCTCCATGAACATCAATAACCAAATACTAAATGACTCCATGCTCTACTCTTCAAAGACTTCTAAATCCTCTAAAAAGACTTCCAAAAAGACTAGCAATGTCTCAGTAAAGCAGAAAACTATGAACTTGGGTGCTGCAAATTTGTCCCTCAAACATCTTCTAAGTAGAATCGAAGATAAAAGAGACATGATTCCTCTTAATAACAGAGAGTTAAGACATTTGTTCTCCGACGTTCGCAAAAATAGATCCAAATGGGCTTCAGATGATAAAATTGGTCAAGAAGAACTTTATGAGGCCTGCGAAAAGGTCGTCGCAGAATTGAGAAATTACACAGAGCATTCAGTCCATTTTTTAAATAGGGTCAGTAAAAAAGAGGCTCCGGATTATGCTCATTTTATCAAAAAACCCATGGAGCTAAACACTGTTTTGAAAAAACTAAAAACCTACCAATATAAATCAAAACAAGAATTTCTTGATGATTTATTCTTGATTTGGTCCAATTGTTTAACTTATAACTCACAACCAAGTAATCCTTTAAGAATTCATGCAATTGAAATGAGAAAAAAAACTGAATCGCTCATTCCACTGATCCCTGATATAGTCGTTAGAAACAGAGCCGATGTTGAAAGAGAAGAAGAAGAATTGGAAAAACTTAATAATCTCGAACAGCTTAGAGAATCCACTCAAAGAGGAAAAGGTGTCAAGCGATCAAGTGATGGTCATTCTAGACCTGTTAAAAATTCAAGATTAAGCGCTCCGATTGGTCTTAGCACTAAACATACTGATTTGAATTTGCTTCAACAGCATCAATCCCAAAATATTGTGTCAACAGTTGGTACTCCATTTTCTTCATTTGATTCTCCAGCACCTGAAGACGACGACGATGATACAAATATTATAGATAATAATAACATTGATCCCAATGATGACGATGATGACGATGACGATGATGACGATGACATTGAGCTGCAAGATTGGAGAAATATCACTTCCAAAATACGAGGGGATTACTGTTTCAAACGATCGGAGTTGTTTAAGAATAACAAATTGAATGTTGAGTCAGAAGCTCTTTTAAGAAAATCAAATAAAATGATAAACTTTGAAAATTATTTGAAAGATATAAGATCAGACAATTTATCTCGAGACGAAAATGTCACCAACGAAATTTTAAGCAGTACTGCTCCTGAATTGCTAGATGATCATAACGATTTGTATTTAATTGAATATGATAATTCGGTTGGGTTGCCTCCAATCTCATATAATGGCTTAACACCAGAAGATTTGAATAAAGAAGAAAACATCATTGCGGATACGATTATTTGCCAACAAAAACAAGCCAATTCAGAAAAGATTGCTCCCAAACTTTCTGATTTCGGATCGCCAGAAAATGGACTAAACAAAACAGTACTAGCTAACATCAATGAAATGCAACTCATAAGAAAAACATGCTTTAAAATATCTTTAATTCGACAAATGCAACAGAATCAGTTCTTACATCACTCTCAAATGAAACCTCCTGAATTTCAAAAATTGAAAGAAATTGATATTGATCCAATGGTTAGATACTCTTCTACATATGAAAAACATTTTGATCCGAAATTAATGTACGCGATTATGAAAAGAAATATATCTAAGATTGCAATGGCTAATGGATTTGAATCAACCGAACCAGCAGCAGTGGAAACTTTAACTGAAGTTGCTACCAATTTTCTTAATAATTTAGTCAAAACTTTCAAATCGCATTTTGAGACAAATTCAAGAAATAAAAAGAAATCCAAGCGTGAAGTTATCTTGACGACTTTAGTCGAGAACGGAATTGATAAACCTGATGATCTCTATGTTTACATTGAGGAAAAAATCCTAAAACAAAATGGAAAGCTTGTGGATTTGAAGCAAAAGCTTTCAAATTTTTTGAAAGATTTATTAAGGCCATCATTATCAGGACTAGGTGACAGATTGATGAATGAAACTCAATTCAATGACAATAGTGATCAATTTTTAACTGGTGATTTTTCTAATGAGCTCGGTGAAGACTTTTTTGGGTTTAGAGAGCTAGGATTAGATAGAGAATTTGGATTGTTAACGTCTTCAATTCCTTTACATTTACTACATTCTAGATTGAATAATTCTTATCTTAATCAACAAGGAACTAGTTCCAGTAATTTTGTGGAGCTACATGAATTTGACACCAAAGTTTATCCTAAATTAACAAAAGCCGATATTGGCAAACAAATCAAGCTAATTCAACCCTTCTTTGAAAAATGTTTTGAAAAATCGCGTATAATACATCTTCGAAATTATAAGAATAGTCTCAATAATGCTGGATTTGATAAGGATCCCAAGAATAAAGATAAATTGATCACAAATGATGAAAGCAAAATGACGGTTTTGGAAGATGAAGATTTACCTCAAAAACAAAGAAATAACAGACCTAAACTTCCACCCAGTGGAAAGATTCCTGGACCAAAGAAGAAATCAGTTTCAACAGCGTTTTTCTTAAGAGAACCCGATGATACTATACTGGCTAATGGCACTAATAGTGTCAATGTTAAAATTGAAAACAACATTAATATCAAAACCGAAAATATTGATAACAATCCATTGACTAAAAATAATATCCCCAATGGAGTTTCAGGAGAAAAACTCGGAAATATGAAAAGCATAAAGATTAAATAAATTCAAGAGTTATTCGTTTATTGTTTTATTGTCGGTTTCATGTAGTAAGAATAAAATTTTATTTTTCTTTATGTATATTAGATACCTTTTTTTGCCCTTTATCAATTACTTTTAAATTTTAGTTAAAATGGATTTTATGCTCCTTTTTTATTTTGTTTATTTTACTTGTTTTATTTTATTATTTACATTTTGAATTATTCAAATTATTTTTTTCTTGATTTTAATTTTTTTACTACTTTTATACAGTTAATCTTGTGATTTTAATTTTTTTTTATTCTTTTGAATTCTCATGTAATTTATTGAATTTATTTCATTTATTTCATTTTTGGCGATTTTAATTTTATTCTTTTGATAATATAATATAATAAAAATGAAAAGTCAAATAAAACAATAATACAGTATTAAATTAAAGCATTTAGATGAATATTAAATAGAATATAATGATATTTTTGAGTAAAGCATTTAAAGAAATGACAATCAAAGAAAATCAACAGTATTTATTAAGAAATTAAAATTCTAATTAACTTAAGCAGAGAAAGATAAAGAGAAACCTAATTTGTGAACAGGTTCAGCAAGTCTTAAAGCATCAAAGGAAGCACCAATACCTAAGGTGACACCAGGTCTTAATTGTTGAGAGTAAGATAAAGCAGCTAAACCGGAATCAGCAATTTTGGCTTTAACAAAAGCAGTTCTGTCTAAAGAGTATTTAGTGGCAAATTCAATTGCAACTGGCTTTCCAGCGTTGGCACCATTTTTGATATCGTAAGTAGCTCTGGCGCCGGCTTCAACAAATGGAGAAACTTTGTGGTAGTAAGCAGCTTGGTAAAGAGACAAGTTGTTTAAACCGGTAACAGAGAATGAGTAAACTGGGGTTGAGAAACCAACGGCAGCACTGTATTTGGTAACTTTAGCAGCACCAATATCGTAAGCGACTTCTGAACCAGCTAAAAACCCATCGTGGCCAATGGAAATGTCACCAACAAAAGTTGGACCTTTCAATAAATTGAAAAAAGCTCTGGCACTAACAGATTGCTGAGCAAAGAATAAGTTTAATCTGGCACCTTTTGGACCGGATGGGACAACACTGGAGACAAATTCAGCCTTTATGCCTGGAGCGCCAGCATCTTTAACTTCAATCTTGGTATCTAAAGAGTTGGAAGTGTTCCATCCTTGAGTTAAAGTCAAACCAGAAGCCTTGTCGGTATATTTGGTTTCCAAATTTGAAGAGATGGAATCGTCTTTGCCAGTTTTACCTTTAAGACTGAAAGCAACACCATTGGGGGCGACAGTTTTAACGTCAAGAGAAGCCTTTGATAAATGGTAGAAATCTTTGTTCAATAAACCATTAGAGTTTTTAGAGATATCAGAGTATGCAGGTGGAGCCATTATTAAAGAATATTATTATCGTGATATTGTAGCTGTCGCTGGGATGAATAATTGGGACAAGTGAAGGATAATCAAAAAGAAAGAGATCTTATTTACAAGCTTTTGAAAAAGGAAAGAAAACAGGAAGATATAATCAGACAATAATGGATTCAACAGATTACGAACAGTCAGAAAATAATCAAAACCTTCAATTGGATGGAGGTTTGAATTTTAAACTGTGTTGAGAAATTTGGAGATCTTGCAAAAAACGGGTAAATGCACTTTTTCGCGGCGATTTTTGGCGCGCTGTGATTGGCCGAGCCGGCAGTGGTTTCCAATGAGAAGAAATGAGAAGAAATGAGAAGAAATGAGAAGAAATGTGTATTTATCGTGGGAGTGTTGGAATTACGCTACTTTAAAACCGGCGCAGAGCTGAGGTTGAGCTGATGCTGGACTACTATGGACTACAATTTGGGGGTGCTCTGCTGGCTAGCTAGTTAATCGAGCAAACCGAGATATTTGGCGTGGTGGGCAGCATGTTCACCAGAGAAACTGGAGATGAAGAAGTAGGAGTGGTCGAAACCGTCGACAAACTTCAAGGTAACATCCTTTTCGTAGTTGGAGCCTTTGATTTTCTCGAGGAACTCGTTGGGAGTCAAGTAGTCATAGTCGCCCTTGACTTTGTAAAATGGATCGTTCACACCCTGGTGGATCAAAATAGGGACTACTGGGCCCTTGTAGGAGTTTGAAGAAATGATTTCTGCTGGATCGTATTTTTCCCATAGTTTTTTATCACTTTCAGACTCACCCAAGTAGCCTCCAAAGCACTTGATACCCCAATTGGTCTTTGAGGGATTTAAAATTGGTGCAAAAGCTGAACAACTTTTGAATTCATTTGGATTCCTCAAAAAGAACATTATAGCACCATATCCACCCATTGAGTGCCCAGTGATGGACTTATTGTCAAAATCCAACTGAGTATATTTAGTTTTTAGTAATGTTGGCAATTCCTTGAGGATGTAGGAATACATGTTGTAGTTTTTTTTCCATTTTTCTTGAACTGCATCGACGTAAAATCCTGCACCAGTACCAAACGACCAAGTTTCATCGTCCCCTTCAATTTTAACACCTCTGGGGGATGTGTCAGGGAATACAACAGCAAAACCATATTTATCTGCGTAAGGCTGGAAAAATGCTTTTTCTGAACCGTTAGCTGGAGTACATGTCAAACCTGCCAAATAGAATAAAACAGGAATCTTAGTTTTGCCTTCGTAGTATTGTTTTGGTAAGTACAAGTTTACACCCATAGAGCAATTATTGACTAACGATTCGTGAGATAGTTTTAACAATCTACCTCCAAAATTGTAGATTTCAGCTTCGACTTTAAGGGCGCTCATTATGGTTGCTTAGAGTTGTGATTGAAATTGAATTTTGATGATCCAGATGGGAATAAGAGTATAAAATACAGAAAAAACAATTCAATAGTCAATTATGGGAGTTATTATATTGCCTGCAGTGCCATCGATTATAGTGTCTATTATATATCTTTGATAGAAACGATAATAGTCTTCGATTATCACAAAGGAAAGTCGAACCCGATCGGGGAAACTCTCGCTTCGAAAAAAGATCATTGCCTAATTGAGTAAATATTTGAAATTTTCGCCATGCACCGTTGAAAATTTCACCTTTTCTAAAATTTGCCACCGTCGCCCAAAGAGGCAAGAGCAGCAGAAGCAGCAGAAGAAGCTCAGGGAGCACAAAAAGTTGGATTTTTGAGATGCAATAAAAAGAGTATTTGGTGATGAGATGTTTATTTTTTGTTATATGTTGTAAGAGAAACAAAGGATGTATTTATATCGTTGATAATATGAGTCTGGTTGGTTGAAACAAAAATTGAAAATTAAAGTAAACCTTGAACAGTTGAGTTCCAGAAACTGACATAAAGTTTATATCACTGTGCATTGAAAAATATCAAATTTCAAGCATATCAAGTTTCAAAAGTAAAAGTAAAAGTAAAAGTAAAAATAAAAAATAAAAAAAATAAAAAACAAAGCAAAAATAAAAATTAAGACATTAGGTGAAATGAAGTGAAGCGTAGTAAAAACAATAATAAACTGAACCCCAAGATATGAAAAAACGAAAACCAGTTAATGACTCTTTATGAACTTTGAACAATTAATGGTCAAAAAAAAAAAAGTAAACCAATAACAGAAACAAAAAAAAAAAGAGAATTAAATATCATAAAAAGCATAAGGTGTATGAAATGTAATAAAGAAAATAATAGTAGAAACTAAAACTTTAATAGAAATATATAAATGAATAAAAGAGGTATATAAGATAAAAAACAGATATTAGAAATAAATAAAAATTTAAATAAGGATTTGAATAAGGATTTGAATAAAGATTGATAGATATAAATAAGATAAAGTAATAAAATAAAAGAAAATAGAAAAATGTAAACCCAAATCAAACCAGTATTAACAAATAATTCTAAACAGACGAATAAAAATGAAAGAATTAAACAAAATTCCCAAAATAAAACAAAACAAAACAAAACAATAAACCAAATTAAGTAGAATAGAATGGAAACAAAAAAATGAAATAGAACAAGAAACTTAACAGTTTTGTTTCAAAATTCATCAAAATTCCAAACTTGAACAAGAAGTAAAACCCAAATTTAAACAATAATTTAAACAATAATTTAAACAACAATAAAGATAGACATAGGAATAAGAAATCGTGATGATTGATAAAAAAAAAACCCAAAATAAAAAAAAAATAAAAAAAAATCAAGCCCAAAAACAAAATGAATGAAAAAAAAAACCGTTATACCATACCAAATACATAAATATGTAAAAAATAAAAAAAAAATAAAAAAAGGAGGAAAATTAGCTTTTAGAGAAACCACCTAAATTGACTAAAGCATAAGCAGCATCCTCTTCACGAGCACTAAAGCTTTCGCGTTTAATTGGAGAAACAGAGGATCTAACAGAAGATGAAGAAGGCTGACCAGGGCTTGAACTACCACGACGTAAAGAAGCAGCGCCAATAGAGCGCCAGTCTTCTTCATCAGTGTCTGAGTGATGTAATTCATCTTTGTCATTATTCTGGGGAATGTTGTCATTAGTAAAATGATTCTCTGGAGAGATGATGTTTGGAGTGACTAAGGAACTTCTAATTGAGCTTTGTCTTCCAAAGACACTTGGAAAAGAGCCTCTATGATTAGTTAGTGAGTCTATGTTGGGGAGGATTTCAAAGGAGGTATTTGAGTTGATGTTTGAAGGTAAGTTGTGTAAATTAGAAGGGTTATTGTTAGATTGATTATTGGAAGTAGAGTTGTTTGTGTTGGTGGAAGTATTTGGATTATTAAAAGAGTTTAATCTACTTTTGAATCTTGGTTTGCCATAAACTTTTGAATTCATTGAGGAGCGACGACGGATAGGAATAGACATTGAAATTGATTGAGGTTTTTGGTAGATTGTTTTTGGTAGATTGTTTGGTAAAAGACGAGGAGAGAAGGAAGGAGATGAGTTGATATCGTCATCATCACCACAGTTTTCTTCGTCAGAAGAAAAGACAGCGTCTTCGTTACTTTTTAGTAAGATTGACGCCGAGTTGTCATTGCCAACAATTTGTTGTCTGATTGAATCTAGAGTTGGAGAATAAGGTAATTGTTGAGAGTGTAGGTCTATAGAGTCGTATGTGATTGACTCGCGTCTTAATTTTTCCCAGTCATGAAGAGTGTTGTTATTATTGATAAGAGGGATGATTGGGTTAGTTAGATTATTGATTGATAAGGGGTTTGAAGTAGTATTATTAGTGTTATTGATATTATTGGTGATATTGTTGGTGATATTGTTGGTGGTATTATTAGTGTTAGTAGTGTTGTTAGCAGCGTTAGTATTGATATTGGGGATATTATTAATAGTGTTTAGATTTGGAGTTCCATTTAGAATGTTATTAGAGGTTTGAGCAAATTGGTTTGGTAATCTATTTTTAAAATAATCTTGAGGAACCTTTTTAGCAGCCCATTGACCCCAGCCAACTTTTTCAAAGATGCAGCTTGTTTTAGGGTCACCAGCATCTAAAGCAGCGATGATGAGTCTTCTTTGCTTTGACAAAGAGAGCTGAGAGAAACCTGGGATAGCAGAAGCTAGATGGGAGGTTAGGTGACGAATAGCTAGTGGGCCTTGGGATAAGAGAAGTCTGGCAAGCTTGTCGGGGGTTACGGCAGAAGCAGCAGCAATGCCAGCAGGAGAGGAGGTTGAGAGCTGGCCATTAGTAGAGGCGTTTGTGTTTGAAGAGTGGGAGGAGTTATTTGTGGAATCTATGTGGGAGATAATGTTTTCATTGTTCATGTTTGATAGAGAGGCGAAAACAGGGGAGATTGATAGAGAGTTTTGAATAGGGGAATTTGTAGTGTAGTTGAGGTGGTTTTGAATCTGAACGGAAGAGTTTGACGAGTTTCGAGTAGGGATGATTGATCTGGGGATGTTTCCAGAGATTTGGTGGTTGATTGGGGTGTTGTTAGAGTTGATGATATTGGGTTTATTGTGAGAGTTGGGTGAGTTATTGTTTGAGTTGTGAGAGTTGTGGGAGTTGTTGTTGAAGTAGTTGAGATTGTTTGGCGAATTATTTGAGGAGTTGTTGGACGAATTATTATTAGAAGACATTTTTGAAATGGATCTAGTAATAATAGGAGATGGAGGATAATTCATAATTATTGGGGGATAAAAACGCTAAATATTAAGTGTTGGTTAATACTTAGAAAGGATGTAGTATTGTATTGGTATCAGGGTGTGTGCAGTGATGGAATGAGTAAATATATTATGAAAAATCTGGATGTTAATGGCGAAAACAAATAATTGGTTAAATGGGTAAATGAGTAATGAGTAATGAGTAAATAATAAATTATAAATAAATAAATAAATTAAATAGTCAGTTCAAGTGAAAAGAAGTGAAATAGAGTAAAGTAAATAGTGAAATATACTGATGAAAAATAGTGAAAAATAATGAAACTGAACTGTATTTATATTTGTACTCGTCAGTGGAACTATGGGATGGTGGGAATATGAGATTATGGGATTATGGGATTATGGGATATGAAAGAGTAAGGTTGCGAGATTGTGAAATTAGAATTAGTCGAATAGGTTTGGATCAAGAAATGGTGATAAAGTGACTTTGTAGAAGGGAGATAAAAGGCACAAAGTCAAAAACAAAGATGGTTAGCAGGTAATTTCTGCTCTTGGATGGATGAGAAACGAGCAGGAGCAAATCAAGAAGAAAGAAAGAGGACAAAAGATGGGTATTTAAGAGCCAACGAGTAGAGACTGGATAACAGAGGATATATATGGCTATTGGGTGGAGCTACTGCGAAATCTGGCGATCTGATGAGAATGAAATAATAAGTAAAACAGCAATTACAAATCAAATGCGAGCACCTCTGAAGCGGCTATCGGCCTGATAACCGTTGCTCTGCGGCCGAATCGCGCTCGTCTTCGCGTCCTTCTCTGTCCTCCGCTTTCAGCTCGTTTCCGTCCGTTCTCGTCCCACGCCAGCCTTGTCCTCCTCTTCCGCCAGGCTGGTTCCCCTGGACCTGCACCCTCCCTCTGCAAGCGTGCGCCCAGATGCCTGCACATACAGCACCCAGCCCGCCGGCTCGTTTCCGCAACGTCATCCCGCACGTTTCCGCGCTGTGGGCACGCCACTGGCCTTCCCGGTCTGCTTGTGGGCCTCTTGCCGGGGGCGCTGGTGTGTCCACAGCGCGGAAACGTGCGCACCCCCGTGTCTAGGTCGGATCCCCGGCTCGCGTGCTCCTTTCGCCGGAGCAGCTTTGAGGGGGCAGCTTCGCGATAGCAACCTCAGACCCTCTGCTCTGGTTGTTGTCTTTTCGTCTCTCACCTAATCGCCTATTGTCATTGCTAATTTGCTAGTTGCAATTCGCAATTTGCAATTTTTATTCATAATTCATCAATTCACTATAAATCTCGTTTCATCTCTCTGCCTCAGAATGAAAGCTAACTAAAACCTAACAATTCCTAACAAAAGCTACTAAAATGTAATTCGACCTGTTATCGTAATGACATATTCTTGTACTCTTCTTCCTCACATTCGCCAATTCCTAAACAAATTTTAAATTGTAATAAGCTAAAAAACTTAAAATTCAAAAAGTCATTTATTCAATTTTAAGGTAATCTTTCTTCAAGGTCTCTTGCAAATGAACATTGTTTTTCAACTTGCTGTTTTTCTCATTAATTACAGTAATTACAATCACCAACATCATGATCATTATCAAAATGGCAATGAAATTATCAACTTGGCCAATCTTTTGTCACCATTCTACTTGCTGGATTTAATAATTGGTACTGGTTTGGGCCTTTATCCTTAATCACTCTCACCACCAGCCCAATTTTAAATCCCCCAAGATCAATTTGTTTTTTTGTTTTTTTCATCTTTCCGAACATTTCAACTTTTCGGTTCAGGCCCGTATTTCAATTTCAATTTTAATTTTAATTTTAATTTTAATTTTTCTAAGTATTTCATTATTATTTTATTATTTTATTTTATTATTTCATTTTGTTTTGTTTTGCTTTTGCTTTTTCCTTTTGATTTTCCTTTTGTTTGTGCTTTTCAATCTTTTATCAAAACATTAAACATTAAACATTAAACACTAATCAATAGTTTGACTTCTTTTTTTTGTGTTTTTTTATTTTTGCTAATCCATTTTATTGAATTATATCTCATTCTAATCATTTTCCATTCTCACTCTAGCTTAAAATTCAAAATAAATGATCATTCAATCAATAAAATAAATTAAAATAAATTAAAATAAATTAAAATAAATTAAAATAAATTAAAATAAATTAAATTAAACTAAAATGAAATGGAAATGGAAATGGAAATGGAAGTGGAAATGGAATGAAATGAAATGAAAAGATTTTAAGTCATTTTCCTTATTTCACAAGCAACTTTTAGCTCTACTAAATGTTAGCCTAATCTAATCTAATCTAACTACTCAACACTCAACACTCATACTCACACATATCTACTTCCTTACTTTTAAATCCTTATTTAAATCATGTATTATCTAAAATCATATCATAATATTCTTACTACTTTATACTATATATTTTATACTATTTCATATCACTTCTTTATCTATAAAATATTAGACTGCTATAAAATACCTTACTACTTTGACATCCTTCACCTCTTCACTTCACTTCACTTCATTTCCTTCTCTTTCTCCGGATCTCATTTATCCGATTCCTCATTATCAACTCATTTCACTGAAATCTCTATATTTCAAATTTCATTTAAACCAAAACAAAACCCACTCTCCAATCATTTCATTTTGATCTTTCCAATCATTTAAATCTCTCTAATCTTTCCAATCTCTCCTATCAACTCGAAATTACCCGTTTTGACACTTCCGGAGACGCCTTCCCCAAAAAACACCCTTTCTATTGTTCTTTTTCACTTTGTCTGATTCTAGACCCCAACTTGAGACGTAATATCGTTTATAAAAAATAACTAATAATATAAATTTCAATACACAAAATTTCTTATATAAAAATTATTAAAAAAAAATATTGTATATAATTAAAAAAAAACAAAAAAAAAAACAATTAAAAAAAACAATTAAAAAAAACAATTAAAAAAAATAAAAAATTCAATAAATAAATAGTTCAATAAACAAACAAATAAATAAATAATTAAAAAAATAATTAAAAAAATAATTAAAAAATTAATTCATGCATTTTTCATTTTCTCCTTTTTTTTTTTATTTTCTATTTTTTATTTTTTTTCATTTTTTGTTTTTTTAGTTTTACTTCATGTTCTTGTCTTAATCTTCATATTTATCCTCTCTCTTTTCGGCTTCTTCATCACTCAATTTTAATCCACCGCTTATAGAAAACTGCCCTCCTGCGCTGATCAATTGAATATCATGGTCCTTTGTAGCAGTATTAGCAATTCTCGTAGGAACCTCGACATCCTCTTCTAATGGTCCTAAACCAACTGCATACGTATCGCAAAATCCCCATGAAAATAATACTCCATCTTCACTGATTCCAAATGAATGATGAGATCCAGCAGTAACCTTACGGAATTTTGGCACATCTTCCAACTTGGTTGGTAATGGAACTGCTCTAACAATCCCGCCCTTGCTCTTATAACTATACTCGGGCAATTTATCTTTCTTGATTCCAATCTCCTTCAGATCATATCTTCCAAACACATAAACACTTCCATCTTTAGACAACGCTAGCGAATGATGCTCACCGCCAACTATCTCAATAATATCCTTCCCGCTTAATTCGTCAACTTTAGTTGGTATCATAACAACAGAATTATCTTCAAGTTCCTCTTCAGTACCACATTGCCCAAATTGATTTAATCCCCACGAATAAACATCGCCCTTTTTGTCAATGGCAAACGAATGACTCTCTCCAGATCCAATATTAACAATATTCTTAATCCCCAATGAGGCCGGTCTTAATGTCTTTAATCTAGTTCTTTCCAACACTTTTCTAGCTAGTTGATATTGTTGTCCATTACCCCATCCAAATACATGTCCACTAGTACTCAATGCTATTATATGATCTTTCCCAGATGATAGCTTGACAATATCTTTTAGTTCACTAATCTTAGTAGGTCTGGTTTGAATTTTAATATCTTCAGAAAACCCTAATACTCCTTCATTACATCTAAATGTACCCCAAGCAAATACTTCTCCTGTACTATACAAAATAGCCGATAAATTATCAGTGGCTGCTAATTGAACAATCTTGATATCTGGAAATACTTTAGGGTCATATGGCAACTCTTGAACTAACCCAGGAGTGGATTCAGATTCATTTAATTCTCCAATCTCATCTTCAGAATCACTTCCTTCTTCAATATCACGCAACTTTTCCTTTCCTGATGTATCTCTACCAAGAACTCCACTATCATTAGTACCCCATGACCATAATTGATTATTCTTATCCAACGCTAATGAATGCATCCCACCAGCTACAAAATCAACAACTCCAACTTTATCTGTTAATAAAAATGGATTCAATCTAGGTCTCTTAACCTCTTTAACTTTTGGTCCTAACCCAAGTTCACTCATCGATCCAGTTCCCCAAACAAATACATCCAATTCTTTAGTCTTTCCAGCTGGGATTTCGTTCAATGTCTTCTTTGTTGATCTTCTTATTGGGGGTTTATACCTGGGTGATTCTTTAACAACTTTTTGTCTTTTGGGTTTAGGTGTAACTGGCTCATCATCTTTTTTAGTTTTACCATTAATCTTATTGCCTTCAACAATTTCTTCCGTAGTTTTTCCATCAGTTTCAATATCCCTTTTCTTATACTTTCTAGGAGTAATTGGCTTTTCAGCTTTTTTATCCTCTTTCTCACTTTTAGGCTTTCTTCCAGGCTTTTTCAAAGTTTTTTTCTCTTTTTCATCTTTTTTCTCCTTTTTCTCTTTTTTCTCCTTTTTTTCTTTTAATTCTGTTCTCTCTTTTTTCTCCCTTTTCTCTTTTTTGTCTCCTTTTTCAACTTTTTCAGCTTTTTCAGCTTTTTCTTTTTTGTCTTTCTTTTCCTTTTTCTCCTTTGTTTTTAATTTGTTTTTAATTTTAATTCCATTTCTATCAACTTCACTTGATTTCTCTGATCCATTTGTGCCAATTGTACTAACACTGGTTTCTCCAGTCACATCTGATCCTTTTGATAAATTAGAACCATTTCTTTTAGATTTTCTGGAATCACTTAATAAGATTTTGGCCTTTGTTGATGGTGTTGTTGTAGTAGATTTGGGTTTTCTTCCTCTTTTCATTGGTGTTTTGTGAATAGTCTCATCAACAGGGCTTTTCTCATTTTCAGCGACTACAGTAGATGATTCACTCTCGCTGGAATTTTTTTGTCTTTTAGACTTTCTAACTATTGAATTTCCATCATTCTTTGAGGGAGTGTCAACAGTTGACGACCTCGATCTTTTAATTGCCATTTATATTATATTTAGAAGATAAAAAAAAAAGTTGATTAACTTATTTTGATTTGTTTTGATTTGTTTTAATATTGTTTTTTTATTGAAAACGCTTTTAAACTTCAATTAATTATTTTTCGCTTGAATGATTTATCTTTGTTTTCCTTTTTTGTTTTTTTTTGCAATGAAAATTCAATGTTTATTGTAATTAAATTTTCCTCAAATGAAAGGATGAAAAAAAGTCACAAGAAAAAGCCTAGGCAGGGGGTTTGTAGTCAATTGGACCCCGTTATAGAGGTGTGTCATGGAAACAGAGGTCTAAGATTTTGAGTTTAAATTTTTTATTTTTTTATTTTTTTTTTTATTTTTTTTCTCTTTTTTGTTGATGTGAAATTTTTCATACATTAAAAACTCAATAATTTTATATCACCCAGCATTAGACGAAAATGGGCAAAATATCAGTATCAAATAACAAAAACAAAAACAAATTACTGCATGATCCTTTATATAAAGATTTGACCGAAGATGGCTTGTATAGAAAGAGAAACAAAAAAATAGCCAAACAGAAAAAGAATGATAATGATAATGATAACAGCGAGGAATACATTGATTCAGTGACCTCTGGAAAAATTTTACAATTAGCAAAGGAGCAGCAAGAAGAAATAGAAATTGAAGAAAGGAAGAATAGGAAATCCAACTCAATAAGGAATGATTTGGATTATGCATCAGATGAAGCCAATGAAGAAGAGTATAATAATGGGGATTTTTATGATTTTGGAGAAGAAGAATTGGAATACAGCGATGTTGAACAAGAAGAAATCGAAGAAGTAGATGGCGATGACATTGCATTATATGATAGGTATCTTAATGGGAATGGTCCAACATTCGATGGACTCAATGGATCATATAATTTAGCAGATAAAATTTTAGCAGAAATTGCTAAAAAGAAGGAAAGAGATGAAATTCTCGCTAGTGGGAAGGGCCCCATTAATGCTGTGGAAGTTCCACCAATAGTTATTGCAGCCTATTCTAAATTAGGACAGTTATTATCTACATGGAAACATGGGAAATTGCCTAAAATATTTAAAAGATTGCCCATAGAAGTAAATTGGGAGGATTTGTTGTACATCACTCAGCCAGAAAGTTGGACTCCCAATGTATGTTATGAAGCAACAAAATTATTTGTTTCAAATTTGGATGCAAAAGGTGCCCAAAAATTCATTGAAATGGTTTTACTCGATAGAGTCCGAAAGGACATCGAAGATAGTGAACAGAATAAATTGAACTACCATCTTTATCGTTCCTTAAAGAAATCATTGTATAAACCAGCTGGGTTTTTCAAAGGATTTTTATATCCACTAGTTGAGACAGGATGTACCAAAAGAGAGGCGATTATAGTTGGATCAATATTATCAAAGGTCTCAGTACCTCCAATACATTCTGCTACTGCATTGACACATTTATTGAAATTGGATTTTTCGCCAACCACCACAGTGTTTATAAGAGTTTTATTGGAAAAAAAATACGCATTGCCATACCAAACAATTGATGAGTTGGTGTTTTATTTTATGAACTTTAGATTAATCCAACAAACAAATAAATATGATGAAGACTTGAATATGAGAGATGATGAGCTTGAACCAGATTTGAAGGCATTGAAGAGGAAACATCCCCCATTGCCTGTAGTGTGGCATAAGGCATTTTTGGCATTTGCTCAAAGATACAAGAATGATATCACAGAAGACCAGCGAGACTTTCTTTTAGAGACAGTTCGTCAACGATTCCACAAGGACATTGGACCAGAAATAAGACGAGAGCTATTAGCCAGTCAGCCCCGAATGGAGGCAGGGCTCAAGGAACCTGAAAAGGAGGTGCAAATGATTGATGTGTTCTAAGACCTTTTTTTGTTTCATGTCTTTCAGCTTACATATTTTATAAATTTTATAAATTTTACATATTTTATATATTTCTGTTTCGCTCCGATTTTTGATTGGTGGTGTTACAGTCATAAAGAAGGAAAAACCAGTGGTGCGGATGTGTTCTGCTGTTGTTGGGCCGCAGATGCAGTTCCGGTTGACAGCCTTCGGAATGAACCCGAAACTCAGCGTACTGAAAAATTATTGCTGGAATTTTTTTCCCATAAACGTTTTTTTGAAATTTCGAGATGTTTTAATTTATGACTAATTCCTGAGAATATTCTCAAAAAGTATTTAAGAATAGAAGAACAAGCAGAGAAAATTTCCCTTTGCAAATTTACATTGTACACTTGAAGCTGGACATTGTAATATTTAATCTAAACTTACATATATTATTTGAAAATGTCTTTTGTGCCTGTATGTGATTAATTTATTGCAGCAATTTAGCAGTTTGATTTTGATGTCATTGAAAAGTGAAAATCCAAGATTGGAAAAGTTGAGAAATCGAATTTTCAACTTTTCAGTTTCCCAATCCATGAGGAATTAGTACTAACAAATCAATGGTTAATAGATGTTTAGAGCAGATGGTTCTAGATCCAAAACACCAAGTCCTGAAGAATACGATGATTTAAGAATTTTTGGGTACGATCCATTGGTATCTCCAGCTTTGTTACAAAGAGAAGTTCCGTTATCCAAGAAATCGATCTCAACGATTGTCAAAGGCAGAAAGGATTCGATTGATATATTAATAGATATATCGGACAAATTACTAGTTGTTGTTGGACCATGTTCGATTCACGATTCAGTTGCAGCAATGGACTATGCTCATCGATTAAAAGAAGAAGCTAAAAAGCATGAGAATGAATTAGTTATAGTCATGAGATGTTATTTGGAGAAACCAAGAACCACAGTTGGATGGAAGGGATTGATCAATGATCCGGATGTTGATGAAAGTTTCAATATCAATAAGGGATTGAAAGTGTCTAGAGATTTGTTTTCGAAAATAACTGATTTGGGGATCCCTATTGCGTCTGAAATGTTGGATACAATTTCCCCACAATATTTGGCTGATGCGTTATCGTTTGGAGCCATTGGAGCCAGAACTACCGAGTCTCAATTGCATCGTGAGTTGGCATCTGGGCTATCGTTTCCAATTGGCTTTAAGAATGGTACCGATGGCTCCATTGATGTAGCATTGGATGCGGTTCAAGCTGCTTCTTACGGACATCATTTTATGGGTATTAATAAGAGCGGATTAGCATCAATCACATTTACAAAAGGAAATAAGCATTGCTTTATTATATTAAGAGGGGGCAAAAACGGAACCAATTATGACGAAGAATCAATTTCCAAAATCAAAAGTAAGAGCAAAGATATACCATTGATGATCGACTGTTCGCATGGAAATTCTAGTAAAGATTACAGAAACCAACCAAAGGTTAACAAGTCAGTTTGTGAGCAAATTGCTAAAGGCGAGACTAAAATAATCGGTGTGATGATCGAAAGTAATATCTTCGAGGGCAATCAAAAGGTTCCCCCAGAAGGGAAATCCAAGTTGAAGTATGGTGTTTCGATCACAGATGCTTGTGTAAGCTGGGAAACCACTGTTGATATGTTAGAAGAGTTGGCTGATGCAGTGAAAACTAGAAGAACTTTATAAGCAAAATCTTGTATCTAATAGCATGTAGTATGTGGAAATCGATCTCTTTAATGGATATAGCAGGCCTTTGTGAGATTGCAGAGACGAAATACTGACATATCAGCTAACTGTACGACAGTTGCAGAGTTGGTTGAAAAGATGGACAGAACTAGGTGGAATTGCGAATGATGGCAGTAGACGAGGAAGAGCAAACAGGCCACGAACTGGGCTGTGAGACGCCTCGCCACAGCAAAGCAACTGCAGCAGCTCCAGCAACTGCAGCAGTTCTAGCACATCCAGTAACTCCAGCACAAGCAGAGCAGTGGCTAGAACACAAATGACTGTGGCGACGACGCCAGCAGCGGCACCACCCAAAGCGAGACGAAACTCCCACAGAAGGCCCCAAAAGAGAGAAATGCTCACCCGAAAAATGCCCATGCAGGACTCGAACTGCAGACTGCTACGCGAGTTTGTGGCCGCAATGCATCACCGCATTTACCCGCATTCACCTACCGAGATCGGCGGTGGTTCTTTCTTCCTTTTATTTCATCACCAAAACTCCTTGCTGCTGTTTCTGCCTCATTTTCTGCTTTGAGGAAGTGTTCCAGCAGTGGTTTCTTGGTGTTTTCTTATAAATACCTCTTTTGCCTCAGAATATTTGGAGAGACATCCCAAGAAGAGACCTTGCTGCATAATCCTCTAATGTTATATCTAATACGTTCCTTGTCAAGAGTGCAAAGCATAATTGGGTTGATCTTCCTCACTACTTTGCTTATATCCATAATAGCTGGGGTTTTAAACTGGAACATATATTTGATTTGCTTTCTAAATTCTTTTCAAATTGTCTTTTTATCTGCTGTTTTAAGTTGGTCTACTGAAAAACTAGAAACCCATGTGGGCCCAGTGTTGGGTGGAATTCTAAATGCTTCTTTTGGCAACTTGGTCGAATTGATAATCTCTTTTATTTCCTTGAGAAGATCAGACGCTGTGCTAGTTATAACCTCCTTAGTAGGCTCCACCATATCAAATTCCTTGTTTGTGCTAGGCAGTTGTTTCTTGGTATCTGGTATAAAGGGCTTGAAAACTAATTATTTTGACAATGTTTTTCATTCAAATATTCTACTACTATCTTGCTTTTTGTTGGTCTTTCCCAGAGTCATTTATGATTACATTATAAATACAAAAAACCTCAATAATAATGCTGAAAGTATTGACACCAACGGCAATACAATTGTTGTTGATGATGATCCCCCAACCTACATGCCTCAAAAACAGTTAATTTCAGGCTGGGTTTCAATATTTATGATAATCCTTTATTTGTTCTATCTTTTTTACAATGTCTATCTTGTTTTAAATGAAAAAAAACTAAACCAAAATAACCGGCTCAAACTAAAATCTGCTGATATCCCTGAAAATGACGATGGCGATCATGGCACTGATCACTTTCAAAACGACGTGGAAACTGTTATAAAAAGTGATTATCCAAATGACACTACAAACTTATTATCTCTCCCTGATCCATACTATGGCGCAACATCTTCCAGTAGTAATGAATTAGAGATTGACGCTGATAAGATTAAAAACAAAAATAACAATAATAACAATAACAATAACAATAACAATAACAATAACAATAACAATAACAATAACAATAACACTGGTAACAAAATTAAAACCAAAAAACATTTTGAAAACAATTCTTCATTATTTTCACCAACATCTCAAAAAATTGAAAAATATGATTTCGATAACCCTAGGCTTCTTGATTGTCTAATCGCTTTATGCTTCTCTTCCATTTTCTTGGCCCCCGTGGCTGATTTTTTCATTGATTCCATCGAAAATCTAACTGATAACTCTTCCATTTCAAAAACTTTCGTTGGTTTAATTCTTGTCCCAATAGCTGGTAATGTCCCAGAACACACTACTGCTTTCATAGCCGCTTGTAAAGGCAATATTGACCTCTCTATTGGGGTATCCATGGGTAGTGCTATTCAAATTCTCTGTTTTGTATTACCAATTTTGGATTTACTAGGTTGGTCAATGAAGGAGGACTCAATGTCTCTAGTCTTTGACTGGCCAATGATTTTAATTATAGTCTTCTCTGGGTTTTGTGCAAAATTCGCTTTGGATACTGAAAAGGCAACCTTTATTGGCGGAATTATATTGCTAACTGGTTTCACTGTTATTTCTTTTACGTCCTGGTGGATATGATATTTATTGTAATTTTATATAGCTTTTTTCTTTTCTTCTCTTTTCTTTTTTTTTTTCTTTTCTTTTCTTTACTCTTTTTCAATTCTTTTTTTCAATTCTTTTTTTCAATTCTTTTTTTCAATTCTCTTGTTCTTGTTTGTTTATTGTTTATTGTTTATCGTTTATTGTTTTAATTTGTATACATTTTTTTCGTTTTCTTTCCGTTTTGTTTTACTTTAATACACTGATTACTAAGTCAAATTAAATTAAATTAAATTAAATTAAATTAAATTAAATTAAATTAAATTATAATTGTAATTATAAACATTGATATGAACAAAACTATAAAACAATCTATAACGGCAAATCATAGCACTGAATATATGAGCCTTGATAATTTTTTCTTATTCTTGATTTTCATCCTGGTTTTGATCTTGATTTTGATCTTGATTTTGATCTTGGTTTTGATCTTGATCCTTATTATCTATTATTTCTATGATTTTTGCATTTATTTCATTTTTATAATTATGATTATTATTATTATGATTATTATTATTATTATTATTATTAAGTTCTATTGAATTTTCGGAATGGGATTTATTGCCATTTTCATCGGTTGGGTTGTTTACATAATTATAAACTGGAGATCTTGGAATTAATCGCACTTTATATGATATTTCGTCTAATAATTCATCAGAAGGTTTATGAATTTCCCAAAAAGTATCAAAGTTATTTTTCAATAATTCAATGATTTTTTCATTAAATTCCAAAGGTTCTCTGTCGATTAATTCATTATGGAGTTGATGGATTTCTTTAACAGTCGGATGGTTATTTATATAGGTCAATGGCTGATCGAGAAACAGTTTATAAAAATTATTGTTTATGAGTTTTAGGTTATAATAGTTATCAATTGGATTATTTAAAAAAGCCGAATAAGAAGTCCAAACACCCAAGGGAAAATTTAGTAGGATGCTATTAGTTAGGTTGAAGATATTCAAACTTTTTTTATCATTTGAGTTTATATGGGTTTTTAAAAGATTGATTCTTTCTTTTAAGAAGGAATTTGAGTAAATGTCTTCACCTTCAGGAATTTTGATGATTTGATTATCTAGGACTTTTGGGAACAAAATTGGGATGATCTTTTTCCGGTTTGCTTGCAAGATGTAGTTTGATACATTCATCCAATTTTCCATTCGAAGTAGATATTCGTCAAATGGAATTGGTTTATAACTTAAAGGACCAAACCAAGAGTTGAAGATTTCGTAATTTGGGTGATTGATATCGTTACTTATGAGAGAATTTAATTTTAAACAGCGAGCTCTATAATTTTTAAAGTCTTCAATGTAAGCATCGTAGGAGGATATAAAAGTTCTATAATATTCTAGAGACGACAACAAGATTAAAGAAGAACCAACCAGATAATTTGTGTATTTAATTAGTCTTGGAAAGAACCTTTTTTGGTAATTATTAATTACTAAGTTTTTTTTATATAAATTTCTACCAATTGTTATAAAACCTAGACCGATTAAAGATTGTAAAGAGGATAGAAATAAAATGCAATTTTTGCAATCAGGAGCTGGAACTAAAGGACCGAATAGGAAGAGGCCTAGTGAAGGTCTTGAATACATTTTGCGATGAGTTTCCAGATGGTTGGCAGCATTTTGAGAGTTTGAGGCAGAGTTTGAGGCAGAGTCTGGATTTGAGTTTGAATTGGAATTAGAATTGGAGTTTGGATTGGAAGCAGAATCTATATTAGAATTTAGAGGAAGACCAACAAGTGAAGCACCACTATCAACGACATTGTTGAAGAACAGAGTGAAAATTGCATTCAACCCCATTTAAATAAATACTGGGAGAGTAAGTAGATTAAAAAAAAGAAGGCTCACGACGAATAAGTAAGAGCTTATAAGAGCATCTTACAGTCTATTTCGATGGCAGTTATTGGTCTTTTGAAGGTGAATAAACCGAGAAGAGGAAGACTTTTTGATCTGAGTTGGAGGCAGCGGCCGGCGGCGGGAATTTGCCGTTTCGGCCTCTGGTTTTTGTCGCTTTTGTCTTATTTTTTTCAGTGGGAAGAAGAAAAGTGTTGGAAGAGCAGTATTGTTGCTATTGGTATCTTATGAGCTATGGTGGAACATAGCAATCGGGTGAGGAAGCCCCGGAGAAAGAACTTGGAGCAACAACGCAGAGAGGCTGCGATGAGGCGAAGACAGGAGGAAGAGAGACAGGAGCGAGAAATCCAACAAGCAAGGAGGGAGAACCAGTTGAACATCAGGAACAGTGGGCAGTTGATCAAGAACCACTACAACAAGATCACCAGGGAGTCCCGGAATGTTGTGAGAGAGCAATTGTCGACGTTTAAGTTGAGGAATTACAACAACGCCATCAAGTACATGTTGTTTGGAAGATTTATCAAGGCAGGCGATAGAGTGTTGGATATTGGATGTGGAAAGGGAGGCGATTTGTTCAAGTACAACAAGTGCAAGATATCAGAGTTATTGGGTATCGACATTTCTGATTATTCCATCAAGGAGGCGTTTTCCAGGTACACTGGGATGAGATACAGAAGCTTTTGCGCTACATTTGTGACGGCTAATCCATTCAAGACTAAAATACCAGACATTTTAGAGGGTATAGGACATATTCCTAATCAGATTCAGTTTCCAATGGATGCTGTTTCGATGCAGTTTTGTCTTCATTATGCGTTTGAAAGTGAGGAACAAATCAGAATGATGCTTGAAAATGTCTCAAAGAGTTTGAAAGTTGGAGGGTATTTTTTTGGTACCATTCCCAGTTCTGATTTTATAATTCAGAAAATTCAAGTTACAAGAAAAAACAATGAAGCTAGAAAGCAAAAGTTGGAAGAAGAAAGAATGCAAAAACAGTCTCTTGAGGAACAGAACTCCAGCAACACTGGTGGAGATCGGGAGGAAACAAAAGAGAAAGAGCAAGGACAAGGACAAGGAAAGGGAAAGGGAAAAGAACAAGATGACGTTGAGAATGATGATCCATTTGCTCCTCCAAAAGAAGAGGAAACCACAGTGAATTCCATCAAAGAAGCGGAAACGTTTGATGATGAAGAAATTAAATGGGGAAATTCCATATACTCGGTGACGTTTCCAAAGGTGCCTAATGAAGAATGTGATTTCAGTCCTCCATGGGGAAATGTGTATTATTTTTACTTAAAGGACTCAGTCGAAAACGCTCCAGAGTTTGTGGTTCCCTTTGAGAGTTTCAGAGCAATCGCAGAAGAGTATCGATTGGAATTGCGTTACAAAAAGACGTTTGCAGAGTTGTTCAAGGAAGAGATTCCCGAGTGGTTCAACAATTTCTCTCCAAAGATGTTGGAAGGATTGAAAAGAAGCGATGGAAAGTACGGCATCAGTGGCGAGGAAGCAGAGGTAGCTGATTTCTACCTTGCCTTTGCCTTTGAGAGGATATAGTTAGCGTTCTAAATAGTGCAAAGTCCAAAGCTGGCCACCAAGTCACATGATTATCTCGTGATTATTGCGTGAACAACGTCTAGGTAACCTGGCAAAGCATACGCATGTTTCTGCAGCACAGATCCGTTACAGTGGCCGAGAGGTTAAGGCGATGCCCTGCTAAACAGCGGTTAGCAGCCTAGGCATTGGGATTTTCCTGCGCAGGTTCGAATCCTGTCTGTAACGATTTCTTTTTGTTGCTGAAAGCTCTCTGTGTAGAGGAAGCAGTATAAGAAACAACAAAAGTGCCTCTCTCCAGCAGTTCCTTCAGCAGGCCCACCAGGGGTACACAGGAAGTACATCTAGCCAGACAGCAGAGAGTCTTTGTCGAGAGCTCTATTCTTGCTGATTTCGGTGGTGCCGGTGATGTTGGTGCCAATTCCTCTACAGCCTACTGTTCTCTGCTTTCTCCAAATGAAAATAGGCCTCAAACCACCTTTGTCGACTTGCCCTATGGTTTAATCCAGAAAATATTCTTCTACTTGTACAACGACAAACTTTGGCTATTCTCGTTGCATTATATCATGGTCATTGGAAATATGGCCTCACTGAAATTATATTCCTCACACACTATCTTGAATAAAAACCACAGCAAGCACAACCAAAGAACAAAAGTCCTAATCATTTCCAGCGATTTGCAGCATATTCAACAGAATTCTTTAAATACACACACTTTGGATATTAGGCTATTTGCAAACAGCCTCACCACTAAAGACGTTTATCTTTTAGAAAGTTTCCCAATTCCAAAGACAAACATTAAAACTCTTTCCATATGCTTATTTGACAATTTTGAATCAAATCCTTCAATTCTCCCTTTGAACAATCTAATTGAATTGTTCACCTAATTGAACTCAGACCCATTATCACTGTTCAGATTCTATATGGAATTTTCACTTCTTAGAACTCTCAATTCTTATTTACATAATTTAACTAAATGCTCCAACTTGAAAAAATTACATTCAAACTCGAGCTGGAACCCGTCAAATTCAAATTTTGTGCTACTTTCTCCCCATTTGAATCTAACTCATTTAAACATCACAAAATCAAATTTATCTAAAATTTATAAACTACCCAACTTGAGAAATCTAAAAGTCTTGAATTTCTCAAAAAACAACATCACCATTATTCAAAATTTATCGACTCTATACCATTTGCAAAAATTAATCATTTCAGGAAAATTCCCAGGGAATAACAAAATTAGGGAAATTAAAAACCTATCATACCTAATCCATCTAAATCATCTAGATTTATCCTTTAATGAAATATCTACCATTAAAAATTTAAATCACTTGACTTTTTTAAAGTATCTTGACCTATCTTTCAATAGAATCTCTTTCATTCGAAATTTATAACAACTAGTCAACCTATCCACTTTAATTCTATCTCATAATATCATTGACGCCATCACTAACTTATCAAAGCCAGTTAACCTAAAAAAACTATTCTTAGTGAAAAACAACATTTCAAAAATTGAAAATTTATCTGATCTAAATCATTTATCACTTTTAAATCTATCCTCAAATCTGATAACTGTTGTCTATTTCTCAAAATTAAACTTACCAAAACTTACTAAATTAAACCTATCTCATAATAGAATCTCGTATTTAACTAATTTGATTGATTTGAATAACTCACAAAACATGAATAATTTGAATAATTTATTGGAGTTAAACCTATCCTTTAATAGAATTAAAAAATTTCATCTTGCTTTTGATCTAATTAACTTATCTCACATTAACTCATCTAAAAATTATATTTCAAAAATTGAAAACTTTTCAAGTTTTATTCACATAAAATCTCTTAACCTATCAACCAACCAAATTACTAAAATGGAAAATTTATCAACTCTAATAAATCTAGAATATTTAAACCTTTCACGTAATTTATTATCAAGTTTTCATTTATCCCAATCTTTTCGAAAAATAAAATTTTTAGATTCATCTGTAAATTTAATTCATGACTTTTCCATTGATGAAAATGTTCGTTCTTATCATTTATATTATTTAAATTTGGTGCATAATTTTTTGAAAATTTTAAAAAACTTTGATTGTTTGGCAAATTTAAAGAAATTTTATTTAGGCTTTAATAAAATTTCCTAATTAAATGAGAGAAATTTTACCAATTGTAATAAACTAAAAACGTTATCTCTAAAGTCAAATAAAATTGAAGTTTTGAAAATTACTGGTGGCTCTTTGTCTCAATTAAGAAGATTAGATTTATCTAAAAACTTATTAATTTCTCTTCAAATTAAAAGAGATACTCTAATACATTTAAGAATATTGACATTAAATTCCAACAAACTTGAAAAGATTGATTTTGTTAATCCTGAATCCAATGAAATCTATGTCTTCCCACGACTTAAAATTCTTAATTTCGATGGAAATAAATTAAAGGATGCAAAATGGTTAAGGTATTTATCGCCAGCTATTGAGGAGCTTATAATAAGTCATTTTGAAACAGAACAAGAGAGCGATTTATCATCTCAAAAAATTGACGACAATTGAATATCAGAGTTGTATTTTTATCTTAATGGTATTATAAAGCACATTTGAGTCAATTGACAGCGTTTGATTAAATTTGTATTATAATTGGTTTTGTTTTTTATTTATTTATTTCTTTTTTACTGTGACGTTATTTTGTTTATAATATATTTGTGTAGTAATGATGTGTGAATTAAAACATCGTTTTTTTAATAAAAAATTGCGATCAATGGTTTATTTATTTTGTTGAAAAAAGTAATATTGAGTATAAAGATTTTAATTGAATGTGTTTTTCTCTTAAATTTAAATTTAATTATAGTTATAATTATAGTTATAATTTTATATTTTAGATTGGGAATTGATACAAAAACAAAAACTGATAAACATATATATGAGAAATGGAAAATAAAACAAGTAAACGATTAAAATATAAAAAAAATATTAAAAGTTATAAGATAAGATAAGATAAGGGTGAGAATAAAATTAAAAACAGCACAATTAAATAAAGGAAGAAAGTAAGAATTCAATCTTCAAAATATTTGTTGAGAAAATAAAAAAAAAAAAAATGAAACAATTAAAAAAATTAAATTAAAAAGTTAAATTAAAAAGATGAAAATTTAAACAATTAAAGATTAAATAGTAGTAACTAAAAAGGTAATAACTAAAGATAAAAGAAAATAAAATTAAAGAAAATAATAAAAGAAAATGGGGTAAAATAGGGTTAAATAAAAAATCATTCACGTTAGTATTAACATTATATATATAAATGAAATAATGTCAAAGAACAAATGATTTGAAGTGAATAAGAATCGATTTTCTTTTCATTTTGTTTGCTTGTCTTTAAAAGAGACCATTATCAACGTAAGAAACCTTTACGACCTTTAGGTTGCTCGGAATGAGTTGGTCTTTGAGAGGCTTGCAATTGACGTTTTTTCTCTTCGAGGATTTTGATTTGTTTTAATAATTTGTCCTTCATTTCTTTATGTCTTGAGAACAATTCAGCTTCAGATTTTTGTAATTTCTTTTCCTTTTCAGCTACTTTTTGTTGTAAAACGGTTTTCATTTCTTGGTCCATTTTAGCTAATTTTGCGGCGTGTAGGTTCTTTTCTTCTTCAGCTCTTTGTATAGGGTCGAATTCTTTGAAGACAGAGTTATCTTGTTTGATACCCAAGGAGGATAATTTATCAGTTCTATAGTTTTCGTAAAGGATGTGAGCGGTTGTTTCACGCAATTCTTCCAAGTAATCTCTGATTAATAGTTGACGTAATTTAATAAAGTCGTTGTGATCTTCGTTATCAACTTCGATGACACCCCAAGGGTAGGATCTGCCTCTAACAACCCTCTTGTCGGGAGTTTGTAGAACATGTGTTGAACCGACAACAGCGAAGGGAACCTTGGACATTAATTCATGAGTATTTAAAATTGTTTCTTCGTCATCTTTTTCGTATTTTGGAGGAGAAAAGATGTTTATACCTTGAGTTTTGATGTCTTCCATGATTCTTTGTTTAAAAGAAGCGATTTCCTCTTCAGTGAGAGTATCTGATTTTGCTATAACTGGGATTAAGTTGACTTTAGTGTGGACGTTTTTCATAAAGGTTATATCGAGAGGTTTTAAGCAATGGCCAGTTGGCTCGATGAAATAAATGCAGGCGTGGATTCTGTTGTCGATGATGGTTGTTCTATTGATTTTGTTTTCAGCATCAAGATAAGTATTGAATCTTTGGTCGATTTCATCAACGATTGGTTGCCATGAATCAGTATTATTAATTGCATCACCAAAGCCTGGAGCGCTAATTACGGTCAAGTGTAATTTAACGCCATTTTCTTCTATGTCAGCACTAACAGTTTCAATTTCAACAGAAGATGGGGGCTCAGAAGCAGGATCCTTTGGGTCCTTTTCAGGGAATAAAGATCTGTTGAATAGAGTGTTGACCAAAGTTGTTTTACCTAGACCATTTTCACCAATTATCATAAAGTTGAAGTTAAAACCACGACGAATTGACTTTCTGTTCCATTGTTTGGGCAAATTAGCAAAACCTACAAAGCCATTTAACTTGCGGCGAATTATCTTGATGTTTTGCTGAGAAGTGGAGTCAGGGTTGATAGGAGAGGAATCCTTGAGAGATTCAACGTTTTCGTAGCTTGAAGATTCTGAACCTAAACCAGTTTCTTTAATAGTTTCAACTGGTTATCAAATCAAAAGTTAGTAAAACACGACTAAAAGACAAAAAAAGAAAAGGATGGCAGAGAGACGAAAGAAACTCGAGCAAAAAGGAAAAAAAGGTGAAATTTAACCAGATCGCAAATAGGATCAGATAAGATCAAATGGGAATGTATATTGAATAAAACGATAAAAGGGAAAAAAGCGCAACTTACCAACAGCAGCCATAATGAGCGATAGAAATTGAGATGAATGTGAAGAAAAGCGAAGGAAAGAAGCGAAAGAAAAGAAGCAAAAGAAGCAAAGAAGAAAGAACAGAGGCAAAACAGTGAAGGAGAAACTGAAACTGAAACAGAAAAGACAGCTGTGAGGAATGAAGAAGAATGTTCACTGAGCAAAAAGAGCCAAATATACACAAAAGGACCAGCTTGTACGAGTTGGTTTTGTGGTCTAGTCGGTTATGGCATCTGCTTAACACGCAGAACGTCCCCAGTTCGATCCTGGGCAAAATCAATCTTTTTGCATTTTTGTTGTTTGTGCAGCTTTTGTAGCTTTTGCTGGATGGCTAGGAATTGAAGCTTGGGAGTTTATGCTGTGGTGTGTTGTAAGACGTGTATTGAGTACATAGTTATAGAAAATCACAGGAATATATTCTTTGAATACGACTAGTCGTATCAGTTTGTTATGTCCTTGATATCGACAAGTGTGTTGGCCTTGATCTTCAAGCCTGCCAATTTGTCGTAGTCCCCAGCTATGATTCTTTCCACAATGAGGGCATCTCTTTCTTTTATTTCCTCTGGGGTTTTGTTGTCATCTCTAAGCGACTCTATTGCCTTTGCTGTCGATCCCTCGTGTGCTTCTTGGGCTCTCAATCTCAATTCATTCTTTGCCCATGTCTCAATACCTTCATCCTGTTTAAAGTACATGACCAATAGCAACGATAGTGCCAATGGCGTAAAAACGTAATACGAGGGGAACTCCCATCCTTCTTGGTTCTTTTCTCTCACAATTTTCCATTTAACTTCTTTAGAAACTGGATCTTCATATGGAATTTTATCTATGATTTTCCCACTGGATTCTGGATCGTACGAGGGAACCAATCCTGCTAAGTCTTGACAATTACTGTAGAACAAACTCGATTCTTTGGAGCTTAACAACCATTCATCCACAAATTTCAAGTCTCTTTTACTGATCAACTCCGAAAGTTTCCCTAGTTTCTTCAATTCTTCCTCTTCTAGTGTTCGGGGACTTCCATCAGGATTTTGGTACAATTTAGATGCCGATGGAAATGAATCAAGTATGCCTCGAATCTCGGTCTCTAATTCAAGATTGAACTTTCTCAATCCTATGCTCGACGAAAAAAATCTCTTGTTATAGTTGGCGTTTCCAATCTTCAACGCTTGTCTGAGTGAACTACCTAAACGATACATCTTCAACACTGATTCGCGAGTCTCCAGCTAAAATTCCACCTCTATATTAGCACTGTTCCAACTGAACAATCTCTTCTTGTCTTCTTGTCTTCTTGTTTATCGAACTGCTTCCTTCACTTTCTATCAATGAACAATTTCAAATCGTAATCAAATCAACGTCCATTGGCCGCTGCTCAAAATCGCGCGTTTATCCCACTTTCACGGGGATGTATGCCTAAAGTCACATGTTTCGGTTTTCTTAATTTTTCACAAAAGAAAAATTTTTATATTTTTTTGTCTTTTTTTACCAAGAAGACTATAAGAACGTATCTGAATAACACTCCTAGTTCTTCATCAATCTTATTAATTCTCTAATAATACCAAACCGAAATGCTTTCTCGTTCTGTTACTCGTTTTGCCTCTAGAGCTGCTTCCAAACCAGTCTTTGCTGCTTCTCGTCTCACTTTATTAAAGGCTTTACCAAAACCTTCCATTGCTTCTTCATCCGTTAGATATTTTTCCTCTTATAATAACATTCTTTCAAATAATGCCACCGTTGTTAAAAATCCTGAGTTGGTAAACATAATAGATTCCGAACTCACATTAGAAACATCCGAAGCAAGTGAAGCAGGTGAATCTCACTCCGAAGTTCCAACTTTTCTTCAGAACTCCGGTTTCAAATTGATTGAAAAAGAGGGCAGTGATCGTTCTTCGTTAATCAAAGAAACTGACGATGAAATCATCGAAATCAACTTCTCTGTTCGTGAAATTGCTGAGCTCGGTTTATCTCCTGACTACCTTGGTGAAGATGGTTTAGCTGACGAAAATGGGGAAAGTGACCCTGAAAAAAGTGAAGATGACTACATGGATCCTTTTGAAGAATCTTATGCTGATTTAGACATTATCATCACAAAGAAATCAGACAAAACCGCTATAGCCTATGATGTTCAATTCAGATTAGGCGAAGTCGACTTTATGATTAGCTCTTTAACTCCATATAAAACCGCTGAAGAAGCTCAAAATATTGTCCCTAACAGAAAGGATCCTCCTTACCTTGGTCCTGCTTTCTCCAACTTGGATAACGATTTACAATTCGCTATTGAGTCTTACTTGAGAAAAAGAGGTTTGAATGAAAGTTTATCTGAATTTCTTGTCTACTATTCTGAAACTAAAGAAAACACTGAATATATTAGCTGGTTGAAAAAATTAAAACAATTTTATCAATAAATCCATTAATCTTTAACTAAAATAACAACAATAACACTATCTTTATTTATTGATATCAATTATATGAATTCTTGTTTATAGCTTTTTTTTTTACTTCTTCCCCGTCTTTTTTTCAACTGCTTTATTTAATTACCTTATTTAATCTCATCGATTTATTGATTGATTTATACTCTATAATTGTCAATATTTTCTTGTATTTATCTTTGTTATATATTGGATATCTGCTTCATAAATTTATAATTTAGATATTACTTTCTACTGACGCTTTACTGTGTAAATTATATCAAATCGTATTAAAGTGATTTAAATTAAATTAAACAAAATTAATATAGACTTATTATAAAAAGTAGTAATTTTTGTAATGAAATGCAAATTAATCTAATCGAATAATCCGAAACCCATATCGTCGTCAGATTCTTCTTCTTCTTCAGATTCAGATTCAGCAGCTTTTTCTTCGGAAGCACCACTTTCGGTTGAAGCACCTCCGGTAGTAGCTCCAGATCCAGTAGCTGGTCCAGAAGCAGCAAGAGAATATAATACTTCAGTTAAATCTTTGCCTTCTAAGGCTTTAGCATAAACATCGGTCCAAACCTGCAGTAAAATTCAATTATTTGTTAGTATTCATTTTAATAACCAATTAAAAAAAAAGGAAAAATAACCGCTTTAATTATATGACAATAAAAAGATTTAACAATAATTTTGATTTAATTAAATTTTCAAATCCTATTTATATCAAGTTAGAATGTTGACTTGATTCTTAATTAGCCAATTCAATGTTTATATTTTATTACTTTCTATTCAATGATATCACTTGAAATTAAAAATATCCATTTTTTAATAATTGTCTTTGGAATATTATGAACACTATGAATATGATTATAAACTGATTAATTCTTTGCTGATATTTTAAATATACCTATATTATAGATTTCTTATAGTCAAAATATTAATGCTTTTCTAATATTTTTTGCTGTTGTAATTGATATTATTTCACTTCAATTTATATCTCTTCGGGACTATTCAACAGTTTAATATTAAATTATTATACTAATGTTTTTTTTAAAACAAAGAAAAATATTTTAAAAACATGTTGAACTCTTATTATCATATCACCATAATTTTTATATAAATTGAGGTAAAATGCTCCTCTTATTTTGTAAAAATTATTATCAATAATTTTGTTATAATTCTTTAAAGGCTTTTTGAACTTTTCAGATGAATATCAAATATTGCTTCAATATCAAATAAAATAAATATCTTTTTTAATGTTTTATTTGATTTTTAAAATTCTGATCGTGATTATCAATATAATTAAAACTAAAATTGGTTAAAGATAGTTAATATCATCACTTACTTTATCAATTGAACCACCAGCAGCTTTGATCAAACTGCCCAAGTTGGCAGAAGTTATGTCAAGTTTGCTGTCAGCTAAAATTAAAGCAGCGTATGATACAAAGGCTTCAGACATTGTTTCCAGTTATTATAGATTATTAGATTTGGGATATGGTCAAGATATCTACAGATGCTATTACAGACAGTCGTGCTCATACTATATGATTGTTCTATCAACATACTCCACACTAGAAAGAGAAGTGCTGAAAAGCGTGATCTAGACAAGAAAGCAGTCACATTGGAATATATGGTGGTATAATGTATGTACCACATGCAGGATGTAAAATGGTTCATAACCGTTACCATCCAACATTACCGGTAGTGGAACAACGGAAACAAAAGCAGAGCAGGAGCAGAAGCAGAAGCAATAATTAGATAAAATGCTGATACGATAATACAGCTGGAGAAACTACAAACAAGTTTATTATCAAACAAATTAGATGAAAACTTGAAACCATTAAATCTACTAAAAAATACATAATATAATTGTTATAATTGTAAAAAGATTATAAATAATTCAAGCTTCAGCCAATTCTCTTAAACGTCTGATTGAGGATCTAACAGTGGCAGCAGCAGCAGTTGAAACAGTGTAAGCACCGCCAGCGACAGTTTTTTTACATGATCTACAACTCCAGATACCAACAGCACCTCTCTTTACGGTTCTTTTACCACAGAAGGAACAATCGTAGGTGGCATGTTGTTGAGTTTCCAATTTCTTACATTGTCTTCTTAATGATGAACCATAACGAACACCAAATTTACCGGTGATTCCAACTTTCTTTGTTCTTTTAGTCCTATTAAAAAATGAAAAAAATGTTAGAAAAATGAAAAATTACGTAGTTTTCAAAGGGCTAATGATATTGAAGTTTCATTTTAAATTTGCAATATGACTGTAATTTTTGAATATTGAACTTTTAGATTAAATATGATTTGGTTGAAAATATTGCTTTGAAAGTATAGTTAAACCGTTCTTAAGAAATTCAATTGATATTTTAATTTTAATACGACTTGTCCAGGAATAAAGAAAATCGAATGTATATTTAGAAAGTTTAGCCAATTAATAAGTGTATTTTTTTAAAGATTAAATTTAATTATATTATTTTCATGTCTTTAACAGATTAATTTTATTAAATTATTGTTTTTTGAAATAATATTTGATAAAATTTAATTGAATATTTCTCAGATTCTTTGAATGTTGATTAAATTGATACAATTTTTATAAGCAATATTCTTCTCTGTTTTCGTTTCCAATTTGTTTCTAATCTTTTCAATGCAGTAAAATCAATTTCAATTAGATTATGCATCTGCATTATCTTAACCAGAGTTCTTTAATTTTGACATACATTTTTGTAATATTGCTGTTTTATGATTATACACTTGATGTTGTAGATAATTATGAAAACTCGAGTTGAAAGATAAAACAATTTGTATATTTCAGATGGGTTGAAAAAAATTATAAGAACTATTCAATGTGTTACCCTCGCGGTTGTGATAAGGTTCAAGAGCCCTTATAGAGAAAACGTGAAATAAAAAAGCCCTAATTTATGAGGGCTTTAATTTAAATCAGGGCTCTACGAATTTAAGTTTGAAGAAACGAGATTTTCGTTGGGAATTAAAGTTATAGATAGATGATAAGAGAGACAGAGAATAAAGAAGTTGAATAGATGGTTTAGATTATAGTAATTGAAATCCGAATTTGAAAAAAAAAGAAGAAAAGAAAACAAGAAAGAATTCTAATAGTGGAATGTATTTTAATTAAAACAAGTGATACTATTGAGCAGCGTAAGGATTGTTGTATTGATTTGATGAATAGTATTGAGGATCCTCATTATTGTACATGTTATCATTTATATTTATATTGTTATTGTTGTTATCATCATAATTACCTATGGTATCGAGATAAGCTTGGTTATTAAAATCTACAATTTCATTGTACATCATTAGTCTCCAAGTATCAATAGGTAAGTCGGCGTCATTAAATTTCCAATCAAATCTTTCTGAGGCCTCAGGCTCATCATCCGGGTCGTGATAGTTTGCTAGGTAAACATGGGATAAACCTTCAGTGGCATTAATTCTCTTTCTTGAGTCAAAGACAAGCATTTTTGATAGTAAGTCAATACCGTCTTTAGATAATTTGTCGTTAAATCTTTCAAATAAATCGATTGGACTCTTTTTTGGTAAACTTTTCACAAATCTAAGAGTATTTTCTGAGCATATGGTATCAATAACATCTTGTGGAGGAGAACCTAGTAATTCAGTTATTATAGAAAACTGGTCAACATGGTTTCTACCGGGAAATAAAGGTTTATTTTCGACCATTTCAGCGAATATACAACCAGTTGACCAAATATCAACTTCAGTGTCATATTTTTGCCAAGTTAGCATGATTTCTGGAGCTCTGTAATATCTTGTTGATACATAACCAGTCATTTGGGGATCTTGGATTCTAGCCAAACCAAAATCGCAAATTTTCAAATCACAATTTTCATTTATAAGAATATTTGAGGGTTTTAAATCTCTGTGTATAACACCAGCAGAATGAATGTATTTTAGGCCTCTTAAAATTTGGTAGATAAAATATTGGATAAATTGGGGCTCTAGAGGTCTTGTATTTAATAGTTTTAATAAATCTGCACCTTGTAATTCGGTTACAAAATAGATGTCACTTGAGGGAGAGAAAAAGATGTCGTTAAGACAAATTAAGTTTTCGTGTCTTAAATTTTTTAATAGTTTTAGCTCTCTATAAGTTCTCTTTGCTAAGATTTCAGTTGATAGAGGTTTTGATATTTTTTTGATAGCGACTTTTTCATTTGATTTCAAGTCAGTAGCGGAACATACTAAACCGAAGGCACCCATACCAACCGGGTTCAAATCAGTGTATCTCTTTGTAGTTTCAAACAATGTTCCAAAAATTTTATCCTTATTGAAATTGTCAGCATAGTTGTATTGATAGTCTAAGAGATCATTTCCATTTTGAGGTAAGGGTTGAGAAGGATCGATTTGGTTATTGATGTTGTGATCAATAGCGATGGCGTTGGGGTTAGGGTTAGGATTAGTGGTATTAGAAGTGGTATTGTTATTGATATTGAATTGAACAGGATCTTCTAAGTTCATTATGGAAAAGATGGAATTAGTGGATTTGCGGATTAATTACGACAATAAGTAGTAAAAGATAATAGCAGATGTAACTATATGATTGTAAAGTTGAAATTAAAATGTGATCTCAGTTGGTGATACACGCGATAGACTTTTGTTTGATCAGAGTAGGAGTCGAGGGGCGGATGACAAATTAATTGGACAAAGCTAGAGTAAAGATAAAAGCTAATGGCAAGAAGCAAGAAAGGGCTATTGGAAGAAGGTGAGTATATGTTATTTCTTATTTCTTTTTCTTGAGCTGTGCAACAATATCGAAGCAATACAGAAGCAATATATATTGGAGGAGAGATGGTGGTGGAGTGGAGGAAAAAGCAACCGCCGTACGAGCAAAACAAGCAGAGCGCATTACGTAGCACCGTCGGGGTGGTGCGCATACTGAAAGGCTCCCGGTGAGGATTCTGTGCCGCTGGTGCAGGTGCAGCAACGGTTTTGGACGAGCAAGGGTGGAGCTTTGGACGGAAAGCTGATTGTTACGTCATTCCGGAGATATCTGAATGAACGGTCCGAGAAGGTGGCGACAAAGAGATCATGTGCACTTAGCAAAGCACTTTAACAACGATAAAGAGCCGTTATAGGTGGGTGTTATCATTGAGGTATCATCATTGTTATCAGTAGTGGTAATAGGTTCGTTTCTTGTCTTCAAACTACAGTGATACTCATTGATGAATCATAAGTCGCAGATTGTGATATATTTTGTGGTGAGCAACGTAATTGCGTTTAGTTGTATTTACCATGGATTCAATAGTCATCCGAATTATTTCCAGGCAGTTACATATTTGTCTCAGGGATTTAATTTGATTATATTGACAAATTTTGTTATAATTTATTCGTTATTGATCGTCCGGTTGTTGCAGATAATATTTTTCGGAGCATCATTGAGATTGATTGAGATTGAGCATATATATGAAAGGCTCTGGATATCGATTACAAATAGTTTTATCTCCTTGGCCACATTTCGAAACGAGTATGGGATTTTGATTAATTTTTTCACGGCGTTATTATTGTTTGTTAAAGTGTTCCATTGGATATTGTTTGATCGGATCAATTTCATGTATCAGCCAAACAATACAATTAATAATATTGAAAACCAAGATGAAGAGTACGAGGTTAGTTTTATTAAAATTTTCAAAAAGCTATTTATCAATCGGATAAGCATTGTTGTTATGTTAATGATCTACGTTGATTTAAAGTTGATAGGATTTTGTATAAACCAGTCATTTAAGAATTCTACCAATGTCTTCATATTTTTCTCCTTTGAATTTTTTTTGTTGTTTATTGAGATAATCTACTATATTTTAAAGAGTCTAATTAATTTGGTGGAGATTGTTTATTTGATCAATCATCCACATGAAGAGAGTTTGGAGGAAAAGTCATTTTATTTGCATATAATTGAGATTGTGCATTTGTTTTTAAGGTCGTTGACATATATTTTGTTGTTTTTGTTATTGATTGATCCGTATAACTTCCCGCTACATTTAATCCGCGACTTTTATTTGAGTTTGTCGAGGTTTATTAAGAAGACCAAGCAGTTTATTGAGTTTAATAAGAACAGTAAAAAATTGGATTCATGTCTAGTAGATGCAACCGAAGAAGAGTTGAAAAATCATGATAATTTATGTATAATCTGTCGGGACGATATGACAACTATCGATATACCAACTGGAACAAGGTTGTATCCTAAATTATTAAAGTGTGGGCATATTATCCATTTAGGCTGTTTGAAAAATTGGTTGGAGAGATCACAGAGGTGTCCTATGTGTAGAGCTCCAGTTTTTCAAGATTCAGCAGCACCAAGAGACACTACAAGAAACGCTACAAGAGATGCTGTAGCAGATGCTGCAAGAAATACTCCAATTAATACTTCAATTAATACTTCAATTAATACTTCAATAATTAACAATCCAATAAGTAATAACCCAATAACTAATAGCCCAATTGATAATACTAATACTAATAATCCAATTAATGATAATAATACTTATGATAATCACAATGATACTTCTATAAATTCAAATAACGACCATAATGACCATAACGATCACAATTTTACCAACACTACAACTACTTCAAGGAATGAAAGTGATGAACATCTTCTCTTAAAGGATATAAATGTTATAAAATCTGCGAACACTAAAACCTCAAATAACAACTTTAACGCCGGTGCTACAAAGGCTATTGATGATATAAAGGCTGACACTAATTCAAGCTATGAAAGCAAGAAAATCTGTGTTGTAAAGGCCATAAATGTTATAAGTGATAATGCCACAGAGGAGGAGTTAAACGCAATCATAGGTTCAAGCGAATCCGAAGACTACATTCTAGAGTTGCCGGAAAACTCTCTAATACCACCAGACTGGACCATCCTTCCGCTTCGTCGTGCAAATAGAGGCACTATCGGGCGTGTGGGCGAGACCTCTGAAACAACACAGACCACACAAATAGAAGAAGCAGGGGAAGCAGAGGAGGCAGAGTGGGAGGTGGCGCTCAGCGACTCCTGCTGGGTCCACTTGAAGAAGGAGTGAGACGGTCTAGACCGCGCTGGCGATGAGACGCTACCCCAGGTCTGGTCCAGCCGCACCTGCCGGCGTCACCGCGCACACCGCAGCACCACCGCAGCACCACCGCAGCACGAGCGTGGTTCAGCATTCCGGTGCGAGGGAGCAGGAGTGCGGTACCTGTGCTGCGTCGAGCACCTGTTCCGTGGCGGTGGTCCTGGCCGACCTTTCTTTTTCTACTTTCTTTGCAGCGTTGTTTTACGCTTTTTCATTCTGGGCTGAAAAACGAACCGTTGCGATTTCTGTCTTTGCCTGGCGTGCAACTCCAACATAATCCAATATCTGGTATTTATTTATTATCCACCTGAGATCCAGTGCCTGCTTTCTCTCGATATTCCTTCATTGTTGACGAGCTCTTCTTTTTGGTTTACGGAATATCTGGTTTCTTTGAGTTTCCACTGTTCTACTTATGCCAATTAACACCAACAATAGCACTAGCCATGATAATTTCCATAATATGAGTAGCGACAATACTAACAATACAATTAATACTAGCAATAGTAGCAGTGGTAATCCTAATATTATCAATATTAGCAATAATAGTAATATTATCAACAATGATAATATTAATATCAACAATAAAAATAACAATAGTAAAAATAGTAAAAATAATAATAATTTTGTTAATACCAATTCATCCCCAGTTATTTACTCAACAATGAAAAGAGTCCTGCAACCTAATAACCCAATCTACCCTCATCAATTCAAAATTAAACAACGTTCTCATTCAATTCCTCTTCCTTCTTCTGCTTCAAATCATATCAACAAAAAACCAATCAATCCCTACAACTCTTATACCTCCTACAACCCTTACTCTGCTCCTGCTTCTTCCTCTTCTTCTTCCTCTCGTTCTTCCTACCATTCCACCTCTACTTCAATCTCAAACCAAAACCAGGGCCAAAATTACAACTCAAACCCTCCTGCTTCTGCTTCCTCTTCCTCCCCATCCTCCTCCTCCTCCTCCTCCTCTTCACGAATCACCTCAAAATCAAAGAGAAAATCCTCTAGGAAATCAAACACTGAGCTCGCTGCTGAAGTCGTTCAACAAGAAAGAGACCTAGTTCGAAATCTTAAACGTCTAAGTATTGGCGCAAGCACTTCCTCTGGGGACCCTGATCTATCCCTAGAAAAGGACTTCAACTCAAACTACAATCAAATCCAAGACCTAAATAACCACAACATACACTCAAATATTCACTCAAATAATGACATCAGCAATACCTTAAATGATCAACTTCTTTCAACTTCTCCAAGAAGTAGTATCTCAAGTCTAAACTCTCTACTCAGCACCACCAACAACAACAGCAACAACAACAGCAGCAAAAACAATAACAGCAATAATAATAACAAAAAAAGATTATCTCAGCTATCTTTTAACATAGACTCTGAAGATATAATCTTAGCCGACAATAATCTCATAAAAAAAAGATTTCCCTCTTCCTCTTCCTCTTCCTCTTCTTCTTCCTCTTCCTCTTCCTCTTCTCCAAATAACCATCAAAATGACGACAAAAATAACCAATCTATTTCAACTAAAATTAAAAGAAAATCCCTGTCTGGTCCTTCTTCAAAATCTTTTTCTATAGATACTAAAAAACTATTATGGGTCCCAGCAAGTTCCCATCCTGCTATTGACCCAGAAAATTTCAAAAAACATGTTCAATCAACTGTAGCTGAAATCACTGCCAATCTAGAAAATAATGACAACAACAACCAAGCTAACGATACTAACCAAAATTATCACAACGACAATAACCAAATAACCAACCAAAACATCGAGATTACTGATAAAAACTCCACTAACACACCCAACAATCCAACCGATGACGACTCCACTCTATCTAATACATTGCTATCTTTCAAATCAGACTCCCAACCTTCTCTAAAGGATTTAACTGATGAATTGGAAAGATTATCTGAAATCGCTGGCTTAACTGCTACTGACGCTGCCACTTTGGCCAGAACTTTGTCTACTTCAAACATCGGTTACAAATCCGATTTATCTTCAATCAACTCAAACCATTCAAATTACTACTACAACAATAGCAAACACAATCAAATTGAAAATAACAACAACGACAACAACACCCCCATCATCACCACCACCACTGCTAACTCCTACAATAACGAAGACTGTACCCCAAATAATGACCAATTTGACACCATTGATTCCTCAGATTCACAAGGCTCTCCAGTCAACAACACATACTCTTCTCCAGAGATTAACCACTCCCCTGTTTTCCAAAATCAGAACTCTTCTTCTTGCATTTCTTTGCCTTCAAAAACTTCCTCATCGTCATCCGCTTCTGCTTCTGCTTCTGCCCAACTCCAATCCCATAAAAACCCTCTCACTTTAAGAAACAGAAGATCTCAATCCCTAAGCTCTTTGGAAAAATCTTCTTTCAATTATAATAAAAACGTTAACGAAAACACCGCCGAAGACTCAGATAACGATATGGATAACCCAATTGTTTTATCATCAAACGAATCAACCTTAAAAAGAAGTAAATGGACAACTTACAGAAAAAACAACTCCTCAAAATCAAAAAATTATTCAATCGATTCCAACGCTTCACCTCATTCTCCAAATCTCAATAAAAATAAAAGCTTGAAAAAAGCAAGCGACGAATTAAAAAGACATCCTCTACCTTCTCACTCTCAAAATATTATTCATCAAAACCAGTTGCAAAGACAGAAACAATTAAAACAACAACACGACCAACAACAACAGTTCCAATCTCAACCCCAATCTCAATCTCAATCAAGATCTTCGCAGAAAAAAATACCCTCTGGTCGTTCGTCTTTAGATAGTGGTAGACGTTATATACAACAGCAACAACAACAACAACAACAACAAAAATATCAAGATCAAAAGACTTTTGAAGTCAAAGAACAAAGACACCGCCATCATCATCGTCACCATCACCGTACTAATGACCCTAATCAACCACCACTGCCTCAAACTGCTCTGCAAAGACTGTCACCTCAATTAAATCAACAACAATTTCAAAAATCACATCCCCAACAAGCTAATTACTCACATCAAACTCAATCTCCACCGAAACAACAAATTCAACTGCAGGCTCAACCTCAAAATATTCCTGAACAACAACACCAAAATCAAAATCAACAAGCATCCCAAAACCATCAGCAAAATTATCAACAACAGTACTCTCAAAGTCAATATGCTCAGCAAAACCTTTCTCAACAACAATCATATCCTCAAAATACACAAACACCACAGACATCTCTATATCAAAACCAACAAATTTATTCTCAAAAAGGTCATTCTCAACAGAATTATCCTCAACAGGAGAACTTGCACAATGAAAGAAATCACCAATTAACTCAAGAACAATTGATGAATCAAGTTCAACAATCGCCAAGAAAGAGGGACTATAAATCTCCTCCTATTCAAGAAGCTGCAAGATTCCAGAGCTTTCAACCTCAAGATTCTTCTTCAAATGATCTGCGCAACTATAAACAAAAAAATATCAAACCACAAAAGTTGCAGTTACAAAACAATTCAAATTTCTCGAATTTTCAAAGATACAATAATCTACAAAAATCTCAACAAACATCTCCACAGTTTTCCCAACAAGTTATTATAACCTCTCCATCCACATCACCCTCACCTTCTCAAACCCAATTTTCGCAACAGCAGGTTTATCAGTCGTCTAACCCTACTTTTCAGACTGAACCCAAACTAGATAAAAATAATGAAGCTCAATCAACCTCAAAGAAATTAAAACAAGCACTGCCACAAATGCTGCAAGCGTTTATTGATAATAAAAAGCAAAGATCATCTAAATCTCCTCAATTGCAATCTGCCGGCTCGTTTTCCCAATCCTCTCCGAATCTTTCGTCTTCGAAATCCGATCGTGCAAAGCAATCGAAAAAGAAAAAATCTTATAAAACATTAGATTTTGATAGTAATTCCAATTCAAATAATAACAATGGCAGCAATATCAATAATAATAATTCAAGTCCAGATTTATCTGCTCCAAGCAAACCTAGACGTCGTGTTAGGAAGAATAGTTTAAGTGCATGGTTAAAAGGTGGTTCATCAAAAGCTGAGCTTTCTCCAACTGAAAATTTGATTAATGAACTTGATAATAACAGCCTACATTCCTCAAATTCAGATGTTTCTAGATCACAATCTAATGATTTAACTTTAATGGGTAACTCTAGCTCACCTAATTCTCCAAATGAAGATAAAGAAAGAGAAAATAAAAATATTTTTCACTTATTTAAGAAAAAATCCAATAAGAACTTGGCTGGGGCGTATAGAATTAATTCTGCTTCTAAAGAGGAAAAATCCAATCCTCTACCATCTCAAGTGATTTTAAGTCCCACTGCAAATTCTTTTGAAGAATCTTTGCAACAATACTCAAATAATTACAGGAGTGACAAGGAAAATTTTTCAAGTACTTCAGCCAATTCCAAACATTCAAATGAATTTATTGAAGGAAAACAAAAGACTACAGATCAACCCTTGATTGATAATGTTCTAACATTAAATTCAAAGCAAAGAGATCAACATCTTGAACCTGCAGCTGAGGTTAGTAAGGAATCCTCTAAGGTTTCTCCTGTTCTTGGGGAACCAGTTCAATTAAAGAAAAAAAATAGTTCGGGAGGAATTTCTAAAAAGCCATCAAAACAAAAAAAAAGAGATAAAGAGAAAGACGTTGAAGAGTATATAAAAAAAGAAACCGTTAAACAAGCAGTCGAACAACACCCTTTTAACGTTAGAAAAGAAGTGGATAACAATAAAAAATTAGAAAAAATAGAAATAGAGAAAGAGGAAGAGAAGGAGAAGAAACATGAAAATGAAAATGAAAATGAGAAAGGGAAAGAAAAAGAAGTGGAAAAAGAAAAGGCTGTTGATGAAATTTTGCAAGTTCCTGAAAAAAAAGACAAATTAAAAAAATATACTCTCGAAGAATTTGAGGCAGATAAAAATGCAAAACCGAATCAAACGGTTTTCAAAACTGACTCTGCTTTTGGCTTCCCATTACCTCCATTAACACATTCCAGTATTATTATGTTTGATCACAGATTTCCTGTTCATGTAGAGCGGGCAATTTATAGATTGGCACATATCAAATTAACAAATCCAAAACGAGAAATAAGAGAACAGGTTTTGTTATCAAACTTTATGTACGCATATTTAAATTTGGTAAACTATAGTATCTATTTGCAATCATTGGAAGAAGATCAAAATAATGATGAAGATACAAAAGAGGACAATAATCAGGAAGCTGAATTCCCTGTCAATGAGGAAACTATGGAAGAAAATTATGAAGTCTATTATGAGAATGACAATAATCAAGAACCAGAAGAAGATCTGGAATATTATGGACAAGACCAACAGTATCAAGAACAGCACTATCAAAATCAACAATATGAAGATCAGCAATACCAAAATCAGCAATACCAAAATCAACAGTATCAAAACCAGCAATATCAAGGTCAACAATATCCAGAACAATCACAAGATGAATTAATGCATTATGGGTACACTGGTTAATTATTATCCACTCGATGATGTTCATTTATTATATTTTCAATATAATGTTGTAAACAATCTCTTTTACCCTTTTTTTGTTAGTACTACAAGTTATTTTATTTAATCAGAAAGTAAATAAATTCTAAACACAAAAATTCTTTATTATCCTTATATTAATCTGGAAAACAAAATAAAAACATATCACAACCATATCTATATCTTATTTACTTTATTTTAACCTTTTTATAATTTCACTGCATCATGATTTCATTTTATTAATTTTATTAAGTTTTTTATTTTATTTTTTTATTTTATTTTTTTTTAATTTTTAGTTTATATTTTAGTATTTTAGTATTTTTGGTGATTCTGATTAATTGACTTCTAAGTTATTTCTCTTTTCAAGTTTCAATTTTACTTTTTTTTCTTTTTATAATATTTTTATTAATAGTGCCATTTTCATCTTTCTGTTATTTTTGAGTGATAGTTTTGCTCATGATTCAAAAATCTAGCGTTAGAGCTGAAATAGAAAAATTATCCAATGAATTGAGCAGTTTGGTTTGTCTTATAACCTTTTTTTTTATTAAAAACCAAAAGATATAGTATATATAATATTTACCGAAAATCAAAAATAGAAAATTTTAATTACAATAATAATCAAAAAGTAATAATTATTTTGATAAATAGCACTGTTTAAATAGATCCAAAACTTGATATAAGACATCAAAATCCATTTCAGTAACATCATTTTTGTTTTTATATGAGCCCTTGAATATTTTTGAACTCAATTGAATTATAATATTTCTTGACTCATTCTTATTTAGAGATATCATTAATTTTAAAACTTGGGTTGACAAAATTTGTAATTTAAGATTTGTTGGATCGCCCATTAGACAAACTGGCATTGTGTTTATCGATATATAATTGAAATCCTCATTTAAAGCGTCAAGATCGTCAGAGGAACCATCATTATTATCATTTCTCAAGTAGTCATAATCCAATGAACTGTAGGAGGATATGGAAGCTGAGTTTGGAATCTTCAAATGGTAGGCTGAATCAATTTCTCCATTGTAGGATACGATAATGATAATTTTGTTCGAAAACAGATTCAATTGAACTTTCAACTCATTGGACTGGTCAATTACCTTTGACTTTGTTTTCAAAGAAGACTCAAAACTGTTTGAGCTCATTTCACAACCTTCGACTTCTCAATTTGCTGCTCAAAAATCGTTCAACTGTTGATTTTGAAGACGCAAATTCCTTACACGTTACGCGCGCATTCGGAAGTGTGAGTATGTATTTGTATGTTTGGATATGCATATACTGCAGTGACTGTTGATTTACGCAGCAGCGGTTCGAGCCCAAACCAAGGTTCTTTTCTATTGATTTATAAGAATTTTTGATTTCAAATTCTTAGATAATAGCTGAGGCCAGTTGAATGGGTCACTTCATTTTTTAGTTTATCAGCCAAATTTTGCTTTCGAATCATTTGTAAGCTTTAGTAATCTCCAGGTTTTGGTGAGACAATAGTAGATAAAATAAACTATTTCAAGATGAGTATCTAGAATATATAAAGATCTTGAGTTCTTGACTGTTCTCTTTGCATAGCGGATAAATACTGTATGAGATAAATCAGTAATAAGCAGTTTTATTGAAAGTTAATGAGATCACTTCAGTTTCAGAACCGAAGTTTTATGTACTTTATAACTGTTTTAATAGTATTATTAATCGCATTGTTTTATCCATATTTAAATAACTTGCTAACAAATCGTTTTGTTACACCTATAAGTGTATCTTTATTTAGAAGATCATCCAACTCAACAACTGGGCTTTCAGCAAGAAGCTTTTCAGGAAAGGGTTTTTCAATTTTCAACAATTTATTCAATCTGTCTTCAAACTCAAATAGTCTCAATAATACCGATAAGAGCAATATAAATAGTAACAGTAACAGTAACAGTAATAGTAATAGTAATAGTAATAGTAATAGTAATAGTAATAGTAATAGTAATAGTGATAAAATGGTCAGTTCTAATATTAATCCAATTGTTTATGGTGACGATGAGCACTTTATCAATAATCCAACACCAGTCTATTTTCTCAGTCATGGTGGTCCAACTTTTATGTATGAAAAGACTGAATTTGGTGGAGACGTTGGTGCATGGAGAGAAACCAAAAAGATCGGTAAAAATATAATTAATAAGATTAAACCAAAATTCATTGTTTCAATATCTGCTCATTGGGAATCAAATTCCAATAAAACTTTTGAAATTGGTATTCCCGATATTAATTCAGAATTTTTTTCATCGTCAAGAGATTCAAATTCCTTTGGGTCAGGCTCAAGATTATTTTCATCAAAATCAAAATCAAACTTCAACGGTGATGATAACAGAAAATTATCAAATGACGAACTACCTTTAATTTATGATTTTTATGGATTCCCAAATCATATGTATTTAGAAAAATTCCATTCGAAGGGTTCAATTGAATTGGCTGAACAAATCAAATCTTTATTCCAAGAAAATAACTTGAATGTCTCGTTGGTTAAAAGAGGAATTGACCATGGTGTTTGGGTTCCTTTTAAAGTTGCATTTTCAGAAAATAAACCAAAAGACCAGGTTTGGGATTTGGAAATGCCTTTGATTCAAATTTCATTATTAAGTTGTACCCCCAACAGTTTTAAAGATCATTATAAAATGGGCAAAGTTTTATCCAAATTACGAAAAAAAGGTGGATTAATCATTTGCTCAGGAATGTCAGTTCACAACCTAAGAGAGATGGGTATGGCTCAATATTATGGAAGAGAATATATGAAATATACTCCAGCTTTCAATAGTTTATTGACAAAATTATTAACCGAAAATAAAGAGGGAAGAGAAAGATTGAATGCATTTGAAAATATTCTTCATGACCAAAAATCAAGAAATCTATTGTTTTCTTCTCATCCCACGTTGGAACACTTTATGCCCATTATAGTTGCTGCTGGTGCTGCTGGAAATGATCCAGTAAAGGAAAGATACACCAAATCTGTTGATAGTTTGGGATGGAATATCTATGAGTTCAATTCACCTCGTAGCGACGCTCAATTATAATATAAGCTGACTCAAGTATTTACATAGATTGCATAACTAATACACATTTTTCACTTCTTTTCAGCTCTCCAGGTTCTGAAACTTGCTCTATTTGCACTGGTATCAAAAATTCTGCAAAAAAGAATGCGTAAGCCCGGAATCGAACCGGGAGCCCAACGATGGCAACGTTGAATTTTACCATTAAACCACTTACGCCGCCTTCTGCCTTTAGGCTTTCAAATACCTTTATACTTTTGGTTTTATACTTTTTTTGTTTCTCTGTGGTTGAGACAAAAAAACTGGACTTTTTGTTTTTTTATAATTTACATCAAAAATCAAAAAAATATCCTTATTGTGCTTTGATGGTTTTTTTCGTAGATGGTCCTCAGAGAGAATGGTTCAAGTTGGGCGATTCAAGTTTTCAGTTTGTTAATTTTTTTATTTTTTATTGTAGAGTTTTTACTCATCAGTAATTGTCAAGGCTGATTGTTCAAGTTTATTGGTTTTTGATATATCTAGGAACTTTAAAGCTAAACAGTTGATTGTTAATACATGATGAGACTTTTTATTTATTTCGGCGCTTTATTTATTATAGTTGTTTCAACTGAAATAAAAAATTATACCACCAATGGCACTTCCAATGATACAGCTGAGAATGAAATACTTCTGAATGATAAACACACTGAACTCAAACAATTTTATAATCTCACAAATGATGTTGTTTTTGTTTCTGGCTTTAATTCTTCAAGAGACCTCTTCATGGCTACATTGTCGCTTTTGCCAGCATATGCCACTGTTATATCTTCCTTTGGTGCTATTCTAGGGGTTTGTGGTTCCATCATGGTGTTTTCAGCATTATCATTAGCTATTTGTGGTTGCAATATAGTAGTTTTTACTTTGTCTTTAATGACTGGTATAGCACAAACTTCTCTTTTTATTTACGGCTATTATGATTATTATTATACCGAAACAGATCCTAGGAGAGGTGTAATTGAAAATATTAATAAAAATTTCAATAATGATTATGACTATGTTTTGGGATATAAATATGATGAAAATGAGTATAACTATTTCTTTACCAACTCTTATACAAAAAACAATGTTAATCCCACTTTTTCATTACTACAAAGAAAAACAGGTTTTGAAATAATAAACTTTCAAAAGTTTGATCAAAATAATAGCTTGGTTGATAAAAATAAGCTAACAATCAAGGATATTGGAATCAGCTATTACAAATATCATTTGCAAAATTTGTCTCATAAATCTTTTCCCTTTAATTTTAAATTTTCTCTTTATCCAATTAATGAGTTAAATAAAAAACTAGGTATTTCAGTATTAATCCCAACTCAAAACTCATCAACATTTGATAAATCTTTAAATAAATTAGCTGGAAAAAACTATAATGAGAATATAAACCGCAATAAAAATTTGAAATTAAATTTCATTATAAATATTGAAAAATTAAAAAATCAAAAATTTACAACGTTTTCATTGGTTAAAATTATAATAAAATCTTTAATTTATCATAATAAAAATAACAAAAATACCAATGAAATTAATGATAAAAATGAATTTGATTTCATATTTAAGAAATACACATTGGAAGATTTTGGCATAGAATTTTTATTCCAAATGGTCGATCCAAACGAAAAAAATGAATTTGATTCTAAATTAATCTTTTAATTACTCTAGCTTTTTGTTTGCTTGGTTTCTCACAATTACCATCTAGCTCACTATACTTAACTTTTGGTTTCATAATTGTTTTCTTTTAAATGTATTAAATGTGTTTATTCAATATAAATTTTAGTTTTATATTTATAGTTTTCAGTCGATTCAGGAAAACTTTTTAAATTCAATAAACTTAAACAAATTTGAAAACAACAAATGTCCTTCAAACCACTCACTTATTTAAACTTTTCGAAACTGATAAGCATTTAATGTCGATGAATTTGATTTTTCTTAACGTTTAATAATTAATTATATTTGAAATCTATTAAATTAACTCAAATATGCAAATAAATGTGATTGAATCAATTTAATTTCTATTAAATTTTACAGTAAAATATGTAAACAGAATTTCAAACTTAAAATTAAATAAATGATTTTTGAAGCATCAAATTTTTGGTTTTATTCAAAATTATTGTTACCAAATTTACAAAACTTTTGAAAAGGTTGATAAACTTAAGTTTTAAATTTTTACATCAGATAATTTACTAGATTACAAAGTAGCATTATATAAGATTATTTTTAACTTGTCTATTATCTCCAATTTATTCAGTTACTTGTTTTAATAAATTTAATTTCCTATTATTTAGAGTCTTCACCTTAACTCATCAAAATTCAATGACTTGATTAAGGAGTCATTACTTTTTAAAATTTTTTACTAAAATCAGTTGGGAATGGTTTCAAGCTCTTTTAGAAAGCATAAATTCAAAAAAATTTGGATTTACTGTTTGTTGATAGCTTGACTACTGTATTGTCATGACAATATCTGATGCTAAAGAAAACACAAAATTAATTATTTGAATTATTAGTGCTGTTTCATGAAACTCTGCAAAAATCACCTGACATCAAGGTCATATGAGTTGTAATATGAGTTCTACAATCTTTGTAGACAAAGCATTCAATCAACCTTTTCATCTAATATCGCATTAGAGAAATGAACATACTTTTATGTGAACAAACTCGGTTACTTAAACAAACCTAGTTTGAAGTTTGCATATATTATGCAGAAATGCGCATGTTTCTTTCTGTGTTTTTCCGAAATTATCCGCAAAGCCTTCAATTATTCGACAACAAAATAACTTTCTTCACTTAAAAGTACCAACAAAAGACCAGAGTCTGGAAAAACTATGCTGTGTGGTGCAAGCTTTTATTTGTGATACCTGTTATATTTCAATCCATAGTAAGGATAATAATTAACACTTTCTCAAACTTATAAAAAATAGCAAGAAATGAAACGGACAGGAATTGAACCTGCAGCCCTTCGATCGCTGCTCAAAGAACTGGAGTCGAAAGCTCTACCATTGAGCCACCGCTTCGAATTGTAGAACTTTAATTGTTACGGTTTATATAGCACTTTCTATGAACGCACATTCTTCAGGTTTTTGTTGTGTATGAATGTTTTAATGGTAACATAATAATTCAAAGTATTTCGTAGTAGGTTTTGTTTCGGAACTAGTATGTTTTGCTACTGTTGACTCAGAGAAAACCTTTGTTTCCAAACTAATTTTTGAACAACAGATTGAGGTCTGGAAAAGAAACCTCTGTTATCAGAATCAAACCAAACTACAACCATACAATCTGACTCTTTCTGTGTAAATCATACACCCAGCTCAAACAGCTCCATAAAATTACGAAAATAAAATGCTATCAATCTTCAGATATTAACATCAGGCTTTATTCAAATCAAAGCACTTTATTTTGTTGTTCTTTTGAATTGTCTTTGTGATCGTTTGCAATTTTTTAATAATTTATATACTGTTTCTATTAATAAAAATCCCCATGATTTCGATGAAAGTTAACTAAAATTACTACACAATAAAGTCTGTTATTTTGTTTTTAGACCTAGTTTTTCATAATCTGATTCACTTTTCGTTTTAATTATTAAAGCAGAACTGAAAATGATAGAGGAAAACCTTTAAAATTGAAAATTAAAATATCTGAATACAGAAATCTATACTCCACTATTCATCCTATATGCTTCTTTTGCTCCATTTAATCTCGAAACAATTTTTGAGCTCTGATTAATACTCAAAGCTTCAAAATCATACCTTTTCAATTCGTTTGAGTTGACTTTCATTATAATAATTTTAAAATTAATTGGATTTCTCCTTGCTTGTTTAACAAGCTTCATTTGCTTTATATGAAAGCTAGAAGTCTTTGTCATGGTTGAATCATATCCAAAGGCATCATCTGCTGGCAATATATATATGTAATCGCCATCTATTGCCAATACTCTTTTATGTTTGTAAATAAATGCCATTGGTTGCTTCCTCCAAACAGTATAACGTTCCAACTGAAAGTCTGATTCATTTCCAATTACATTAGAATGTCTTTTATTTTTATTTTTATTATTGCTATTGTTATTGCCACTACTATTATTTGTGTAATGGTTTATTAAATTTTTCGACTTGCTCTTAAAGGAATTGGAAAAAAGAGATTTTTTCCCAGTCAAAGGCGTATTAATAGATGTTTTAGGCTGAAAAAAGTTAAATGAATCTGTTGGATTGGTTAAACCTGCAATTGTTAATTTTTTGGGTAATTGATTTGATAGCTTTCTCTTTCTCTTCTTTAGTCCTAAATGTTTACTCATTGTCTTGGTCATCAAAAAGAGATCAAATTGATTGTTTAAACTTTGAATATCATCATCGCTGTTTAAAACTTGATTTTCTTCTTTAATCTTAAGATGATAATTATCACTTTTAAATTTTTTGTATTTGCAGGCTTTGATTATAACATCTTTTACTTTCGCATTTGGTGAGACCCATAAAGGAAAAAATATTTCGTCAGAAGGATAAATATAAATTTTTAATTTTATCTGTTTTGATTGTGAAATTAAACTTGTACTCTCAAAACTTTCATTGGTCCTAGTAGATTGCCTTCTAGTTAGTATACTTGACGTACTTGGTTGTCTAAATAACATCGAACCCGAGCTTTCAGCTCTTTTTCTTTGAAGATTTGATAATCTCAAAATATCTCCAGCATCATTTGAAACTGACTCAATTTTTGAAGTATCTGAACTTTCAGATTTATCCTCCTTTTCTCCATCTAGAGAATAAGGCAAGGGAGTAATGTTTTCATTTTCTTTGGCTTTTTCATCATTATATTCAAATAAACCAATTTCATCAGTACTATACGCAGCAATCGTTGAATTTCTATCTAAAATACCAAAATCTTCATCAAAAGGCTCACCTTCATCCACAATTTGTAAATACCATTTGTTAGGATTAATATATTTTTTATCGATATTGGATTTTTCTTTAAGCTCTTCTTTAGTATAATTTAATAATACAAACCCAATTAAATCAAACACTTTTGCTTCTTTTGAAATAACTAATTTCATAGGTGATTCGCAAAACTTTTTAGAATCTTTAATGTAAACCTCTATTTTATTAACATTTCTTTTATTCTTAATCTTTTCGCCAGAAACTTTTTCAAATATATCCAACGGAGATTCATCATTGTTGGTTTTCTTATCATTCAATAGAGCAGTTAATAAAGAAACTTTAGGTTGAAAATTTGTCGGGGTTGTTTGTTTAAATTTTAAAAATGGTGGATTACTGTGATTTTGATTCAGTTTTGAATCACTTTTATGAACTTCGTTAATATTAGCATCAGATTTATTGACTTTAAATTTCATTGAATTTTTTGAATTATTTCTAGGGTTAACTACGCCGATTGTATTATTACGATTTCTTGACAGGTTAGGAAATTTTATTTGCAGACCCGATTTATAGCTAATGTTACTTTTTGATCTTGGTCGTAATTGAAAGTTGTTGGTTCCAATACTATTGAGGTTGTCATCATCATCATTAAAACTAGAGCTATCGCCAATGAATGAAGAATTAGATCCGAGTAATAATGAATCGGTATCTGAAAAACTCACAATCTCATCGTTAGAAATTAAGTTGTTTGTCTTTGCAATATTATCATTTGTTATATTGGTATTGGCATTGTTGTAATCAATTCTTGATATATCAACACTGATTAACTCTGAAGTACTCTTAACCTGATTTTTATTTTCCATTTGACGCTTGCCATTATCAGCCATCAAATCATCTTCATCGGAACTATCAAAAATAGAATTATTGCCTGAAGAATCAAATTTGGATGAACTAATACTTATGCTACTATTATCGTCGTAATTTTGCTCTTCTGTAGTCAATTGATCCGTCGAATCATTTTGCTGATTAATACGGTTCATTTCATCCTCTTCATCACTAGAATCTTCATCGCTATTTTTGCTATTATTTGTCACAGAGGTTCTATTAAATAATTTTGATATTGATTGTCTATAGCCTCCACCTCCTGTATTACCGATTACAATAATCGGTTGTTCTCTTTGTTTATTATTTGAAACCGATATACTGTTTCTGACCTTTGGTAGAGTCAAACTATCCAACAAATTTCCGAGACTAGATCTGTTTGTTATCTGATTTTGATTGTTATTCGCGTTTGTAATAACCGAAGCTGAAGTGATGCTACTTTTACTGTCATTGTTTGTATTTGTATTTGTATTGTTGTTGCTGTTATTGTTACCAAGATTAAAAATATTAAGAGTATTATTAAGAGTAGCATTGGAAGCAGTTGGTGCGTTATTCTCAATAATTGTATTATTGGAATTGTCGACAAGAGAAGAAATTTCAATATCACTATTGGAATTACGCTGCTGAATGGTATATAATGAATCCTTCAATGTTAATGTGTTGTTTGTTTCGTTTTGATGTTTAGGATTAGATATACCTATTAAATTATTGTTTTGACTGGCTATTGTATTGATATTGTGGTCATTGTTTGGAGGTGTTATAGTGTGCTTATTTAAAGAATTAAGATCAGTTGAAGAATCATTATGTAGATGAAGATTGTCAGATAATGATTCATTAGATCCATGGTTGTTGAATTTAAAGCTGCTGTTGTCCTTCATAGCCAATGATGGATGGTTGTAACCAGCATCATCATCACCATCGCTCGATATTGAATCCAGCTCATTTTGATTTTGTCGTCGTAATTTATTTAGCTTTGCTCGTGTGTCTTCAAACAAATTGAATTGAATAGGAGGGGACTCAGACAAATCTGTGATATTATTGATGAAATCTTGGTTTTGAAGATAACTATTTAAATAGTTCTGGTTTCTGCTGGATTCAAACTGGTTATTGCTGCTGAAAGGATTGTAGTTGGGAAACTGGGGCTGTTGGTTGATTAGTCGAGAGTATTCTGTCTCCTGGTGATAGGGTTCTATGATTCTTTTCGATATCCCATCGTCGATAGTGGACAAGTAGGAAGATCTAAATTTATTGATGAGATAGCTTGTATCTAAAGGCAAAGCCATAGCAAGATTATCAGAAACTGTCTTGGATTCAAGGGCAGTTGTGGATCAGACATCAATTTATTCTTCAAGTAGTTTTCATTCTTCTGAAAGGTACATTTCTCCCATTCATAGAGGGTTTCATCATGTGACTTGAAGCAAAATACAAATAATTCTCTTATCGAAACTATGTTTTTGCAGGGGTAAGCAATACAGCAGATGGTTGATTGGTAAAATATTGATATAGTCAATGTTGAGACAATGATTGATATCAATTGGAAAAGTTTGAGCTTGTTATTTGGTAGATGTTGAGTAACTTTAACCACTGGTGGATGCACTTGGACCCTGGTTGAGATCCTAAGCAAATTACGGGAAAAATTACAGATAGAGAAATAACAAAAGGAATGAAAGTGAAAGTGAAAGTGAAAATAAATTAAAATTAAAATTAAAATAAAAGAAAAATCATACTAGTAATTATGGAAAGTTGACTTTCAGTGGTTAGAATTTGTATGATTTTTGGTCGTTTCATTAAAATTCTCTTTTAGTTCTTCTATTTTTTGTCTACCTTGGTTTTCAAGTTCTATTTTTGCTTTTTCTAATTCGAATTTAGCCTTCTCAAGGTCGATTTTGGTTAGTTGCAGTTCTTTTTCCTTGACTTGTTTATCAAAATCGTCGTGTAGGAATTTTTGGAATCTCTTGATGGCCCAATTTTTACCTATGAAGATGATATCAGGATCGCTTTTACCTTCAGATAATGTGAACCTTTTCCAAAAACCCGGGTCTTTCATTCTTTGGTCTTCCTGAGGTAAATGTGAATAAAAAGTGTCTCTAATGTTCAACACAGAGGATCTAACATAAGCAGCTAAATCACTTCTTAAATCTTTAGCCTCTGAACCATTTTTCAAGTTTTCTGTAAAGTCAGTTAATTTTGCGTTTAATTTTTTTTCTTCACTTTCGACTAAGTTTTCCCATTTTTCACGATATTTAAGAATTGTTGAATCATCTATTGGCTTTCCAATTACAATATTTATTTCATTCCTAAAATTTCGTGGCAAATATCTTTTAATTGCAGACTCTGCTGCATCTTCTGGAGCGATTTTTTCAAAACCTGTGGAAAATATAGGCAAAATTACTGGTGGTTTAACAGATTCTAATACTAATCTTGAAATACCCCATCTAAAATATCTCATTGAATTGTGGTGAGGAGGTTCTAATTGTAATACAAATCCTTCGGGAAAAATATGAAGCCAGGAGGTTTTCTTTCTGTTTATTGGTAAATTTTCCTGTTTATTAAAGGGTTCAGGCACACTATCATCTGGAGATAATATTCTTATGGCAGCGTCGACGGAACCTTGGAATGGACCAACTCCAAATCTTTCAGTGCTTAAAATTTTTCCAAAACTAAAAAAATAATTCAATGTAGGATTTTTAAAACAAACATTGCTTGCACCCAATCCCCATCTGATATTATCAATATCAAAATAAAACTTCATAGGTAAAACACCCCAAAGAAGTGGATCGTCCACAACAGACATATGGTTCATCACAGTTAGCAAAGCTCGATTTTCTCTCCTTGCTTTATTGAGAGCATCAGTTAAATTGTTCAAGCCCTGGATTTGGGGTTTATATACAGTATAAACAAAGAGTTTTGAGGCAGATATAATGGTGAAACAGGTAAATTGACTGAGATAGTTCCACCATCGATTTCTTCTAGGATACTGTTTAAGAAAATCATCACCTCTTTGCAAAACAGAAGGAAAGGTCATCTTATAAGAGTCATAGACAAAAAAAAAAGATGCAATAAGGATGTTTGAATCGTAAAGCTCTATTGAAACAACAAAGAATTTGGCGAATAAAGTATATACAAGTGGATTATGTTTGAGTAGAAACGACTATGCTATTCTCATCGACACCATTATTGTTGATAGAAATCTCTGAGATGCACACAGAAAAGTGAAAAAAACTGCAAAAAAAAGAAAAAGTATTGGTGAACCGAAAACTACTCCCAGCACCAAAGAGCTGGATTAATGGTTGTTCCCGCAGCGACGGTGCCGAAACGCGCATGTTCCAGCAACGTGGCCGACCTTTCCAATCGGGACAGGACTTTTGGAAGACGTTCTGATATAAGGAAAGGCCCAACATGAGAAACCCAACATGAGAGGCCCAACATGGAAGACCTACTATAAAAGTGTCTGTTTTTGCTGCTTGATTATCGCTGTGAAGAAGGTAGTTGAAGCACCAGTTTTTGGCTCTTTGGTACCAGCTGTTTCGTGGCTTCTTATTGCTAGACAGTTGGAGTTTCCAAAATCTGCCAATGAGAATAGTCTCAGCTGTTTTTCTTTGATATCTTTCTCTGTTGCTTTCTTCTTTTTCATTTCTTTTGTCAGTTTTATTTTATTTTGTGGTTTCAATAAATCAGAATCAACATTGAACAATATATTCGGCTTTTTGGTTTCAAATCAAATCAATAAAATGCAGCAATATAAATTGTAAAAACAGAATACCAAAAGGGGAAACTTGATAGAACTGATTGCTTTTACTCAACTCAAAGAGTTGGGGTTGAGTAAAAAACATCTGTTTTTAATATTTCTTCTTATAATAGCTGAGTTTTATTTAGTATATGTTAGATGTGCTGGACTTGTTAAATGTATTTAATTCATAGCTTCTAAAGTTGTCTGTTTTATAAAATCTTTAGGCACTTATTTGTATGTTCAAAAAACTGAAATATGACATTATAATATATCTTGCTATGTTTATGAATAAATTTGATTTCAATATTGTTTTTTTCTTTTTATTTGTTTTTTTTCTTTTTCAAAAGCAAAAACAAAGACTGTTAATATGTAATTTATTTCATCATTTACCTTTTCGTTGAGTAATGATTTTAATTTCATAAAGACTGACCCACAAACGCACTGAAAATATCCGTTACTACTGGAATAAGCACCACATCAAAAACAACTTTTGTTTCAGCAATTAATATCCACAACCAAAAAGTTTCTTTTGCTCAATTATTTTTAATTCATTAAAACTAATAAAAGAGTTGTGAGAAATAAAATAAAATGGCTCATTTCGACAGTGTTTCGTCAGCAAAAGCAGCAAAAGCAACAGAAACAGCTCGAATACCACCGCAAGTTTATCCAAGTGGAAGATGCGGTTTTAGGCAGCTTTTTGATTGAAAAAAAATTTAGTATTTGTCTTTTTTTGGCTCAAGAAATGATTTTTTATTATTGCTGATTATTACTGATTACCTTATGTTTGCGATATTTAAAGCAATGTCTCTTTCAAAGTTAGGGAAGAAATTGGTTGATTCAGCCCTGATAATGTTGAATGTTTCAAAAACGGTTCAGTTACTTTTAGTCACACATTCATATCTGACACTTCATCTTAATCACTAGTAAAATGCTGAAATTATGAATCATAGTCTTAATTGAATTTTTTGAATAGCCTTTGAGAAAAAATTTGGCATTTGTAAAAAAAAATGGCTACAGAAACCCAGATGGTTTCGTTCTTCAGGGGAGTATAACTTCAAGAGTTGAACCAAAAACAAAGATAAACAAAGATAAAAAAAAAATAAGAACAAGAACGAGAACAAGAATAAGAATAATATCAAATCAAAAATAGGGTCTAGTGATCAGTGCAATTCAGAGGTTTTTGCAGTGGAAATGCGACTTCGATAATGAAGATAGTTTCAAAATCAGCTTCAGAGTGTATATTTGCTGTTTCCCTCTTCTGGCAGATCCTTCGTGTTCAGAACCGCATTTATTGGGTATTATTCATTCTTTTGGGGCAATACAAAAAGCTTTTTTGTTTTTGTTTTTTGGTCTATTGTTTTCTTCATGTTGCTATTTTTGATTTTTGTTCTCTAAATTCACTACATTCTTGAAAATACTGGAATTTTCCATTTAGCTGTTTTTCTTTGGTTTTCTATTAATATTCCCTCAAGATGATCTCTGTTTTGACCCCTGAATTGATGTAATTCTGTAGTTTTATCTATTTTCTATTGCGACATGAAAATATTGTTGAAATATTGTAGGAATATTGTAGAACTATTTGTGGTTATAGGGCTATTGAAAAAATTGAAATGAAAATGCTTCAATTCATCCCATCCAAATTCATTTCAATAGTTATAAATAAAGTTAAAATCATGTCGATTCGGGTTTCAAAATAATACATTATTCAATTCCTGGACCTGCTAAATGTATGGTTGCACAGTTCATATTTAGTTTTGGTATTTATCTTGTTTATCATATTTTTTATTATGCTAGTGATAATTGATTTAATTTTGAATAAATAAATAAAGGAAAAAAAAAGAGGAAGAAAACAAGATTAATTGAATATTACAAATTCAAATGAAAAACAACTTCAAAATTTGTAATTTTTTTATTTTGTTTCTTCTGTATACAAAAACAATCTTTTTTAGTCAATTATAAACGAAATTTGGAACAAAATCTCATAGAAAAGTATCCAATTGTTGTCTTGGAAATTCATTTTTTAAAAACAATATTTGTAATTCTGCTACTCTACTAAATAATATCGGTCCAGTTTGCTAATTGAAATTGAATATTATTAGCAAATATTATTGAGCATTTCAAAGTATTAAATGTAAATTATTGTTTATTCAGTAAGAAAGTTAGGTTAGATACAAATTTGAAGGTTTGCTAACATCAGAACCAAGACTATTGTTCCATAATTTGACTGCATTCAATTTCTCTTCATATATTTATATTTTCGAATTTTTTTATGGTCCTGAGTCTCAAAGCCAGTAAATCGCAATATCATTAGATAAAAGCTACTTCCTAAAGCCAACCTCAACTTGAAAACTACCAACTTTAAAACAAGAAAAATCGCCTTTGTTGCCAATTTTAACATCTCTGTGACCACCAATCTGAGTATAATGTTGTTGGCTAGAGATAGAGCCAACCTCCGGTTTAATGCATTTTTGATAACAATATATGATAATTGTTTTCTTTGCCTGTTTAGTCTAGCTGGTTGCCTTTATGTACTGGTAAACAGTTGTAATTTATTGTTATTGTGCACTGAATTTTCTTGTCAATAGTTATAGTTTTTCCAGCACAAAACAATATCTTATTGTGTATCTTTATTGTTTGAACAAATTTTGACAGTTTAATAATGCGAATAGCAACGAAGCCAGAGCATATATCAAAAACAATTTACAAAAGTCAGCTTAAAAAAACTTAAACTGGTTCTTGTCTTTCTGTCCAATTCTCTTATTTGAGGATCAATCATTTAGTATTGAATAATTTCGTAATCTAAAAAAATGAATAGAGCTTTTACTATCTATTAAACTTGGAGTTTCTACTCTAAATTATAACAACCCAAAATGCCTAAAAGAGGTTTAAAAACGATTTTAAGAGACTTAAAGAATATCTAAGAGCTATCAATTTATTTATCTCAGTGATCAAAAATCACTAATTTTTCATACTTGCCTTCATGTAATGTTTTCAATGACATTTATCTGTGATTATGAATCATAGATCATATATCGTAGTTCACTAATGGAAAATCGTGGACTGCGATTCATTTTTATCAAAATTTTTGTTAAAACACATATCCTCTTCTTTTTTTATCATTCTTTGAGTTGTGTAATTATAATGACTCTGCTTCATCGTGTTCAAATTCTATTTTCATTAACTGTTGCTACTGCTCAAAGAAGGCATTGTTTTCAAAATTAATTTGGAACCTGTTAATATTAATATTGCCGAAATCTTGATTAAGAGCTGTTTTTATTTGATATCACTGAGATATCCTATTTCAAATCATTTCAGCATTGTTCATGATGTTTTTGACGTTCATGATTCTTATTTTTTGCCATTAAAACCAAAAACATAGTTGCTAAATTTTGCATCTTAAAAATTCATTTTAGAAATTCTAATATATTGTTTACAAAAATATGTTTAGCTGCGAAAAATTGCAGATTGTTTGTCTTATATTCTCTTAATAAAAAACAAAGCAAAGACTGAAGAGTCACAAATAACATCACTTAAGTGAGTAGATCTGCCATTTGTTATTATAGAACAATAATGTACTATAATTAGACAAACGAGGCCTTTGGTACTCCTCAACACATTAGTTTAGTCTGCTGTCATAAATTAAACTCGAACAAATATTAAAACACCAGCTTATTTTAATGCTATTGTTATATTATTATTGAATAGCTGTTATCAACAAATCAGATATGCTTTAAACACAAATTAAGTCAACTTTTTGCTAAGGTTGAAAGCCATCCCAGGCTGTGTAAAAGATCTGTTTTAACGTTTTGGGTCTGTTTTGATAATGGTGTTCTTTGTTTAACAGAACCTTCCTTCAACGATTCAGGTTTAAATAGAATTGATGCTTGTGATAGTTAGAAGGATTTTAACAAGTAACAAGAGGAATGGCTCGATTACAGAGTGAGGTTTACGATTATGAGTGATTGTATTTGTTTGTTGTAGTGAAATGCTGTATTGAATAGTTAATATAGGTGATAAATGTAGGATTAAATAGAGACAAAATAAAGAAAGTTATTTTGAATGAATGAAAATGAATAAGAAAATAAAGTTAAAAAAAGAAAAAAACCATAAAGTAATAATCTCTATAAACAGCAGGTAAAAGGATGAAAATATAGTAATAAGGCGAAGTGAACAAAATGAAATCAAAATATATGATGAGTATCAGTTAAAGATATGAGTTAAAACTAATATTAAAAGAACGAGTTGAAGCAATTCCAAATATTGATGACTAATAAAGATTATTAGCAGGTGTTATTTTTTCTTCTTCTTTCTTTCTTTCTTTCTTTATTAATTAAGGAATGATATTACAGACTTTAAAATAGTCACCAAGTAAATTATTTATCCAAAACCAATTTTAAAATAAAGTGTAGTATTAGCAGCAGTATTTGTAGAGGCGAGTAAGTAATAAGTAGATATTTTTGAAAATAGTACAAAACAAAACAAAATAGATAAGAAAAAATAAAATAAAAATGTAATAAAAATGAAATAAATTAGTGAAATAATTAAATAGGCAAAATAGTAAGCTTGGCTTCTTAAATAGTACAAATTAAAAAAAATAATAGTAAAATAATAAAAATATCTTTTATTTGATTTATTTTTATCATTTATTTTTGATTTTTATAAGAGATTTATATGGAAGTGGAATAATTAGAATTGGGTATTCTTAACGAATTGAAATCGGGGGTGGGGAGACCCAAGTGTGATATGTGTGGCAAAGTTATTTGTTCTTTAACTTTTTTTGTATCAGCAGATTCATGAGGTCTTGGAAACTGTTGGTTAATAGATGAAGCAAGTTGTGAAGTGTTTAATGGAGGTAGTTTGTAGGGCTGTTGATTGTAGTATTGGTTTTGATAAGGTTGTGGCGTTTGCGGTTGGTGAAGGAAAGGCTGGGGAGATGTGATTGGAGAGCTGTGTTGTACCATTTGGTTTTGAATTGGCAGCATTAAATTGGGAGATAGAATATTGTTGGCGATCATCATTGGAGATTGGTTTGGTTGGGGCTGAATAGGGATTTGAGAGTGCAATTGGTTTGGTAATTGATTTTGAATGTGATTTGAGACGTCATACTTTAGTTTTTCATTAGCAGCTTCTCTAGATTTGCAATATGAACAAAGATTCTTTTTGCCAGATCTTCTGGGAATATATCTATAGCCAGGATATTTCTCAGCATGTTTCTTTTTTTCTTCTTCGGCAGCTTTATTCCAGTAGGCCTTTTGATCAAGAGGCAAAGCCCTCCATCTTTTGCCCAATTCTCTGGATACGTCGGGATTGGTTCTTATGATATTGCCTTCATCGAGAACGGATTGGTGGTATTGCTGACGAAATAAAATAAAGGCATTTCTGGGTCTTGGAATGTGGTTTGAGTCGTTTGTAGAAGAGTTTGAGTTACGACAAGTGCATCTGTCCAATATCACATTCGTGTTGGATGGACTTGTGCTATTTGAAGATTTTGATTTGTGAGACGCAGTGCCGCTGGACAGTTTAGAGACTCTATTGTTATTTTCTTTTATGATTGGGTAATCAATTGATTCGGAGGTATTGTTGGGGATGTAACTATTTGACATGTAGTTATAAGGTTGTGAAACATGCTGTGGGTGCTGGGAGGAGCCATATATCAATTGCTGTTGTTGAGATTGGGGTGGTTGTTGTACTTGTGGGTTGGGGGTGATGAGAGATGTAGAAGAGAAGTTGGATGGACTTGGATAGTATGAGGAGGATTTCAGCAGACTGTAGTTAGCCAAGGAGTTAGGACCAGTTGCTAAAAGTTGGTTGTAGTATTTGTGGTCAGTGTAGGTCATGTTGGAGAAAGATAAAGACCAGTATTAGAAGTGTAATTGTGTATTATGTTGTAGGTGGAGTTACAAAATATAATCAAGTGAGGGCGATGGTAAACCAGGAGGTAGAAATGCGAAATTGATGAGACGGAAAAAGTGAAAGTAAATCAAAGATATAATTTAGAAGTCCAAATAGTTGTAAAATGAAAAATAGATAAATGTAAAAAGGAAAAACAGAGAAAAGTGAAGCTTATTTATATCAATTTTATAATAAATAGTTAAATTTCTGAAGAACATGATTGTACATTAACTTTAAATATAAACCTGCAGATGAACTTTAAAGTTTTAATTATCTGCATTGAGATCTACAAAGCATAACCAGGATTTGAACCTTTTCAGGGGAGAGCCGTCTCCTGACGCACAAATAAATAAAGCTGCTGTGACTAGCGTTGTTTCCGTGACAATATGAATTGCCTGCAAGCAGCTGTGTGCGTCGGTGTTCCAACGAAATATGGCACATGGATGACCTTCAGCAGGATTTGAGCCAGGTCAAGGGGCGACCAGCGCGGTGGATGCGATGGAAACAAAGAAACTGATGAAGAGAGAGTTGTTTGTGAGAAGTTGCTTTTGTTTCTGTGTTGTGTTTGAGATCTGGAGTTTGGATGGAGGTGTTTTCAGAGCCAGGCTGGAGTTATTCCAGACAGCTTTTGCGAAGTATGAGCTATGAGATGAGATAATAGCAAGTCTATTGTTTTTGATTACGCGTGTACAAATTCGGTTATAATTTTTCCTATTGATAAATTTTCTTTTTATCAGGTAGGTTTGCGTTTGAGATTTGTTTCATTATTGATTAGGATGTATCTAAAAGGTAACTGGGAGTCAGTTCCTGGTTCCATGTTGTAAGAAGAGTGTAATAAAGAGCTATTGTTTGAATCGCAATCTCTTTTGTTTGCTAAATTGCTATCTAACACAGAAATTCACCAAGAAAAAAGGAAGATCTTCAGCCCAAAAAAGAAAATACAGTTTGATGATTTCAACTGAAAATCCTTTACTATTGGACTATTTGCAGTGCTAGCACTTCAAAAAGGTCAAGAGCAGTGGAAGAGCGAAACAGAAAAAGAAACAAAAAAAAGGCACATTACAATAGGCGAGTTTTTTTGTTATCTTTGTGGAGAATATCTTAAAACCCAGACAAAAGGAAAAAATGAGTGAGAAACATCGATATTGAAGGCAGTAAAGGTCTGCCAATTTCACTAGTTTTACTAATTTTACTAATTCCACTAGTCTGATTAATCACTTCGATTAATCTCCAGCAGTACATGATGATAAGTGCATTGAATTGTTCCAAGAACACTGCCATTCAGCTAGCAATTTCTACAATATATGCCTGAAACCAATTATGTTTTATAATTATGTTCTAAGTTTGCATGTTTTTCTTTTGGTTTATTTTTTCCATTTTATTTTATTTCATTTTATTTTATTTCTATTGCTGTTTTTCTTTTTCATTGCGCGAAAAAGAAATTTCGCTTCCGGCTTCAAACTTCTTTGGTGATATCCAGTACATAATAATTTGTTTAAAACACTTAATTTGAGCAGTTCATAATAGGATTTTCTTAATTTGCTGCAAAGACTACAGATTAAATTTTTTGCTTTTGTAATTTTCTGTGATTTTCTTCCTTTTTAAGAACCTGAATTCTATTGTTGTAAAAAAGGATTATTGAGATTTATCAGAGATCTCAAATCTCCACCTTAAAACAATCAGGTGCTAGGCAAAGAAGGGAAATAAGCAACTTTATCATATCAATTTTTCCTTTTCCAAAGTCTAATTGGCATTTCCTATGATGTATTGTGCTTAGACAATAATCCACTGAAATAATAAAATTAAATAATAAAATGGTACAAAATTCTATAAAATTCTATAAAATTCTATTAAATTGTGCAAAGCAATGATATAACTGCAATTTCATTTGTTTTTCCATGGATTTCGATTGGTTTCTGCATAGTTTCATCCCGATCAAATGGGAGCTTCCAGAATTCTGATTATTACTAAACTGAAGATTTAAATAAGGATGCTGAAGCAAACTTTGCGGGGCGAAATGTCGCACGCGCTTCCAGTAATGTCCATATTGACAATAATATTTAAATTAATAATAATTAATAATAATTATGTTTATTATTTATCGGCAACATAAGAAGTTTTTCGTGCCTTTTTTTTGATTTTGGATCATTCATCAATCAATCAATCAATCAGATTTTTAAAATCCCCCAAGATTTTGCTCCGGGTGAGATAATAATGATATTATTACTTGTAGAGAATATTTCTTCTTATGTCATCATCACGAATCCAGAAAGGAGTTACGGATGTAAGTATAAATATGGATGAAGAGAACAGGTCAGGGCTACAGTGTGAAAAAATAAAACACTGGTTTGTCACAGATTTGATTGTTAGATCTTTGACTTTGGGCCTAAATGCAACACTCCAAATTCAAAGCAAACATTCACCAGATCTGGTTATGATTCCACCCACGACACTTTACACTATTTTTTAAAACAATACAGAACTTATCACTTTAACTCTTTGGGAAGTCCTGTATTTTTCTCACCATTTATGAGGCTGTGCTGATAGAAGTAAACAACAATATTGTTAATATATTATATTAGATCATACATCTATTTACTCATGCACAATACAAAGCAAAATAGTATAAACTCTAAAGTCAATTCTCTGTAGATATACAAACCCTAAACTGCTAACCGTAGTGCTAATTTGATTGATGTTAACTTTATTAGGGAAGGTAAGCTCACATATTACACAAAACCGCAATTATCAATCTTGTTTTGAACTGATTTAATTGAAAAAAATGGGTTTATTTACTCATCTTGCTGATTATTTTGTTATTTTGTTATTTTGTTGTTTTATCAATTTGTATGTCTGTATTAGTAATGAAACCCTTCCAGCCAATCACAGTCAACACACTGTCTGCCAATTTAATCTTCCCCTTTAACAATAAATTTCCTGCTTATTACAACACAGGTGTGCAAAACAAAATTCTAATTTAAACTTTTAGTGCAAGTGTTCAGATTTTAGATTGCTAACAATATCAATTCATATCCAATTCACTACCGTTTTTGCTATAATTTATTTTGCAGTGTCTAAATTTTCGTTTATTCTTGTTTATTACCTTTTTTCTGATACTCATTTAATAGATTCAAGCTAAACAATATATCGCTGATACAATACTTATTAACACAGTGTATTTAATAGTATTTAACAGTGCCTAATGAATAATCTGGTAGACAAATTTAATGATTAAAATTAGTGATTGATATTAATTACCAAATAAATGAAAAAGAAAAAAAAAATTGGTGAAAAAATAGTGAAAAGATTTCAGAGTAAAAATATCAATGGGAAATCAAACTTTCTAATCAATCACTGTACATTAGGTTCTAAATAGGTAAAAGCTCATGCACTGAAAATTAAATTTCAACAAAGACAATTGAAGAATGTAAAGATATGACTGTTACAAATATTAGAAAAATAGTTTAAAAACACTTTTTAGACGCATAAAAAGTGGAAGAAAAAAATAAGAAAAAGCAAGAGAAAATAATTATAATGTTCCAAAATTAAACTAAAAGCCCAACAATTCATTCAATTCATTCACTTCAACTATTTTTCTTTGAGAAAAATATAGATGCTATTACGTCAAATTAGATAACCGCTAGAGTGATATACAGCGATTATGTCATCAGCCCAACTCAAGGATACTCAACATAATTTGCAAACAAACACAAGGGTTAATGAATGTGATAAGAATAGCCTGAATATTTTCAAGTCTGTTTTGTGTAACTCCAAAATTGGGAACTGGGGAGAATGCTGGCTTCTGTTCCCGATTCCCAGTCCTCACTGAATTGGGAATTGGGATATGAACAGCTTTGCTCTTAGCCATAAGCCATAATAAAATAGTTGGGTTGCTATCCCATGGGTATTTAAGATATTCAAAGGTTATTTGAAAGTATAACAATAACGACCACCATATCAAAAATAGGTTTGCAAGCAAAGCGGCAAGTGACTGTTAAATGGTTCACTGGTTGTTATTGTTTATTTTTGCGCTTTGTAGTTTGAGTTATTTTTGCTGCACTTTCTTTGATATCTTTCTTTCTTTCCTCTTCCTCTCTCTTTAAAAACCGTTTTATTGTTATTCCCTCTAGAATATTCTTCACCAAAGAGGTTTTCTGCTCTTAACAGCAACAGCACTTCTAAATATATAAATGTAAATGTATGTATATATACAGAGTGAGTCAGTTCGATCTCATATGACATTTATTTGCTCATTGGCATATTGTAATTATTGTAATATAACTAATATAACTCATTTAGATACTATACTATTTTTATCAAAATTAATTTTTTTCGTAATCTATTTTGTTGTAATTAGATTTCGTGCATTGAAATTAAGTTGCTTAAAGACTTGGTTAAACTTGAATGATAAATAAATGAATTTTATTATTTAATTTTATTCTATTTTATATTACATTACATTTAATTGCTCTTCGTTTCCAAGCTAAAAGTTACAACCAGTGGTTGTACTTTATGGTCATTTATTTGAAAAAACTAATATTCAAACACCTTGAACAATGTTCAGGGATATTCAGTAGTAAATAAATACCCGGAAAAAAAGGACCACAAAAAAGGAATACAACAGCTTTGCAACAGGTTGATCGATCAAATATTGCTATCGTGCCAATATATTGCCAATATATTGCCAATGTATTAACTAATTCCACTCTTCTGAATGGATCCAACTCTCTATTATCCAACGGCACTTTTTCCGAGCGCTGCAATGGCAACCACGACCAGCTCTATTACACAAAAACGATTCCTCTAAATGATAACAAAATACACTTCTAAATGGGCTTAAATGGCCTCTGGCTCTATTCCCAGGCTATTATTAGCCCAGTTGCTTGGGATGAAGAAGAATCGCCATCTCACTGCTCATTTCACCTACATTATCCAAAGCAGTGAAAATACTCCCAATACATTTCCAATTAGGACTGCTTTTCTCTCGCTTTCGGATCAAATATTCGTGGATGCTATTGTTCATGAATATTTATAATCGTGAATAATATTAATTTTTAGAAGTTTATCACTCTACCTGGTTTATTTATAACCCACCGCTGCACAAATTCAGCGCTTGTTATCAAGTCTTTGCTTTTGAACCGTACCTGTAAAAATATCCGCACTTTTGTATCAAGATGACTTGTTATTTACTATCTCGCTTCGCTCTCAATTTTATTTCTTTCTTTATCAAACAATTTATTATAAATAATCAGAAGATTTCTCTCTTTTCAATAACCAAGCGTCACTCTTGCCTTACTAATTCATCGTTAAGCATTTATTTATAACTTGCCCTTTATTCATTCCAAAGTTACTTTAAATATATCGCATCGCTTCTTTGGTCATACAGTTCAATGGATTTGTAATCATTATTAAGTCTGTTGGTGTACATAACATTGTTATTGTTTCCGAGTGTCACACCTACTTTAATTTCATATTGTTTTCTAACAAAAAAAAAGACCCTCCTATTTTTATTTAATGGCGTAAACTATAAATCCACTATATATAAAACAGGTTATTTTAAGCTTTCGCATATGGCTAATTTGAAAATCAGGACAAATTGTTTGCTTGGTAGTAAGAATAATCAAATGCAACAAATTGAAATATAAAATCATCAAAATATCAAGATTAATATCAAAATTCCAAATTTTGAAAGTATTTGAACAATATATGTGCCCTGCTGAGATCTTTATTATTACCAATTTCATTTCATATTTAGTTGATAACTTATTGTTTTTGTCTGTTCAACTGATGATATCAACATGCCGGACCAATCGGCAGATTGCACTTGCCGGTCTTAGCAGGTCCAAAACGCGGGTTTCTTCAGAAGCATGCACGCTGCGCGCCTGCAGCGAAGCACCTGAATACATAGACACGGAAAAACATCACTGCAAAATGTCCGCCGCCAGTCCGCTTTAGTCCTTCATCTTTATAACCGTTCCCGAACCTTGTTTCTGAGCCAGGCCTTCTAGAAGTCCTCCGTCACCAGAGAATGCTGCTCGCTATTGTTCTGCCTCTTCCATCGAATACCTCTGTTTCTTTGTGCACCAGACTTCTGTTTTATTGATCCAGATTTCTGGCTCTGACTGCCTTAATTAGGACGCTTCTTTGTTTTTCGTCCCTACCATCTTATATTGACTCTTCAGCTGACAAGTGCTGTTTCGTTCTATTTCTATTCCCTATCTCATATTCATCCTCGTTCCTTATTACTCATTACTCAGCACTCCAGGGCCAATTGCTGATGCTTCCTAATTCATTGCTGTGCCTACTACTGTTTAATGCACCGGTTCTTAATTGCTTTCAATTCGTTGGTCTCCCTTACCATATTTTCCCATTTCAGAAGAAATTTCATCTTTTTATTATTCCCTTAATTCAATTTACTCTAAAAATGAATATTTACTTTCAAATTTCAAATTCAATTCCACTAATATACCTTCCTTTTTCTTTATATTGCCCTTCCAGAATTTAGCAACTTCAACTTACTTTCCATTCGTTTCAAATCTTATGTATATTTTATGATAAATCTGTTTTTTTTTTCTCTTTCTCTTTCTTTTTCTTTTCTTTTCTTTTTTTTTCAACATATTATATATCTTAAATTGTTTGGTTCCATTTGCTTTCTATTTATCTTTTTTGAAAATATGTCTTCTTTTAGATTCAATCCATCTTCCAATATCTGCACCCATCTTAAACCTATATCCAAACTTTTATTCATTTGTTAAATTAAGAAATCCGAAACCGCGATATTAAACGAAAAAAAAAAATTCAAGTCTTTCAACTTATTATGTCCTCCAATTCTATCTCAATCATATTATTACTACTATTACTACTCAAAATAACGCTATTCATATCCAAAAAAAAAAAAAAAATATAAATCAAACTTGAACAAAATTCTAAAAAAAGAAAAATGGCGATGATATTTCTATTTATGATTCATCACGCCTATCAAGATCTAATAGTTTTTCTAATGCCATCTTTTTAAATTAAAAAAAAAAATTAATTTATCATATTCTCTTATACTCATATTATTCATCATTTTATTATTTCATCTTTTTGCTTTTAGTTATTCCTTTTAATCATTCCTTTTAATCATTCCTATTTGTAGTTCCTTTTTACTGGATCTCACAACTTTATAATATCAAAACTATATTATTATACTTGTCATCTAAAATTATTTCTCCTTTTATCAACTCGTAACAATTCTTTAACTTGAACTTGACTTGAACTTGAACTTTGCTTTACCTTGCAAATTAGATCCAAATGTTCTCCAAAATCTAGTTTCAAAACTTAATATATCGATTAAAACAATTCAAACAATTCAAACAAAACAATTCAATTAAATATAATACAAAAGAAATAAACGCTTTAGATTTTACAAAATCAAGAAAACAAAAAAAAAACAAAAACAATTAAACGATCAAAAAAAAACAACCATTAAATGATAAGCCATCAATAATCAATATTCCCTATCCAAATTATAATTAAAATTAAAAGTATTTGCCAATTTTCACATTTCAAGATCTTTATTCCTCTACTCATTTCTTTTTTTTCGACTTCCATTTGCATTGCAAATTTTTGTGTTATTCACTTTTTTCGCAAACCTCAAGGAATTTAACGTTTCATTAAAATTTTTCTCAAATGGTGGAATTGTAACAAACATCAATGTTTTAGATTTACCACTGAGTGAATATTGCAAGAGGTAAGTTAATTTCGAATTTCGAAATGGTATATGATTGCTATTGCTAATTGAATTATGACCATTAGGTGTGTTGTTATTTCCCAACGCATAAATGACATCTCCTAAACAACTTAAACTCTTATTGATTGCTTGTGTTTCTTTCAATCGTTCACCTGTAACTTGGGATTGCGATAATCTCTCTGATCCAGCCAAGTCAATTAAATTCAAGATTCCCTCAGTATTTTCCCTAGTCATTGGATTTTCTCCAACAATTTTGATTCGAAAAATGCTGTGAGACCTCGATGACCTTTCATTACTCTTCGTTGATGCAACTGATCGATTATTATTTGCCTTGATTAATATTTCATTAACCATATCAACATCAAGTAATTCAATCTCACTCAAATTTGTAATTATAGTCTTTTCATTTAATGGATCATGCCTGATTTCATATTTCAATTTTTTTTTCTTATCATCTTTATTATTGTTATTATTTAATAAATCATGAATTGTTTCATTATAAATCTCTAAAAATTGGCCATATATTTTATAATTCCAACCTTTTAGTTTTATTGTGGAATCATTAATGGTATCAAATATTTGATTAACAGCCTTGGGTATCATACCATCTTTTAAATTTGACATTGTATAAGTTTTACCACTTCCTGTTTGCCCATAAGCAAAAATGCATACATTGAATCCATACAACGAGGTTTTAACTAATTGAGATATTTCATCAAATATTTCTGCATTATTAGTATCCATTCCAAATATTCTATCAAATTCAAAGGAATGAATAACTGAGTTGTAGTTGTTGCCCCTATTATTATAGTTGGTGGTATTAATAGGGTTTGTGCCAAACTGGTTCAATTTTTCCATTGTTATTGGTTCTTTTATTAAGATTTCCTTATTTTCATCAAATTCATCAGGAAATTCCATTGATAACAATTTTTCATTTGTATTTATTGAGGGTCTTATTCTACAAAAGACTCTTATATTTCCTTTCAAATCTTGATACTGATTATGTAAATTTCTTCTCAAGTTTTCTTTGGATATTAATTCTTTATTTATTTTTTCTGTTTGAGTAATATTATATTGTAAATTTTCTTTTATTTTTTGAATTTTTTCATCGATTATAGCTGAATCGTTTTTCAAAATTTGTAAATTTGATGATAAAGATTGATTTAAAAGAGACTTGTCTTTTATCTTTTCATTGAATTTATCATAGTTTTCCATTAAGGAATTTTTTTCGTTTTTTAGATCATTTATGTTTAATTTTATAGTTGAGACTTCGGCTATTATGGATGATAATTTAGTATTGATTTTAGATAAATTGTTATTTAAATTATTACAATCCAAATCAATTTTCTTCTTATAATTGATTAAAATTGAGTTTTTTTCATCATTTAAATCGTTTATAGTTTTATTTGATATATTATCGAAATTTTTAATTTTATCATTTAGTTTATTTAATATATCCAATTTTTTCTGCTTTTCTTGTGAAAGTAGTTCATTTTTGGTTGATTTAATTTTATCTATTTCTGAATTCAATTCTTTTTGATGATTGTATAGGGAATCCTCAAAATTTACAACCAATTGTTTAGAATTTAAATCAAAATTTCTTTTCAAATCATTTAGTTTATCTCTTTTGTTAACATTGACCAAGAAATCTAGTGATTCCTTTTTGGAATCCAAGGTCTTTTTCAAGAAATCATATTTATCTTGTAATTCTACTAATTGAAACTGCAGCTCCTTTTGGTATGCGCATGAATTTATGTAGAGCTTCTTTTGAGACGAGAGTTCAAGTAGCTTTTTGTTGTATATCGCAGTTAAATTCTCCAAGGAACTTTTTTTCTCCAAATTTAGATTTATATTTGATTGGGTCTTTCTCAAGGAAAGAGAGGAAGAAGAAGTTCTTATTGACTTAGGAGATTTAGCCTTTGGAGACCTCAAGCCAGAAGAATTGTTTTGGTAGACCACCAATGTGTTCCTAGGCTTGCTATTTAGAGGATTGTGGCCATTTCTTATGATGGTCGTTGGTTTTATTGGAGTGGTGAAATAACTTTCAGTCTGCAACGACATACTTTTCTCGTTGTTCAATGCTGGCGGTGGTTTGAAGATGCTAAAATGGTTTATCAACGTATTTATATTGTTTTCTGGTTCATTTTGAAGATGAGCAATTTTCCTCGCATCTGTTTCAGAATTCTTGAGAGGTGGTTTTTTTCTGTAGAGATTCAACGAGTTTGTCGACAAAGCAGCTAGTGGTTGATGTGAGTCTGGTCGAGCGACCTTCGCCTGTGGTTGGAAGAGCTTGTCTAGCGAGATGGTGGGGCTTTTCAACCTCTTCTTGCTGGAGTTGGAGCTGAGGCCCATGGTGGAGCAGAGAAATATGGCAGCAGGCTCTGGAGAGCAATTGTGTGACTGAAGAGCAAATGTTTACAGCGTATTCCACTGTTGTTTTGGGTTGTTTGCAGTGTTTGTTTACAAAATCGTGATATATCAGAAACCGAATCGGGCGATTTTCAGCAGAGCGAAGGTGAGAAAGAAACTCAGAGCCTTCAGAGCCTTAGAAGGAGAGCACTCGATGGCAGAAAAGTGATGGACTTGCCCAACACACCTATATATCCTCGTTCTATGCCCTTGGGCTTCGATCAATTGCTCACGAAACCAGACTCGCTCAGGGCTGATGGCGAGTACTCTCTGCTCAAAAACAACTTGTTGACCAGAAGGTCCCTATTGGCCTCCAGTGCCTCTTTGTCTGATTTGAAGCGAGTGATTGTTGGATTGGATGACTACATCCATTCGTTGTTTGACTACTTGGGCTGCTTCTCGTCGAGCCTCAACTCCTCCAACTTCCAGGGAGTAGCCAGCAGAATTTTTTTCTTCGATGCCAGAAAGCAGCTTAATGGTGCCAGTGGTGGTGATGCTAAAGGAAAAGAGAGCCCCAGGTTTAGCATCCCCTGGAGGTTGCCCATAACAGAGAACCAGAGAATAGAGAGATGGTCTTTGCTAGAAGAAATCAAAATATGTGTTATCTCAATTGCACTATGCTATTCAAACTCCACTGTCAATCTTATCAATTCTCACTTGATAGAGATTAATGACAACATCAGTAAAGAGGAGTACGATAATAAATGGAAATCAGTTACTAATTTATACAAAAAGTCTCTTTCTTTTATGTCCTTTTTAGATCAGTTTGATTTTAACAATAATAATGATAACCATATATTTGAATTGAGTTCAAATTATAAACACTTTATTAGCAATTTTTTGAATTTGAATCTACAATCAATCATCTTGATAAAATATTTTTGGAATGAAAGATACAACTCAATAATTAATGATTTAGAATTTGGGATTGATAACTTGAATGCACCTAGTAAAGTGACAATTTCAACATATTCTCTATTAATTAGATCATCCTCGTTTGTAAAAGAAAATCTAAATCTTTTATTGCAATTATTGCCAACGAATTATAATAATTGTTCGGTTTCAAATCTCAAATTGCTTAAAAATTGTTTGAATTTATTCGTTGTATACAATGATTTATTCCTTATAAAATATAAATCCTTTGAAAATTATTATAGTAGTTTATCTGATGATATCTCAACCTCAATTTCCTTAATAAATTACGGGTTTTATCTAATCAATTATGAGTATACTAGTAAAGAGGGTCAAGAATTTCAAAAGGATAGGCTTAATGATGATATAGATAATAGTAATAGTAATAGTAATAGTAATAATAGTAATAGTAATAATATTGATAATAATAATGATAATAATAGTAATATTGACAATAGTAATGACAGTAAAAAAAAATACACAAAACATTTGCATTTCAAATCCAAAAAATTAATGAATTTTAAGAAAACTCGTAATTTGAAAAAGATAGAAAAAAAAACCAATGAAAATTTCATCACTAACAGTAACAACAATAATAACAGTGGTCAAAATGATATCAGTAATATTGGTAATGACAATATCAAAAACTTTGAGAAAAATAAAGAACTTAAAAAACTTCTTAAAAATCCTAAAATTAATGAAATTTTAAATAAGAGAAGCTCAAATTCATTAATTTTCAAAAATTTAAATTACTTGTTAATTAATTTAAATAACTTTAACATTAAATTGAAAAAGGAAAATGATAACATCTCATTTAATAAAGTACATGTTATTGGAACAAAAGATTTTAATAATTTAATACCATCTGGCATGGCAATTCCAACTCAATATGATTTTTGGACACCTCATTCTTTTGATAAAAATAATATTGGTAATGATGACGTGAGTAATGATTATAAAGGTAAAGGAGCATATTATTGATTAATCATTCATAATTATTCAGTGAAAATGATCAATAAATAAATGAATAAATGAACAAATGAATAAATTAACAAATGAATAAATGAACAAATGAACAAATGAACAAATAAACAAATGAACAAATGAATAAATAGATAAATTGGAAAAAAAAGAAAAAAAGAAAAAAACAAAGATAATGAAAATTTTTCATTTATTCCTTTGTAATATCATTCAAGTTTTAAAAGCTGAAGTTTTCCTTCGAGCAAAAAATTATCTAAATCCTTTTTCTCAAATTTGGACCATTCTTCAAAAGTGTAGGAATCAGTTAAGTTCTTGATCCATTCCATTCTTTCTTTGATTTTATTATTTTGACCCACAATTGTCTTTAAATTATTTCTGATATAGCCCAAATTATCGATAATTTTATTGAAATCAACGCCTTCTTTCTCTAAGTTCGGTTTTAGTATTTTGTCATTAATCAATCTCGTCAATCTTGGAGATCTGCCATTCGACGATATTAATATTTGCAAATAGTTGTTTCTGTATATCGAACCAAAATAGAAATCACAATTTTTGGGTCTGTCTGCAACATTGATCACAAAGTTGTTCAACTTTGCTTTCAAGTAAATGTATTTTGATTTGATTGGGTCATCGATTGCAGTCAATATCAAGGCAAACCTGTGGTTTTTGATGTAATTTTCAATGTTGGAATCGAGCTCATCGATTTGCTTGCTGGATAAATCTGGAGCATCCAACTGTCGAGTCAACCTTTGGAACTCTGAGTCGTTTTCGTATCTCGTCAAGTCCTCGTCCTCAAACTCTCTCTGCACCAACTCAAACAACTGGTTATTCTCATAGCGATGTTGAATCTCCCTGCTGATCTTTGGAGCAACAACAGTGACTTTGGCGTTGGCGTTGAGAAGATGATACACCCTCGAAGCAGCCACGTCTCCTCCTCCCACTACAAGCACTGGTCTGTCCTTGACCTGCCACGCAAGCAATAGTGAGCCATCAGGCTGAATCTCTGGGAACTCCTCTTCCATTGCTGTTTTCTCTGCCAAAAAGAGCCAAAAGTGTTAAAAACTGAATTTATTCGAAATCTGTGCAAAAACCAAAAAAAAAATCGAAAAAAAACTCCGGTGCCAGTGCTGTGGATTGTCCTGGAAAAAAAATATTGCTGGTTCGAATCTCACAAAAGAGAATTCTGTTTTATTTCTCTCTGAATTTTGTTACAAGTAAAAAAGCTACAAAAATCAGACCAAGCTCAGGATTTGCCAGCAGCTTTAACCAAATCAAGGAACTTGGACTTTGATATGTCGTTGAGAAGCTCCTCCTTCTTCTGAGCATTGATCGAAAACCCCTTTTTCTTTTGTTTCTCGAGGTTGTTGCTGACCGAAGTGTTGGTCTGGGTTTGCGTTGATAGAATGGCGTTGAACAATTTTATCACACCTCTTTGAGCAACTTTCTTAAAGGCCCTTTCTCTTTCAAAATACTCTCTGATGTTTGTATCGCCTGCACTGGGCAATATGTGCCTGATACGGTTTTGGTCCATTAGACTCTTTTTCTCTATTGAAAGCAATCTTTTTGCCTTTGATTCCAATTTGTCCTCTTCAAACTTCTTCAAACTCTTTTTAGCTCTGACCAACATGGGATCTTTTCTATCGTAAGATTTTAATTTGGAGTTCAATATATTGGTTATTGCATTTGAAAAATCTTTTGATCCATCGTCGTCTCCTCTGTTTCTCTTTTTGGTTTTCTGTTTTTGTATAGGAATCTCATCATCTGACTCTTCAAAATCTTTGGAGGCATCAGAACCATTGGAATCTTCAGAATCTGAGAATTCTGAAAATTCATTGTTACTAGAATCCACATGTATCGTTTTTTTACTCTGTATTTTTTTTACTTTTTTTCTTTTATCCAATTTATTTTTCTTGTCATTTTCTTTTATTTTCTCGTCTTCATCAGACTCAATGTCTCCCAAATCTCCCTCATTGTCCTCAGTAAGTTCCTTTGGGGTCAATTTTTTCAACTTATGCACAGTTTTTGTGGACCCAATTTTATCACTTCCATTTTCAATATCGCTCTCACTATCACTCTCAATAATATCCTCGATTTTTCTCTTGATCTTTCTTGGTTTATCACTAGATTTTGCCTCTTTCGATATCTGTGTCTTTCCAGCCTTTCCTTTTTTATTCAATTTCTGTTTCTTTACTATTTCACCCATTTTGCAATCACCAAAACACACACACAAAATAATATACCGATAAAACAATAATACAAGCAATAAAAACAAAAACAAAATCCAATTGTCTGCAAATAAACTCAAAAAAACTGAACTTTTCACTGCTAAAATAAAAAAATTTATTCACGCCCAAAAAAAATTATTAAAAAATAAATCGCAGCATCACGTGCCTTTTCACTGAATTTTAAAATCAACTGAAGCTGTTTTTTCTTTCTGGAATTCAGAATCAAGGACCCAATTCTCTAAAACATTCACCACAATTGATTCCAATTCCACTGTTCTTGTTTGATATTAGCAATTTGCTATTAACTCGTTGAAGATATACAGGCAATCTGGAAACAAACACAATTGGAAGGACTCATATCCAATTTTCAACCTAACAGGAAAAAAAAGGAAACACTGACAACATCAACGACGGCTTTTTTTTTTCATTCGAAGAATTTATTCAAAAGATTTAGAAATCCTATTCGTTTCTTCTCTTATCCACTAATTTATTAACGTATACGACGTTTTATTTTTATAATTGATCTTATCTGCTTCACTATAAATATATAATAGTTATCCCACCATGTTTGGTTCAACTCTGGCGAATAATACTCCTGCTTTTACATTTGGTGCAAATAATAATAAAAATCAAACTACTTCCACTGGCTTTTCATTTGGTAACGCAAACAAAAACCCCAATTCTGCTCTAGGGGGTGGTTCAGCGACTGGAACATCTACTGGTTTTCTGTTTGGAAACAATAGCAATAATAATAACAATAATAATAACAATAATGCTCCAACCGGGGGGTTATTTGGTAATACTTCTTCACCAAACAATCCCACTGGTGGCTTGTTTCGAGCTAAACCAACTAATACAACCGCTGGGGGTTTGTTTGGCAACAATAATAATACTGCCAATTCCACTCCAACCTCTGCAGGTAGTTTGTTTGGAAACACAAACAATACAAATACTGCTGGTGGTTTATTTGGAAATAATAATGCAAACAATAATAACACCACTGGTGGTTTATTTGGAAGTGCAAACACAAATGCAAATGCTGGAGGTGGATTATTTGGAAACAATAATAATAACAATGCAAACACCAATTCCACTGGAGGCTTATTTGGAAATGCAAACACAAATACAAATACAAACAATGCTGGTGGTTTGTTTGGAAGCACTAATACTACCAGCACAAACACTGGTGGGGGTTTATTTGGAAATCCTACTACATCCAATACAAACACCAACACCGGTGGTCTATTTGGGAACACCAATAATAACAATAATACTAACACAACTGGTTCGTTATTTGGAAATACAAACACAAATAAAACTACTGGTGGATTATTTGGTAATACCAACATTAACCAAAATCAAAATCAAAATCAAAATTCTGGCGGTCTTTTTGCAAATAATAATACTAATACCAATACTAATACCGTTGGCTTATTTGGAAACACTAATAATACATTTGGCAGCTCTAGTTCTGCTGGTCAAAATTTATTTGGTGGCTTGAATAATAATAATCAAGCTTCATCCATCTATGGAAATGCACCTACAAATCTGTCGAATTTGTTTAGCAATAACAACCAACAACCATCATTATTTCAACAGTCTACAACTTTAAATCAAAATCAAAATCAAAACCAAAACCAAAACCAACTTCAATTACTTCAAATTCAACCACAGCAACCAAATTATACTCCTTCAATAATTGACCAATTAATTAAAATTAAAAATGCCTGGGATCCAAACTCTCCTTCTTGTCTTTTAAAAGCTCATTTTTACAATAAAGTTCCTCAAAATACTGCAATACTATACTCAAAACCATTTAATGAATCTCAGGAAGAATGGGACGAAGCAATGTCAAAAAGACCTGGAAATGATTATATTCCCGTAAAGGCATCTGGGTTTAACGATTTAGCCAGAAGAATCGAAGTTCAAACAACTCATATAGCCCAATTTAGAATTGTTTTGAAAAAAATTGAAGATAAAATTAAAGTTATTAATGATAAACATGAATTAGATACTTCCACAAGATTGATAAACTGCAAGAATAAACAAACTCAACTATCTAGAAGAATCTTGAGACTAGCTTGTAATCTCTCAGTTTTAAAATTAAAAGGTTATCCACTTTCAAAAGATGAAGAAAATTTGGTATCAGAGTTCAATAAAATTATTGATGGTTTAAAAAATTCCAATGGTTTGAACGGAAGAGTAAATGAACTATGGGCAAGATTAGCCATATTAAGAGAAAGAAGTAACATACTTACTCAGCAACTTGAAAACCAGTTGGCCATAGTGAATGAAGAAAATTCACCGGATAATAAAAATGGCAACAAAGAGTTTGAATTAGAGACCAAGCAGCAAATTGATAAGTTGATTCAGATTTTGCAAAAACAGCATGCCGGCATTGAGTATCTTTACGAGGTGTTATCGAAAGATCAGGAAGCTCTCACCAAATTAATCACCAAACAGAACTAGGGGTAAAAGTAATTGACGTTTTTTGTAATTGCAATTCTATTCATGTATAATCTTTATATTTTAATAATGTAGAGGCCATTTTCGAGGGTAATTCCTGGTAAATCACATGATTATTTTTATTTTTTCTGAAACTTTTTTTTGAAACTTTTTGATTTGACTTTTACTTGAAAAAAAATTACAAACTAAAATGGATGAAACTGAAGTGTTAGCTTTAATCAATGACTATTTCAAGCGAAGAAAATTGGACAAACTATCGAAATTATTGTTGAAGGAAACAAATCTCAAGAGTTCAAAAATCACAACTCCTGAAATCGAGCTTGAGAAAGCTCTTGCAAAATGGAAAAGTGAGAGCTTGAGTAAAAAATTTTTTAGTTGTGATGCCAAATTATCAAATAATGAACCAAAAAGTGAATCTAATAGTGAATCTGACAATGAACCTAAGAAAACTTCCTTAGAAAACTCTGCTAAAGATTCTGAAATGAGTTCTGTCAAAAAAACAGATTCTGACAATGAATCTGACAATGAATCTGACAGTGAATCTGATAGTGAATCTGATAGTGAATCTGATAGTGGTTCTGATAGTGAATCTGATAGTGGTTCTGATAGTGAATCTGACAATGAACCTAAGAAAACTTCCTTTGAAAACTCTGCTAAAGATTCTGAAATGAGTTCTGTCAAAAAAACAGATTCTGACAATGAATCTGACAGTGAATCTGATAGTGAATCTGATAGTGAATCTGATAGTGGTTCTGATAGTGAATCTGATAGTGGTTCTGATAGTGAATCTGACAATGAACCTAAGAAAACTTCCTTTGAAAACTCTGCTAAAGATTCTGAAATGAGTTCTGTCAAAAAACAGATTCTGACAATGAATCTGACAGTGAATCTGATAGTGAATCTGATAGTGAATCTGATAGTGGTTCTGATAGTGAATCTGATAGTGGTTCTGATAGTGAATCTGACAATGAACCTAAGAAAACTTCCTTTGAAAACTCTGCTAAAGATTCTGAAATGAGTTCTGTCAAAAAAACAGATTCTGACAGTGAATCTGACAGTAATTCTGACAGTAATTCTAGTAGCGACTCTAGTAGTGATTCTAGCAGTGATTCAGATTCAAATAGTGATTCAGGTTCGGATAGTGATTCAGATTCAGGCAGTGATTCTGATAGTGATTCTGATAATGAATCTGATAATGATTCTGACAGTGATTCAGATAAAGATAAAAAGAAAAAAGATTCTGAAAATGAGAAAATTAAAACTAAACAAGATGAAACCATAAGTAAAAAGAGGCATTCATCGGATTTGTTAAATTCAGAAAGAGTTAAAAAAATCAAAAAGGAAAAGGAAGAGAACTTTTCTAATAGTTCTAATGATAGTAAAGAAATTTCATCATCGGATAATAATGTCGATTATGAAACACCTCTCAAAAAGGGCCAAAGAAAACATTTTTCAAGGATAGATTCTGCAAAAATAGTGTTTGAAAACAATGTTTTGACTGATAATACGTATAAGGGTAAAGCAGGAACTTGGGGTGAGTTAGCTAATGATAAATTAAGTCGAGTAAGAGGAAAAGAATTTAACAAAAACAAAAACAAAATGAAAAGAGGCTCATATAGAGGTGGTACTATAACTTTGAGCAGTGGAAGTTACAAGTTTAAAGATTAAAAAAGTACAAGAACTTATTGAATTGATGGCTTTAGTCTGGTATTAATCTTTGGGTTTGATACTCAAAGACGAAAGATTGTTGAAGTTTTTTGAAAAAAAAAACTTATTGTCAACTATTTTTGATTTTTGATTCTTTTTCCTATATATTATATTTAGATTTAATTTTTAAATAGTTGACTTAAATTATTTATTATTCGGGTATTTTTCAATTACGAAAGATACTTAAAAGAAAATGCTACAGAAAACCGAAAGTTGTAAAATATATAAACTCAAAATAACAATAAAATTTCCAGGATAATAAAAGAAAAAAGAAACAAAAAATCTAAAGAGGTTAGTTAACACCAAAAAAGAAAAAGGCAAAAAAGAGAAAAGAGAAAAGAAAAAAGAAAATCAAATAACCATTTATACCCAGTAAAATTGAATAATATATAAATAAAAGAAGCTAAAAATTGGATATATCAATTTTAGAGGCTTCCTCAATTGAAGAATTTAATTTTTCCAAATCATTGAAAATGTTTTCTTTAAAGTTAATGAGAAATTGAACAAAATGATTAACATCTTCATGTAATTTTCTTGCTACATCTTCACTCTTATTATCGAATAATTTTTTTTTTGATTCAAGAACATTAATATCGAATTCTATATTATTTTGATTTGCAGATTCCTTTAATTCTTCAATTTGTAAAGTTAATTCATTTAGTTTTTTTTTTGCGTTATCATTTTCTTTAGTTTGTTTAGTTTTTAGGGATTCTAGTGAAAGTTTGTCATTAGTAATTTCCATTTCTAGAGTGTTTTTTTCATTTTTTTTTGAGGAAATGTTGTCTTTTAATTCACTGATTTGAGATTTTAGGGTATTAATAATCTCTTCTGTTTCTTCAATTTCAAGAGTCAATTTTGAGCCTAGTTTATAAAGTTTTTCTTTAAAGTCTAGATTTAAATAAGGGTTATTTTTCAAAATTTTCAATTTTTCATCTAAATTTTTTAGAGAAAAGATATTATCAAATTTGAAATCTTTTATAATTAAATCATCGAGATTTTGAATAATGAACTCACCATTGGGAAGAGATAATCTTAGGTCGGTTAAGATTTTATTAAGTTTTTGATTGAAACGGTTGACTAAATCAGTTAAATCGGTATAAAATTTTTTTGAAGCCAATTGTTTTAAGTTTAGATTATCCAAGGTTGAAGAATTTTGAATTTTTAAGTCACTCAAATCTTTTTCAAGATCAGATCTTTCATTGATTTTTTTCTGAAAGTCTTCGATTGATAAATTATTTTTTGATAATATAACGTTAAGTTGATTGAATTTTGATTTAGAACTCTCGAGTTCTAATTGGAGTTTATTGCATTCATCATTAAGAATTTTTAAGCGGTTTGGCCATTCATTTTTAGCCAAATGGCATTTGTTGATATATTTATTAAAAGTTATAACATCCTTTTTAAGGGCTTTTGATTTTATGAGTAGTTCTTCTATTTTTTCTAACTTTATTTTCAAATCGTCTAATTTTGTGTTAAAATGAGACACATCCTTTTCTAGTTGAGCGGAGGATAAATCTATAAATTTGATAAATTTATCAATAGTATTTTTAAGGATTTTGTAATCGGTATTATGATCAGAGATTAAATTTGAAGAAAAGTCATCAAAATCTGCATAGTCCGAGCTATTATTTAAGAAAGAACGATAAGATTTATAAATAAAGTCAGTAGCGTATTTATTTATAATATCGTGTAGATTGTTTTCAATTAAATCCTGATTAATTTTTGAGTAGTCGATTTCGGCTAATTGATTACTGCTGGTATTGAAGCTATTCGGGTTGTTGAAATTATTAAATTCGTCGTCGTCTGGATCGAAAAGCTCATCTTTAAGCATTTTGTACAAGTCAATAAGCCAGATTAATAAATCAATTAATGCTAGTGTCGTGCCATAATTAATCAGGGAATAACCTTGAGATATTTTGACTTTTTTAATTAAATGAGAAGGATAATTTAAATTTTTCAATAAATTTGGAAAGTCTTTCTCTAATCCTGCATCGCTTTTCTTCTCATAACCTGGATCAATTTTTTTGTATAAAAAATAAAAAAGCTCAAAAAATGTTTTTTTAGATAGGTTTCTTAAGGCAGACCATTTTACCTCCAAATTTATTTCGTCAGGAAAGGTTTCGTAAAATAAAATCTCTAAATTTTTTCTACTGGAATTGGAAGGGCCTTCGCCCATGACACTGATACGATTGGACGTCAATGAGGTTTTATTAGTAGAAGAAAACCTCTGGTTTCTTGAGGGAGTCTGAGTTGCTTTCCTCGGAAAAGCTGGAGGAAAAGCTGGAGGAAAAGAAGAAGGAAAAGAAGGAGGAAAAGAAGGCATTGAGGAGATTTCAGTCTTTCTTCGCTTTAAAGGTAAGGGAATAAGAGATGCATTTCTTTCCAAGTCCATCAGTGATGGAACTCTGAAGTTTGAGTAGTCCTGGGACATTGTAAGCAGGTCTCTGAGAAATACTGGCACAAGAAAACAGCAACAAGAACAAGAACAGCAGCAAAAGCAAAAACAAAAAGCAGCTGGAGCGTAGAAAGCTGGTGAATAACAAAAGGCAGTTTATCAGTTGAAGAGAAGTTGATAAATTGCAGTTGAAGCCCTCAAAAACAGATCAAAACAAACAGGTCACGAGACACGTACAAAAAATGCTTTGTGGAGTTGCAGCACACAGAACGCCTTTTTAGCTTAGTGGTAGAGCGTTGCACTTGTAATGCAAAGGTCGCTAGTTCAATTCTGGCAAGAGGCATTTTTCTTTTTTTTTTGCAGAAAGCTCAGAGGAAAGCTGTTGGTTTCTGTTTTTATCTCATCAGAGCAGTAATCAGAGTAGAATTGTTTTTTCCTGAAGTACGTCTGTGTGAAATGGTCAAGCCTATTATTGCCCCCTCTATTCTCGCCTCAGACTTTGCCAATCTAGGCTGCGAGTGCCATCGAATGTTCAATGCCTCTGCTGACTGGCTCCACATCGATGTGATGGATGGCCATTTTGTGCCAAACATCTCTCTTGGGCCTCCAATCATCAAGTCCTTGAGAAAAGAGATCCCCAAAAAGTTCAACGAAATCAATGAGAACGTCAAGTTTTTTGATTGCCATATGATGGTCAGCGAGCCTGAAAAATGGGTTGAAGACATTGCCTTGAATGGTGGTGACCAGTTTACTTTCCACTATGAATCCACTGAAAACCCTCTTGGACTAGTCAAATTGATCAAAAAACATAACTTGAAGGCTGCTTGTGCAATCAAACCAGGCACTCCTGTTGATGTTTTGTTTGAGTTGGCTCCCTTCTTGGATATGGCTCTTGTGATGACTGTTGAACCAGGTTTTGGTGGTCAAAAATTTATGAAAGATATGATGCCCAAAGTTGAAAAATTAAGACAAAACTTCCCCGATTTGAATATTCAAGTTGATGGTGGTCTATCAAGAGAAACTATTCCTTATGCTGCTAAAGTTGGCGCAAATGTGATTGTTGCTGGAACCAGTTGTTTCACTTCAAAAGATCCCCAAGAGTTAATCCAATACATGAGAGACGAAGTTAAAGCAACTCTAGTTCAAATGGACGTTTATAAGTGAAAAATAAAAATATAAATAAAATTGTAAATTAAATCAATTAAAATTTCCAATTAAATGATAGAATTAAATTATATAGATTATATGTTAATGTTTATGTCTCTGTTTATGTTTATGTCAATTTCAATTTCAATGTCAATGTTTATTAATAATAAGAATTTTTAAAATTAAAATAATCAAAAATAATCAAAAAAAGGTTGGTCCTCCTAATGTTGTTCCTTCTCCATCTAAATTCCCATCAAATCCTCCACTAAATCTATCATCCTGTTCAACAACAGACCATAATGCCTTTCTCACTTGTGTGTTTTCATTTTTCAAACTTTTACTGATTTTATTTTTTAATTTATTTTCTTGGTTTTCCTTACTCAACTTATACAACTCAATTTTCAAATGTTCCTGTTTTTCATCATCAACCATTAGTTCTCCATTACTCTCACTTTTTTCCTTTTCTGCTGCTATGTCAATCAACAATTTTTCTTCAATATTTTGCTTCTTAATATATCTTTTATTTCTTTCTATTTTCTTTGTCTTCTTTGTAGATATCGATTTGCTTGTAGTTTTGCTTATCTTGGTTGTTTTTTTACTCTTATTTTTCGTTCTTCTGTTCTTATTAATTGATGCTGGCATTCTGGAATATGTATATTATAGATCTACTATTATGTTATCACCCAAACAATTTCTGATTATTCAACACTAACCAAAGTTCTTCAACTGAAATTTATTTTCAAATTGCAAATTGCAAAAAAAAAATTTTGTGTTCAAATGCAAAAAAACCCACAAACCTGGTCTCGTTTTTTTTTTGTTTCAAGAATACACAAAAACTATATTGTGATAAAATGATACAAAATATTATAAATATTATAAATTATAGTTAGTTTACTTTGTGATATTACACTTATTTAATATATAATCAAAGGTGGTGTCTTCACCAAGTTCCCACTCTTTTTTATATGAATTCAACCCAATTTTGGTGTTGCTTTTATTTATTTCAAATTCCAATTTTTTATCCAGTTCCATTGTTTTCTGTAAGATTTCATTGAATTTTTCAATAATTTTATCTGTGTTTTTATAAATTTCTTCAAGGTTTGTAAATTTCCCATATTTGTTGAAAAATTTTAGCAAATTGAATTCATTATTAATAACTAAAGCTATTATATTTTTTTGGGAAATTATCTTATATTTTTGATACAACTCCTTTGTTTTATAATCAGAATCATTGCATACAATTACCTTCAAGTTATTATAATAAATCTTTTCATTTAACTCATTCTCCTTTGTTAAAAAGACTCCATTAATCGGCTCAAATCCCACTATAATCCCTTTGATTTTCAATGACTTGGGATAATTATCATAATTATGAATCAAATCATCAAATTCAATATATGTATCTTTATAACTGTTATCATAATCTATAGTATCATCACTTAAAAATGTATCCCCGGGGAAACTATTTATATTGACTAAAGCTTTTTTCTCTAATGGACTTGAGTAACTCTTTGGAGGTTTGAACCCTTTAAGGTTACTATTTGAATAACCCTTCTTTTGAGAGGATTCATAATTATTTGAATTGTCAAAGAAATTGTCTTCAGTGTCAGTATTACTATCATTGCCATTGTGTTTGTGATTATCATTATCATTATCATTATCATTATCATTATCATTATTATTATCATTATCATTATTATTATCATTATCATTATTATGTTTTATCTTTTTATCAAATCTCTGGAAATAAAAGTTTATGATATCTTTAGGAATTGATTTTGAAAAATTTATTAGAAAAACATTAAAAAAATTTGATGAGACATACATCATGAATTTTGCAAATAATTGAGTTAAATTTTCATGAGTTTTGTTGGAGAATAAATCATTGTTCACATTCATTGGGCTCTCCAAAGAATAAAAAAAAATTTTTTTCATTCGACCTTCCAATAGATTATGATACACTTTGGGGAATGCGTAAATTCTAGCAAATAAACCCAAATGATCAACGTAATTCATTCCAAAATCATTATATTCTCGTTTATAAGAAAATTGGTCATCTATTAAATCTTTATAATAGTCTTTGAAATATGGATTATCATATCCCTCGATTTTTCCCTTATCGCTGATAAAACGAGTTAAGTTTTTGTCCCTAATGGACTCAATTACCTTCAAAATAGGCAGGAATTCAGTGGAATAAATTTGCAAATGCAAAATCTTGTCGTTTTCAAGGAGATTCAACCCATCATCAGTGAAACCTACCCTTATGTGATTACTGATTGGAGTTCCTATACTTGGGTGCGAGGTAAAATCAGTTACATAAACACTGTAGTAGTTTGTGCGAGTATATTCAAAAGCAAGAATATAGCAATATAGGATCTTGTCCTTTCTATCATTATCAAAGTTCTGGATGGTGACAATAGACATTGCTCAGTTTATTGTTTGAGAGAAACGATTGTTTTTATAACGTTGGTGTGGTTTTCCACTGATTGTGTCTTACAAATTTTTACTCATTAAAACTCAGAACGGGCAAGTAATGGTGACTAGATAAGAACAGTGATGTTTATTAGGCGAGCTGTTGGCTATTAGTCATTAGGAATTAGTTTATTCAAGAGAAGGGAGGTGATAAAAGGGCAAGTGGCTATATTTCTATGCTATTGCTTGCACTGTTGATGGTGTGGAATAGATAGTTTCGCTGCTCGATGTCTAGTTTGAGTATCACCAAGTTTCTATATAAACCTATCATTGTTATAAAAGACGCAACCCCTACTGGCACAACAGCAAAGATTATGATGTTATAGTGATTGAAGTACCTTGATTTCTTCTTTTTTTTGGCATTGAGATGGAGAGCTATGGAAGCAGATGACTCACTGTGTCTTTTCAAGTGATTGGCATTGATATTGACAGAGCTGTTTTTTCTGGTAATGTTTAAAATGCTGGCAGAATTGTTTGAGTTGTTGAGAATATCAAGGCCACTTGAGGCGATGGAGCCATTGTTGTTAGAACCACTGTTGCTTTGATTGTGGTGGATATGGTTTAGACTTGTGCTATTCGCCCTTGATCTTGTTTTGTGAGGAAGAGATATTGATTGAGAGGTGTCGATTTGGTCCAAATCGCTAACAAAGAAATTTTGTATGATGTAAATTAGAGTCAAGATACAGCTTATGATAATCCAAGTGTGTAAACTTGTGCTTGGATCAATGTTGTGGTTGATGTTATCATTTGATAAGGATGGAGTGAAGAGGAATATTACAGAGTTGATGATAGTGATTAGTAAAAAAGACATTGACAACATTCTGATGATAGTTGCTTGGACCGAATAAAAGACTATCCATCTTGTCATTAAACCATCTAAGATTGAGTAAATAAGGTAAGTTGATACAAGACACCAAATTGATGTTAAAATTGATTCTGAAGCTCTTGTGCTTGTTATGATTGATATGTTTAATAGATTTTCATTGTACTGAGAAAAAGGGAGGTTTTCAAGATGATTATTATTTACATTATAATAAGTTAAATAAGCTAACTTAAAACATTTCAACATGTTTTTAAAACAAATTAACAAAGATAAATCTCTACATAAAGCTAAAGCTAAATGCTGTTTTGCATTTAATAATTTCAAACCAAATTTTTTCAAGGTCTTGAAGTTATTAGACGATTTTTTTGAGATTTCAATAATTTGGTTATCATCGTCGTCTTCTTCTTCTTCTTCGTCATCGTCATCGTCATCGTCGTCGTCGTCGTCGTCGTCGTCGTCTTCTTCTTGGTTGTCATTTTGGTTGATATCGAGATGGTTGTGGCTATGGTTATGGTCAGGATCTAAATCAGTTTCGTTGTCATTTGAAGATATGTTAGTATAGTTATTAATATAGTTGGTATTGTGATTGCTATAATTGTGTAAATTGTTGATACTATTGATGTGGCGGATGTTATTGAAGGAATTTGATCTTGATAAAGAGGTTTCAATTATTGGATCATTGCAGTTTCTTGAGTATGTATGGTATAACTGGTTATCATCCATTTAGTAAGATAATTAACAAAATAATTAACAAAATAAGTAACAAGATAATTCACAAGATGGACAATAGATGATGATAAATGATAATGATGGGCTGTTATAAATTATTTATTATAGGTTATATGAAGAGGCATATATAATGGCAATTGTAATGCTAAGGGTATATATATATATAGGCAATTCAGCAAAGAATCAGGCTGTGATGGTTGATAATTGACAGTTGATAATTGACCATTGATGCTTCGATTACCCTTTAACTCTTATCAGAAATAAAATTTTGATCTCACACAAAGAATGTCAATTTTTTTGGACTTTTGTACAAATTTTACAGTAGGAAAACCCGTGATATGCGGCAGGGCTGGTGCGGAAGCAGAACCAAAGGGTTGGAATGGGGTATTACTTTGCTATTGATGATTGTGCTGGGAGTTTGCTGGCTGTGGTGGTTGTGGTGCGTGAGAAACGTGTATTTAGTAGAGTGGCAACAGCAACACTACTCCTTGGTGAAAGGGTTCTCGATAACCTCGCTTCCTTCGACTGGCGACACAGTCAACAACAATGGGCTTCGGACAACTACTAGCCCATTTAGCTGCCTTTTCTTCTCAGTCAACACAGTGTCGTCGTCTGGGTCTCGGAGCGATTCCTCAACGTTATCCAAGACGAGATTCATCAACTGGTCGTAGCCCTTGAGCACCCCAATGATTTCTCTGCCGCCGATGAATTTCACTCGTAACTTTTCGTTTTTGAACTTGCTCAAGTCCAATATAGCATCTCTTTTGGGACCGTCATTTTTGTATTGTTGGCTCGAGCTTGCATTGGAATTACTGTTATAACTTGAGTTGCCAGAATTGTGACTGTTGTAACCTCTGGTGTATCTTTTTTGTCTGTTCTAAATTGTCACAATTGTCATTGAAAGAGCGACGTTAGTATGGCGTGTGGAAAAACAAGTGCAGAAGACACAATTGGAATTGGAATTGCAACATACTCTGTTGTCCATTACTTGATTCGTAGTGATTCTGGGAGAACAATAAAATTTATCTTTCTACTGTTTCTTCTTTCTCTTCTTTTTCTTCTTCCTCGTCTTTCGCTGGTGTCTGTAATATTTTTTGCTTTTCTCATGTGCCGAAAAGAGAAGGATCCGCAGAAACGGTCTCCTGGAGATGATAAATAGGAACATTCTTCAGTGATGGACGATAAAAGTGTTCTATCAAAAGATATACTACTAAAGAGAGATTTGGCAAAAGAACATCCGAAGTACAAACAAGAAGAGAAGTTGATTCGAACATGGCAGACATAAGCATATATGTGACTTCCCTATTGACGTCGTCTGAGAGAAGAATCTCATTGAATTACTCTCTTGGATACTTGAAAAAAAGACTAGAATTGATAACAGGCGTGCCTCCAGCTAACCAACAGCTCCTACTATATGCAACATCATTGACTACTGATCCCATCATAATTGACGACAAGGGCGACGATACTTTACTATCGACATTTCCAGACTTAATTCCTTTTGCGAGACTTCATGTTAATGATACAAGACCGGATTCAGAATTGAATGAGCTAGCAAAAAGACAAAATAGCTGCAATGATAAAAATGAAGACAACAGCAATAATAACAATAACAATGAGTTTTTCAAGTTGAACGAAGAGGATTATAGCAAGAAGGAGAACACAGTGAGAAGCTGGAAATTGAAAAATAAATTGGGTAGGTTTAATGAAGGTTATTCTGCAAATAAACAAAAGGAAATTGATGAGACTAATCTACTTTCATTGAATTATAAGATTGATGATAGGTGTAAAGTCATTAAAGATAATAGAATTGGAACAATCAAGTACATTGGAAAAATCAAAGAAATCGACAACGATTTTATTTGGGTTGGCATAGAATTCGATGAGCCGGTTGGTAAGAACAATGGCAGTATTAAAAACTACCACTACTTCAACTGTAAAAAGAATTATGGCGGCTTCTTGAAGGCTAACACTATAAAAATTGGTGATTTCCCCAAACCAAGCTTATCTGAATTTGACGACTCTGACGATGAACTATGATTATAGTATATTTACTAAATAAACTAATTGATAAAATATACAAGTGTAGAACCGTCACGAATACATCAAATACATCAAATATATCATACACTAAATATAGCATAAAGATAATATACTAGTGTGTATACTATTTAATATATGGACTTGCAATCTTAACAATAAGCGTAAGTGGTTTAATGGTAAAATTCAACGTTGCCATCGTTGGGCTCCCGGTTCGATTCCGGGCTTACGCAAGTTAAGTTATTTTTTTTTGCATTTTTTGGCTCTTTTTACGGTTTCCTAATCGGTGAGCAGCAGCAAAAAAAACACTGCTCTCCAGCGAGAGTCGAACCGCTGTCAGATGAGTCTCCAGCCCCAGCTCGGCGGCAGACCCACCAATCAGCGGACGCGTAGCCCCGCCCACACGGGCTGGTAACGGGGGTCTGGGCCGTCGGCAGAAAGCAGTCTCACGTGCACGGCGTGCGTGTGATTGGCTGGCGGGTCTACGCGGCGCACCGGCACTGAGCGCGTGTTCCACCAATCCATGTGCAGACGAATCGACTGCGAGACCGCGTGCGTTATCCTCGCTCCTATGCCCTTTGTAGGCCCAACGCTAAGATTGTGCACCTCCAACCTTCGTTTTGAGCACAGCTCTCGTTTTGTATATAAAGATTCCACCAGTTAGCAACTTGTTTTTATGATTTAGCGAATTTTCTTTTACAGGTCCATATTTTCCTAAGAGACTTTTTGTTTTTTCTTCTCTTCTCTTCTCTTCTCTTCTCTTCTCAAGTTATCTTATCTTCCCTTCCAATTGACGTGTTACCACTCTACTCTTCCTCTTTTTTTATTCAAAGCTTGTGTTTTCTCTTCACCACACTTTTTACTTGCCGTTTTTTACTCGCCGTTTGTAAATATTTCATACATCTCTCTTTTCAAATCAATCAACCAAAATGGAACAATTGAAAGAATTAGTCAACAAATTGCAAATAAGAATTCAATTTCTTGAAGACTACCCTAAACCAGCCAAAACTGACGATGACTCCATCCGTATGGTATTAATTGGCCCTCCAGGTGCCGGTAAGGGTACTCAAGCACCAAATTTAAAAGAAAAATTCTGCGCTTGTCATTTGGCTACTGGTGATATGTTAAGATCCCAAGTCACCAAGCAAACTGCCTTAGGTATTGAAGCTAAGAAAATCATGGATCAAGGTGGTTTAATAAGTGACGAAATTATGGTCAATATGATTAAATCCGAATTGTCTGACAACCCCGATTGCAAAAAAGGTTTCATTTTAGATGGGTTCCCAAGAACAATTCCTCAAGCTGAAAAATTAGATGAAATGTTAAAGGAAAAAAGCATTCCTTTACAAAAAGCTGTAGAATTGAAAATTGATGATGAATTATTAGTTGCTAGAATCACCGGCAGATTAGTCCACCCAAGCTCTGGTAGATCTTATCACAAACTTTTCAATCCTCCAAAAAAAGAAATGACTGATGATCTTACTGGCGAGCCTTTAGTTCAAAGGTCTGATGATAACGCTGATGCCTTGAAAAAGAGATTGGTAACTTACCACAACCAAACTGAACCAATTGTTGCTTACTATCAAAAAACTGGTATTTGGAGTGGTATTGATGCATCTCAATCTCCAAGCAACGTTTGGTCTCAAATCTTAAAATGTCTTGGTCAATAATTTTCCTAAAGCCTAATTATACCATCATATCGTCATATCACTACATATAATTATATATATATTTATATTTATATTTATATTTATATTTATATTTATATTTATATTTATATTTATAAACATAGTAAATAAACTTGCTAACTTTATAATCAATAAATTAATCAATATTCTTTGAATTAATATTCTTTTTTCATTATATATTTGTATTTACTGTATATTTATTTACAAAAAAAAAAAATAAAAAAAAAATGCATTCTTTTCCCTCTTATTTTTTCACTTCTCTCCATTATTTCTAGTGTTTATTGTTTCTCTTGACTTGTTTCCTCTGTGTTAGAGTCTGCTTTATTGGGGTTGATGTTATCCTCGTGACTCTTTAAATGAAGATATAATGACTGAGTAGTAGCCTCCAATGTTCTGACCAACCCTGCACCACTTAGAATGGTCAATAATCCCACCAATTGAGACTGTAGATTTTCCTTTGAAGGTAGATTCTTAAACTGGTTTATATCGTCCAAATCAAATATCGAATTTTCAACTTTGGCTGCCATAAGAATCAATTTTTCATTTGTACTGTTCAATATAGTGATCAATTTTTTCAATATCATTGGATTGGTCTCCTTAATAGTCAACACAGCTGTAGGCCCATTCAAAATCGGTAATAATTTGTTAACTAATTTTTCGTTGTCCAAAAACTTATTAAATTTCTCGGTATCAAGTTTTTCAACTTCCTCGCTCTTCCTCTCGGGATTCTTTCTAATCAACTTGTTGATCTTGTTATAATAATTATTGGTATACAACGCATCAATAGATGCTGGATCGTTATCGTAATAGTTTCTCAACAACACCCGAAATAATTTATTTCGAATTATATGAAACGATCCGATTTCCTGCTTCCCATCTTTAGATAAAATGTCAATAAACCTGCTTCGCAAATTGAAATTTTCAGTTTTGGTCAAATTGTTATGATGCAAAAATAAAATAATAGAATTGTTGTCTAGTATGTCCTTGTAGAAATCAATTAAAAATGTCTTTCTCGAGTCTATTGGTTTAATCGTGGTTCTGACAACTTTTTTGTTCTCAATCAACAAGTTCTTCTTATGGTTATTGATAATGGCCACTGAATTAAAATGCTTTTGGCGTCTGAATAGAGCATTAAATGAATGACTGTTCTTTGCAAATAGCGAATTCGAATACGAATATATGTTTCGAGCAGCTAAAGAACTCATTTTCACTTCCCTAAACGAACTGCAACTGCTTGCTGATTACAATAGGTCTCTCTCTCGTTGCTGGATTTTTCAATGCTCTCTTTTTTTCCCCGCCACAGGCCAATCAAATCGCGCTATTTTGAATCACGTGTACACTCTGAAATATTTCCCATAACGCTCAAAGAAAAAAGAAGCTCTTCACCAACTCTCAGTGATCTGATTTCTAGAGCAAAGACATTGTAATCTACAAACAGCCCATGGACCCAGAGGCTTTGTTCTGCCTGAAAAGCTCCCAGCAGTGGCCCAGCAGTGCCTTGACCCAAAGCCCGGCTCAGCGCTGCAAAAGAACTACAGACGCCAGCTCAGCAATTGGAGCCATTCCAACAAAGAGCAGAATCAGCACAGCGACACCACTCTAAAAGATCGTGAATTCAACCACACGATGCCCTCCAGCATCAGTGAGTGTTCATCAGTATCCAGTGTGGAAATATACAGATAAGACTGTGCACATTACCCTCTGCGCAGATCTGCGTGCGTTCTCATACTACTACACTTTCCGGGTAATTTTGCCGTTTTCATCGTTTTTCTGGATGATCTGTAACTTCGTTCTTTATCCTAGAGCGAACCCAGATTAAGCACTGTCTTTATCAGATCACTTTATTAGATTGCTGCGATACTCTTGTTCACTGTGCGAATGTCTTCAAGGATGTCTGATTCAGTTGCTGATTCAACTCTCTCCAGCAGCAACAATGTCATCAGTAACGCTTCGTCTGCTATCATACCCTTTCGAGCACCTCATTTGTCTGAGTTTTACAATTTTGTTTCTTCAAATCAAAGCAGCATAACTTCGCCAACCAAGTCTCTCAATTCAATTGATAATACCAACGCCAATAGTAATACTGGTACTGGTGGGAATATGAATAGTGGTGGTAACAATTTAAACATCAATATTAATAGTGGCAATGATGTGCCGGATAACATCAGCAATATAAGCAATACAAATAACACCGGGACTTCCAATACTTATCTCAATTCAAACTTACAAGATAGTTTATTCAGAAAGCCTTCGATGTCGACTTTAGATTCAACTATATCCTTTACGCCCTCTGTGTTGGATTTGCCCACAATAATAACGAAAAAAGACATTAAATCTGCAGAGTCTTGCTATAACAAACTATTGAAAACTGCTCAATCTTATAAGGATTCCCTATTATCAACATCAAACGCTGCAAGTGACTTTGGTGCAGCATTGGAAGACTGTGCCAGGTGCAAAGGAAGTGGAAATGCAGCTGATGGATTAATGTCAGCAGCTGGGTTTCATTACATAATTTCAAACCATCAGCAATTGTTATCTCAGGCTATTTATATTAATTTTGAAAAACCAGTTAAAAACGAGATTGATGCGTTTAATCAAATTTCAGCCACCAACAATTCAAATTTTAAAAACAAAATTAGCGAAAAGATTAATGAATTGAAGTTTTTAGAATACCAAAACTCCAAGATATCCAAATCTAGATTTCGAAATTTAGTCAATTATAAATCGACATTGTCAAACATTTCTAGAAAAATCCAGGAAATTGACAATTTGAAACACGATTATTATTTGTCTTGTTTTAGTTTAGTTCAAGCGACTTCTTCTAAAATATTAACAAGAGTTTCGTCAATTGTACGAGCTCAGGTTGAGATCTTTGATGGTATTGCAAGAAAAGGATGGTCTGGTGGTGGTCTTGATGATTTAATTGCAACATGTCCTGATCCATTTGCAAATTCTGATGACGATACCTCTGATTTAGATTACCAGAATCTAACGCTTTCCAATGATAATAATATCAATAATATTAATAATATTAATAATATTAATAATATCAATAATGTTGATTATAATAATTTTGATCTTGATCATAAACCATCATTTTCAATACTACCAGTAAATAAAAATAAAAATAAAAATCAAACTAGTCATGATAATAATAATTTAAGTGATTTTTATGTTCCATCACCTTCGAAAAAGAAACCACATAATTTATTTTTACAGAAAAATGAATCGTTAGCGCTGATAACTTCGTCTATAATGAAGCAACAATTGGTGTCTTATAAAAGTAGTAATAATAATAATAATAATAATAACAATAACAGTGAAATCAATAATATAAACATTAATGGTGGAAACGAGAGTGGGAATGGGAAATCAGTGATTACAAATAGCAAATTGCAATCAATATCACCAAATGATAATAAATCCATAATGGCTGATGTTTTGTCGATCAATGATTTTAATAGCAGTAATAATGGTAATAATGATAATAACAATAACAATAATAATAATGTTAATGATGTTATTAATGGTAATGGTAATAATAATATAGAACATGATGAGTTGAGTTTGTTTCCATCAGAATCCATTCGAAGAAAACAAAACGAATATTTAGGGAGAGCACCTCCATTAATTGCCACATCAAGTAATTATGATTTGATATTTAATAATGCCAATCAGGATAGTAATAATCTGGATAAGCATAATCTAGATAATCTGGATAATCTGAATAATAATGATTATGATAATGATATTGATAATGGTAGTGGAAATTTATCAGATGATAATTCGTTTTCATTGCCAGTGCCTCAAGCTACATCATTGGCATCACCATCTCATACTGTAAGCAAGAAGAATTCGCTATTGAGCACGGGGACCAAGAATTTGAATGGTAAGAATTCGTTTTTATATCTGAAAGATGTGAGTGAAGTTAATGAGCTGAGTGAATCAGATAAAGAGTGAAGGATATGTAATATGGAACAACTGTTTGAATATAAGCAATTGAGATCATTAGAGAATAAATTTGATGGATTAGATTATGATTTTGTTGGTTGGGAATCAAAAGGAAATACAAATGGAAATATAGAAGGGAATTCACTTGGGAATACAAATGGGAATACAATTGAATGTGTTAAATTTTTTTAGGAGCTATAAAAAGTTAGACAAAAATTGAGGTTAAAAGAGGAGAGAAGAAATTTTAGAATGGTATTTATTTATTTATTTATTTTCTTTGTTATTATTATGATTATAACCCCTTTATTTTTATTTAGTTAATTATTTAATTATTTAATTATTTAATTATTTTACTTTACTTTTACTTTATTTTAATTTACTTTTCCATGTTTTAATACTCCAAAATTGATAAAGTGGATTAACTCCAAAAAGCGGATGGAAGAGGTGGTTAAAAAGTGGAGGATTATTTTTTGGGGGAGCAGGGAAAAGTGGTTAAAGAAAAGGGAGGGAGAGATTGGGGATGAGTTGTAGCAATTGTGAATTGAGTATTGCTCTTATTAGTAGTTGATGGATTAAATATTTAGTTTTATAGTTGTTTTTTTGCTATAATTTAGCAGTTGATTACAGTTGATAATTGATTATAATTGATTAGATTGTATTTTAGTGGTTATGGAGAATAAAGCAACGATGTTGGATGACTTGGGAGGACGGTGAGGGGTTTGGGGAGTTGAGGAAAAGAACCTCAAAGCTCGGAGAGGCCGAAAAGGGTAATTGTGGCACCTCTCGACATGTGTTTGAAGAGAAGAAAAGAGAAGGCGAAAGAGAAGAGGTGGTTTTAGATGAGGTGGACTAAAAGAGCGGGATATCTAGAGCGGGCGTGAGATTGGTGGGTGGGCTATCGAAAGAGGCAAGAGATAGGGTAGGAGTAAAGGCATTGTCTTGGTACAGGCTGATGCTAGTTTTTGAAGAAGGGGAAGAGAAGAGAAAAGAAGACGATGGAAGAAGAGAAAAGTGGATTAGATTAGATTAGATTGGCGGTATCCAGTAGTCTTTTTTGGTGTCTGGTGGTTAAGGAGTATCTCAAAGATATGCTTAATTAGAGTAGAAACAAGAAGAGAGCTTTAAAAAAAGGAATTTTAAAAAATAAAGCCAAAGAACGAGAAGCGAGAGGCAAGAGCCGAAGAAGAGAGAGTTTGCCCAGGGTTGGCACCCAGGTAGGTAGCGACATAGAGAGAAAGTCCGGCGTGGGTAGTGGAGAGCTGTAATTGGCTAGTGGAGGGCTACCATATTATATCATATTATATCATATATTGCTCTTTATTGCCTTATGTGGTTATGTATGATAATAGATTGAGCCCTTTATACTGGTCTCGCCCCGCTTTACGTAGTGCATTCTTCAGTGAAAATAAGCTTTGGTTCTTAAACTGGCCTAAAAGGGATTAGAGCAGTGAACAAATCAAACCAACACAACAATTACCTATCAGTTCATTTCGTTGGCGGTTGCTTTCGTTCTCGTTGAATTATGCCAACGATGTTGCAGGTCGGAGCTGGTTTTTATAGTAACGTATCACGGTTGAAGGTTGGGGTACTGTCCAGTTAATCTGTGCCAGATTGCTTTAAAAAAAGTGGAATATCATTGGAATCACAGCACGCTTAACAAACTGGATAGTGAGAATAATATTCAATGCATCAGCTGTACATTTGTGAATGCTATTAGTTCACCGGTGATTGATACGGTTAAGTGATACTCGCATCGCTTACGCTTCCAGGACATAACGGAAAATTCCGTACCGTGGGCTGCTGAACACGGAACGCTCTTTATGGTGGGGTCTTTGTGGAGCTCAAAGCCATTAACAGGCTTCCCGAAAAGGCCCACCTTAGCTCTGGAACGGCTCTTGGTTTTTCCTTACTCAAATGTCAATGTTGCTCGTTTTACATTTGTAATTCCTGAGATTCTGTTGAGATGCTGAGATGCTGACGCTGAGATTCTGCTAGCGATGCTGTGTTTCTTTCTGCGTCGTCGATATTGGCGTGGATGATCAGTGAAACTGCGCCAGAGGAACTGGTGGCGTCTATTTCCGAGTCCTGCTTCGTTCTTTGGTTCCCATGAGCTATTGTCTGATAAGCAGCTGTATTCTTCTTGTGTTGAGAATGCGAATCATGTTTCTACAGAGCCAATCCCACACATGCTTCCAGCTCTGCTCTTGTGCTTTTCGGCTTTGCTTCCCACCCTGCTATTTGCTCTCTGTCCAAAGCGCACCGGCGCGTGGTGCGCTTTGGAACCGCCCGCACTCGACCCGTGCTGGTCTCCGTCGCCGGACTGGCTCATCCGCAGTCGAAATGTCTGCAGTAACGTCTGGTTCTGTGCGCTGCAATCGCGGGGTAGAGGGCCCTGAATGGAGTCCGCCCGTGTTTCCGTCTTGCGCAATTACCGCCAGCTTATCCCAGTCTGGCCCGCGATTTTTTCGCAGCACCCTGAGCGTTTCAACTGGCGCGCATGCGTTGCTTGAGCAAAATCAGCGGCTCGCTCTGGTGAGGGGTACCACTGACCCACCCTCTTTCTCGAGATCGTCGCGCTTTTTTTCTGCAACGAAATCTGCAGTGCAGCTAGAATCCAAAGCAGCAGCTTCTCCTGATACCAGAGGGGGTCCCCTGCGCAGACTACACAAAAACTAGTAGGGCAGCAACCACCCTCCCACTACATCAAACAGTCTTTTCGCGCGATGAGCCCGCGCCGACGCAGCGTGTCAAGACAGGCAACCCCAGAGAACAACGCGGCAGGACCCGGCACACGCACGCCAGGCCTGCTGTAGGGCGCGTCCATTGTTCTGGGGCCGAGCGAGACGCTGAGGGAGGTATAACCTTTCGTCCTGAATCCCTTTCATTGGCCATTGCCTGACGTGCGCCCAAGTGCGGTATAAAAGAGAGGGCGTCGCTCACCTCCAGCGTTTTTCAGCTGCTCTCGCTCTCACCTCCAGCTCTTTCTCTATAAATATATATATTCTCACTCTTTTGCTTCTATATGTCTTATTTCCATTTATACATTTCTTGTTTCTGATACTTTTCCTCTTTTGGCTTCATTTGACTTCTCCTTCTCTCTGCTTCTCTTCTTCCCTTCTCTTCTCTTCTCTTTGATCTCCAAAATGCCCTCTGCGAGAAGATATATATGCTCTTTTTGTCCCAAATGCTTTTCAAGATCAGAACATAAATCAAGGCACGAAAGATCTCACACCAATGAAAAACCCTTTAATTGTACAATCTGTTTTGTGAAATTTGTCAGAAGAGACCTATTGCAAAGACACTTAAGAACTGTCCACTGTGATCAAAATACTGCCAACGTTACTAGGAATAACAAACCAAAACTCACTACTTCCACCACCACCACCACCACCACTTCTACTCCCACTTCAACCTCTCTTAATAACACCACTTCTATAATCTCTCCCTCATCCATTTCTTCTCCTTCTTCTTCCTCTTCCTCTCCTTCCCAGAGCCCATTGATTCACTCAAATCAAAACACTTTCAATCAATTAAACACAAACTTGTCTACAATTTCACCCAATGATCCTCTTGCCTCAATTAAAAACTCTCCCAAAAATCAAAAACTCCAATCTCCCAAAATCCTATCAAATAATAAAATAACTAAAAAGACTTCGTCAAGAAAAAGAAAATCTCCCTCCAACTCAACTTCAACTAATAATAATAATAATAACAATAACAATAATACCTCTAACGACAATTCTAATACCAACAACTCCAATAACCACATTATTTCCTCCAATTTTTACTCTTTATCAGAAAGAAACCTAATTCTCCTACTAACTTTAAGCAAAAAATTCTCAAACCTAATCTTTCAAAACAACCATCTAATCCCCATCAAATTCTTCAACACCAACATCAACACCAATAACATCGATAACGACATAAACACCGTAGACTTGATCCTATCTTCTTCCAAAATCTCAAACTATTTCTTAATTTGGGGTACAATCTCTAACATAAAACTACCAGTCATATTAAACTTAAATAAACTACTATCCCTATCAATACCACCTACTCTACAAAGCTTGTCCATTAGTACCAACATCAACAGCACAACCACCAACAACATCAATGACAACATCAACAACATCAACAATTCAAGTTTATTCTTCGCTATTCTAGCTTTTGGTGCTGCAGAATTCTCAAAAATCAACGACTGTCTCCAATACTTTAATAAATCTTGGTCTCTACTATTCAAAAATATCAACCAACCAATAGAAATCATCCAGCCTCTAACCATATTAGCCTACATCTCTCTCTACTTTTTCAACAACATTGACAATGACAATAATAATAATAATAATAATAATAATAATAATAATAATATGAACAACAACTTCATCCCAATTCATTCAATCTTCGACTGTCTCGATGACGCTATCTTCACAATAGTAACTGATACGAATAATTTGCTCAATAATGATATAAACAAAATATCGGAACTCTTCAATTACTGGTATATATATAATCTACTATCCAAATTCTCTCTCTACTTTAATAAAAAACCTCCAAAAGTTCATTCCATTTTCTTAAATAAATTCCTAATTAATCCCTCCAATTCTTTCAACAATCAATCTAATAACAATCAATCTAATAACAATCAATCTAATAACAATCAATCTAATAACAATCAATCTAATAATAATAATATCAATAACAATAATAATAACAATAACAATAACAATAACAATAACAATAACAATAACAATAACAATAACAATAACAATAACAATAAGTTAAATAATCAAATTGAAAATGAAAACGAAAATGAAAATGAAACTTTAAAATCAATTTTATCAAATTTAACTAAATCCCCAGACTCCCTACTCAAAAACATCATCATCAAAACTGACCAAAATGACCTCAACACAACCATTTCAACCAATCAATTCTTCTTCAAAAACTTATCCTTTAGAGAAAACTGCATAATAATGGGCCTCTCAAATGAACTTCAAAGCCTCAAATTCAACCAGCTAAATAACAACCTTTTTAATAACTCAAAAAACTTAATTCACAACTCAATCATCATGGCTAATAAATCTCTAAACAACAACTCAAATTATCAGCAATTCAACACCTCCTCCAGAATTAATAACAACATCGATAGCCCCTCAAATAACTTTGTAGAAAATATCATCATAAACTCTTCAAATACAATGCTCAACATGAACAACTTTAGCGACATGCTAATCAACAATAACATCAACCAAGATCTAATCAATATTTATAATCTCATCATCATATTCAAAAAAAAATTCCTAATTAACTGCACAGATAAACTACTACAGGACTTGTTAATCAATTATCTAATCATCCCCAATAACGAAATCCACTGGGATCTATTATATCTAACTATAAAGGAATTCACTTTTGACAATAGTTTTATCGACTCAGTCTTTACTGAAATTAATCTAAAAAATTCAGATCCTTCTTCCCTATCAAATTTTGTCAATTTCCTATTCAATGACCAAAATTCTTTTGACTCAATTACAAAATCTTTATCAAAATTTTTTGATACATCGGAAACAATTGCTAACCAATCCTTCAACTACTCAATCATCAATAAAAGTAATAGGAATATTAACAAGGTAGCCAAATCCTTTGTCATTAACAATAATCTAGGTCTAACATCTTTACCTCTATTATTCATTAGTTATTTAATCAACTCACTCATTTTGTCAAATAAAAATGATAACAATAATCCTACCAAAGACCACTATGGTAGCAATATGTTTATGAGCAGTACAAATCATTTGATCTTCTTGAAATATTTTCTCAAATTGCCAAATAATTTTTTAAAGTTTTTAACTGAAAATTTTCTAATTCTAATTAAATTATTTGTTCAATTGGAAGATAATAAGGATTCGCCCAATAGTAGTATGAGAATCCAAGCATTGATGGATTCCCCAATTCTTCAATCAATTATTTATCTAATTAAGCAAATGGGCTTGACTTTCAAATCAGATTCGAATAATGGCCCAAATTATAAATTTAATGTTGGAACTGAAAGCTATAAAAATATAAAAGATGAATCATACATTGACAACGATTTGTTGTGCTACTATCTAAGAAGTATTGATGAATTGTTTGTTAATTGGTTAAATTTCTTAAATTTTGGCACCAATTATCAAAATTTCCACGGAAATAATTCTATTAACAACAATAATAAATATTCAATATCAATTGAAAACTTCATAAGGAGTTTCAGAAGTAGTATGAATGAGATCTATGATAGACTTCAGAGCAAAATATCCAGAACCAATTCAGTGGATAGTAATGATTCAGGTATAATATTAAATAACAATTCAGCTATCACATCAACTTCAAGTGTACTAAGTAATAATTCGTTCTTCAACACCAACACCAACACCAACCCTAATAATAACAATAAAAATAAAAACAATACAATCAATGAAGTTAGTAAAGAGAAACCAATTGATGATAAAGTAATGCTTAATAGATCGTTTCTGATGAATAACCAAACAAGTATTGGAACAGTTTCTAATCCATTGAATGAATTTAATAAAAATCCACATGGTAGAGCTAATTCTTATTCTACCAGCCCCTTTACCTCAAGTCCCAGAGGTGTACCATTGGCTCATTCGAATTCAATGTTACTGTATAGTCAGTGGAGTGATGATAGAAGCACCATTAATCATAATTCATTAAATCTTAATCAATATAACCATTGTATTGAAAATAATAACATTAATAACCAAATCGAAAATCACGATAGCAACACCAACACCAATAATAATAATGCTATTACAGATAATAGTAACAATATTGCAGATAATAACAGAAACTCAAATATTGTTAATAGTACTTTTAACCTTTCTCACGATAATAATAAAATTAGTAGTATTCTAAATTCAAACAACATTGAAAAGCCAATATTGAGAGATACTAATTTGAATAGTTTTCAAAGTAATTCAAATTTTTCAAAAGATAATCAACAAAGAATTTTTTTACCACCCATATTACCTCGACCTCAAAATTATGTTCCTCAATCCGAGATTATAATCAATAATACCTATAGCTCACCATTTTTACATTCGCATTCTAAGAAATCACCAAGGCAATTGCCATTGCCAATTACCTCTAGTTTATCTTCGGCTTCAAGCTATAATTTGCAACCAACAAGCTATCCTAATATTAGAGAAATAGGTATGATTAACCAACATAGTCACAACCATTTAAAAAACACTATTGTTAGCCAAAATAGCTTTGCAAACACACCCATTAATGATAATAACGCCAGTAATAGCAGCAATGAAAGACATATGTCACATAGCAACAATGACAACACACAGCACAACAGCATCAATGGTATTGCTGATAATAAAGGATTTAGACCAGTCCGAAACAACAATACCAACTCCATCAGTAATCTCATCAACTTTACAGGTGATTCAAACGAACCTTCGATGGAACAAGAAGCCATTGAGAGAAGAAACAGTTATTCATTCAATGAAACTTCCTCAAGAGGCAGTTCAAATGAATACCAAGCAAGAGTTGATGATCGATTTAAATCTCACTCACTCAGTGAATAATTGAACCATTTAACGAAATTTCCTCTAAGCGACGACTCTTTAATTTTCTTTAGTTTTTTCTCTATTATATTATAGCTCTTTTATAACGATTTTCCTGCACTTTCAGTTCTTTTTGCATCAATTTAACATCGTCTTTAGTTTTTTTCTCTGCTTCCGAAACCCGTAAATGACGAAGACGAGAAAAGCACGCAAAATACAAAACAACGCCGTTCCGTATAAAGCAACAAATCCACTGATGTGGCTCTTGTTCCCAAAGTAGAAATAATCTTGGAACCAAACGAGTGGTTCCAATCCATGTGGGTGGCGTTGATTTGAGTCACGTGCACTATTTTTTTGTTTGGGGATAAGCAAAATGGTAAATAAATAACCATCAGATCAGAGATTCGCTGAGAGGTGTTTCACCAAACACTGAGCAGTTAGCTGAAGATACCTCGTTGCAGACATGAATTTTTTGAAGAAGATACTCAGACCATCCTTGAAGGACGAGTTGGTTGCGATTCCATCGGGCCAATTAATCTTGTCGAGATCTCCTGCCTCGCCAAAGAGCGAAAGTGAGTGTCTCTACAACGACTGCGTTGCTACCATTCGACAATCCTCCATTCCTTTCAACTACCAATTAGTTATCCAAAGAGCTTACCAAGAGGGTGAAGAGGATTTGAATGAGAACGAGGAGGTTGATGATGGTAATTACAACAATTCTATTTTGAACAACAGCAATTCCTCTACCTCAGATGAAAAAATCTTTGTTATTGACCAATCTTTAAAATTTCATACTTTTATCAATCATACTGATGGAAATCAAATTGTATCATGGTTTGATTTATTTGGTGACGATGGTGATAGATTTCAATTCATAGTTGATAATTCGGTAAACAAAAATTTAATCAACAAATTCGTTAAAACAATCTATAAATGCGAATACGAGAAGAAATACTCAAAATCATCTGTTAGTTGTTCGGATGAAGATTTAGAAGAATTTGTCATTGATGTCAATGAACTTAACAATAGTATCAATGATAATGATGTCTTATATATATCATCATCATCATCATCATCTATAATATCTCTCAATAAACATAACAATGATGATGAATATGCATATGCAGATGAAGAGGATAATAATAATCCATTGGAGGATTCATCTGACGATGATTTTGACAGTGATTATCATGATACCTCCCCTGTTAATACATATAGATCAAGATTAAGATCAAGTACAAAACAGTCATTGAAATCACCCTCAAAACCAAAATCAAAGATACAATCACAGTTAAATACTAATTTAACTCCAAATCAAAAAAAAGAGCAAAAATTAAACCAAGAATCAAATTCAAGATCTTTATCATCAAATAAAAACAATTTACCTGAATCAACAATTAAAACACCTATCAAGACTTCTACCAAAACCCCTATCAAAACCCCTATTAAAACCCCTATTAAAACACCTGTCAAAACACCTGTCAAAACTACTGCCAAAGCACCAAATTCCTCAACCAATCGTCTAATTGAATCTCCAATCAGATCTCCAATCAAAAAATCTATTGAGTCTACTCAAAAGTCTTCTATTAAATCTCCTGCTGTGAAAATTGATAAAATTGATAAAAATGATAAACTATTTGTTGAATCCGATTCAGATAATGACACTGATCCAGATCTTTTTCTTCCTCAAGTTCCTCAAGGTGACGTAATCTCAACGGATTATGCTGAATTACATTTATACAATCCAGACTCAGAATCCTTTATTTTGCAAAAACAAGTTGTTAAAACTTCAATATTAAATTCGGGAAATTGGCAATACTGGTTAATTATTCAAAATTATTCTGAAGAAGAAAAAAAAAACGATCTTCAAAATGCTAAAAATAAAACCACATCAAATGATAAAAAAATTAGCAATGATTTCATCTTGGGTCCATTAATTGATCAAAACATGGCTCCAACTTTTAATTTTGACCATTTATCATTCATTTTCAATTATTTTATTCAAGAGAGAGCCTTATCTTGGTTATTGAAATTTAACACATTTGAAGAATTATCCAATTTTCAATCTGCTTTTATGAGCGCTTTATGGGAATCATTAAATAAAATCAAGTGGGGAAATTTTAAAAAAAACGATGAAAGTTATATTCTTGATGCTTTCAATAATTTAGACTTGGATAATAAATCAGATATTGAAGAAATCGAGCAATACGATAAAGATGACATCGATGTCAATTATTATGATGATGATCAAACGCATTCACAAACCGAAACTGATCTCGAATCTGATTTTGATACCAATAAAAACTCAAAAATTTGTATTTCAAAGAAAAAAAAAGAAGATTTTTCTGATGATGACCTCTTTAATGAGGATAATCAAAAATATAATAATCAAAAATTCAGAAATAATAACGATAAAAATTCTGCCTTGACGGTTTCTTATAAAAATGATAGATCCTATGTTGTTAGAGGTGATAAAATCGGTGTCTTTAAAACTGATGATGACAGTTTAAATTTTCAAAATGCTATTGAAAATATTAAAGATTTACAAGGCAAGAGTTTTAATCCAGATAAAATTATGTTACATACTGAAGATCGTTCCTTGATTATGCAAAGTTCGAAAAATAAGAAAGAATTGTATAAGTTAGATCTTGAAAAGGGTAAAGTTATAGAAGAGTATAAAGTGGGTGAAGATATTCCTGTAGTTGAATTCAATCCAACTTCAAAATTCAGTCAAATGACTAATGAACAAACCTTCCTCGGTATTTCTTCAAATGGTCTTTTCAAGCTTGATCCTAGAATTTCTTCCAAAAATAAATTGATCGATTCGGAATACAAACAATATAAAACCAAAACTAATTTCTCTGCAATGACAGCAACTTCACTTGGTAATATAGCTGTTGCTTCAAAGACTGGTGAAATCAGATTATACGATAGACTAGGCATCAATGCTAAAACTCAGTTACCTGGCTTAGGTGAAGAAATCAAAGGTATTGAAACTTCTTCCGATGGTAGATGGGTATTGGCCACCTGCAAAACTTATTTATTACTAGTTGATGCTAAAATAAAATCAGGAAAATACAAAAACTCTACTGGTTTTATGAGATCTTTCTCTAAAGATTCCAAACCAATTCCAAGAAGATTACAAATTTCTCCTCAACATATCGCATATATGCAACAACAAACTGGGAGTGCTCTCGACTTCACTAAGGCTCATTTTAATACTGGTATTGATGTCAAAGAAACTACTATTATTTCATCAACTGGACCTTATGTTGTTCAATGGTCCTTGAAAAAGATTCTTAGAGGCGACAAAGACCCCTATCTTATCAAAAAGTACGATTTAAATGTCATGGCTGAGAACTTTAGATTCGGTACAGATAAGAATGTTATTCTTGCTATGACTGATGATGTTACAATGGTAAGCAAGAAAAGTTTTAAAAAACCAACAAGGGAGACGTTGGCAGGTCCAATAGATAAAGATTCAATTGTCAAAACTTATTAAGTAATTTCAAACTTTGGCAACAGTATATGAAAACATGAAAGCCCAAAGTTTAATTTTTTTTTATGGAGAGAACCTTTTTTTTTCGATTATGTTTTGAATATTGCCACTTTTTTAATTTAGTCTTAACTTTTATTGTTTCAATTTTATTGATCATTTATTATATATCCCCTATCATTCCCTCCCTTTTCCTTACGGGCTGTTTTTAACACCATTATTTATTTATAACAAAAAAGCAGATTTGTTGCAGTCCAAATTCCTATGTCTTTTTTATTTTTTTTTGCCTTTTTTGTTACTGTCCACTTTCTGCTGTTGGAATAAGTGTGCTTCTTTTTATAGTCAAACTTGGTTTTAATAAATGTTAATTGACTGCATTGTCAATTGTTTAATTCCTACAAAGCATGTAAAGTTTTAATAAAAATAGACGTTTATTTTTGTGTAAGCCAAAAATTAACTTAGAGTGTAAATTATGAGATTATGCAAATCAGAAAAAAATCAGAAAAAAAAATATCGAACAAAAAAACCAGAGTGATTGAAGTTGAATGAAAAAAAGTAATTTACAGTTAGGAATCTCACCTAAATTATAGTCTCTCTTTTGGGAACTTTGTTCCTATTTTCCATTAGAGAAGAGCCATTATTTTGAATATTGGCAAGAGATTTCAAAATTCCTACATTGAGATTCAAAGAATTATATGATTGAGAACTAGGCTGAGTAGTTTTCTGTTTTGTTTTGTTTAACAACGATGATAAAGCAGCAAAGTGATTGCCAGAATCAGAAAGGGCTTCATCAAAATTTCTCTTCTTAGATTTCTGAGGACTTTCTGGCTTAGCAGTTGAGTTTCTGATGTTATCTATATTCTCTTGATAACAGGGCCAGTGGAATATTTTTGGTCCTTCTTTTATCGAATTTTCCCAAATCCATTCGCCTAAAGCATCGCTCCAAATTGCATGAATATCTTCTTTACAAATGGCACATTTTGTGTTCATATCAGTGGATTCTGTGGGGACAATCACATAGTGTTCTTCTCTGTTGGCAGCATTGTTTGAATTCGAGTTTCCATTATTATTTCCTGAGGAGGCTGAATTGTTTTGGTTGTTTTGGTTTTTGGTTTTAGCTTCAGGATCATCTAATTCATCTAAAGTTTCACGATCATCAAATCCAATCCACTCAATATCATTCATATACCAATTTCTGGATTGAACTAAACTTGATTCTTTTAATTTTTCATGAACTCTGAAATGCCAATCTAAATGAGCACCCTTTAAATGTAAATTATCTTTACTAAACCTTTTACCACATTTGGCACAATTGTTTAACTTATCAGCATTAAGGAAGTTTTGAAATTTTGTTGTAAATTTGTTATCATTCAAAGTTGCTTGAGTGATATCAAGAAAGTTGTCATCATATATATTAACTTCAAAGAAAGCAGCCAAGCTAGAATTTTCATTATCAGGAATTACATTAGAATTTTGAAAGTCCTTTTGAGGTGGGAAATTTTTGTTATTATTTTGCTTTTCATTAAGTAATCCAAATTGTTTTAATGATTGGAATAAATTACTTAAGTTTGGCGGTGGATTATTAGTATTAGTATTGTTTGCTACATTAGAAAAACTATTAAATTGAGAATTTCTATTAACTAAATTATTTGAATTATTGTTTCTTTGATTTAAAAAGTTTTGTAAACCTCCTCCGTTTCTGTTATTAATTCCTGTTCTATTAGCGATATTGTTAGGATCAGTAGCTTGAATAATGTTTTGCAAAGAACCAAAAATAGGCTTGATATTTGTGTTAACGTTGTTGAAATTATTTTGATTTTGGTTTTGGTTTTGGTTTTGAATAGGAATTTGGTTTAAATTTTGATTTTGATTGGGCAATAAATTTTGAAATTGACTTTGAGCTTGGTTTTGAAATTGGTTTTGATTATGATACAAGTTTTGATTGAAATTTTGGATTTGAACTTGAGACATTGATTCTTGTTCTTTTTTAATCATCGATTGTAATTGATTTTTAATTTTGAGTAAATCATTAGCATTCATAACTTGGGTGCTGAGGAAATTTTTCAAAGTTGATAAAATTGTTAATCTCTCTTTTGATTTTGTATCAGATTGATTGAGGGTTAATTTTTTGTTAATTAATGCATTTAAATTGTCAATATCACTGATTAAAGATTGGCTTGTTGGTAAAGGAAGTTCGATTGATGAGGTATTGATTAAAGATTTTTGAAGTAAAAACGGTTGAAATTCAGTTGGTTTTTGGTTGATCATCATTTGATTATTGTTATTGTTGAGCAAATTTTGATAATTATTTTGATTTTGATTTGGAATAGAAAAATTTTGAGATTGGTAATTGTAATTATTTTGTTGTGGTTGAGGTTGTTGAATTGGGTTAGGGCTAATGAATTGTTGAAATTGTTGGTTTAAAGTTGGTTGTTGTTTTTGTTGAATCTGTTGGATTTGTTGGATTTGTTGTTGTTGTTGTCTTGATGGAGCAGCTTGAACTAGAAAGCCTTCAATTTTTTGAAGTTGAGCAATTGGAAATAAAGTTAAACCAGTAGCAGTTTTAGTTGTTAACCAAGTTTTAAACAAGTCGATTAATTTTTTTCGATGTAGGTCGGATACCAAAGAATAAGTTTGAGTGAAGATGTTGTAAAGATTTGAACCAAATAATACAGTATAGGGACTACCAATATTTTTACAAATAGAGTCTAATAGGTATAAAGTGAACAATTTTTGAGTTGGTAAACATGATTGAATACGATTTTGAATAGCTTTTGTGATATAAGGAGCAGCGACAATATTTTCTTGAGCAATTACAGTCAAGTTCACAATGATTGGACGAGAATTGAAGGTTAACTCATTTAAAGAATTGAAGTAATCATTACCAATAGCTTCTAGTTCAGATGAAGGAGCCATGCTTTGAGTGAATATAAATCTTATTTTTTTTTTGTTTGTTTGTTTAAGAAATATGATATAAATATGTTAAGTGTGTTATAACTATGGTATAGATTTGTTATAAACTTGCTATAGTATTGATAAAGTGAAAAATATGTCTTAATGTATTAAATGTTTTTCTTTTGGGGTTATTTGGATAATTTAATATAATTTAATAAAATAAATTAAAGTAGAGTAGAGTAGAGTAGAGTAAAGTAAAGTAAAATGAAATGAAGTGAAATTAGAAACTAAAAAGTGCAGAATAAAATAAGATAAGATAAAATAAAGCAAAATGAAATTAATATTACTCACAGGAAATTATTAATTGACAAATATCAAAAATAAGCAGTTTCTATTCAAATCAGATAAATGAATTTGCTATCCAATTTGATATCTGTTGTCTGTGTTATAAAAATTGTCAACTAAGCTCTTTTTTTTTTGTTCAAAGCTTTAAGATTTTTTTTTTTTGATGACTTTGTTGGAAAGAAACTGAACAGTTAATTTATGACAAATAAAATAAAAAGTAAAGTATTAAGTAAAAAAATTGAACCTTTTTAAGTAAGATTAGAGGAAAGTAATTCAGATATTTATAGTTGAGTTAATTTTTTTTGGAGTTTTTATTTTTTTGTTTGCTTTCAACTAGATAGATTTATTTATAATGAGAAATAATTATAAATAAATTATATATTAAATTATAAAAAATAATAATAGTAAAATGGTATAAACAATCTAAAATTAAGAAACAAAAACAAGGAAGAGGCAAAGGAAGTAGGTGAAGAGGAAACAATTGCAGTGCAATCGAGAAAAGTAGACAAAAGATCTATTTGATAAGAATAAATGCCAAATCAATAAAATATAAGGAATAGACAGGATTTCTAGAGAGATATCTCGAGTAGAAAGCCAGTTCTGTTGTTTCGAATGATACTTAGGTTCCCTTGAGTGTTTTTTGCAGTTCCAAGGGTGAGAATGGGAAAACAAAGAAACAAACCACAGAATTCTTTATATTGAGCAGAAAAGGAAAAGTAAAACAGTGGATAAAGAAAATCAAACAGAATGTACAATGAATAAAATATAATCAGGAAAAGAGAAAAAAATATCAAATTATTTGCTGATTCAAAAAGAAGCAAAGAACAAAAAACAAATAAAAAAAAGACAAAAAATCAAAGGCAAAAAACAAAACAGAAAAATGTCGTTTTAAAGTCACGTGTGCAAAGTATATTCACGTGATAATGCTAGGTTTATGCGGTAAAGCGCGTATATATGCAATAAAGCATGGTTTCCATGTGTGTGGCACAGAACCAAAGTGGTGGTTCTGTTACCACACCAGTGGATTAGGATTACATAATGAGATTTCCTAATTCGTCTTTTTTATAATGCTTTTTTATACAACTTTTTGGTGATCACTAACACAAACAATTGGCGTCTTTTGGTGTATATAACATACATAGCGCTGTTTGGAGATATATAGTACATGCGTGATTCACACTCAATTGCCTCTCATGTTCTGCAATCTCTGAATGGCCTTGGGGTGCCTTTGGGATGCTGCTCTCATATACCATCTTTTGGCCTCCTCAATGCTTTTTGCAGTTCCTAGACCATTTTCGCTAAAATGGCCCAAGGCATATTCAGCTTTGGCTAATCCCTTTTCAGCTGCTCTTCTGGCCCAAAGATATGCTTCCTTGTCGTTCTTCTCCAACACTCCCGAGGCTCCTGTGATATACCATCCACATAGTGCCATTTCTGCTAATGCGTACCCTTGAGCTGCTGCTCGACTGTACCATCCAACTGACCTCTTGGGATCAATTACACAACATAGCTTTCCATACTCATAGCACCATCCTAGTTTGCTTTGGCTTGGTGCATGTTCGAGTTTTGCAGCTCTAAGGTAGTATTCAAACGCTTTCTTTTCATTAATTTCGACTATTATTTTCCTTAGTTCTCTCATGAAATTTCCATCTGATTTTGATAAATTGTTGACTGGAGATGAAATTGGATAAACTCCTTCATATAATTTACCCAACTCGTATAATGAATGAGGATTATTAAAATCGGCAGATTTAGCAGCCTTCTCGAAATACTCAATGGCCTTTGCTGCTGATTTTTGTTGGCTCAATTCTCCCATAAGATAGCACATTCCCAATTTATACATTGCAGTAATAACACCTATTTTGCTGGCTCTTTCAAACCAGCTGAATGCTCTTATATCATCCTTTCTAGTTCCAACGCCTAACTCATAACAAACAGCTACTCTGTACATTGAGTCGGGATGAGCATATTTTGCAGCTTTGCAGTAATAGTCATAAGCTTTGTTATAATTTTTCTCTAAGATTATACCATCTGTATAAAGTGTAGCTAGATAGTAATTTGATTCAGGGTCGTCTTTATTGACCAATTTTTTCAATATTTTCAAGCTTTTTTTCAAATATTCATCTTTATTTTTACGCAATTCTCTTTCTGTTGTTAGTCTTTTATTAATTAGTTCTCCGTCGCATGTGTAATAGCTCAAAATAGGTAGAATCGTTATGGCTTCAATTAATGCTTTTACCCATTTTAATTGAATTGAGGGAGTAAATTTGAGATCCTGGGTTGCTTTTTTTTTTAGTATAGTAAACTGGACAATATTTAAAGGTCTTTTGCCATTAGGAGTGTTGATTTTTTGAGGAGGTAATGAATCATCGCAATGAGTGATTAACTTAGCATTATTGATATAGTTAGGATTAATATAATAATTAGAAGTATTAGTATTAGTATTATTGTTAGTCTTATTGTTATTAATTGGAGCTGTAAAGTTTCTTAAAATTGGTTTCAATGGTTTTGGTTGATGATTATCATTATTATTAATTTTGTTATTAGTTTGATTATTAACAGGTAGAGTTTGATTTCTAATTAAAGGTTTTGGAATAAAATTTTGGTCTGTGGAAGAGTTTGGATTTATATTTGCGTTGATATTTTGACTTTGATTTTGATTTTGATTTGAATGTAGGTTTGGTTGAGATGCAACTCTTTTGGGACCAATTGAAGAAGGGATCTTTGGTTGATGAAAAGAGTTGGAGTTGTTTGGATTATTTAAGTTGCTATAACTGTTAGAGTAGTTCAAGTTATTCTGGTTTTTCAAGTCAAACTGGGATCTTGTAGGAGAAAACAAATTTCTTTTGTTGGTGTTCAAGTTGTTGAGGTGGTTAAAGTTGTTAAAGCTGGTAAGGTTATTAAAGTTATTGGAGTTGATTTTTGTATTGTTTAATGAAGGATTGTTGTTGTGCATATTGATGGGGATATTGATGGGGATGTTATTTTGAGTGTGAGAGGTGTTGAGAGAGTTGGGAGTATTGTTGTTGTTTAACAGGTTAGCAATGGGAACATAATTGGGGTTATTGTATTGATTTTTATTGCTATTGTTATTGCTATTGTTGTTATTTATGTTGTAATTGTAAACATTTTTTGGAGGAGAGGATTTTTGTGGCAGTTGATTTTGATTGAAAGAGGTGTTATTTGCAGAGTAGTTGGAGATGGTAAGAGAGGGAGAATTGTGGGAGAGCTGGTTTGATTTATTGTCTTTGGATGGAGGAGAGATTCTGTTGCTTGTATATTGGGCAGGTATTTGATTTGCGATATGAGTTGGTATTTGGGTTGGTATTTGGGTTGGAGTTGGAGTTATGTTTAAGGGAGGAGGTTTGGGTCTGTTGATGGAGGTATTCTGCACATTAAGTTGTGGTTTATCTTGCACATTTAGCTGGGAGTGATACTGCGTATTATACTGCGCATTATATTGTACGTTTTGCGCTCTGATAGGAATCTCTTGAGCGTTATTGTTATACTGATTACTGTTATTATAGTTATTGTTATTATTATAGTTGATATTATTATTAGAATTGAAATTAGAATTGAAATTAGAATTATTATTACTATTACTGTTATTGTTTAAGTTGTCGTTTAGATTGAAATTTTTAAAAGAACTGTTTAAATCGTTCAAATTGTTGCTAAAAGTATTTGACGAATTCGACGAGATAGAAGAATCCGATAAAGAATTTGACTGATTTGAATTCTTTCTATTATTATTGTTACGATTATTATTATTATTATTATTATTATTATTATTATTATTATTATTATTATTATTATTATTATTATAATTATTATTATTATTATTAGTTAATGTGTTACTTAAGTTTGATTTTGAAATTAGATTTGGATTTGAAATTTGGCTTAGTTTGAAATCAGGATGGGTGGGTGAAATTTTTGATCTTTGGGGAGATCTTGGGGGAATATCAGTGTCATATTGATGATGAACTATATTTAATGGCAATACTCGATATTCGGAATCCAGGTTATTTAAGTTATTATAATTGTTATAATTATTATAATTATTATAATTGTTGGTGACAGCTGAAGAATAAGGAAATTCCTCGCTAGGATAAGGAGCGATGTGTGTGTTGTTGGCCATGGCTGCCCAAAAGTAGCAGAAGAAGCAGAAGAAGCAGAAAAAACAGGAGAAAAAGAGAGACAGAGAAAAGAACAAAAAGCAAGAGAAGAAGAAAGCAAAAAAAACCCAAAACGAGAGATCAAAAGCAACAGCAGCCCAATAATGGCGATGAGATTGGCTGGAGATACTCGCTATATCTTATATACCGTAGATACCTTTCCACTGCGAGAAGCACGCATCCAAACAGATCACAATGCTGCATCTGCACGGCTGCAGGTGTCCACACCGCTGGCTCTCCCCTTCGTCGTGCCACTGTCCGTTTGCAGAGCATTTGCGGCCTCTTTGGTTAGCTTTGGGCCCGCGCTTTTGGTCCCGTGTGTACTCTGGTTCTTTGCCCCAAAACGGCAGCCCGTGTTGCCGGATGCGGAAGCACCGCTTGGAATAAACGCAGCGCCGCCACGTGAGTGTCAGGTGTATGCTGTGCCGGGTAGTGTTCCTGTTAAAAGGGGTCGGAAGCGGGGCTGATCGGGCTTTGATGTGTCCGCGCTGTTATCCGCACCCGTGCTGGGATCTGCGCAGTGTTTTACGCTCCCGCCGAATTTTGGCAAAAGGTTAACAGCATATTTTTGTATTTAAGTCACTACATTTTTGCTCTTTTCTACAAAGCACACAGAACGAAAATATTTGGTGCTTTGTTATTCCATCCATACTCCTTAATCTCTGCTCTTATTCATATTGGCGATTTTCTCACTGCTGTTGAAAACTGTTGAAACCTGTTTCTTTTGTATCTGTATCTCTAATTCTTTCCAGTTGTTATTGCTATTATCTAAGAGAATATTTGCTTTTCCACCTATTTCCTTGATTCAATAATTATTTGCTTAGTCTTCTATTGTTTTACTGTTTATTATAAATACTTAAGCTTTTTAATGGGTTCTTTTAGATTTAATTCGATATTTGGAAAATTATCAATGGATTCGTTAGTTGATTCAGTTTACGACCAAATAGAGATTGAGGATTTCACCTTTGATTCCAACACCCAACTATTTCAATATCCCTGTCCCTGTGGAGACAAGTTCCAAATATGTTTGGAAGATTTGAAGGATGGTGAAGAGATAGCTATTTGTCCAAGTTGTAGTCTAATGGTTCAAATTATTTACGATCAAGACGACTTGTCTCCTTTCATTCAACAAGTTAGCTACAGCCAAACTTCGTTTTCTCATCCAATATTAGCATGAGTTTTTAAAGGTTGTCATCAGATTTTATCCTTATCCTTTTGCTTATTCATTTCTGCTAATTTGTTCTCTTTCCCACTCACCAAGGCATTTTGTATCATAAAATTTATTAATTAAATTTTCCATTTTTTTTATTATCTTGTTTGAAATTCATTTTATTATTATTATTTTTAATATTTCTTTTTCTTTTTCTCTTTCTCATTACATTACTTTATTTACTTTATTTGATTAGTTTATAGTGCGTTTAATACAGGGTTTTGATTTTAATTAATACTTTATTACGACTCAAGTCTTAATTAATGGTCATATTCATTGAGTCTTAATTAAATCTTTAATTTATTCAAGGATTAGAAGATTAAATTGGGTCAAATTGGATTAAATTGCATTAAATTAGATCAAATTAGATCAAGTTAGGGATCAAATTAAGGATCAAATTAAGGGATTAATCTTATTGGCCTGGTTAATTGAACCGAATAATTGCATTTGTACAATGGATGTTGGGTGCATGAATAAAACAACTTCAACATCCAAATTGAACTGCAATTTATATTGCTCAACCATTTGTATTTATATTTATATTTATATTTATATTTATATTTATAATCGTATTTATACTCACACTCTTACTCATTCTTCTACTTAAATTTATAATACCAAATAAATATACAAGAAATGAAAATCGACGACTCCAAAATTGATTATCGCTTGAAAAACCAAAGCAAAGACTACGATAAAAATGCCTTGCCCAAGCAGATTAAAATAAATGAAAATAACTTGCCCATCCATAAACTACATCACGTTAATAGACCACTAAGAACCATCCAGTACTTGCCAATCAAATTGGTCACCTTTATAGACAACAATATTCACTTTAAAACCACCATCCATAACCACCATTATCCTCTGAAGAACTACAAGTTGGAATTTGAATACGATAAGATCAAATTCAGCAAAACTGACAAAGAAAATAACAATATTATCATTCAAATCAAAAGTATCGCTATCAATCCAATCGACTTGAAAATATATAACTATTTCACTTACGACCTAACATCAAAGAAAAAGGGCATCGGCAGAGAGTTTAGTGGCGTTGTATATAGATTGAGTCCGAATTTACTTTCTTCAACTTCGCTAAGAGAAGGCGATGTGGTCACTGGCATTTATTACCATCCATTGAGCAAAGGCACACTGTCCTCATATTTGCTAATCGACTATAAATCCGACATACTTTTAAAGATCAACAACAATAACGATGTCGACAACATTAACAGCAAAATGAGCTTTGAAAAACTAAGTGGATGGAACTACTCATTTCTATCAAGTTACCAAATCTTGATCAAATTGAAGAAATTGCTAATAAACATCAACGATAACAATTACAAAATATTGATCAATGGCGGCAGTACCAATCTCGGAATAATGTCCATTCAGTTGCTACGCAATTTCTTTAGCATTAACAACAAGAACATTTATGTTATTTGTTCCACCAAATCCAACCACCTAGTCAAGGAAATTGGTGGCTATGCTATCAACTTGATTGACTATAAAGACAATATCGGGCTAGTCAAATCAATTTTGATCAAATTAAATGACACTATTAACATCAATAACAACAACAATAATGAATCAAGAAAATTCAAATTGATACTAGATTTTGTTGGCGGAAATGAGCTCCTAAATAATTACAACGAGTTGCTATTAATCAATAACAACGGCAACGACGTTCTACTATCAAAATATATTACTACAGTTGGCGATGAAAAGGCCAATTACAAAAAAGATAAATACAACACAAATGGAAGCATTATCCCCAAGGAGAGCTTTTATAAAATGTACTACAAATTCGACTACGAAAAATTTGAATTGAATTTAAATCCCAATAAGGTCGAGGAAAACCGAAAAATCTTGGAAATGGGTTTGAATTTGATTGAGCAAAATCTAATCAAAGTGGTAATTGATTCAGTGCACAACTGGAAGAACATTTCCGAGGCCTTGGACAGAGTGGCTCTGCAACACACACAGGGAAAGGTTGTCGTGAATGTCGACGACTTTTAATGATAGCATCGCTCTCTTCTCAACACCCATTTCTTCTTCAAAAAAACCTCTTCTCAAAAAAACCTCTTCCAAAGAACCTTTTTAAACTTCTTCTCAGGACTTAATCCGAAAATGTTTAATACCTCATCCAAACCACCGCCGTGGAACTATAACACGTGCCATCATTCAGCATTTCCCGCAGTGTCCCGCGTCCAGGTACATATGCACCCCCTCTCACCCATGCGCGCGGCCTCCGCAGAGTGGGGGTACGGCTATTTACCCGTTCCAGTGGGAGTGTGTGTGCAGTGGAAATGCGCATTGTGTCCGGCCGCAGCATGAACCCCTGCAGTAGCGGGAGAAACGGCAGGGCTGGTTGCGGTCGAGCGCCTGGGGTACGTTTTTCTGAAAAAATGCACGGGCCCAGTGGTGAGGGAGAGGGAGGATATAATAAACTGCTTTTTGCTGGACGTTTTCTCTGTTTGCTATTTCTTCTCACCTCTTCCATCTCTTTCACCTCTTTCTTTTCAATCACCAGAGCTCTTATATCTTCATTGCTTAAATGTGCTACTTTATTGAAAACGAAGACGACACCAACCCCTGCCGGTCCTCTCTTTCCTCTGTTCTCTGTCTCGACCAGATCAACGAAGAGAGAAACTCCATCATCTTTGCCTACAACTCCAACGAACTTGCCTCCAATCTTGCCTCTTCTCTCAAGACCTTTCCCTCCTCTGCCTCCTCTGCTCCTCGCTTCAACAACCACCAGAGAAACTCCAAACCTAAAAACACCTCCTCAGACATCGACGTTGACTCTGAGTCCTCTTCCACAAGCTCTTCTTTAAGTCCCTTGCGAAACAACATCATTCCCTCTCCTCCTCTCTTCAACGCCAACTCCACCATAATTTCCCAAAACACCAATGCTCTCAACACCTCTCAAAACAATGACAGAAAATCTCCTATTTTCAAGGAAAAGTCTTCCATCAAACCCTGGCTACAAGACAGATTATTGCCCTTGGGTATCTTCATAGTAATCGAAAGATCCGATGACACTAAAATCGTATTTAAATGCAAATCTCATTTTAAATCAACCTTTAAAAACAAAAAACTATCTCTAATGGACGATAACGCCCCAATCTCAAACAACTCCTCTACCAATGACTCTAACAGCATTAAAATCTCAAAACCAAAATTCAAAAGATCCAAAAACATAAACTCCTGCCCTTTTCGAATTAGAGCAAACTATTCAATAAAGGCAAAGAGATGGTCCTTGGTTATTGTCAACGAACACCACAACCATTCTCTATCTCCAAACTTTGACTCAATAATTCCTCTCGAAGAAAAACAAAAGTTCTCTTCATCTCCTTCTTCTTCCTACATTAATGGCTCCGATTTCGACGAAGCTGCTATTCTAAAAGCTCACTATTACATTGAAGAAAATAATAGAAGATTTAGCAACCTATTAGGCTCCAGTGACACTGAATATAATGACGACGAACCTTACAACCCTTCAAAGGATTTTAAGAAAAAGACTCATACTCTCATCAACAATTTCCTAATAAACGACAACTCAACAAATAATGACAAAATCTCTCTTTTAAATTCAATGATATCTGATATTCAAAAAGTTATCACCAAGATTAAATCAAACGATTTAACTCCAATTCCTCCAACAAAAATCAACAAATCAAACCAGCATTCCTTCAAAATTTATAACATCATTAACCATTCATCTCCCCCTTCTTATCATCCAAATTTAAACCTATCAAACTCTGTCAACATTAAAAATTCAACTTCTAAACATTTCAATTCCAATTCCAATTCCAATTCCAATCCCAATTCCAATTCCAATCCCAATCCCAATCCCAATCCCAATTCTAATTTCAATTCCAATTCTACTTCTACTTCTACAAATAATAACAAAAATATCAGCTTTAAAACTCCTTCTAATTTGTCTACATCTTTATCTTCCTCTTCTTCCACTTCCACTTCCTCTTCAACATCTTCTACTCCCCCCTCTTCCTCCCCATTGTCTTCAAATTCTTCTCACTCTCCTATCTCTTCTTCCTCCATCTCTTCAACTTCTCCTCCAACTACCTCTTCCATCTCAAAACTTATACATAACAATAATAACCAAATCTCTTTACCTCAAATTAATTCTAATGCAAATATTACAAACAACACATCTAATAATATTAATACCGATGTAAATAACATAAATAATAACAATAATAATAACATAAATAACAATAACAACAACAATAATAATAATGATAATAATCTCAACTCTTTGTCTAATTCCTACTCCTATAGACCCCCAATTAGTCCCATCAACCCAATAACTTCTCTTACTTCTATCAACTCGATCTCAAATTTCTCATCTAGAAAAAATAACATAAGTCCTCTAAGCCATATCTTAAATATTAATAACTATCAAAATTATAATAATCAAAATCAATCTAATAATCAAAATAATCAAAACAATAACCCTGTTAACCCTATCAACCAAATTAATTCCATCAATAATTCAAATATTTTAAATCGTAACTATAATAACTACAATGAAAATAACTATCAATCTATAAACAACTTCAAATCCTTTCAAAATCGTTTTCCTTTAAATCATGATAATTTTAATCCCCAATTACCTCCTCAATCAAATTTTAATAACCACTTTGACCCGTTGCCTTCAATTCATTCTCTTCCTAGTATTAAATGTAACATGAACTTAAACTAATTAATTTTAATCTGATATACTGGAAAATCTTCCAAATATTTTTTCATTGATTTATTTTAGCTCATTCAAAATCTATATCAATATTATTATTACTACTATTACTTATATATATTTTTTTTCAATTCTATCAACTCTCGTCCTTTTCAATTTTTTTTTGTTTTTTTTTTGAAAATTTTGGTATTTCATGCTTTTTCTATCTCTACTTATTGATTAATTATGGTTTTTTTCTTACATTTTATTATTTAAAAATCTTTTATTTTATAATTTATATCCCTACTCTTACCCTCTTATTTTACTTTTCCTTTCCTTTTCCTTCAACTCTTTTGTCCTTAATCGTACTTTTATTTTTACTTTTATTTTTATTTACTTATACTTTATGTCTAATGTGATTTCTTTACATTAATTATTACTGTTTGTCACTTTACTTTTCCTGGTGGTTTTTTTCCGATATCTTACTATCTACGAATATTACTTAAAGTTCCTTTATATTCTAATGATTTCAGCTTTTTTTTTAATAAATAGTTGTAATTCAAAACTTAATCCACATGTCAACAAATGGCTTTCCTCACTTTTAATCCTTAAATCCTCTCACAACAACTCCGAAATCAACCATCTCGCCTTTAAAGTTCCATACATTTTTCACTGGAATATACTCAACAGACTTAATTCTCTCAATTTCAAAAGACCTGCCATATCCACTCTTTCTTTCTTTTTTCGTTTGTTGATGTTTGACGAAATGCTCTGGTCGAGAATAAACAATCTTATGCAAATTGGAGTAATCATACATTATCTTCTCCATCTTGTCAGCATTTGAACTCTTCCAGCTAAAAAAGTGGGTTGAAATAAACTCTTTTTTATTAACAACAAAACTCTTTTGGAAACTCAATAAACTCTCAACTTCCTTGCTTTTACTCCTAACTTTGCTTTTTGTGCTGTTTTCCACTAAATCTGAATCTGAATCTGAATCTGAATCTGAATCTGAATCTGAATTTGAATTTGAATTTGAATCACAGTCATAATCAATATATTCTTGAAAACTTAACCCTCCCCATTCAACACAAGAATCCTTTGGCAACAGACTAACTTCAACGACTAATAGCCTCTTAAGTAGATCTGTTGTTGTTTTATTCTGCATCTGAGTGGTGGTTTTTGCAACATAACTTTTCCATGTGTTTATAATTAATCTTAAAAATGTATTTCCATTATTTGTATAACAAACGACATTAGCAAAAATTTTATAATTAATAGCATTTATAACATTATCTAAATGTTGTAAGGATAGAACCGTTGATATCCTGTTAATATCATCATTATCGAGAGATTTTCTACTGGTATTATCACTATTACTATTAATATCCAGCTCATTTAAATTATCAACTGTTGGTAGTTCCATAATACTTGGAATTAAAGGAATTTGACCAGCTAAAGTTGCGATATAATTCTCATTATCATAGTTTGACTGAGAATATGGCCCAATATTTTGTGGTGCCCAATAACTTCTACTCTGAATATGTAATCCCAATTTTTTATTCAAATCTGATAGAATAACACAGGATAACATTAGCTCATTGCTTTTAGGCAAATTTGTCTCAATACAAACTCTTGCTGGTGGCAAGGGTTTTAAGAAAAAACTTTGGTAAATTGAATTAATTTTTTGAAAATTATTCATTGAGTTTAGTAATAAAGTAGTTGAAACTATATTTTCTGTGGATAAATTTCTTTGTGACAAAATTGATAATAAATTTTGAAAAATTTCATTTGTTTGATCAATTAATGATGGTTTATTTGAAGTTAAATTTGATATAAATAATTTGTTTCCAATATGTAATAGTTTATATTCAAAATTATAATCATAAGGGAGAATCTCACTATCAGTATTGAGATTTTGAATTAAATTGTCATCCAACTCATTGTTTGGAAGATTACATAAATCTTTAAATATATCATAGAATTTTGGTTTAAATAGGTTTGGTATCGTTATGAAGCTTCTCCAATAATCCAAGTTATAATCAATAGGTTTGTGTTTAATATCATAGTCAATTTTTTTATCTTGAGTTTTTACATCTAATAGGAGATAATACACATCATCGTTGGAATGCTTGATAATTTCTTGGTTCTGAATTATGATTTTTTTATCTTTGAAAAATGGAGTATCCAAAACAATTGTTTCAAATTCACCACCTTCACCACAGATGTGAACCTCGAACTTCCGATTTAAATCGATTAGTTTAGGAAACATTTTGTTCAATGGTAAACCCAAATGATTTTGATTTAATCCAATGGCAGCGACTTTTAAGATTCGTGCGTCAAAAGAATCGGAAATTGATTGCATTTCATTCATCAAGTTATATTGATCTCTATTCCATAGATAGGCTAGAGATATTAGACTTAATCTAGTGCAGCAGTCCTCAACTCTTATTCTTTGGTACGAAGAGAGAATTGCACCAGAGCTAACAGCTTGAACATCAGGATGGTTTTTCAAGACCAAACTGAGCAAGCCAAATAAATCTTCTGTTTCGTCATTGTCTGTTTTACTGTACTGCAAACTTGAATTCTTGTTGAATCCCCTGATGGGTATCCTGTAAAGAGGGACATTTGTACATTCTTCATACAAATTGAGAATATTGTGACCAACAGTTTGAAACATAAAGCTGTCTATCTCTTCAACACCTTCCTGCGAGGGATATAGGTTCGCCAACGCTACCAATTGGTGGCCTTGAGCCAAACAATGGAGGATATTAAAGCAGGAGTCCTTTCCACCAGACACCAATGCAACAAACTTCATTTTATCCAACACAAGCCAGAAGGAATTCACACCAACAGTCTTCTCCAACAGAACCCAACAATCAATATCCAATTCTCATATCTGAAAATCTCAAGCTAATTATCCACTTCCAAAAAGCTTCAGCCAACAATACCCACACTGACGGTGTCTGCAGTGTAATACGTTTTCCCACGTACTCAGAAAAATTAACATGTAAATAAATGCAAATAAATGCAAATCAACGCGGAAAGTTAACGGCATCGGAAAGTGACCGATTCGAGCTCCTCGAAAATGGAGATGAGGTTTTTCCGAGGTTTTGATAGGCCGGCAGCTTTTCCATGGAAAGTATGACAGAAATCATCTCATTTTTCATGATATCAAAAGACAGTTGAATGTGTTTCTTTCCTAAAATATTCAGAAAGGTGGGATATTATGGCAGATAAGCTTTGTTATTTCCATATTTCTTAGTAATTTCCAACAAATAGTGTTTAATTCGCCGATGGTCGATAAAACAGGAATAATATTTCATTGCGTGCGAGTTTTTTTACCTTTTTTCAGATTTATAAAAGGTACATGATATATAAGAATGGCAGATTATTCCAGGATATAATGGTATTTATCCATTGAGAAAAAAGAACCCCAAGAAAATCAAAAAAATAGATAAAAAAACTTGAGGCAAAAATGATCTTTTCAAGATTAAATCCTTCCATTATCACGAAAAAAGTTGGCGTAGATAACATTTTTGGAAGAGTTTTGTCAATTTCCAAGAAAAGTTCGTTTAAATTTTATTCATTTAGAGACTATTCACTAAGAACGACTAGCAATATTATCAGTCTTGATAATTTTAGCAATAACAAAAAGGATAACAATAATTCTAAAGATAAATATTTTAATTCAAAACGATTTTTGATTTTCCTTGTTTCGTCAATAAGTTCGGTCACCATATATTCATACATTAACGATTTAACAAATTCAAATAAAAGATATTTATCAGATGCTAAACCTAAAAAGGGAATCACAGTCGAGGAGTTTAAAAAGCACAATTCATTAGCTAATGGAGTTTGGGTTGTAATTAAAGGGCAAGTTTATGATTTAACTGAATTTTGTGAAATTCATCCCGGTGGGAAAAAAAATATATTAAAATTTGCAGGAAAAGATGCTACAAAAACTTTTGATCCAATCCATGCACCGGACATTATCGATAAATTTTTGCCGAAGGATAAACATCTAGGAGAATTGATCGGTGAATTAGAAATTGAAGAAGAAGAAATTTCAGAGGAAGAAGAAGAAAGATTATTAAGAGTTCAAAACAAACCATCATTATCATCGATTTTCAATATATCTGATTTTGAATATGTTGCTCGGGGAATATTAACACCAAATGCATGGGCTTATTATTCGAGTGCTTCAGACGATGAAGTTTCATTAAGGGAAAATCATTATTCATTTCATAGGGTTTTTTTTAACCCGAAAGTGTTAGTGGATGTTTCCACTGTTGATATCTCTACAACAATGTTAGGAAGTAAAACAGATGCCCCATTTTATTGTTCAGCCACAGCATTAGCTAAATTGGGACACGAAGATGGAGAGAAGAGTATTGCGAGAGGATGTGGTAGAGAAGGAGTAATTCAGATGTTTTCGACTCTAGCTTCATGTTCATTTGATGAGATAACAGATTCAAGAGTTTCGCCAGAGCAGAATCAATGGTTTCAATTATACGTCAATCCCGATCGAACAATTAGTTACGACTTGATTGAAAAATGCGATGCTAAAAACATTAAAGGTATTTTTGTTACAGTTGATGCTCCAGTTTTGGGTAATAGAGAAAAGGATAAGCGGTTGAAATTTGAAGATGATGCTAATATAATTGAAGAGAAGGGGGATTCAGATAAGATTGACAGAAGTCAGGGAGCTGCAAAGGCTTTATCCTCGTTTATCGACACCTCATTAACATGGAAGGATATTAGAGATTTTAAGACGAGGACAAAGATACCAATTGTTATCAAGGGAATTCAAAGGCCTGAAGATGTTGTGTTGGCTGCAAAGAATGGAGTTGATGCAGTTGTGTTATCGAACCATGGTGGTAGACAATTGGAATTTGCAAGAGCTCCATTAGAAGTCTTATCAGATACAATGCCCATTTTAAGAGGAAAAAACTTGGATAAGAAAATTGAAGTTTATATCGATGGAGGGGTTCGTAGAGGAACAGATATAATCAAAGCATTGTGTTTAGGCGCAAAGGGAGTTGGATTGGGAAGACCCTTTTTATATGCCAATTCTGGATATGGTGAAGCTGGAGTTCGAAAGCTATGTGAAATCTTGAAGGAGGAAATCAAGACAGATATGAGGTTATTAGGAGTGACAAAGATATCAGAATTGAGTGAGGAATTGGTCGATACAAGAAATTTGAAATCCAGGCTTACCACGGACGATAGGTTGTATAATTCTGTTTACGTGCCATTATCTCCTCCCAAATTCAGAGATAATTAGAATTAATAACAGTATAAATAAAAGTATAAATAACAGTGGTTTAATTGAGATGAGATGAATAAATATTCTATTAAAAAGAGGATTTAAAAGAGGATTAAAGTTATCTATATATTTATAAATTTGTGTATTTGAATCGAAAACAGTCACGGGAATTTCCAGATTGTATTAAAAAACCTAGATTTTATGTTTAAGAAGGCAGAAAGAGCGAGAAGAAGAAGGTGTTGATTAGACAGGTTAGGATAAGCCAGAATAACTTGAAATAGAGTACAGTAGTTTGCACTAGATATAATCAATATATTGTTTATAACAAAATTAGAAAATGGCGTGGTATTGGCCCTTTGGCGGTAAAAAACAAGAGAAACAAGAGATTAAACAAGTTGAAGTTAATAGTAATAGTAATAGTAACAACAACAACAATAATAATAATAGTACTAGTGATGGGAAAAAGGAAGGAGAGTTGTTATTGGAAGATTTGCCTACAAGATTTGAGGTGCATTCACCAAATAAACCTCAAACGAAGGTTCCGAAACTAGAAGAAAAGGATATTGCAGGAAAAGATCCACTTGGGGTAGCATTTGATTCAGTCAGAATAGATGATTTTAAGGTGAATAATTTGGTTAAATTGCCTTGTTTTCGAGATGCAGGAATAGTTGGATTTTCCAGTATGGGAGTGATTGGAGTTGTGATTTTTTTGTTCAGTAAGAACCCCAAAAAGGCAGTTAACTGGAGTGTTGGCAGTGGGTTATTGGGATCGACAGTTGGCTGGGAACAGTGTCGAGCACAGAGAAGAAGGGATCTTGAACATATAAGGCTAGCGAAAGAAGTTGTGGCTAAGAAGGAAAAGCCAATGATGAATAGGAAACCTAGAACAGTGCCAAAGGATATGTGGACCAGTCGAAGTAGTGTAGATAATAAAGAGGATAAATAAAAGGCCAAAAAAGATAGAATGATATGATATCAGATACGATACAATGAAATGAGATGAGGTGTAATGGGATGTGATATTTTATGATATGTAATGATATAGAGTTAAATTGTATGAGATGTAATGAGATTCATGTAAATAATTTGGGATATAGATTTAATTGGAATATCAGATATAATTAGATATAATATATTGAAATAACATTCTACAAGAAAGAGTGAAAAAAAGAAAAAAAAAAATTGATTGGGAATATTAAATGATAAGTTACAGATACATAGAATAAGATAAAATGAATTAGAAAAAAACAACAACAGATAAGATAGAATCAAATGATTGTGAAATAGGTTTTTTTGTGAAAAAAGCCAAAAATCGAGATAAATAAAAACGTAATATAGATTGGCTGATAAATAGAAAATATAAATCGAGATTCATAAACTACTCAGCGAAAGTCTTTAAGATATCGTTAATTTGATTCAAGTCTTTACCTTCCAATTCGAATTTCGATTCTCTACCGTAGTCAAATCTAGCATATAAAGCTGGGGAAACACCATGGGCTTCTCTGACAAGCAAAGGCACTTGAGGATTGTTTGATTTAATTGCCGAATAGTTTTTGGTTAAAAACTGTCTGGTGCGAGAGGAAAGCTGGTTAGTGGTCTGAGAAGCAAGAGCAGATAGAGATGGAAATGGAGCACCTGGGGAGGGACATACTTTAAGGTGACGCTTTCAGGACCAGATTGCGAAAGATGAAACCTGAGTTCCTTCACAGCGTTGGAGAAGACGATTTTGGAGAACATTGTAGCTGGTAGAGGAGTCTTCTGCTTCTTCTGCTTCTTCTGCTTCTTCTGTTACTGCTTTTGCTGCTTCTACTTTGTGCTCTTTGCTATTTCGAACCCACTCGACTACTGGCCAATGAGAGCGCGGCATTTTGCAAGCATTTGGCACGTGGAAGTGGCGTGACTTGCTGCACAGCACGGCTTTCTTACGTCTCAACGGCATCAGCAAATCGGAAGCGCGCAATGGTAGAAGTTGTGCTCTGAGCAGGGATTTGCCGTGTGTGCAGAGAACACCGTGTGAACAGCACGCACACTAGTTGCAATCCTGCGGTGTGGCCACCGAAACTCAATTCGCGGGATTGGCCACTGCCATGTGAAAGAAACAAGAGCAATGACCGCATTGGGAAGAACTCTGCTGCATCTAGAGAGGGTAACATACTGCAAACAGTGCATACCACAGCCTGGCCACATAGCTACCCTGCTGGCCTGCGGGTCTTATCTTAGATGGTGCGCTGTTATTGCTCGCATCCCTTTTCACCAGAGAAAGGCTTTTGTATTGCAGAGAAAATTTTCTTGTATCGTTTGTGAGAATTTGTCATACAACCCAGATATAATCAATTGATTACTTTCCTGATTGAAGTCCCCCAAATCCCTTTTCTCTCTGCTCCTCTGCTGCTTCTCAATTCACCCATCAATTACCTCTCTGTGCCCCTGGATTACATTGCTTCCTGTGCTGACTTTATTGGGTAACCTTTTTAAATCAACTGAGCAAAACAAACAAGTAAACAAACAGTCTACCATCTGCCCTTTGGAAATCACACCTATAAATTCAACTTTATTATTGCTCTCTAATTGTCTCATATTCCAGATAATTATCAATTCTTGATCTCTTGTCTTCTTATTACATATTCTCTCTCTACTTATAATTATTGTAGTAATTATAATATCTCTTTCACAACTCTATTTAGATCACTTATTAACATCCAGATCAACCCTTTTCTCTTCTCAATCCTAATCATCTAAATCTCCTTGAAAATCCTAATATAATTCATCAATAATGTCTGTTCCTCAAGTAAAAATTCCTTCAGCTCCTGCTAGCTCAACTGGTGATGGTTGTCCATCTAAAATATTAAAATGGGAAAACCCTCAAAAGACTGGTAAAATCTTTGGTTTGACCATTTTTTCCCTCTTAGCTGTCAAATATTTAAATCTATTAAATATTTTCTTCCATTTTGCTTTTATTTCTTTATTTGTCTCTGCTGCCGCTGAATATCTAGGTAAATTAATCACTGGTACTGGTTTTGTTACTCATTTTAGACCTGCCTACTCAAATAAATTTACAAACATCTCCTCAAAGGTTTTGCCTCATGTAACTTTACTAATCAATTTAATTGAATCTGAAAGCCAAAAACTATTCTATTCTGCTGACGTTGAAAAGACCCTTAAAGCTGCTGGTGTTTCTTACTTGTTGTACAAAATTACAAGCTGGTTTTCCTTATACACTTTGGTCTTTACCTCTGTTATTGGCGCTTTTTCAGTTCCTGCTATTTACTCAAGATACCAAAATGAAATCGACCAAGGTATTGTTCAATACACAAAAATAGCAAAACAAAGAGCAATTGACCTTCAAACTGCTGCTTCAACCAAATCAAAGCCTTTATTAGCTAAAGCAACCCAAAGTTTTGCCCCTCTCACCGGCTTTTTAAACAAAAACTTGCCAACAAGAACCGCTGGCTCAACTGTTAAATCCCCAGTTAACCCTGCTAGCTTTCCAGCTGCTCCAAAAGTCTCCCCGGATCAAAAACCACTCCCTGTTGAGAGACATGAAGAAACTGCCCCTCTTCTTTCAAACCCAGCTCCAGCTCCAGCTTTTTAATTGAAACGCAACAAGAAAAAAATAAAAAAAGATATAATAATATCAATATGAGTATGAATATAAATATAAATACAAATATAGAAATAAAGATTCATTCAATTATCTCACTCTTTTTTTCTATCTTATACTGAAAATGAAATTAAATGAAAAAAATTAGATGTTTTTGGGTTTATATTAATTTCTCTACAGGAAAAAATACTATCAATTCTTTTATATATCAGTTATTTCAATAATTATAATCACCGTTGTTTTTTGTGTTACATTTTTTTATTTACTTATTCATTTATTTACTTACTTATTTACTTATTTATTTACTTATTTATTTATCTACCTCCTTATTTACTGATTTATCTATTTTTCGATTTATATAAATTTTCTGTCTTCATTCAATCGACCTACTTTCTTCTCACTTCGTTCCAATTATCCCACTGTCTACCTCTACTTCCTACTCCTTTTTTTATCTGCCCTCATACACAAATATCTAATTGTCTTTTATCCTTTACAACCTCTTAATTGCTCTTATTACCTCTTCAATCGCTCTCGGAATAGGAGAACAAACCCGCTCGTATGGATTGCTTCCCATCTTGTAATATCACATGATATAGCCATATACAAACGTAACTTCATTTTTTGTATCACATGTCAAAAACGTGCTTGAACGGAACTCATTTTCTTCTTTTTCACTTTCTTCTTTTTCGTTTCTTTAATCTTTAAACTTATCTTATCTCCAACTCTGCATCCATATTCTTTTCACTTATATATCCATATTCTTTCTCCCAACGCTTTTTTTCTTTTATTTTCAATTGATGATCATTTACCCATTCAACTTTTTCTTATTGTCTTCCTGTTGTTCTTCTTTTCCAAATCATGTTAAACTCAAAAAAATCCTTAATTCCTCCAGATAACTTTAATTTAGTGGAAAACGGTCTTTGTAAGTGTTTACAACGATGTCAACTGTTGCACTTCAAATTACAACTGACTAATTTACTAACTTAGCAATTGCCTTCAATAAACTATCCTGTTTATACTCATATATTTATATCTACTTTTTTCTTCTCTCTTGTATTCAGACAGATGCTCAAAAATTGACCAGATAAATTTTTTCTTTCTTAAAACTTTAAATTTAAAATCAATCATCCTATTAAATGTCGAAAAGCCTTCAAGAATTTTTAGAAACTTTTTAGATGAAAATAATATTAAACTATACCAATTGGGTAATTTGAAATTCATTAATCCCAATATCCAAAACAACTCCAATAACTTGAATAATCTACAAACAGAACACGATAATATTGAATATATTTATCAAGATAATAATAAAGATGATTGGATGATTATAAATAAAAATTTAATCATTAAAATCTTTGAAATCTTATTAAACAAACTAACCTACAACCTCTTATTAATTGACTCAACGGAAATCCTTATAGGCTTGTTAAGAAAATTGCTTAAATGGAGTTATTCCTCTATTTTAGCTGAATATAGATTATATTCAAACAAGATTTCAATCTCAAATTATTTTGCTGAAATATTCTTGGAGATTATCAGAATCGAATTAATACCAAATAATGATCACAACAAAAATAACCCCAAACCTAAAAATATCCATAATAATATCATCAATAATATTAATAATATTAATAATGCTAACAATAATAAAAATATAAATAAAAATATCCCCATTCAATCTAATATTAATAGTAACAATAAAAACCATAATACTAATAACGATAATGAGAACGAAAACGAAAACGAGAATGAAAAAGAGAACGATTTTTCAAAATCACCTCAAATTCCTCAAAATTTACTTAAATTGGTTGAAAATAGAAAAAAAAGAAAGAAAAAGACAAAATCAATATCGTATTATAATGTGAATAAAAACCACATTTCAAATAATTTTAATAATAATAATGATAATAATGATAATGATAATAACAAATCTTTATTAACTGATAAATTATCAAAGATCACCCTCGATGACAATAATACAAATAACAATATTAACATTAAGAACATCAATATTAATAATAATAATATTGACTTGAATAATCCATTTCTAAAAAGTGAACCAACTTTGTCAATAACTTTACCCTTAAATTTGCCAAAAAACTTGCAAAACGATAAAGATATATCATTGAAAGATTCAACATCTGCATTATCGTCTGTATCTGTGCTATCCTCATTCACTATCCCAATAAGCCAGGTTTCTAATTATCATGATTCCAATAACATTTTAAACAAAATTACAATCAACAATACAATTAACAGTCATAACCATAATGATAACTCTTATAACACCAATGCAATCAAACATTATCACTTTTATAAGCCAAATGAGAAAAATTGCTTCAAAGTGAAAACACTTCGAATAAAACTTCCCAGAGAAGAGATCCTACCCAACTGGTTCAAATTCCAACGAGATCTATGGGAAGAAGAGTATGCTCTTTCCAAAGCCCACGCAAAACCATCCTCAACTAAATAGTTTCTATACAATAATTCAGCATTACATTTTATTATCCAACTCGTAATCACTGATATGCAATTCCCCATACTGACTCTCATACAGTGGGAAAAAAAGATGTCACGTGAAGCTCAAATTTTATTAGATTTTCATAGCTTGTTTTTTCAGTGGACGAGAAATTGTTCAAGAGAAGGATTCAAGATTTGAGGATACTCAAAGTTATTGGTGCATCGAATTATAACACACTCGTTTTACTTGATTGAAATGACTGGCGTTGTGAGTTTTCAGTTTGCCAAACAGTTCGCAAGAACATTCAGTTCTGCTGAGGTATTGAACAAATGCAAGATCTCCATAGTCAAACCAGTGCATCATCTTGTTCCAATCAGCAAAGCCAAATTATCTAAAAGGTTTGAGGGCTTGAAGTACGAGAAAACAGATATAAGATCAGTGGGATTCAGACCTGTTGAAACAGAGCCAGATCGATTCAATGATTATTACGAAAATACCTTGAAACCAAACTTGCTATTGATGACATTTGACGATGGCTTCGAAGTAATCGAAGGTAAAAAAAGAAGATCGTGGGATGGCTCTTCGTCTTATCACATTCACAGAGAAAAGAAGAAACCCAAGGGAGTAGTCGTTCCAACAAGAGACATCACACCCTATACTATCGACAACTTGCCTAAAATTGAATCGCTAGTTATTAACTGCTATGCTAACGAATCCTCCCAATTCCCCAACCATCCGATTGTCGCCCAATTGCTATTGCAGCAGATTACAAATGTCAGACCAAGGAAAATCTACTCGAGATCGGATGTCGTTACATGGAAGATTCGTCGTAACACACCCATGGGTGCCAAAGTGGAATTGAAGGGAAAGTATCTCTCGCAGTTCCTATCAACACTAACCGAGCTTGTTCTTCCAAGAGTCAGATCATTCAACGGATTGGACAACAAAAAAGGTGGCGACAGGTCTGGAAACATCTCCTTTGGTCTCACCTCTGAGGACGTCAGATACTTTCCAGAGATCGAAGCCAACCAGGACCTATGGCCAGTGGTGTTTGGAATGAACTTCAACATCATCACCTCTGCCCAAACCGACAACGACGCCAGATTGCTCTTGAGTGGATTGGGCTTCCCATTCAAAAAGATAGCAGAGAGCCAGCCCACTGCCTAGTGGGCCATGGAAACCAGCATTTGTTCCTGTAAATATACACTTCAATCTAAGCACAGCACCACAGCACCACTGTAGCACCTCTTTCTTATCAAGCTCTTATTATATCGCTTATATTGGTGGATGCGAGGCACGTGCCGGCGCGCTTTCTGGACACTTGTAAAAACCAGCTCTGAAAAGATTTCGTTGTTATTTAGAATCAGCTCTCCATCAGATCAGATCAAGGGTATCTCGTTGATTAGCCAGTTCTTCTCAATTAACTCACTGTTCCAATCTCTCTGCCAGTGCTCTATTTATTGCCCAACATGGCGGATGTAGCCTACACGATAATCAATGAACCTTCCACCTCCAGCAAATCCACTCTTGAGCAGTACAGATCTTTATTGGAAAAGTCCAAAGATGAGGTCAAAATCGATGCAATGAAGAAAATTCTCATCTCAATGTTGAATGGCAACTTGTTGCCCTCATTGTTGATGCATGTTATTCGTTATGTTATGCCTTCAAAAAACAAGGAATTGAAGAAATTGCTATATTTTTACTGGGAAATTTGTCCAAAACTAGATGACGAGGGAAAATTAAGACAGGAAATGATCTTGGTTTGTAACGCAATTAGAAACGATTTGCAACATCCTAATGAGTATATCAGAGGTATGACTTTAAAATTCCTCACCAAATTAAAAGAACCAGATTTACTAGAACCTCTAGTTCCAAGTTGTCGTACCTGTCTTGAACATAGACACTCCTATGTTAGAAAAAACGCTGTCTTTGCAATTTGGTCGATATTCAAAGTCTCTGATTATTTATTACCTGATGCATCTGAATTGGTTGCTAATTTTCTTGAAGTTGAAACTGACTCGATCTGTAAACGAAATGCCTTTGTTTGTCTTGGTGATTTAGATAGAGAAAGAGCTTTATTGTTTATTCAAAATCACGATTTAAACAATTTGGACTCAATTTTACAAATTTCAATCATTGAGTTTATTAGAAAGGATTTTTTGAAATATTCTGAATTGAATGAAAATTACTTGTTTCTTATAACTGACTTGTTAGAAAGTTCCGACAATTCAACTGTTATTTACGAATGTGCTACAACTTTGACTATATTATCATCTTCTACATCTGCCATCATCGCTGCTGCATCAAAATTCATTGACTTGTCGATAAAAGTCCCTGATAACAACGTTAAATTAATCTGTTTAGAGAGAATCAATGGTTTAAATGATTCAAACCCTGGTGTATTACAAGATCTATGTTTAGATATTATTAGAATTTTAAATTCCCAGGATTATGATGTTAGAAAAAACGCTTTGAAATTGATTTTGAGATTAATTAATAAAAAAAATGTTGAAGATGTAATTAAATTTTTGAAAAAGGAACTAGCCACAACAATCACCTCGATTTCAAATACAAATTCATCGAGTTCTGATGATTTGTCGATAAAATACAGAGAATTGTTAATTTCCACTATCAATACCTGTGCCATTAAATTTTACGAAATTGCTGCAGACGTTATTGACTTATTGTTGGATATAATTAGTGATTTAAACACTGTATCAGCATCAGAGATCATTTCCTTTGTTAAAGAAGTTGTTGAAAAGTATCCTAAATTAAGAAGCTCAATTATTCACAAATTAATTGACTCATTGCATAACGTTAGAAGTGGCAAAGTTTACAGAAATGCATTATGGATCATTGGAGAATATTGCTTAGAAGAAAAGGACATTCAAGATGCTTGGCGTCATATCAGATCTAATGTCGGCAAATTGCCCATTTTAGCATCCGAGCAGCAATCAACCGAAACTAGTAGTGAAGATGGTCATGAAAATGAAAATGGAAATGATCATGATCATGAAAATACAAAGAAAAAGGGACCTTTGGTCTTACCTGATGGTACTTATGCTACAGAATCAGCTTTAACCACTGAAATCAAGAAAGATGATTTGTCTACAAGTCTAAAGCCACCTATTCGTCAATTTATCTTGGACGGAGATTTTTATTTGGGTGCAGTATTATCGACTACTATCGTCAAGTTGGTATTAAGATTTCAAAGATTATCTAAAAACAAGAAAGTATATAATGTATTGAAAGCTGAAGCAATGCTAATTATGGTCTCAATTTTGAGAGTTGGAGAATCTAAATATGTAAAGACCAAAATCGATGAGGATTCGGCCGAAAGAATATTTGCATGTGTGAGATTTTTAGCAGATGATAGTAACAATGATGAAAAATCAATTGAATTCCAATTACTTGAAGGAGCGTTTTTGGAAGATACTAAGAATTCCTTTAAGAAGCAATTGGCAGAAGATGATAACAAAAAACTTCAAGATGATTTATTAGACTTTGCTAAAAAGGTCCAACAAGTCGATGATACAATAAATTTCCGACAATTTAAGAGCAAACATATAGTTAAAAGTGGCGAATTGGAAGAAATTGAGTCAATCGGTGCATTAAAAATCAGTGGAAGTGGCAAGAAGGAGAAATTATCATCAAGACTTAACAAGATTATCCAATTAACTGGGTTTAGTGATCCAGTTTATGCCGAAGCATTGGTGACAGTTAACCAATTTGATGTTGTATTGGATGTGTTGGTGGTTAATCAAACCACGGAAACATTGAGAAATCTATCAGTTGAATTTGCAACTTTGGGAGATTTGCAAGTGATTGATAAGGCAACATCATCAAACGTTGGGCCCCATGGGTTCCATAAAGTACGAACCTCAATCAAAGTGACATCAGCAGACACTGGTGTTATATTCGGTAATATTGTGTATGATGGACAACATTCGGACGACAGCAGAATAGTGATCCTAAATGATGTTCACGTCAATATAATGGATTACATCAAGCCTGCCAGCTGTTCTGAAGCTCAATTCAGAACCATGTGGAATGAGTTTGAATGGGAAAACAAGATATCGATCAAGTCGAACTTGCCCTCGTTGAAGACGTATTTGGATCTATTGTTGTCAAACACGAACATGAAATGTTTGACCCCAGGCGCTATTGTTGGAGAAGAGTGCCAATTTTTGAGTGCCAACTTGTACTCCAAGTCGTCGTTTGGCGAAGATGCGTTGGCCAACTTGTGTATTGAAAAGACCCAGACAGGGCCTATAATGGGCCATATTCGCATTCGATCCAAGGGGCAAGGGTTGGCCTTGAGTCTTGGGGACAGAATTGCCTCGATATCCCGAAAGTCCAACAAGTATGTGATAGCTGCTGTTTAGAGGTGGTTTTGGTTTTGTTTTCTCTGCGTAATGCATAATACATGTTTCTTCTTGATCAAAAAGCGCCGCTGTAGAAAAAGATCAACTCCTGAATCAGAGATCCCGAATCAGAGATCCTGAATCAGAGGAAGCAGAAGAAGCAGAGTGCACGTGCGAGGCCACCGGCGTGGATCTCTGAGCTGGCTTTAAGTTTGATCCAGTTGAGGCTTGACGTTTTGGTGTAAGAGTTTTGTAAGAGTTTTGGAAAGAGGTTTAGAAAGGGCTTTAGAGAAACTTGAGGTGTAATCTACTGTATTATATTCCTGTTCTCAATTCAAAATGAATCTTTTCAGAATTCTAGGGGACTTGTCCCACTTGGTCAGTGTGCTAATTCTTCTCAATGCTATCATCAAGGCCAGATCGATTTCTGGGATTTCCTTCAAGACACAGTTACTCTACTCGATTGTCTTTATGACGAGATATATTGATTTGTTCTTCAGATATGTTTCTCTTTACAACACATTGATGAAGGTTTTCTTTATTGGGTCGTCGAATTACATTTTGTATTTAATGATATTCAAGCACAACTATCTCAAGAGCCAGCAACCAACGTTTGACGAATTCAAGATTGAGTATTTGCTAATTGGCAGCGCTATAACCTCGTTAATTTTCAACTATGGATACAATTTCACTGAAATACTTTGGAGCTTTAGTATTTGGTTAGAGAGCGTAGCAATATTTCCACAATTGTTCATGTTGCAAAGAACTGGAGAAGCAGAGCTTTTGACGACTCATTACATTTTTGCCCTAGGTATTTATAGAGCATTGTATATTCCCAATTGGCTATGGAGATATTATATGGAAAATCATTTTGATTCAATTGCTGTGATAGCTGGCATTATACAAACGTTGATTTATTCAGATTTCTTTTATATATATTATAAAAAAGTTATAAAAGGAATGAACTTTAAGATCCCTGTATAAATATATAATCTCAATTAATCTAATCTAATCTAGTTTTAATAAGAATTTCAGTCTCTTTTTAATGGATAAAGTTCGGTTCTAACACCTTCTTTGGTGACAATTAATATCTCTAAATAGTCACCAACATGAATATGTCTCTCTGTTGCACTAGAAAACGCGTCTTTTACTAATGACAAAACTTCATTCAACGATAAATATCTCAATGGCTGATTTGCTTGATTCTTGAAATTGACTTGGTTGTCTAAAAAGGGCATGATCAAACTGGCTGCTGCTCCCCCTGCTCTGCACTGTTCTCTTTCGTATGATCCAACTGGATCGAATGAATATACTGCACCTTTGCCATTTTCGTCTAGTCCAGCTATAATTGTATGAACATAGTATGGGAAAAATCGTTTCCCATATAACAAATGTTGGATCAATCTTGCTGCCGACGAGATCTTTAATTTTTCCTCATTATTATTGAAATGGTACCATTGTAGATTTGTCTTGAAGTTTGTAATTAGCGAATTTCCATCGGCTGAAAACCCATTCGCAGACATTATAATATTGTCTCCAACATCGAACACCTTGGGCTCGTACCTTGAATTGATCGAATAGCCAGTGGTATGACGAGTATCTCCTGCTAACACTGCAAAGTCTTCTCCTGCTATGCCCAATATAGTTCCTCCATTATCCGAATAAGGATTGAAGCGATGTTCAATTGGAGCTGAGTCCTTTATGTTGGAATAATCTGACGACATGTTCTCGATATATATATGTGTGTATTAACTGGCGCTGTGAGTGTGAGTCAGTGGATACCAATTGGTGTTATCGATAAAGGAATCAATCAATCAATCAATTTCTCGCCTATGTGTTGCTACATCTCTATATCGCTACCTCCATGGAAGTGGCAAAGAAAACAGAGCGGGTAAGCTCAGACGTTGAAAGCAGCAATGGAAAACGCACACAAGAAGGAGAGCTTAAACGAGGGCCTGCTCAACAAAAGACTCCTCAACGACATCTTCTCTCTTCCAGCAACAAGCACTCCTCGCCAATTGATGTCGATGGCGCCTCTGTTGACAAAGAACTGTAACATGAGTAGAGTGCCTCCGGTGATAAACACAATAATGTAGGAGAGTTTCCCGGCTATCGCACCTAGAAACATGCCGAACATCGAGCCAAAACAGAGCTCCTGGTAGTTCAACTTGCCATTAAATCGCGATTTTCCTGGAACAGACGACGAGCCAGAGCCAGAAGGCAAAAGCGACGTCTTGATGGATATAGCAGGTTGTGGAGGAGCTGGCGAGTCGCAAAGCAACTTGCCCTGGTGAGAAGCCAAAGCAGACAACAACAACACTGAAGCTGAGGTGCCGAACAACAACGGGAAAGAGCTTCTGAAAGATAGCGTTGGATTAGCATTCGAGCTAGGCTTGTGTTTGACATTGGGTTTGGAATTTAATCGAGCAGTGGGCCTTGAGGTGAATTTGGAAGTGAAATTCGAGCTAAATGGAGAGCTGGGCCTTGAGCGTGAAGCAATTCCTTTGAACGTTGACCAAGAAACCGATGAAGGAGAGGCATGGAGAGAAACAGCCTCTGGCAACGCCTTTACTGAGCGAGAAAACAATCTAAAGAACATAGAGCTGGTGTCGTTGTTGTTGTTGTTTCTTTTCGAGCCTGGTTTTCGATTGCGATGAGCTCTTTTTATGTTACTGGACGAGCCCTAGGGCTCTCTCCCGGAAGCAAAAGCAGCAGAAGTAGCAGAAGAAGCAGAAGCAGAAGCAGAAGCAGAAGCAGAAGCAGAAGCAGAAGCAGAAGCAGTGGCTTGAAAGTGCTGCAGAGAACAAAAAAGGTGTTGAGACTGGCAGCAGCCAGTTGACAGAATATTCCTAACCTTCTTTCCTCCAGTTTCAGTTGTTGGTTCTATTGTGTTGCCTATCAACCTGTTGAATTATAATGCAATCAAATTCTATCATTGATCATAGATCTGGTTAATACTTCTTTCACAGCATGGTCCGTTCTATTTCAAGCTTAGAAATCTTATTCTCTTGTCAGTCGACCTATGGAGCTAATTATCACTAAACTGCTTTTTCTCCTAATTCACCATACTATTAAATTACGGATATAACCACTTTTAGATTTAATCTTTAATATTCATATTTACTAATTTATTTGGGCTATTAGTACACTGTACATTTACTTTCCTGAATTTTATTCAATTCATGATCATTATTTAATTTTTATTCATTATCATTTTATCGTCCATTAAATTCAATTTAACCTAATTAAACTTATTGCGGATCGGTTATCTTCTAAAATGAATAAACAAAATTTACTTGATAAAATGAATATTTATCAAGGATTTTCTCTCAATATTTATGGCTGTAAGTACGGTTTTTGATAAAATTATCATGCTGTCCAAAAAGACTATTTTTTTGACTCTTCAACATTTATCTGTACTATCTACGTAGTGGAAATGTGATCACTGCTTATCATAAATGAATTTAGTCTTTTTTTATTCTCCGGATTTCATTTTTGTTTTTTTGTTTTTTGTTAGTTTTTTTTTGTTTTTAATCATTATTTTTAAGCCCATCTCTTTTATTTTTTTGCTTGATTATTTTTTATTTTATTTTTTTCTCTATCATCATTTTATTAATCTAGAAAACTTTCATTTTAATTATTATTATTATTATTATATCTTCTTTTCTTTTTTTTAGAGCATCTCCCACGGTTTTGAATTTTCATTTCCATGATTTGTTGTCTTTTACTTGTTCTTAAAAAATTTAAAACATAATGATCGATTTTGAAACAAAATATCTCAACAACTAAATAACTAAATAACCAAATAATGGTTTCCTGAATGTTACTAATGTGGCTAATATCGTTTCATATCCATTTAATTCATTTAATTCATTTAATTCATTTAATCCATTTAATCCATTTAATCCATTTGATCCATTTGATCTATTTGATCCATTTAATCATTTTAATCCTAGTTTCTATGTCTATTTTCAAAATAATTAAAATTTTAATTTTAATTATTATTATTAAAAACGCATTATTTCTAAATTTATATCCAAGTCCATTTCTCATTTTCCATTTAATAAAAAAAAATAAATCCACTTTTTTTCTCTCTATTAATCAAAATGTTTGTTCCAACTTAGATTATCATTTTGCTCTCAAAATTTTATTAAGATTTTTCCAACTATTTCCTTTCGTTCTTTAACTTCTATTTAATCATATCATTATTTTTTGACTAACCTATGAATGGGCTCGATAAACAATAATAGTATGAATTATCAAGCCAATAATTAACAAACTAATTCATTGTTTTCACTTTTCTAATAAAGAGTTTATCTGATATTTTAGAAATTTTGGAAAAAAGAAAAAAAGAAAAAAAGAAAAAGGAGGGAAAAATTGGATTTTGCATTGAATTTACATTTTTTTAAATTAATGTGATTTCTCTACAAATCATTTTCATAATAATATTATATATATTATATATATTATAATTTAAAAACAAAATCACTAGAAACAAAAAAAATCATAAACCAAATAATTCATTTAATTTGAATTTCTTTTATTTTCTTTTGTTTTTATCATATTCATTACCATTACAGCGAGTAAACCTAAAAAAAACAAAAAAAACAAAAACAAAAACAAATTGCAAACAATTGTAAATATTTGTAAATGTTTGTAAACATTTAAAATATTTGAAGATTAAATTTAAATTTTAATTTGAAATTTGTACAATTTAAATAAAACTAATTTGAAATTTATTAAAATTTGTTAATTCATTTAGAATTATAATATAATACAAACAAAAACAAAAAGTTATTCAATCAAATAATAAAATAAATAAAGAAGTAAAGAAATTCTCAGGATATAGCAAACTAATATAAAAAAGTAAAATAAAAATAAATATGATTGAAATTGATTAAAAAAAAACAAAAGTAAAACTTTTCAAAAAGCCATAGCAAAATAAAAATGAAGTAGTAAAAAAATAAATAATTATAAAAAAAAATAATAGTAAAATTGATAGTTAAACCCAACTAATGCAGTTAAAAATTTTAGAAATTAAAAATAGAATTTGAATTATGAATGTTATTTCATTAGCAATTCATAAATATTGACATGGAAATTTTTTAAATGAAAAATTAATATAATATGGTACAGTTTGTTATAATACTTTTGGATTCAAGAATAATTGAAATAATCAAATTGGTATTTAGACCAATAGACATTATTTTTAATCTTTATCTAAATTTGAATCTTAATCTAACCAAGCTCCTAGTAACTTTGACTATAATGATTTAAAATAATGAATATGACAATGATAATGATGGTGATAAAGTAAAGTGAGATTATTTCTTTTTCATGTGTTGTCTTTAGCTATTAAAAGACTTGATTGTGAACAATTAATTACTTTGTAGACTCAAGCATTGTTGATTTCTATCCATCTTCTAGGTTTAGGCTGAGATAAAGAACCATTAAAGGAGCCTGGAGGAGGACCATGCCAGATGATTTTACAGGCTGAACAGACTTTATGACCACAGAAATGACATGTTGGACGAGGACCTTCTACTATATCGTAGATATCATCGTGGATCTTGGATAAATCACCAACACCCATGCTTCTGCAACAAATCCATCTAGTCTGGACCAAACCCATTTTGAATACAATAAATTATGATTGAGAGAGAAGAAAAGTAATTGAATATGACTATGATTGTAAGTGGTGGGATTGCTGATAAAATTAACAGTAATATTATTTCTAATATTGCAGGATTTATAATTTTAATCAAAGAAGGTAGAAAAATTATTAAAAGGAGATGTTGTTTAGATTAATAATATAATTAATGGTGGGAAGTGAAAAATAAAAAAATTGAAAAAGCAAAAGTAGGGAAAAAAGACTTATACTTATAAGATAATCTCCAGATATCATTTGTGAAGAAATCAGTGTTCGTTTTTTCTGATAAAACTAAATTTCCCATCTGGTTTGACTAGCAGCATTAATTATGACCTTATAGTTGCAAAGAAAATTTAAAAGCGATTCTAGCAAATTTAAAATCCCAAAAAAAGACAGGATTAACAAAAAAATTGAAAATAACGGTTAGAATTCTTTAACTGGTTCAAGTGGTGTAACTAACTTGTAAGGCTTTCCTTTAAATTGCAATACTCGCAAAATTTATCAGTCCAACATAGCTCATTAAACTTCTGGACATATTTTACAGTTCGGCAGCAAACCCTAAATAGGCTCTGCGCACGCCCGCACACACCTGCAGGCGTTGTCAAGTTCAGAACGGCTGCAGCACGCGGCAGGTCCGAGCTTGCCTGGATTGAACGATTGTGAGACCGAATGTGAGACCGAATGGGAGAGCGTGAGCGTTGGCGATCATAACGGCCACTCTTTTCGTCTCGCCTGGAGTGCTGGTGTTGGTGCTGGAGGAGGAGGAGGAGCTGGTTCTTCGAGGTCGGAGGTGCCGGAGAAGGGTGTGGTGCGTGGCGTAGGAGTGCTTCATCGTCGGCTTGGGCTGGGCGAATGTGCAGGGGCTTTCTGTCTGGAGTTCCTGGATGTTCTGGGTCTTAGCAGGCTCCAGCCAGACGTCAAACTCGAAACAGTCTTGGTGCTCTGTCGATTCAAAGGCGTGCCAATTTGCCCAGGTTTGAAACTTTTCATCCTCTCTGCTCAAACTGGAGCTGGGTCTTTTGACTCAATTCTGCATGGAGCTCGAAAGGTAGACTTGTGCTTTCACAGTAAGGGAATTGGAATCAAGGAGATCAAATGTGGGTTTATGGCCAAATGATTATTTTTATCTCAAAAAGAAAATCAAGTTTTAAGTTACATATCTTTTGCCAAGTTGATCTTGAAATCTTTTTTCACTTTGTTTTCTTCACTGTTTATTTTTCATTTTTATTCTTATTCTTATTCTTATTTTTATTCTTATGTTTTATTTTGGCTGTGGATCTTTGGCTTTATTTTTTAATTTAATAATCATAACACTCTTTTATGAATAAAATTATTCAGATAACTTTATTAGATAATTGGGCAAAACTGTAGATAGACGATATAACAAGGAAAAAATTTTCAATCCACTAGGAGCTCAACAGTTCGAAATTTCATGCGGATAATTATCTAAATTCCACACGTCAAACTAATTCTAATTCTATTTGGTAAAAAGATTGCCCACAATTTGCTAACATTACTTCTCTGGACATTACAATTTATTTGATTACTTCTGTAATGGAAATGATACCAACTACGATAGTCTGTGAAATTTCAGTGAAATTTCGTTATAATCATAACCGTTATCATAGTTGTAATTAATGTATTTAAACTATGGTTATCTATCAGATATTCTCCAGCTCTTTATCATTCAACACCCTTTAATTTCTGTTTTTGGTTGTATTAATGTGTATTGATCAATAAACCAACCGTTTTGAAGTAATTTTTAATTCAATTGATTCCAGAATCTATCCTAAACCAATAAATCAAATCAGCACAAATTGAATTGAACTGAATTGGGTTGAATTTTTATTTTTTTTTATTTTTCAATTTTAAATACAACCAACCAATAAAAAATTGTTTCAAGTCTCCTAAATTTTAATTCTGTTAAATAAATATTATATAAAATTACTTAATAAACAATAATACACGCTTTGTTTGCAACAAGATACGTATTCATTTAAAAATTATCAGAAACTCTAATGAAACTTTTTGGAATTTAATTTAACTTGAGATCGACTTTAGTTTATTTTAAAAATCAAAAAAGAAAAGAAAATTAACAATTTTGAAACCGTTTTTTTTTCAATTTTTGCCATTAGTCAATATATAAATAGATTCACAAATTTTTGTAATACAGTTCTGTCAAGTCAATGCAAAAAAAAGACAGTTCAATACTTTAATCACTTTCCATTCAATACTTTAATATAATAATTCATAATATAATCCAACTAACATTAACAATTACTTGACTTACTTGACAAATCAACAAAATTAAATTCAATTAATAGTTCAAAGCTTAAAGACTATTAAAAGTCAAAAAAACCATCCAATTCTCGAGCTTTTTGGAGATTTTTCAGTTATTCACCTTGAATTCTCCAAATTTTGGACTAAAAAACGGCAGTCGTTCGAAAGGCGGGCCCAGGAGCCAGATGAGCTGGGACACCAGAGACAGCACCAAGCAGGCCAGCACCTATTGGCCTGTCCTCTAGCAACAGCAAATGCTGCTACCTCGACAGCAATGCTGCAACCCAACAGCCCTGGCTTCGAAACCAACACAGACAGCACCTTTTGAGCCACGCTTCCTATTGTCCTGCCAATTCTAACCGGTACGCATGCGAGATCCAAAACCGTTTTTCTATGTGGGAGATGCGCCAAACTGCATAAATGTTTGTGGTTCTGCCGATCGCTTCGAATTTGTGTAAATGCCTCACAGAGCTAGGCGGATTAGGTTTCGCTGATTTATCAATTCATCAGACGATTTCTCGTGCTGTTCTGGAGTGAAAAACTGGCCCAAATGTTGCTAAATCGCTTTCTAAGTCCTTTGCTAAAACCTTTTTAGATGTCATGGTTATTACTCGCACAAACAGTGTCTGATATTATTCACTGGTTTGTTTGGATACTTTGCTGGTTCAGCACTCTGCCTAATCATTGTTTTTAGTACTCTTTTTTCTCCCAAATTTTTTGCTCTTGCTACTTTTCCCCTTTCATATTCATACCAATGTATATTTCCACTTCCATATCAATATATATTTCCACAGTTTTTCATTCTTTAGAGAAGTGGTTTCCAATACCACTTTGCAATATTGCAAATCATTTAGCTTCTTAACTTCCAACTCCCTAATAGGTTTTATTATTTAACAATTTTGATTCCGATAATTTTGATAGTGATGATTCTTTTGCCTAAGAAAATTAAACCGTTAACTAAATAAGATTATTCCTATAACTGATTGGGCTGTTGTGGGATTTGATTCATTTCAACTTTTTTTTTTTTGGTTTTGTCGTCGTTTTTTTTTTGAGTACGCTTGGGAAAATGGAAACTGCTTTTTGGTTGTAAACAAACCCATTTCATTCTTTTATCCATCAATAGTTTCTTTGCACTTGACATCTACTGATTTGATTGCTCTTAGTTCACGTTGCATGATTTAATACGTGTGAATAAACCAATTAACCAAAATAATAGATCAATATAAACGTAATTTAATTTTTAATTTCTATTACTTTTTATTGCTTTTTATTACTTTTTATTAATTTTCATTAATTTTAGTCGTATTGATAAAATTTTCCATTTTTCAAGCTAAATATGATTCACTGATTAAAGTTATCCAAATCTGATTAAAGTAGTTTCTGTAATTTTATTAATTTTGTTAAAATTCTATTCAATCAATTTTTTGAAACTTTAATGCTCTTTAACTCTTAAAATGACAGCTTAGCTATTACATCAAGAAAGAAACAACCAAATTCTTTAGCATTTTCTTCATAATAAAATGTTACTAGCACGACCAGAAAAGAATGAAATAAAAAAAAAACAACTAAATAATTCCTTTTTTTTTTATTCTATTAATTAATAATATCCCTAAGCTTCCCGAAATTCAAATAATAATTATTTTATCAGTTGATTTGCTATGTTTTTATTCAATAAAAACTTTGTCTAAAATTCACCAGTAGCGATATTTAGTCATATTTTTTTAGTTTGTCTTTTGCTTCTTACATTTGATAATTTGTTTCTACCAAATTTGTTTTCTTTCATGTTTTTATTTTGTGTATAATCAACTCAATTGTTTAAATCCCAGGTTTTTTTATTGTATTAATTTACTTGAATTTACTTGAATCTTTTTGTTTTTTTTTTTTCATTCATAATCCTATATAAATCGTTTAAATTGAAAATAAAAAGGAAAAATGAAAAAGTAAAATTAAAAGCGCAATACAAAAAATAAGAATAAAAATAAAATAAAATAAAATAAAATAAAATAATTTTTTAATTCGAATAATGAATAAAAAAATCTTATAATATTCCAGCTTAATATGGAATAAGTTGCTTCTTAACTATAATATTAAGTTAATAATATTTATAATAGATGATTTAATTTAATTTTTGAATATTCATAATAATTTTAATTTGTTTTGTTCCATCAAATAATGTTGAAAAAGTATTGAAAAAGTATTGAAAGAATACTGAAAAATAATAATTCAATGGATTGGAGATTTAAAGATTTATAAGCTTAAACAAAAACAAAAGCAACAAAAGAAAAAAAAGAAAAAAAAAGAAAATGAAGATTCAAAACAAGATAATTGATTCCACTAATTATACGAATAATATTAACTTTTCATAACTTTTCACAACTTTTAATGAAATTCAATGATTCTTCATAGGTCCTAATATCTTATTCATCTTTAAAGTAAATCACTTGATTGTGTTTATGATTATTCATCAAACTATACAGTTATCTTGAATTAAATCCTGGATCAATTTTTTTTTTTCATTTTCGTTACTATTGAGTCTAGTTATAAAAAAGCCTTTCTTATGTGTATGATAATCCACAATAAATTAAAAGATCAACAATTATAATAACCTATTGAGATAATCTATTAGGATAATCCATTTTGACAATTTATTTTACCAGTTTAATGTTTCATTAAAAAAAGGAGCCTCTAGTTAACAAGGGACTGAATAATTCAAAATGAAAAGGAAAATCAACAGAGTTAAAAATAAAAGCAAAAATAAATCAGAATAAAAAGGGAAATCATTTCTTTCTTTCACAGTTTTGCAAACTTTTAGTGTGATGTTTTAAAGATAACAAAGAATTCCTGAAAACAATTCATGACAATCACATATTTCGTGACATTTATTATTTAAAAACCAAATACGAAAAGATTCTCCATATTGATGTTGAAAGGTTGCAAGATTAAAACAAAAAAATTCCTTTAGATTCAAAATACAATTTACAAAGTTGAAAAGAATCCAATCGTAGATTGCTAACTGCATTTTCTTTTACATTTGGTAGAAAAGGTAAACAAACTAAATTAGGAGAGCTTGGTTTCTTTTGAAACAGTGTCTGCTCTTCCCAACAGCTTCATGATCCAATTGGTTGTGCTCCTGCTGCCATCTTCAAAGCTGCTAAAGGCCAACTTTACTTTGGCTAGGCCCGAGCTCTGCTGAAGCTTTGCTCCACAGCTCTTGAACTCGATCTAATTTCCCCAGAATCACAGCTCAAATTAGAGCTCGAATCAGAGCTCGAAATAGAAGTTTGATGGGTCAAAAACAAATTTCAATTACGACACTGCTGCACAGGACGCGTCCGAAAACCGGAAGATGCGTCCGAAAACCGCAGGACGCGTCTGAGCACGTATCTGTGTCAATGTCTGCTTTTCTCGTTCAATACGTGTTTGTGATTGGCCAGTGGGCTCTTTAGCGCTATATTCTTAAATAAGCTCTATGATGTGGTGACCTGTTTTTGCTTTATTTTTTTCGTATTTCAATGATTTTATTCAGCTTATCGTTTATTGGATTTCTAATTGACTATTCCAGAGAATAGGCGACGCTCTGGTAGACTCGTTGGATGCCATGAAGAAAGCTCAGACACAGAGACGCTTTATAAGCACTTTGGTTCATGTACTGGATATGAAGGTGATCTTTTGAGTATCTAAAGAAGTCAAACTGTTGTCTTTTTTGTTAATATGATTGGTTTAATAAAATTGGTTGGCTTTTAGTGTTGCTTTTGGTTTGTTGAAAGAATTGGGTAAATTGAAGATTTGCAGTATGATATCAAAACAAACAAGTGGTGTTTAGGAGAGACTCTTTCCTGTTATATTTAAATTGATTTTGTCTGATTTTGTTTGGTTTAGTATGGTTTAGTCCGGTGTTTTTTTGAAAGTTGTTAGCCTTACTTTTGATTGTAATTGCTATAACAAAAGTTTTTTACCATTGATTTTCTACAAGTAAATATACCAATTGATTTAATGAATCAATTGATATCTGTAATTCAGTAAAACTAGACTGCTTTGTTACCAAATATTTGAATTTGATTAGTAATTAGTATTGGTATTAATTTAGACCAATAATATTATACTAAATTATATATGATCTAATATGCGTTCCATTAAACCTCTGTTATGAACCATCTTTAACAATATACCAATGGCAATCGGAGCAATTAAAGTGCATAAGACAACAGCCCAAGTCACGATAACATAAAGGTCTGAGCTTGAGCCATATTCATCAGTATCCGATGAAGATCTAAAAATTCCTTTTGATTCAGCTAACGATGAAATAAGAAATCCTATTTCGCCTCTTGGAACCATTGATAGGCCAACTAAGATTGCCGGAATATTGCTATTTTTCTTCTTCAATTCTTTAGTTTCTTTATTATTTGTGAAAACAAGATTCACTTGTCTGATAACCCAAAATCCACAAAACAATTTGGAGACTGTCATCAAAATAAAATAAATCATTGCTCTCCAAACTAATCTACCAACAAATAATTTTTTAAAAGGAATTGAGAACCCGACACTGGCAAAAAATAATGGCCTAAGGATTCTATTTAAAGATTGTTTGTAATATTGGTCAAATATACCAATTCCTGACAAGTTATTAATTGGTGAACTATTTAGTTGATAATTGTTCTCATTGGTTAAAATTTGGATGTCTTTGTCTTTGTCTTTGTCTTTCTCTTGAAATTTATCTTCATCTTTGTTTTTAAAGTTGTTTTCAATATCATTATTTAAAAAATTACTTGGAAATGTGTCTAACAATTTATTAGGTTCAAAATGGGGAACTTCATCGTCCCACCATGAAATGCCTGCACCAGTTATATAAGCTGCTGTTAAAGAACTAGCACCACCATAATTTGCAGCAGTTATCATTCCGATTAATAACAAAGTATGAATAACTAAGATAACTTCTTTAATTTTGAATATGTAATTTAAAAATGAAGCAATTTTAACTTTCGTATTTTTATTTTTATTATTATTATTGTTATTATTATTATTATTATTATTATTATTATTATTATTATAATTATCGTTAGTAGTAGTAGTAGTAGTAGTAGTTTCATATTCAATCATTCTGAATTTATTCAATTTGACAGTTAATGGAGAAATCAAAAATTTTGATAAAACAACAGAAACAACAACCAATCCGATTGATAATAAAACCGGCCTAATAACAGTTACTGCAGTGAAATTCCCATCTCCAATATTGGAAATAATCTGGACCATAATCAATCCAACAATATCATCCAACATTGCCGCACTACTCAAAATGATTCCGGCTTTTGAAGAAATCAAATTAGAATTATTTAAAATGGTAAAAACGGTCCCTAAACTCGTTGAACATAAAGCTGCACCAGCACTAAAAGCCGATAATAGAGTGGCATTTGCATATGAAATCAAAGTAAAGCTCAAAGCAAAGGGAAATATAATACCAGTTACCGCAACAGCTAGAGACATTGAAAAATATTTCACCAATAATTTAAAACTGGTCGATAAACCGCCATGATAAACCATCAACAATAAACCCAAATAACCCAAATCAACAAATACTCTTTCGGTTGATACTTCGATCCACTTTGTCAATGGAGTTCCGTAGATCAAACCAATCAAGATTTGGACAACCAAACCACAGTAAAAATAAGAATCAACAACATGATTCAAAGCATTGAGAAAAATGAAAAAAGACGATAGTATCAAAATCGATGTGATTGGGGGCTCATGGTAGGGCAAATAAGAAAGCAAACCGGAATCAATTGTATCAGACATTTCAAAAAATCAGCAGCAAAAACAGTGCGATTTAAAGCAAAAACAGTGTGATTTAAAAAAACTGGTCTTTGCACTTCAAATTAAAGGTCCCTGTTTTATATCTCTGGCTTTTGGTGTCAAAGCTGGAGTTTTTGTTTTTGACTAAACTCTATACCCACGTTTCTTTTGCAAACCAATAAAAACACAGACACAACTCTGCATATAAACTCATTATTATATATATTTATGCTGGTATATATGTATTCACATGCACATGCACATGATTATACCCACGCAGCTGAATTTTCCACTCCCATGGATCCATTGTTTTTCATTGCAAAGTTTTTCAAAATGACAAATGTTGGAATTTTGATGATGAAGCATTTGGCTATTGTTGTTGTCAACTTAAATATCAGCTTGTTATTCACAGCTTCGATTCAGGTTTTAGTGCAAAATGCCCACAGATAGAGAGGAACTAAACAATTTGACCACAAACATATCGATTTCCCTAATATCCTATGGTATCTTGCTAGTGATTTTTCCTGGCTCAACTTTTCCAATCGTCATTCTAATCCTCATGATTTCATCTTCATTATACAAGGCCAAATATTTAAATTATATTTATAAAAAATACTTCAACAAATTGGAAATAACAAATGATAGACAGGATCTTATTAACACAATTCAGTCTTTAAGTAGTTATAAGTATAACACGCAAAATTGGAATAACAGGAAAAAAAAAATATTTTTTTCCATGCCAATTAGACACCAAAAGTTATCAATAAATTATTTAAAAAAATTTGATAAAATCAATAAATTAATCGATGTCAATTCTCAATTTTTGAATGATATTGCGAAAGATTCGATAGATTTTTATAATGTTCAAAAAAACGAATTAAGGTTAGCCACTTTTCAAAACAGTAATGATAATTTCAATGTTATTGAAGCTTTATGTCATTTTCAAAGAGATTGGTCAAGTTTAGGCGATGTGGAAATAAATCCAATTTTAAATTATGTTAAAAAGAATTTGAATAATATTGTTAATAATAACAATTACAGAGGAAAAACGTGTGTGATTATTCCAGGTTCAGGTTTGGGTCGAATTGCTCATGAATTAGCGGCAGCATATTCCTCAATCCATTTTGAAACCGTAGAATATTCTTGGTTAATGCATTTATCAAATCAATTTATTTACAAGACAAATTCAGACCAGCAAACTTATTATAATGTTCATCCTTTCATTCATTCATATTCCAACCATACTAGTTTAGATAACCAGACTAGAGAGATTAAAATCAAACGATTGGATTCCAAACCTTCAAATTTAAAATTGAATCATGGAGATTTCCGGTTATTTAAATTGGAGAATTCTGAAGACTTTGATAATATAATTATTGTGAGTGTTTTTTTCTTGGATACTGCTGAAAATATTTTTGAATACTTAGATGCGATGGAGAGATTGATATCAAGTAAACATGGTTATTGGATCAACGTTGGACCGTTGAAATATGGAAGTGCACCTAAAGTTGAGTTTAACTTGGAAGAATGGAGAGAGATCCGTAAAAAGACTGGATGGATTGATATTGATGAGCCAAAACCTTATGGCAAATTGCTAACTGGATATCTAACAGATACCAGGGGTTTATGGCAGGGTCAATATGGCCTTTGCAGGTGGGTATCTAAGTTATAATAAATTATAATAATCCTAATCCTAATCCTAATCCTAATCATAATAACCATAATTTTTGTTTCTAATTAAGACCTAACTCTTTTTCAACTCCGTATAATATCATTTAATCTGCACATCATTTAATCCATTCAGTCCATTTAATCCGTATGATCCATTCAACTTATTTCATATCATTTAATACCAATTTAATTTCATTTTTATTTTAATTTACCATAATCTGTTTTAATCAAATTATTAATATTTTTTTCATTATTTTCATTTCCTATTAATTCATATTATTATTATTATTATTATTATTATTATTATTATTATTATTATTATTATTATAATTTGATATTTTCAAATTTAACGCCCAATTTTTTCAAATCGTTTTGAATTTCACTTTTTTGTAATTGAATATCTTTTTTTTTTAGTTCAAGTTGATTTAAGATTTTTTCATTTTTTCCAGATAGATTGGATAGATTATTATATAAGTTATTTAGTTTAATTAGATGTTGATCGAGCGAGATTACGTGATAATTTTTAATCTTTGGGAAAACTATAATATGGTTATTATTAATATTGTTATCAATAGGATTATCAATGGAATTGTTAGTAGTATTTCTATTTGAATTTTGGAATTGGTTGAATTGCCATTCGAAAATTTCTTGGTCTTGATCAGAATCATAGTTTGAGTCATTTTCAGCTTGATCGATTAAATTTTTTATTTCATTTTTGATATTGATTTTTTGCTGATCAAGTTCTTGGGATGTTAAAGGCAACCTTTCGTCTTCAAATGAATTTTTGTTAAATTTCTTGTTAAATTTCTTGTTAAATTTCCTGTTAAATTTCTTTTTATTTATAGTGTCATTGAGATTTAATTCCAATTTGTCGAACTCTTCAATAGATATGTAGTTCATGTTTTCTCTTTCAAAGTCACTTAAATCAGAACCTGCCAATATAATCTCTTGGTTGAGAACTTGATTGTTTAGTTGGAGTGGATTTGTATTTGAGTCTTTATCTCGTAGATAGTCTAGGTAAGTGGAAGTTTTACTAGTCTTGTTATCGTTATCGTTATTGTTATCACCACCATTACCATTATCGCCACCATCATCATCACCATCTTTGTTATCCTTGAAATTCGTGTTATCAGGCTCACTAGTGGCAATATCAAGAATATTGGCCAGATTGGCATCGTCTATTGAAATAGCATCGTAGTTCAGAAGAGCTTTGGAGGGAATGAACTTGACCTTGGACTCGCTGGTCTTCAAATGGCTCTTTTTGAGCCTGAACTTTTGGGTATCAGAGCTGCTTTCCCTCTGGGTGTTCTTTGCAACGTCTCTCTCTCTGTCCTGTGCTTCGCCTTCGTGGAGAGACTGTATCACTATCTTCTTTCTCCTTGTCTTCTTGGGCCTGGCCCTCCTCAAGGGAATGGAGGCTTCATCACTGTTTTGCTCCTGCTCGTCGTGAACAAGAACCTGCTTGGGTCTGGATCTTCTCAACGACATCTGTAGTTCTTAAGGTGATTTACTCTTCGTGCTCCTTTTCCGGTGCTCTCTCTTCAGATCCTCTTTCTTCAGATCCAGTCGCCTCTACTCCTACAAACCAATGGGAAAGTCCTTCAGCATCTACAATCCCTCGGAACCCTTGATCTATGGCTTCAAGTTGGCGATTGTGGTGGTGACAAACCTCCTCGCCTTTGTGCAGATCATTCTCTCGGTCATTCTTTCGATAGTCATTCCCAGAGAGGTTTTTCCAGCATCTGTGGTAGGCATCTTCAATTTCATCTATGTCATCATCTCCTACAACTTCGAGCTCAATCTTGAGTTTGAAATCGACGACTTCTACCCCTTGGTGCTCTTCCTTCCCAACCTTCTTTCGCTCGCCATCAATGGTCTGAACTTTATCTTTGCTGTGATCTACTTTGTTAGCAACAAAGAGGGCTTCTTGGACCCAGAGCAGTTGGCCTACTTCACCATGTACGCCATGACCACCGAGAACATCCACTTTGCTGTCATTGCCTCCTCCAGTCTCTCAGCGTCTATTATTATGGGAAACTTCCTCCTCATTGCGATGGACTTGGTCATCACGAAGCTGATCTTCTCTACAGGGAATCCCTCCATCTTCTTCACTAAGTGCCTCGTCAAACGACGCAAATGCCATGTCAAGGTCAACAGCTGCTACACCTATGGCTGCTACAAAAACAGTACCACTGAGCAGTCAGACAACCCCAAAATCATCAACCCAAGGAAGCTGGCACTCTCCAAGTGTGGTAAGTTCCAAAACAGCATCGTCATCAGCGAGTACGCCAGCGAGTACGCCAACTTCTTCACCTGCTCCAACAGCTTTCCTCCCAAGTACTCTCCCTTCAAGGGCGAGTAGCCATTGCACTGACAGCCTTAAGTTCCTGCTGCTGCTGCTGTTTCTGCTCTCTCACTCGTGCTGCTATTGGCGGTTTGTTTTCCATTGTGGTTGGTATTTTGACGTGAAGTTTAAGGGTCTTTTCTAGATCCCTTTCCGTATTTCATTTTGCCTTTTATTTTGAACCTTTTTGTTGGGAGGTTTTTATTAACCAATAGCTCATTCTCTTCGCTCTTCAATGTCCAATCTTTCCTGTATTTGTTCTTATATTTAAACATTTCTTTTTGTCGTTTTTTTATCTCGTCTTGTGTAAACGATTCTTCCATCACAGAAATGGATCCTACCCTCACTGACCATGAAGATCACCATAATGTTCATTTTGATGCTACTCGCTTTTTGTCAATTCCTAACGACGAAAGAATAGATTTAACTGTCAGAAATCTAAACGTTTCAATTACGACTCCAACCAAAAAACTGAGACACTCAAAAAAAGATAAAAAAAATCATAATAATAATAATAAAGATAATAATAATAGTAGTAGTAAAGACATTGAAAGTCAATCTATAAATGACACAAACAATTTCTCTCAAAATCCTAATCAAAAAGTCATCTTAAATGATATCTCTTTCGATTTGCCAAAGGGTGAGATGATGGCTATTTTAGGTGGCTCTGGCGCTGGTAAAACATTTTTATTAAATATTCTTTCCCAAAGATTTACAATTCGAAACAAAAACAAAAACAAAAAACAAAAGCAAAAGCAAAAGCAAAAGCAAAATGAAAATGAAAATGAAAATGAAAATGAAAATGAAAATGAAAAAAACAAAAAATTGTCTTTTAATATACCTGGAATTGTCAACTACAAAAACAATTCAACATCTGATATATCCCAAATCAGAAATGCCTATCTTCTACAAGACGATTTCTTTTTGCCTGGATTAACTGTTAAAGAAACTTTAAACTACACTGCTCAATTACGAATGCCCTCAAATACTTCTGACACTGAAAAATTCAAATATGTCGATTTCCTAATCCATGAACTAAACTTATCAAACATATCAAACTCAAGAATTTGTTCCTTTTTTGATCCAAATAAAAGTTACTTGTCTGGCGGTGAAAGAAGAAGAATATCACTAGCAATTCAATTGTTATCGAAACCTTCGCTTATTTTCTTAGACGAGCCAACAACTGGTTTAGACTCAAATACTTCCTTTAACTTGATCAACACCCTAAAAAATCTATCCATTAAATATGGTTTCACCATTATCTTATCCATTCATCAACCAAGACCAGAAATCTTGCAGCTATTCAATAAAATCTGTCTATTAGCAAGAGGTGGAAACTTGTGTTATTTCGGCCCTTTAAATCAATCTTTACAATATTTTCAAGATTATTGCAAAATTCAAATCGATATTGATAACATTAAAAATTCACATTCAATTAATATCGCTGATCTAATTATTGATTTAGTCGCCAAGGATAATACATCTCAAGAATCTGAAAAATCTTCTTTTGAAAATGTTAAACATTTAACCAATTGTTGGAAAAATTACCAAACTCAAACTCTAATAAACTACTCAAATGACCAATTAACCACAAATCTTGATAAAGACGAAAAAACGATTAATCTATCTAGTAAAAAAAACATCTCATTATTTCAAGAAATCAAAATCTTAACAAAAAGAACAATTGTTTTAAGTATCAGAGATTTTTACTCAATTTTATCCTTAATCTTTGCATTATTCTTAATCGGCGTGGTTATGTCCTGGCTATTTTATAAACCTCCAAAGAATCTTGCTGGCATCAGATCAATCACCTCTGCTCTTTATATAAACTGCGAGATTCTTTGTTTAGTGCCTTTAGTATTTGAAATTGGAAGGCTTTGGACATCAGATGGAAAAATCTTTTTCAGAGAAAAGGCTGATAAAGCTGTTACTATTAATGGCTTTTTAATTTCAAGAACCATTGCAAAATTTATTGTTGAAGAATTGCCTGTCACAACTATTTATGTTTTAATTACCTATTTCATGTGGGGATTGGCTCTTGACGCCGGTAAGTTTTTCTATTACTATTTTGTTTGTATAATACTTGTTTTATCAGGTTATACAACAGCAATGGGAATTTTTGCTATTTCTCCTTCCTTTGAAATTTCAGGTTTAATTATATCCTTTTATTACTTTGCACAAAATCTTGGTTCAGGTTATTATGTCAATGCTAAATCAATGCCTGTTTATGTTAGATGGATCAAATATGTTACTCCATTTTGGTATTTCTTTGGCACTTTTGTTTCAAATGAATTTACTGGGTTTCTTGGTGATTGTCCGAATGGTGATATTAATGATGAAATTTGCCAGGAATACACTGGAAAATATGTTTTAAAAGATTTGGGTTATCCAAATAATTGGTTGGCTTTACCAGTATGTGTTATAATTTTATTCACGTTTGGTTTTTTACTTGTTGCTGTGTTTGGATTATCCCGAAAAAATGTCTTTGTCTTATTAACTAATAATTCAAAAAACAATAAAGGTTCAAATATAGTCAAATATGAATCCAATAATAGTGATAATCAAAACAACGATGATAATGGAAAAAATGAAAGTTCTAACACTAATAAAATAGTGATAAAAGAGAATCAATGTCTTACTAATGATGTTAGAGATGAAAGTTTAAATATTCATTTAAAAAATATTTCATTAACAATTATTACAATAAATTTTTATCTTAATCTACTCAATAGATTTATTAATTTTTTCAAAAAAGATAACGAAAAATTTAAGGATAATTCATCTGGTGATATTAAAAAGGAAAAAAAATTATTAGAAGATATCACTTGTTCATTCGAGCCCGGGAAGATTAATTCAATTATGGGACCATCTGGTAGTGGTAAGACAACACTATTAAATTTACTAGCTGGTAGACTTTTAAGAAATTCATCCACAAATTTTAAAGTTTCTGGAGATTTATTTATTAACCAAGATGAACTTAAGTTTAATTATTTTCGTAAATTAGTCTCATATGTTGTGCAAGATAATCCGATTTTAGTTCCAAAATTAACAGTTTGGGAAACGTTATATTATCAAGCTAGATTAAGATTAAAAAATAAAAGTAATCAAGAAATTATTGATACAGTTAAAAAATTGATTCGACAAGTTGGACTTGAAGATTGTGTTGATATGTTTATTGGGTCAGAATTTGTCAAGGGTATTTCTGGAGGAGAAAAAAGAAGACTATCAATCGCTATTCAATTATTAAATGATCCCAAGATTTTGTTATTAGATGAACCAACCTCTGGGTTGGATTCATTTACTGCCAATAGTATATTGAAATTATTGGATGATATTGCGAGAAAGGGAAATAAAACTATTATTATTACATTGCATCAACCAAAGGTTGAAATGTTTAATATTTTGGGCAATATTTTATTACTAGTTAAAGGTAGGATTGCTTATAATGGGAAAAGAGATAATATTGAAGAATATTTTAATAACTTGGGGTATTATTGTCCAGATTTTACAAATTATGCAGATTTTTTATTAGATTTAGTTTCATTTAATAATCGGATTGAAATTAAAAATGAAAATAAAAATGAAAATGAAAATGAAAATGAACAAGCTAGTGAAGAAGCTAATGAGAATGTGAAAAGAGTTCAAATTTTGATTGAAAGCTGGAAAGAACGTAATAATCGTTATAAAAATAATGGTAAGAAGATTATAAATGATAATAGTAGTGGTATAAAAATTGAGGAAATTGAGGAAAATCCATTGAAAATTGAAATTTCTGAAGAGGATAGTAAAGCTGTTTATAAAAAATACAAAAGTTTAGAAAGAAAAGCAGTTTCATTCAGAGCTGGATTAGTGATTATAACAAGAAGACAAAGTTTGAATATACTTCGAAATCCTGATATAATTACAGTGAGACTAGCGCAGGTCATAGTTTTTTCAGTATTAACCACACTTTTTTTTGCTAGATTAAAGACTACATCTGATTCTATAACAAATCGGTTGGGATTGATTCAGAATATTGTGGGATTGTATTATAATGGGCTTTTGGGAAATATTTCAGTTTATCCATATGAAAGACAGGTATATTATGAAGAAGATAAAGATCGATTATATTCTACATGGGTTTTTTTGATAAGTTATTTTTTGAATGAAATTCCATTTGAAATAGTGGGATCAATAATATTAAGTGTATTAGTTGTATTTGGTATTGGGTTGCCATATAATTATAAGATGTTTTTAGCAACAGTTTATTGTTCAATTGTTGTTATAAATTGCGGTGAAAGTGTCGGAATAATATTTAATACATTATTTACTAATTTTGGTGTTGCACTTAATATAATTTCGAGTTTTATTAGTATAGGGATATTCATGAGTGGAATTATGTCGATAGATGCTCCAAAATTTTTTGATGCAATGAATTATTTGAGTCCATTAAGATATGCAGTTTTGATATTGATGAATTTAGGATTTGAGAAAGATATCGTGTTTAAATGTTTGGAAGAAGTGGAATTTTGTACATTGAACTCAGGAGAAAAAGTTTTAGAGTATTATAATTTAAAAGCGAACGTTGGTATAGAGGCGATTGGGTTAGGATGTGTTTTCATTATTTATAGATTATTGGCTTGTTTGGTGCTTGAGCTTCGAATGAGAAGGAAAAGATGAATTTTTATTAATTTGTATCTATTTGAATACCCGTCTGGGTATTGTTGCTTTTAATATTGTTAATATTGTTGATATTGTTGTTATAATATGTAAAATTTAGAATGGTGGTTGCGCCTAAAGTGCCATTCCAGTTTCTTATATATACTAAATTTGAAGCAAGTGATAAATCGGGAAAGTGAAACCCATTTTTGTTAAATTCAGTCAATTCTGAATCCAATAAGTTTTGCAATAAATTTTGACGGTTTGATATTGGTCTACCTGGTCTTCTGTTTTTCTTCAAATCATTTAATTCTGTTAGATTTCTGTTTATATAGTTCAAGATCAAAGCATTGGCTTCCTCGTGAGTCAATATGTCCTTCTTAGAATACAGCTTGTTACTGTTCAACTCGTTTTTGATGTAATCTAATCGATGAATCAAACTCTGTTTCAAGTTCAAGCGACTGCTTTTCTTTGCCAATAGCTTGCCATTTCGCAAATTGGCTCTGTTTAGCTGCTTCAACTTCCGACCCTTGGGATGCAAGACAGTCTTGGACTTCTCTATGGACTTGGAGACCTTGTTGAGGTTTTTGGCTATGGGCATTGTGATGGAAAAGTAGGATATAATACAGCAGAGAATGGTGATTCTGGTGATGTTTCTGTTTTGGGCCAAGAAAAAAAATTTATTTTAGTGAAAAAAAAGCAGATCACCCCGGAAATCATCACACGTGCAAAAAACGTGATCATATAAATCCGATTGAACGGCAGTTCGAACCGCAATGGGGGTTGTTCTTAAATTAAACAGTGGCTTATGTCAGCCGGTATGGACACTGCGGATGGTGCAGGCGGAGAAAGGCAAGGATAGCACGGATTTGCCCCCCAGGCACAGATAAGCGAAAGGTATAAAAGGATAAGAAGAGCTCATCTTATCTCTTTCTGTTTCTTTTCCTTTCCTCATCGTTCTTTTGGAATATCTTCTCTGGGGTTGCTACTAAAGGGATCTTATTTCGCACTCGATTTTTTACTGTCTCAGTCTTTTTCCTCTTTTTCCTTTTTTTCTGCTTTTTCTGCTTTTTGCTCTTGGACTTTCTTTCGCGAGGTTTTCATAAGGGTCATCCAATCTACATCCAGCCAAATTCTATTTTCGCTCTCTATTTAAAATGAAGTTGTCTGTTTTATTCAATCTTGCTGTCTCCCTTGTCACTTTGGGCCAATTGTCTGATGCTAAAGTGCACCATGCCAAAATCTACAAGAAACCCTTGGACACTCAGTTGAAGGACGTTTCATTCGACCAGCATATAAACTCGATTTCTCAAAAATACATTAACTTATACAAGCTTGCTTACCCAGAGTCTACTAGCGAATTCAATTTATTGCCACTAGTCGACTCCAACGCCAACCATGACACTCCATTGACCAACTATCTTAATGCTCAGTATTTCACTGAAATCTCCATTGGTAATCCTCCTCAATCCTTCAAAGTCATCTTGGATACCGGTTCTTCTAATTTATGGGTTCCATCGAAGGATTGCTCATCCTTGGCTTGTTTCTTGCACACCAAATACGACCATGACTCTTCTGTTACTTACAAGAAAAATGGTACTTCATTTGCTATAAGATATGGTTCTGGTTCTCTTGAGGGTTACGTCTCTCAAGATGTTTTAACTTTAGGTGATTTGACTATCCCTCACCAAGATTTTGCTGAAGCTACCTCTGAGCCTGGTTTGGCTTTTGCCTTTGGTAAATTCGATGGTATTTTAGGTTTAGCTTATGACACCATTTCTGTCAACAAAATTGTTCCTCCAGTCTACAATGCAATTAATCAAGGTTTATTGGATGAGGCCAAATTCTCCTTCTACCTCGGCGATACCAACAAAAATTCCGAAGACGGTGGTGTTTGCACCTTTGGTGGTATTGATGAATCCAAATTCAAGGGTAAATTGACTTATTTGCCTGTTCGTAGAAAGGCTTACTGGGAAGTATCTCTTGATGGTATTGGCTTGGGCGATGAGTATGCTACTTTAGCTGGTCATGGTGCTGCTATCGACACTGGTACTTCTTTAATTGCCCTACCTTCCGGCTTAGCTGAAATTCTCAATGCTGAAATCGGTGCCACCAAGGGTTGGACTGGTCAATACTCTGTTGATTGCAACTCAAGAAGCTCTTTGCCTGATTTGACCTTCACATTGGCTGGTTACAACTTCACAATAGGTCCATACGACTATACTTTGGAGGTTTCTGGCTCCTGTATCTCTGCTTTCACCCCAATGGACTTCCCTGCCCCTATTGGCCCAATGGCAATTGTGGGTGATGCTTTCTTGAGAAAGTACTATTCTGTTTACGACTTGGAAAAAAACACCATTGGTTTGGCCTCTGCTGTTTAAATCCAGCCCACCTTATGCCGATGCCATGAAACACTCTCTAAAATAAATCTAAATTCCTCTTTCACTTCTCCCCACGTCTCCCTATATATCTATATAACTGGGCACGATCTTTTGTGTGTTTGTCTGTTTAATGACCTTTTCTCTCTCTCTCATTCCCTGCTTTGTTCTCGTAGGCCTACTTCCGAACACGGATCGGGCGTGTTTCCACTTCCACTGCGCTGGCTCAAAACAGCATTGCTATAAAAGGAACAAGATATAATCATCTCATCCAGCTCTCCAGCTCTTTCCATTTTCTTCGATCTCTTTCGTGTAGCCCCTCCAGCTCCTTCCTGCCTATCCTCTCCAGCTCTTTCTCAACTCCAGAGGCCCTGATTGCTCGCTGGCCTCCCGCCAAAATGCCTCGCATATTTGTCCCCAAACACCAGAAGCTCATTCTTCAGTGCTATCCTCCAGGACGTAATGTCGACAAGAAACCAAACTCCTCTGAGCTAAGCTACTTGCTTTACTACTGCTCAACAAGAAGGATCAAACTAGAGAAGATAGGCAACTTTCTCCAAAAGAAAGTCTTGAAAGATTCCTACCACCAACGATTTGGCAACCTCCAGGTCTCTTTAGACATCTTGAACTCCTTGATACTAAAATGCAATGACAACTTGAATGTCTTTGCAAACAACATAAACTTCATCCTACTAGAAATTCTTAACCTAAATGATCTTCTACTATCCAACCATTCTTTATCGGTCTTCAACACCTTTTGTCAAAATCTCAACAACGAACTATTCATCGGCGATCGAAATTTCTTGGACAACTTTTTAACTCTTTCAAACTCCTTCTTAAATCTATATGATCAAGATAGCGATACTAACAACAGCAATAATATTCAAAACCAGATTGGGAAAGATGATCAAATGAAAAATTTAATTCATTGGAAAATAATCAGCATCAACTCGGCAAATTACTTGAGCAATATCTTGCCTTTCAATTTAAATTACGCTCAATTAATCATAGACAAATCCATTCCTGTAATCTTAACCACCTTAAAAAACAGTTTCAATACCGTCGATTTGAAGAATTTCTTGAATTCTATAATCAAAAACTACGATAATAAAAACAGCAACAACAACAATAATAATAATAATAATAATATTACTATCAATAATCTTAACCACCGATCATTGTCAATAAAAACGAAATCATCTCTAACTTTAACCAAAACTATTACAAAATCCTTCACAAACTCTCCAAATAATGACAACAACAATAATAGTAATAACAAATCAGAACTTGAAGCTGAAACTGAAGTTTTCGATCAAAATAGAGAAAAAGAGGATGCCATAACTGCATTAAACTCCTATTTCCAATCTTCAACAAACCTAAGTATCGTCATTTGCACCAAGACTCTTTGCCAATTTGTCACTTTGAATTTATCTTCCTCAAATAAAATAGATAAAGATTGGTTCAAATTTTTAATTCAAATAATAACTTACTGGGTCCCGGTTCAATTAAGATTCATAATCCTAGACGTCCTCATCTCATTATTGAAAAATGACTCCTCACTAATTAACCAAATCTATTTAACCCATTCGATCGACGGTTTGCTCTCTTCCTCAGTTAATATGATTGGCTTATCTGTAATAGATGTCCTCAAACAACTATTAAGTCTACAGTTTAAATTTATTAAATTTTACAACAAAGATCCAACAAATAACTCTTTAGTATCTCAGTTGATTCAAAATTATACAAATTGCATAGCTAGCTTAGCTACCCATGTTTACTACCACGATCAAATCTCTGATATGGTCGATGAATTATTTTCAAAACTATTAGATTTCTCTAAAAAATCAAATGAAAACTTGGTTAATTTTGAAAATTTCTCTCTCCCAATTACTAATCTAAATAACTTGACTGTTAAATCAAGGAAAAGAGCCATAAGTTATGCATCCAATTTCCCTGCCAACTCAAACGCTTCCTATTCTCATTTATTATCAAGTCAAAATTTAATTAACAATAATAATAACAATAATAATAGCCCTGTTTCCAATTCAACTTCAAATTCAAATTCAAATTCAATTCGAAAATCACCAAAAGAGGATTCCAGTTCAGATGTTCAAAATATCTTGGATCCAAACATTGATTCTCCTTCTTTCACAAACTCAAATCAAAACTCAAATGCTCAATACGATATTCAAAAAATTAAAAATTACATCATTATTCTATTAAACAATATTGATTCTGTCTTCCAGAAATGCTCGAATAATAAATCCTCTTCCTCAATTCAAAGATCTCTTGTACCAATAGATTTATTCAATGAATCCTTACCTTTGTTAAGTTACTATAGTAATTCCCTAACAATTTACGAAAATTTATCAATCCAATTAAAATATTCAAACCTATTATTAGTCTATATTGAAAACGAATTATTCGATGATGATGATTTATTAATTCCAAATTACCGTCAATTAATCTCAAACGTTAATAATCCTTTAATTAATATCTTTTGGAGTATTGACCAATTCTTTAAAATTTTACCAAATTTTGAAAATGAAACAAATTTTAAAATTGACTCAATCAAAAATATTAAGGATCAAAATGCTTTAATCATGAACTTTATTAAAATTATAAACCACTTGATTAGCATATTTGGAATTAATGCAATTTCAAATGGAATTGCTTTTTTTTTTGATTGGCAATTCACCTTAGATTATATTACAAATAAAAATCAATCAGATATCCTAAGTTCAGATCCCTCAATTTTCGAAGAAATTAAAGACTCAGTTGCTTATTTGTTTCTTTTGTTTTCAGTGAAATATTTAATTGATTATGACTCAAAACAAGCTGGGAAACTCAATAAAATTAATAGCAATAAGAAAAATAATGGAAACACTACTAACAGTAATAAGGGTACCATAAAATCAAATCGTTCAAGTTATAGACTACCAATGAATTCATGCCTAAAGGATATTCTTATTAGAATTAAATATCGTGTTGAAAACAACTATTGGTACCAATCAATCAAATTAACTGATAAAGTACTAGATGCTGACACATTATCACAACTAGAAAATATATCAACTGATAATCTTCAACATTTAAATTATGATAAAAAAGATTTTGATAGCTATTTGAAAATATTGTCCAGTGAAACTCCATCGCACTGGATCGATCCAATGATTGAATTAAGTTTTTATAAAAATCAAAGATACAATTTGGTTCATCATGTTAAATCTCAAATTATTAATGGAACGAAGTATAATGGATCGGTTGCATCATTTTCAAACCAACTAGATATCAACTCTAATGGATTTAACAATACTTTTACTGGAAATGCAACAATTAAATCCAGTGATAATCTTAATGGATATGGAAATCTTAATAATTTAAATAATTTTAATAATAGTATTAATAATTTGAATTTAAATAGAGAACCAATTAGATTGCAGCCTCCAGTCTCAGGCATTGGTAATGATACATTAAGTTTAAATTCATTTGCCTTATCATTGAACAAATCAGGATTATTACGATCTCCTTCAAAGGCAATCAGTTTGAATATGTCTAAACAGAATAAAGTGGATTCACCAAACGTTAAAGATTTAAGACAATCAATAATTTCTACAACATCAATGCTTAATAGGAAATATAAAAACAATAGGAATTCAAAGAATTTGAATGGAACTATTAGAAATAATGATAATAACAATAATAAAATCCCTGATGTTTCTGATTTCCTAAGTAAATTGAACATTGATAAAATTGAACAAAACAGATTGGTGATTTAATATTGTCGATTATCGGGCATTGTATTCCAATTTATTTTTATTGTATAAAAGAAAATGAACAGTATGTTTTAATTTTTTGTGTTTCAAATTTGGTTTTGTAGTTTTTTTTGATTATAATTTTATTCTTTCATTTATGTAGTTTTTTAATAATATTGTCTTTGTTCTTTCAATTATTCATAGATTCATTTTTGGTTTCTGATTTTTAATTTTATTGTATATTTTTTGTTTTTAAAACAAATAAAAATAATCAAGAAAATTAGTAAATATGAATAAAATGAAATACAATAAAAGTTCAGTGAAATATAGTTTAACAAGATATTGATTTCAGATTAGTATACATGAAATGACAAAAAATGTAAATTATGACAAATGTAACAATAATAATAATAGAAAGAAGAAAATTAGAATATTAATATATCAAAAAATTAACAAATGTAAAGACAAATATGATAAGTTATCTTTTGTAGATGATATTTAATTGAGTGTTATTAATTGAATGTTATTAATTTTTAATAATTTTCCATTAATTTTTAATAATTTTATTCTTAATAATTACTTATTTGAAATGAGGGAAAAATAATAATAAATGAATAAAAATAACCAAAACGAAAACGAAAAAAAAAAAAGAAAAAAATGACGGTGAGACTGGAAATGAAAAATTAATTAAGGATGAGGAATTAGTAATATAAAAAATCAAGTCAAAAGATAAAGTATTGATCATGTTGATATTAATAATATTGTCTTCTTTATTGTTTATTTCAAAGCATATTATAGCAAATAACGGAAAATAAAAACCAAGCCAAATGAAGTTTGAAATAGATTTCTAACCAACCAAATAAAAACAGAGTAATCAATTTGGAAAGAAGCATTGGATAAAAAAAAAAAAAACGTTGACAAAAGAAAAAAAAGATTGGAGATGGCTAAAAAAAAAATAAAAAATTAGGAAGTGAAAAATTAAATGTCTTCATCATCACCAAGAGCACTAAAAGCGTTAAATTTTAAAGAAGGTTTTTCAGCAATTGCGTCTGCTAAATCGGCAGGTTTATTTGATGATAAATTTTTATTATTTAGTTTTGGTTTTTGTTTAATTGAAGATTGGAAATCTTTTCTAAATTTATCCCTTTCATCATTATTAGTAAGATTATTTCCAAATGATTTTTTTCTATTTTTCAAGGTGACCCAGCCTTGAGAGTCGACTTTTTGGTGGTTATGGTTATGATTATGGTTGTAATTGTGATTATGATTGTGATTTTGAGTTTGATTTTGGATATGATAGTTGTTGTGGTTTGGATGAGAGGGATGATTTTGGTTATGAATTGAATCACTTTCAGACAGATCGGTACTATTAGGTGTATCAATTTTATTCGAGTCATTTGAATTGTTATGAGGGTGAGGGTTGTTATTAGGATGAGGATGAGGGTGAGGATGAGGGTGAGGATGAGGATGATTATTGATGATAAAAGTGTTATTTTGGAGCAAATTTTTTTTGAAAAAGGGTTTATTATCATGACGAGAAGACCTTCTTCTTTGGAAAGAGTTTAAATTTGAGGGAGGAATTGGGTGGTCAATAAAATCGTTTGAGTCATCGGAGGGGATTTTTTTATTGATTTTCTTTTGGGGAAAGGTTTTTAATTTTTTTTTAAGATTGTTGATCAACTCATTAAAATTAGATAAAATTTCTTGGTTATTAGAATCAAGTTTGAAATCGATTGAAGCTAAACGGATTTCATAAAGTTGGTCAATTGTATATCTAATCATTTTTCAAACAAGTTAAGAATGGCTAAATTTAAGATAAATTTAAGTTAAGTTTGAAATAAAAAAATACAAACGGAAAACGATTAAAATTGGTCAGAATGTCTAGGGATATATAATATATAACTACAAATTAATATATTTGAACTCAAAAGAGAAAGAAGGGGAAAAGAGAAAAAAAAATGAGCTACGAAATTTTTTTAAAGAGCCCTAACCAGAGCCCTGAGTTACGTTACCCTACATTGAGAGCCCTGTTTTACAGAGCCCTAATCAAAACTAGATTACCCTCCTTTGGAATTTTTCAAGGAGCGACCAGAATTTATCTTTTTTGATTTTTTTTTTGATTTTGGAAATTAAAGAATTAGTAAATCAAGACAAAGCATTTCAACATCGTCACTTTACAGTTAATTTGATTGATTGATTCAAGGATTGATTAGTTGATTAATGATTAGTATGGTTTAGATGAAGTTGGAAAGATTTGAAAGGTTTATTTAGTTAAATTTTTTAGAGCTTTTGTGAATGCATTGTTAGAATAAAGAGAAAGAGTTGAAGCTGTATCTCCAGTTAAAGAATGATATGATGATTTAATTGGTCATAATGCTTCCAACATGCCCCCCATATAGTTATTCTTTTTAGTTTTTTTATTTTATTTGAATTAGGTAGAACCAAATGGGAAAATAAGGAAAGGAAAACCTAAAATAACTTTATATTTTGTTTCATAATATTACAATATTATTATAATACTACTATAATAATATTATGAGGGTATTGATATTATTGAAATTAATATTATTGTTCAATTGTGAATAAAAAGCAAAGGATACAGAATATTAATAGTTTATTATTTGTGTTAATATATTATAATATAATCATATTTTTGGTTTTATTTTAATTTTAATTTTATACTATTATTGTAATATACATTAAGAGAATTTGAAATAATATAAATGATATGATAATAAGACGAAAATTGAATAACCGATTTTGAACTGTGAAATAATTTCCAATTATCAGTTTAGTTTAGACCATTATCATTTTTTGATCGTTAGATCATTAGATCTTGACCTGTTGGAAAAAAAATAAATTTAAATAAGGCGAAATAACATTGAGGATTGTTTCAATTATTATTGGTAAAATGAGAGAAATAGCAGTAGAGTATAAAATAAGTATTTTTTGTCTTTGTGTATAGGAATAAAAAACAGAATCGTAATAAGATAAGAGTCAGAAACTGTGTTAGGAGGAGCAGGAAGAACGAAACTGAAATCACGAAATAGGTTAATAATGTTGACTATCGGCGATTGGAGAGTAAGGAATATTTGGGTAGCAATTGTTTCATGCTGGTGAGTTCATGGAAGCCATTTATATACTGCTATTTGATCCAACAGCTGTGTCAGTGTAAGTGTATAACTGTTTAGCTGATAAAAGAGGTTGGAAAAGCTGATGGAAAGATAACACAAGCTGGACTTTCGGAGGGTGAGATGGTCGCAGAACCACTGGAACGGGAGTATGTGCACACGTTGCACGCTTGCAGACAGGCGCGCGGGACCGCCTGAGCCCGCGGGCATGACTAGAAACGGTCCAAGTCCGAGTGGGCAGAACAAGCCCAGTGCCCCTCCAAGCGATGCGACAAAAGCTGGCAAGTGACCCAGTCCCAGAACAGACCATAGATCACACCAGGCACCACACACCGACGCACCACCGACACAGTGGCACGAGCTGCGACTGGAGGACATGGCGCACTCTCGGACAGACCTCGCAATAGCTGGCCCGCACCCACCGCCCGCAAATGCGCGCACTATATCCACCTCCATGGGGCCTCTTTTGTCAGCACGCGCTCAGTGAAAAACCAGCCAGCGAGACGGAACAGGAGCCGAAACGCGGCGCCCGCGGCGTAAACAGCCCCGTGGGACCGGCGCATTGGTATGCATTTTGATGTTTTCATATGCAGTTTCGTGCAGTCAGGCCGCAGCGGCTCCCAGATCGGGAAGCAGATATAATGCTCCCTCTAAGTGTATAATCGAACAAAGTGAATAAAGCGACCAAAGTGTAATGTCACTGGGATATCTGCTCGAGAACTGCTCGTTGGATGCGTAGAGGGATAGTCACAATGTGATTTCATTAGAACATTATTCACTTCACCTTATTTTTCTGATATTCTTTTACAGCTCACGCAACCTTCCCAGTTCTTTCAAGCTCTCTTGGTAGGAGAATTCTCTTGATAAGGCAAATCATGTAATTCTTCTATCCTGTTTCTGTATATTCCACGCTTTCTTCCATCTTATGGCTCTCACTTTGCTGGATGTTGAATCATGGCATCAACTTATCGACGGCCAGTCAAGCAACCATTCACGCTGCTTTTCCATTCTTGTTCTGCTGCTCGTTATTTATCTAGTTTCGCATTTTGCTACTGGCGTTTTGCTACTGGCATTTTGCTTGCTGCTTTATTAATCTCTAACTGGTAGAGCTTTATATATACATTATTATATAACGTTTTGTCAGCAAAATCGCTCCATAAAGAGAAAAAAATAATAAAAAAATGAAAAGTAAAAGTATAATCTTTTGATAAAAAAAATGTAAATAGTAATTGGTAAAGAGTAAACTGTAAATAAAATGAGTATTAAAAAATTGTATACTTTGCAAATAAAATTAAAATCTAAAACAAAAAATTTGAAAAGAAAAACGAGAAAAATGCAACTGAAATTTTTATATTATAATATAGTAAAATAAATCAAACCAACAAAAAGGACAAAAGTAAAAGTAAAAAAGTAAAAAAACCGTAAATAAATTTAATTTATATGACAAAAAAAATGTAACTCTTTTCCTATAAACATCCAATGAAACTAAAGGCATTGTTATTAGAATTATTAGTTACTTTATTATAATTATTGTTATTGTAGTTATTATAATTATTCAAATTATTAATAAAATTACCATTGTAATTCTTATAATTCTTATAATTCTTATAATTATTGCTATTAGTGTTAATATTGTAGCTGTTAGCATTGCTGTTAGAACTTGAAATGAATGAAAATGGACATTTATTATTCTCGTATTTCTGTCCAGCTTCTTGTTGATTTTTAACCTTCACAGATAAATAGTCATACAATTTATCATTTCCACTTCTAAAGTAGTCCTGTGGTGAATATTTCTTTTCCAAGTAATTCACATTGTTGTCTTCATTGAATCCTCCATTTATCGGTGTGCCTATTAAGGGCTTGCCGGCTTGATTTTTAATATTATTCAAATCATTATTAATATTCTTCAAGTTACTATTATTCACTTTTTTATTGTTGTTGATATTGTTTTCTTCAAGTTCAGTCGATATTGACGATGTAGTTGAACAGTTAACTGAAGAGGCTATTGAAGAACTAGGCGAGGTATTATTAGACGATATCGAGGAAGCAAATGAGTCATTATTAATATTTTTGTGATTGTTGTTTTCTGGAACATTGGAATTAATAACGTTGGAGTTAATAATGTTGGAATTGTTCAAAATGTTCAAGATATTTGATGTATTTAAATTTAATGAGGAATTCCTAGGCGAGCTCTTGCCATGAGAGCTCAAGTGGTTAGAATGGTGATTATTGTGGTGATTTTTATTGATATAGTAGTTGACATTCATGAGATTAGTAGTAGGCTGAGAAGTAGATATAATATTAGTAAAGGGGCATTTTTTATTTGGCGACCCAACGGGTGTAACAATATTGTTATTGTTATTGTTGTAGTTGTTATTTATTGATGCTATGTTGATATTGTTGTTAGTGTTGTTAGCATTGTTTACTGGAGTATTATTGGTATTATATTTGGAATGGAAAAAGCTCTTGACATAATTGTAAGTATTTTTATCATTGGGGTTGATGATATTGTTATTATTGCAATAGACAATTTCATTTTCTTTAGGATCGTCGTTAAGATTTGAAGCGACGTTTGAGTAGGAGTTGTCATTCAAATTGAAAAAAGTATTGATATTGTTGTTATTGTTGGCGTTGGTTGAAACAGTAACGTTGTTGGTAATGCCGTTGATTGTGTTGATATTGTTGACGATGGTGTTGGTGTTGTAGTCATCAGGATAGTAAATATCGCAGATGGAGAGTGGGCCATTTTTGGTGAATGATCTGCAATTTATTATTCTGTCTTTGATATTGTTAAGAACTACTTGGGAGGAAGTTGAGGATCTTTTGAATGGGTCCATGATAAAAAAGTTGTGGATTAGTATATCATTTAGTTCGATGGATATAGGAAGGATTTTGTAGAGAATATAATTATTTTTCAAGAAAATTCTAAAGGTGTTGTCCTTTATTGATGCTTTCATCCATGGATTGCGAATGCAGGTTAGGTTGATGAGTATTATGCCCAAGGACCAGATGTCACCAGCAGAAGTTGGAAAGAAATTATTTGGGTTATTGGAGGCATTGGGGTTGAGGTTGAGATTGATATTGTTTTGGGTGATGAGAGAGTTTATCTTTTGGTTGTCATGAGACACTAGTCTTTCAGGAGCCATGTAGTAAGAAGAGCCACAGCAGAGGTTATCAGAGACATATTCGTTCTGAATAGCTAATCCAAAATCAGCTAGTAGGAGAGTGTTGCCATTGTTAGCAACAAGAATATTTTCAGGCTTGATGTCGCAGTGGTAGACATTTTTGGAATGGCAGTAGGTTATAACGTTTAGTAGTTGTAGAAAGACACTTTTGATCTTGGAGGGGTTGTTTGAGTATATTTTTTTGTCAACAATGTTGAGAAACAAATCACCTTCAGAGTAGTAATCCATTAGAGTGAATAGGAAGTTGTGGCTTTCAAATACTTTGTGGATGGTGACGACGTTGGAGTGGTCGTTGACTTTTAAGTGGATGGATATTTCTTTTAGAAGGTTGCAATTTGAGCCAAATTTCTTAATGATGTTGAGGTCTAGGTAGTTGATTTGGTTTTTGGATAGGTGGGAGTTGTTTTGGAATTTGATGTAGTTTTCTAGAGACTGTTCGATTATTATGGAGGGTTTGTCTTGGTTTTGTTTGAATTTGTTATCCACTATTCTTATGTTATTATTGTTATTGTTGTTGTTATTGTTGTTGTTGTTGTTGTTGTGTCTTTCTTTATTTGATATTGGTTTTTTCAAGACGACTTTTAAAGCGTAGTTTTGTTTGGTGAAGACATCTTGAACAAGATAGACTATTCCATATGCACCAGCACCAATTTTTTTAACGAATTGTAAGTTGTTGTCTATATAACAACCATTTAAAGTCATGTTATATGTGAATTATAGAGTATATAATGTGTGTAGGAGGTAAAGTCAATATGGGAGATATTGAGAAGAGATGAGGTTATTGAGATCAATTTTTGATGAAGAAATGAGGATGGTGAAAGAATTTTTGAAAAGTGGCAGAAATAAGAGATTATTTTTTTTTATTTTTTTTTATTCAATATATTCAAATAAAAAAAGAGAGCAACAAAAAAAGAGGATGTATAAATAAGAAAATGAAAACAATGGGGTTTTAAATGAATTTAAATAGGAACCAAAAAAAACAAACTTATTTAAATGTGAAATTGAAATTGAAATTGAATTAGAATTGAACTAAAACTAATTTTATTTTATTTTAATTTACATTAATTTATTTGATTTTAAATTTACTTAAATTAATTTAAATAAAGTGATTTAAAATTATTATTTAGTTTTATTCTATTTTCGTTTTTTTTTCGTTTTCAAGTTTAGAGAAAAATAAGATTTGAACTCTAATCTGTTTGCTAATATTCTGAATTTTTAGGTGTTTCTCTTTTATACGTTTACAAAAATTGGAAAGTGAATGAGAATTTTACAAAAACTCGGTCTGTTGCCAAAAATCGGAAAGGAAAAGTATTAAGGTTTAGCAATGCAGCGGAAGTTATCCCAGTTGTGAGGGTGCGTGGGGACGCAGAGCACCGCGTGTGGGCGGGCGCAGTGCGCAATAACTGCATAATTGCCCCGTGTGTGCCCTAAAAGCGGGCTGGGAACAGTGCGGGAAGCGTTTGCGGGTTCCCTGAGAGCGAGCGTGCACGTGCGCTGTGTTGTTTTTGGGGCCTTTGGGGGAGTTGCGGGGTCCCGAAGAGGTGCGTGGCAGATAAGAGAATGGAATTTGTGAGGGAGGTTGGCGATAAGAGGTGAAGATGGTATATAAGTGAAGATGGTGGCTGTTTTTAGGTGCTGTGGTAGCTGGGAATTTCTTTTGTGAGGGATTATCAGAGAGAGAGAACTTGTCCAGCAATTGGGAGGTGATTACAAGCAATGAAATTGAGATGGTGTAATTGACAGTGGATAAGAGTGAGTAGTTGATTTTGAACCGTGCGAAATGGTGGATGTGTTGAGTCTGCTAGATAAGTAAGACATGGGAGACATGTAAGCGAAGTTGTTAGTACCAATAGGTTGAAAGAGGCAAAGTTTTATAAGAAAATAAAATAACTCACAATTCCAGGCATGAAGAAAGAGCCAGATGTTGCAACCAATCTAAGAATTGGTTGGCTAGTAAGAAGAGGAAGAGTGGTAAGAAGATTGATAATATGCGAGCAATAATACAAGTAGTAGTATGTAATTATAGATTCGTAGATAGAAAAAGTTTTAGATTGAAACTCATCATCGACTCATGCTGTGAAGCTAGATCAACCCAGAAAAGAAAAAGAGAAAAAAATACCAAAGTGCAAAAATGCAAGTGTGTTTGCAATTTGACACCTTTGGTTTAATTTTAAAATTAGCATTTTAAGCTCGGTGCACAAGGAGAGAGTAAAACAAGTGAGCTATATTATCCTCTTTTGCAGCTCAGGTCTCCAATTGTAAAACAACAACAAATACCAGCAATTGAAGTGGGAACAGACCCACAAGGCGTTAGATGCCCACTGTTTTGGTTAGTTTGTTTTGCTAATCCTGCTAATCCTGCTAATTTCGCCGGTTTGGTTCGGTATCTTCGCCGTGCTGCTCACGATACTCAGCACGCGCGAGGGAGGGAGTCTTCTCCTCAGCTCACCTGACCTTAGGCAAGGGCACCCCTCAGTTCCCTTTTCAAGCTGCCTGGGGGACTCCCTCCCTTAGGGCTTCCTTAGGGCTCCTTCAGGGCTTCCCTAGGCTTCCCCAAGACTTGCTTGGGTGTTTTTCCAGGCGATTGGAACGGGACCTGTGGGATTTGGGACGCAAACCGTGGTTGCGCCTTGGGACCACGCGGCTGTGCTGGGGTCCGCGGGTTCCCTCGGAGACAAATCCCACTTGCGCAAACAGTCTGTAACGGGGCCTATTTCCGCTCATTGAAATATATGCCTGATTGGGGATGGGAGTGGATGTTTGGGCTGATTGTGCTTGATTTGACAGATTTCACCAACGGGTGCTTTAGGAATTATCCAGAACGACAGCTGAGCCAACATGGCACCAGCAGTGTGGATGCACCTGTTACTGTTGTTCAAATGCCCAGAATCACCACCGATTACAGAATCCTCCCATATATTGCGATATATCAGCAGAGTATCCAAAAAGCAGCATTTTAAATGGCATTATTAATGTGCCCATTTTCATTTGCCATCTGAGTGCAAATATTGCAATGTTCCACTTCCAGCATGGTGAAACGTGATGGGAACTCTATTTATCCCTGCTCTTGCTACTCCAACTTGCTCTCCACCTCCCATTTTTCACAACAAACAATCAAAACAATTGATCAAAACAGTCGCAAAATAAGGCCAAACCCATTCAAATCATCAATTTAAATTGGTCTTCACTAATTATCATCATCACCATGATCATTAATCTCAATATCATCATTACAATTCAGTGAAAAGTTATTATTTGCCTCCAAATTTTAAAAAATAGTGCTAATTGCTCATTCCTTTAGTATAAATATATCAATATTATCCTTTGCGATTATTAATTGTTTGGAAGGATGGAATAATTTCCTGCTCTGCTCGATTTATCACTTTATTTTTAAATGTTTTCGATTCTACACTGTCTTTTTCCATTAACCATAAAATAATACTCGCAGTAATAATATTAAAAAATATTAATATTAATATTTTTTATTAATATTTTTATGTTATGATTTGGATTGTTATTACTGCTCTCATCACTAGTAACCAACTCAAAATAACTTAAAAAAACTCAATTTTCAGCTCGTTTTGCCAACAAACAAACAAAAGAACACCACACGCTAAACAGAAATAAAATAGAAATAAAATAGAAACGAAACAGAAACATCACTTAATTATCCAACAAAGTCAAGATATTCCCACACACAGCAACAATATCGGTTTTTCCCTCATGCTTATACGCTTAGGATCAATCGTTTGATGCTCAAACTGGCTGGCCCTGGGTCTTCCCAATCGGGCAATGATTCCAACTCCTGGCGTCTTTTCTGTTTGCGTTTCTCCTCCAGCACCATCATTCATCGCTCTCCAGAGGAGTTGTCGCTCCGTCGCTCGCGCGTCGTCGCTCTCCTTCTTTCGTCTTTTACCGCCTCCTGTCACATGCCCACTCCCCCCAAAGCCGACCCAGCGCTCCTCGCACCGCTTCTTCCTTTCGTCCCCAGTACCCACAAAGCTTATTGTCAATTAATCCGATGTCGCCACTTTCCTCTGCTTTTGGTGCTTTTCCGTTTTTCTGGTTCTCGCCCTCTCGCCTTTTGGTCGTGGGATCTTTTCATGGTCCAATTCCCAATTCCCAACTTCCAGACCCACTTCCACCTCTCAATTTCCGCCAGATCTTTCTCCAAAACCGAAACAAGAGAATACCCTTCTCTTTCTGCTTCTCATTCTCTACCACCCTGCCCGATTCCTCTGCCTCTGTTTCTTGGTAACATTTCCTCTTCTTATCTCCCCTGTTCGCTATACCGTTCTTTACACCGTTCTCTACTTCGTTCGCTACTATTGCTGGCTTTCTCAAACGCCTCCCTCTTCACGTGCTTGCTGCTTTTTTCTTTATATCTCATATCTTTTATGGAACTGCCTCTATTTTACCCTATAAGCTTATGTTATCAATTTCTTTTTTATGAAAATTACGTGAAATTTTGTCAATCATACCTATGCCTAAGGGTTATTAAAAATTATGGAATCTGTGAAAATTATGCAAATTACAAATTTTACAAACATGCTATTTATATCTGCAAAATTTTATCACTTATCTCGATCAATTAGTTACTCACTACAATCCACTCATTATTTGATTTCACTTTTATTTTTATCATTTCTATCTAATTCTCCATTCTCAATTCAGTAATTCGGCTGAATCACTCACTACTCTATCAATTAATCATATTGAATCATATTGAATCGCCTTTATTTTGCTTGTTTTTTTTTCTATTTTAACCACCACTGGATAAAATTGCTCAAATATCATATCATTCAATATCATCCCATTTATCACCTTCCCATATATCCAACATCATCAACATTATCAACATTATCACGCTTATTTACTTATCTATCTATTTATCTACTTACTTTCCCATTTTCCATTTTCCATTTCCCATTTCCCATTTTCTTGTTTATTTACTTTTCAGTCTGCTGTATTCTCCTAAATCTCCCTCACTTCTAAAGCAATTTTTTCTAAACAAACAATCGTGGCATCTCTGAAACACTAACTCTATTTCTCCTTTATTCACTTACAATCTCTCAAACAAACCTTCCCTAAAAATTTTTGTAAAATATCAAAAAATTCACATCCAAAACGAAAAACAAGCAAAAATACCAATAAATTACCAAAAAATTACCAAAAATTATCAGAGAAAATAAAAACAAGCTAAAATCAAACCATTATAATAATCTATGTATTTCTAAAGATTTTGACTATGGCACTATGGCCGAGTGGTTAAGGCGAAAGATTAGAAATCTTTTGGGATTTCCCGCGCAGGTTCGAGTCCTGCTGGTGTCGGTTTTTTTGCTTCCACAGCACTGGATTCCACTTCCATCTTATCCATTTCAAATCGATACTTCACCATCTTCTCAATCTTCCTACTCTGCTGTAATATATCAATATACTTTGCTCTTCATTAACTGTATGATATCTGCTCTTTTTCTCTCTCTCTAACTCAATCCTCCCATCTGTTTTATCCTCCTCTTTCAATTTACACGCCAAAATGCCTAAAAATCAAAAACTGCCTCTTCAATGCTTTCTTCTACTCTCTCTTTTGATCTCAAGATCTCTCTCAGCTTTATACATGATTTCTCAAGATTGTGATGAAGTCTTCAACTATTGGGAACCTTTGAACTTTCTACTAAGAAACTTTGGCAAACAGACCTGGGAATACTCTCCATTATACGCTATACGATCCTGGGCCTATTTACTACCATACTCCATATTTTATCCAATAATCCATTCAAACCTCTTTCCCAAAATTTATTACAATTTCTACTCAATTAGACTATTCCTAGCATCTTTATCTTTTTTTTCTGATGTTTCTCTTTTCAATTCAATCAAGAACCTAATCCACCCCAAAATAGCAAACTATTTTATCTTTTTCCAACTAATATCTCCTGCTTTATCTCATTCTTCCATCGCTCTACTCCCTTCCTCCTTCTCAATGATCTTCAATAACCTAGCCTTATCAAATTATATCCATTTTCTTAACGACAAAAACCACCACCACTTAAAACATTCTTTATTAACCATTTTTTGGTTTTCCTTTGGCTCCCTAATAGGTTGGCCCTTCAATCTAGCCTTGTTCATCCCCATGGCTTTTAAATTCTTATCCTATTACTTAAATAATATAAAGAAATTTCCCCTTTTTTTCTACTCCTCATCTATGATTTTTTTCTCAATTCTTTTAATCATTAAAGAAATTGACACAAAATTCTACAAAAAATTCCAATTGGTCCCATTTAATATTATTTTCTACAATGTTTTAAACTCAAATGATAAATCAGGCCCAAATATTTTCGGAACTGAAAAATTATCCTACTACATCTTAAACCTACTCCTAAATTTCAATCTAATTGCAATCCTATCCTTTTTATCTCTATTCATATCCCCATTGTTAATCTATTTAACTCCAACTACCACCTCTTCTCCATTCCACAAACTATACTATAGAAATTTATCTCCAAATTTATCCCTCTTCAACTACTTCACTCTAATTTATCCCATGGTCTTCTGGTGTCTAATCTTCTTTTCTCAACCCCACAAAGAAGAAAGATTTTTATACCCAATTTACCCATGGATCAATCTATCCACTTCAATCTTAATTTATCAATTGATCACTCTATTCGATAACTCATCCAAATACAATCTATCCAGCTTCTTATCAAATCATAGAAACTCATTAAATATAAAATTATTTAAAAAAGAAGATAATTCAAATCTAAAAATTAATCAAAAACTCAATTCCAATACCACCACCACAACTAACGACAATATTAATAACCAATCAAATGATTATGAAACTCTTTTTTCTCTTTTGTATAATAACATCAATTTTATAATATTGTTTGTTAGAAATTTCTTAAAAATCTTCCTAATCCTATTGATCACTGCTTTCTCAATTTTAAGAATCCTTTCACTAGTCAATAATTATTCTGCTCCTTACATTGTCTATTCTCACATCCCTCAAGATGCATCTGGTAACATCTGCGTCGGCAGAGAATGGTATAGATATCCATCCTCTTTTTTTTTGCCCGATAACTTAAGATTAAAATTCACCTTATCTGGATTCAATGGTCTACTTCCTGGCGATTTTGAAGAAAATATCGGCTTGATTGAATCCATATCAAAGATTCCTAAAAATATGAATAACCAAAATTTATTTGATCCATCCAAATTAACAGATATTCAAAATTGTAACTATTACGTCGATACCTCAAAGCAAGTCGATGTTGAAATCGGTGAATCTCAACTAATCTCAAACGAAAATAATATATTAAAAATTCAAAAAAATTGGACTTTATTACACTGTGATAAATTAATTGATACTTCAAGTCAAATCTTAACAAGAGTATTTTACATTCCAGTGTTCATACAAAACTTGATTGGTATAAAAACTAAATATTTCGATTATTGTCTACTAAAGAGAATTAATGATGATAACTAAATGAGAAAAAAAATAAATAAATAAATAAATAAATAAATAAATAAATAAATAAAACCAAGATAAATTAGAGTAACAAGAACTTAAAACAAAAAGAAAGCAAACTCATATCTAAATAAATAAATAAATTAAGTTTAATACATTAAATATCTTGTTGAATCCCATAAGTAAACCAAAAAAAATATTGGAACATTCTCCAAAATGTAAACTTGCAAACCTGTAAACTTGTAAAGTGATAACAAATAACCAAATAACTAAAAAAACCATACCAGAAGATTGAAACTTATAATCAGAAAATTCTGTAAACACACTTTCAAAGAGTGTTTAGCATGCACAATTATCAGATCCATTTCTATCATCAATGACATTCAAATTGATCGTTTGTTGAGAAAGATCATTTTGCAAATTCTGTGACTTTTGGAGAGAAGGATCAGGTATCTTATTACCAATACCCAAGAAGACATCACTCACTTGTTCACCAGTTTTGGCACTTGTTTCATAAAACAACAAGTTCTCTTCTTCTGCCAAAGTTTTCCCTTCTTCGTATGTGATCTGTCTCTCAGATGCTAAATCTAACTTATTGCCAACCAAGGCTATTGTTATATCCTTTGAAGCCTGTTCGTGTAGCTCCTTCACCCAGTGTCTAGCCTTGATAAAGCTCTGGGGTTTGGTGATATCGTAAACAATCAACGCACTTTGGGCATTTCTGTAATACATTGGGGCCAATGAAGCAAATCTTTCCTGCCCAGCTGTGTCCCATATTTCAAACTTGATGGTCTTGTCATTGATTTTGCATCTCTGTGTTAAAAATGCAGCTCCAATAGTAGGCTCTTTGTTTTCTTGAAAGTCATTGGAAACAAACCTCAAAACCAAAGAGGATTTACCAACTGCTGCTTCTCCTAAGAGGACCAACTTGACAGAGATGGTGTGTGAGGATGAAGAGCTCATAAAAACAGAGAAATAGGCCAATACAAGCAGTGTTGGTATCTAGAAAACCTGTGTCTAGTAAAAGATATCCTCGAGGGCAAATATATAACCAAGTTCAGACCAGATTAAGGAGATCAAGCGATGAGCTTGAATCAACCACCGGAAGTAGAGGAACTAATGAGACGAAACAGTCTAAAGAGCCCAACAGTACCCCAGCAATAATACAGTGATGGAAGAGTTGGAATATAACAAAAAGTATTATTTATTACTTATCTAGTTCTGGAGGGACGTCGTTAAAGTCAGTTGGTATATAGAATGCAAATACTAAAGAAAAAATATGTAAAAAAGACTATCAGGATGAATTAAAGATTACTATTTAACTGTTTTTTTTATCTTTAATAAGGGCAAAGATCAGAGAGCCAACAGATATAAACAATATAAACAAACTAAAAGGAAATAATGAGGGAAAAAGGACAAAAAAATAATGGGAAGAAAACAAAGAATAAAGAACAAAAAAGGAGTTACGAATAAGAATTATAAAAATGTTAGAATTGAACAGACTATTTAATCAATTGATGGGAACAAATGTAGAATGGAGCCATCTTTGATATCATAATCAGCAAGAGTTTTATAATTTTCCAATGTTTCGCCATTGAATGATAGTTTTTGATTTTCCATTGGGATGTTTTCTTCATCTTGGATTTTGAATTTGATATATGAGACAGTTAGTTGCAAAGTTTCTAAAGATAATTTTATTGATTTGGAGAGGATTTTAATAATAATAGTCTTTTCACCAAGAGCTAGATTAGTTTTGAAATCATCAGTTGAGAAATCTCTATCTGAATCCATTGACCCAGCCCTTTTAGAGGACACATCAGACATCGGTTTAGTTGTCAATGAGTATTTCGTTTCAAGATTTTTAATAATTGAATCATTAAATTTATCATTAGAACTTGGGTAGCTGTTGATATCAATTTTGGGTAATTTTGGAACTTCAGGAGCATCAATGTCTGGAACAAAATTATCGTTTATGATAATAGTATCAAAATGTAATTTATCAGAGATTGTCTCCTTTCTATTTAATAAAGAATTACTAGAGTCAAAATTAAATGTTCCATTTTGTAGTTGATCAAATAGATGATCAGCATTTAATTTAAGACTTTTATGTTTATTTGAATTTTTTTGTTTATTGATTTTGTAACGATAATTGGAGTAATTGAGATTATTTTTGTCTTTAGCAACTGAGTTTTCATTATCATTATCATTACCATTTTCATTATCATTTTCATTATTATCGTTATTATTATTATCATTATTAACATTTTCATTATTAGAGGCATCTTGACCATTGAGTTGAATTTCCTTTTCTTCTTTAACATTTTCTAAATTGATTGAGCCATTTGTAAAGGATTGATTGCCTCTGGTTCGATTATTGTTGTTAATATCAGAATCTGAGTAAAATTTTTTATGTTTATTGGATAAATTTGGGTTTTGCAAAATTGAATCAATATTGTACTCTTTACTCAATTCTCGTACAATTTTTTCAATTTTATCAAGATTTCTAGATTGTTCATTGATAAAATTTGAAGGATTGTTTTGTTTATCATTAGCATTATCGTTAGAATTGGAATTTATAATATTATTGTTGCGATATAACTCAGGATCAGATTTGGAGAAAGAAGTTGAAATGTAAATGGATGGGTCTAATGTAGTTGGTAAAGGAGTATTAAGGGTGTCTAATATGGACTTATAATCATCATGATTATTATCTGTATTCTTTTTACTATCGTCGTTATCACCAACAAGTCCAATATCAAGGCCATTTGAGAGGGAGATTTTAGGTAAAAGAAATTGATCAGATGAGGTATTAGGGTTAAGGGAATAGGAAGAACTTGGGTTATTGCTGGGAGTAATAGTTAGGTTATTATCATTAACATCGAGCAAGTTTTTGTTGTTATTGGTGGTGGTGTTATTTTGATTAATACTATTTGTATTTGATTCTTCAGATATGGGTTGATTTAGATTTGAGAAATCTTTATTTTCGTTAAGAGTTAAGGAGTTTTGATTTTTTTTATGTAAAGAGGTATTTGAAAGGACAACCTTTAATATATTTGAAGAAGTTTGGGAAAATCTCCTTGATCTTGAAGGAGAAGAGGGAATCTTTCTTGTATTAGAGATGGAATCATTATTAAAGACCAAGGTTGAATCATTCATCGAGTCCTTATCGTTAGTGTTGTGAGCAATGTTAAGGTTATCAAATTTGTTGGTAATTTCATGATCTTCATTTGAATTGGGATTAGGGTTAATATTATTGGGATTATTATTGGGATGGGTATTATGGATAGGATTATCTTTAATTAATTTTGTGAATTTTGGTTTGTCTGTTTCAATTATTTTTGGTTTTGAATTTGAAAATAGTCTTTTAATTTTATATATGAAACGACCCATTGTTGAAGCAAAATTAGATTGAATAAAATTAGATGCAATGAGATAAAATTAGATAAAATTGGGTACAATTTATGTGAGATAAAATGAGGTGAAATTGAGACTGAGATAAAATGAGGTGAAATTGAGACTGAGATATGAAATGAGCTTATAATAAAAAGAATCTAATGCTTGTGACAATCTAATGTAGGATATTAAGAGCAATATATCATTAGTATATTTCCAGTATCTTCTTATATATCCAATTACAAAGTGAAATGTGATGAAGTTGAACCAAAAGATGTATAGGAGAGATGGGAAATAGTAGCAGCAATAGAAATGGATTGGTTTAAATCAGTAAGAACCAACAAAAAAAATTAGCTGATATTACGAGGTATTAAGAGATATCAACAGATATTAATAGATATTAATACTTATTAATAAATACTTATTAATATGGAGAGCAAATATGCCTTTAAGCAAAAAAACAGGCCAACAAAAAAGAGCAAAAAGGAAGACGATAGCTGATATGGAAAGTGATGGTATAAATCTAGAACTGACCTAGGGGAATAGGTTGAACAGAGAATAAGTCAAGCCCAGCTCCTTAGTGGATTCAGCTCACAAAAAACAACAAAAGTGAGATATTCTTTGTTTTAGAATTCAAGTTTGCAGTAGATTGAAAGAAAACTCTCAGCAAATCTCCAGAAGCAAATCTTTTCAAGACGTGAAATTTTTCGTTTGCCGGCAAATAAAAATCGCTCTTTAGGTCAAAAAGAGGACATAACAAGAGGACATAAAGAAAGGACATAAAGAGATGGGAAGTCAAAAAGGAGAAAAGTTAAAAATAACACCACTATTGAGCCAATGAGAAGCTGTGGGCTTAAAAGCTAGCAGTTCTGCGAGGAAAAGGGCAGCTGGAAGAGGAGGCCATTGGCTCAACGTCAGCTGTCTGTGGAGCTGTGTTTCTTGCGTCTGAACCAGAGGACAGTCGCAGAACAGTGGAAGAGCTTGCTGATGAACACCAATTCTCTCTTATCAGCTATTCCTCTTAGCAATTCTCTCTTCTCACCGGATTGGCTGCTCTGAGGCATCTGCTCCAACCTGCCAGGGCTCGTCAGTGAGAGGCTCGCAGCTTCTACTGGCACAGGAATGATCAGCAGCTAGCGAACTACCACAGGCTTACAAAAGCTGCTAGAACTTGCCAAAAGACTCCCACAAATTGACAAAAGGCTGCCAGAAATTGCCGGAAATCGACCACTTCTCCAGCGTATTATAAAAAAAATTGCAAAGCCCAAAAAAGTGAAAAAAAGCAACGGAAAAACACCACCGGCTTGGAACCAGCGCATAGTCACGCACAATCGCATTAGTGTGCAGCATGAGCTGCAGTACCAGCGTAGTGGTGAAAACCCAGCCATCTGTTTCCAATTTGTATCAATAAATTCAGTTCCAACCTCATTAAATGACAGTTCTAGTGTTTTTAGTTCTGGAAACAAACTGCTTTTAATGCCAGAATGCGTTAATAGATTATAACCCAGATTTAGAGATTTTGATCGGCGAGGTTCATTAATTTTTTCACCAATTGTTTTGGTTTTGGCTGTACATGGTAGACCTAATTCCTTTTTTGAACGCTCCAATTTTTTTATTAATTTATTCAATGCTATTATCAATTCGGCTTGTGATTTTTAAACCGGGTTTTGTAAACACATAAATCGGATGCTAGCCACAAAGCCTGTCAAATGTGCATATCATGCAGAGTTGAGACATATTTCTGCTTTATCTCCAATTAATCAGCTTCTGAAGGGGTTTCTTCACCATCCAATCAGCTTGCTTTTTCGAGTTTTACATTATGATTCAACCACATTCAAACAAATGAGCAATCTGAAATTATTATCAGGCATCAGAACAAAGAAGAACAACCTGTTTTTATTTTGCTACACAAAAAACACTATGAAATATCATTTTCAAGTTTTGAAATACTTTCTTTAAGTACATTTTGGAAATCATCAAAATTGTAGAAACTCAATTAATGCTTTCAATTATATTATTTGTCTTTTATTACAATTTTTTGCTTATTTCAAGTCACTAATTCTTTGGAACTTTAAGAGTATTCTATCTTGTAATTAAACAATGTTCAGTAGATGATATTTTAGTCAATCATTTACCACCTTCTAATTAATTACCTCTCAAATCAATATGGTTAATTTTTGGCAAATAATAATTTATATTTGATCGATTTTCATGATAATCCATAAGTTCAAAATTGGTAATTTTGTTTTCCAATAAGCTAAGAGAAGCTAAATTCAAAAATATTTTTTCTTTAATTTCGAATTTTATAAGGTTGAAAAATTTGCTAAAATTTATTGCAAAACATATTTAATGATTTCAAGCTAGAAAAATCAACACAATTTGAAATCTCAATTTTATCAATCTGATTGTAACTTAAATCTAATTCTTTGACATTTTTTAAGTTTTTTAAATTAAAAGTGTTTGCTATATTCCAATTTGAAACCAATGACTGGGCTCCAGTTAAATTCAGAACTAAACATATAAAGGTAATTTTATTAAATGATAAATCAAGGTATTTCAAATTTATTAAACCAGATAAATTTTTAATTCATCTAATATTATTATCAGATAAATTCAAATTGGTTAGGTTTTTTAAACTTCTTAAATAAGTTGAATTTTCAAATATATTTTTTGTTTTAACAATTTCACTATGAGATAAGTTTAAACTTTTCAATTTTTTTAAACCAAACAATGAAATAGTTTTATTATTTTCATCTTGAAATATATTCAAACTCTGAGGTTGAAATACATCATATTCCTCATCCTCACTATTAACAATGGCATTGGTCTTTTTATATATGAAATTGAATTTTATTAATAGACTTGTATTGTTCAACAAGAACAACTTAATTATGTTATTTAGAATTCGATCATTGGGTTGCTGGTCACCACTCCAAATTTTGAGCGAAATTGTCTTTAATTTTTTCTTTAACAGTATAATTTTTTTCAAAAACTGGATCTTTAATTGACCTGAAATCTACTCTTAAAAATAACTCTTCCAAATGATTTAAAAATTGAAAATTAAGTAAAAAAAATAATCTTTGGAATAGATGTATAGCCTGTATAACCTATATTCAACAAATTAATCCTCACAATTATAGCCATCCTAAGAACTTTTAATATAAACTGACTTAAATATTATGGATATAGCAATGTTTCTTATAGCCTCAGAAACAACACCAGAAAATCATTAACAGAAAAAGGCCACTGGTCTCTCTTTGTTAAAAATTGTTTTATTAAGAGATGAAATTCAAATAAATATAAAAGAAAAACCACTTCAAGATATAGGATATAAAGACTAAACTGCCACCGATATGGACCATTATGCACCGCCGCATTGTTGTTCTAGACCCACACAATCGGTTCCTACCTTAGATGAACAACCTGTACTGGCTGATATTTATTTTGCTAAATGCAAATAAGATTTCATTAATAACTTATTTGATTTTGATGTAGCCGAAGTTATTAATATCAACAGGTTGGGTGAGCAGTTTACTTTTTTGTGCCAAACACTGTTAGAGCTAAATGACAAAGTAGGTCATTTTGATACAATAGTTGACAAGGGTGGTTTTTAACTTCTTTTAATTCGCAATTCGCAATTCGTAATTCAACTTGAACATATTCCAAATACAGACCTCTTGAATAAACAATGGATTGTATCTTTGTTTTCTTATTTTTCAATACAACAATATTGGAATACACAAAGAGACAACTCTGAAGCAAAAGGAGCTCCCGGGTTATGACTGTCGAAATGCATGCGTATGCGTTCACAATGCTGCATTCATCATCACATCAAGCACAGATACATGCGTGTGCGTCCGAAAATACTGTATGGTTTTTCCAAATGATAACTCTCAAAATAATTGGTCTGGAGTTTTGATATTAAAGAGCAATTAATCTAAGGACAAACAATCTGAAAACATGGATTTGCACTAATTTCTCAAAAAGATCAAAAAATGGTCATACACTGAATGTGAGTACTGTATTACATACAATTCTGATGTTGTGTTACAATAAAAATTAAAACTATACTACATTCAAGTTAGCTTGATTTTATAATAAGAGTATTCTACCTCGTTCTATATTATTCAGAATGCTCTATAAAATTTCTCATTTTATAATAATTATATTATGATTTTTGCTAAAAATAACAAAACATGTAATTGAATAAACAACTATTCTTGAATAAATTCAAATTGAATTCCTTAGTCAAATGGACTATAGCTATAATTCATTAATTTGAAATATGAGTAGTACTCTAGCTAATCATCATAATTTCTTTGAAAAATCACAAAACACCAAGGTTTTTAAATTTGATATATTTATCTGCGAAATTTCATTCCAAAATAAATTCAAATAGTTAGACGGGTCAAACAAAAGAGATTATCAATTAAGCTGGTTTTTTTATGTTATAAATTTAACTCAGTTAAATTTTTGAAAACAAACAAATTTTTGATTGAATCTATCTAAGTATTGTCCTAGAACTCTAATTTTATTAGTTGCTTGCAAGAAAGATCCAAGAAATTTCCGAAGGAAGAAAATAAATTTGAAAATCAAGAATATTCAATGGCAACTACAGGAAAAAAAAAACTTTTAGTAAAGAAAATTGAAGCAGACAGGCTTTATGAGACTTTAAGTCTTACTGGTGAAGGTGTTAAGAAACTTTTTAAGAGAAAATTTAGAATGATGGTAACAAAAAAGGACACAGGCTTATTGTTCAAAATCCTCATTTTCGAGAATAACTATCTAAAAACCATCTCCAATTTGATAGTTTATTTATAACCATTGAATGTTCAATACGACAATATTTACTCAAAAAGTTTACTGAATTTAAAATATTCATCCAATTTAAAATCGAGGCTCTTAACAATATATTTTTAAATTGAAGAATAATTTTTTGGATGAAATCTTTGGAAATAGTAAGTTGAATGCTTGAGATACTTTATATACAAGATTTAACTACATCCTTTGCAAAATAATATAACAATTTTACCTGAGAACAAAGAAAACTTTTTCAGATTATATGTTTTAAAAGCAGAAAGATTTAAATAATTAAAAATTTTGTTGAAATTTCTACAAATTAGTTTTACTTGGATTTTTTTCTCAAGTTGAATGGATTATCAGAATAAAGAAGCCGCAAAGAACAGGGATAGAATTCCAAAAAATCATTACTTTCTAGTAAGTTATTTGATAGAGAAAGCACCTCCAATTGTTTTAGATTATTGAATTCTCCAAATTTCTTGAGTATATTGTTATTTAAAAAAAGTTGAATTAGATTTCCAGATATACTTTGCAACCAATCCACATTCTCCAATTGATTACAATCTAAAAATAAAAACCTAATTTCGGGTAAATATTCTCTGGGGGATTCGCAATTATCAACAAAATCTAAATTTATAACCTTATTTGATGATAATGAAAAACGAGTTAACTTTTGAAACATGCTTTTTTTAATTTTAAAAGTGGTCAAGAAGTTATTTGACAAATATAGTTCCTCTAAATCATTAAGATTGTCAAATGCTTTTTCGTTGATTGAATGAATCCTGTTTGAAGATGAATTTAAAACCTTTAATTTTATTAAAAATTCAATGGTGCTGGTTATTTCAGAGATCTCATTATATGATATATTTAAATGTTCAAGGTTATTGAATTTATCGAAATTAGATAGTTTATTTATTTTATTGTTATTCACGGTTAATTGTTTCATGAATGGAAAATCACTATTATTATCTATAATTATTTCTTTGATTTTATTGGAACTTAAATTCAAAACTTGAAGATTTTTCAAATTTGGAGATATATAAAATACCTTGATTACATTATTGTTTAATAATAATGTCTTTAACTGATTAAAATTCAATGATAAATCGATACATTTGATCTTATTGTTGGAAAGATCTAGAAATTCAAGATTCATCAAGTGATACGATCCACTAACAGCGTCTATTTGGCTGACGAAATTGCAATTGTTTATAGTTAAATTCTTTAAGTTTGCTAAACACAATATATTGTTGATTTCACTAATTTTGTTATATTTTAAATTCAAGTAATTCAAATTGGTTAAATCGAAATTGTCTTCGATTTGATTAATTTGATTCAATTCCAAATTCAAAGTTTTTAAGCTGGGTAAATCAGAAAAATCCTTTATGCTTGTGATGTTGTTATATTTTAAATCTAAAGTATTCAAAACCGTCAATTTTGACAAACTTTCTGTCATGCTAATCTGATTATAAGACAAATTTAAATGTTTTAAGTTTACCAGATTTGATAAGTTTTTGATTTTTATAATTTGATTATAAGACAAGTCTAAAAAGGATAGAAATAGTAAACCGGATAGATAATTAATTTCATCGATTTTATTATGTGATAGACTTAGAGCTTTTAAATTTATTAGATTTAATAAAAAATGCATTGAAGTAATTTGGTTATTAGACAAATCTAATATTTCCAATTGCAGTAAATTTGATAGACCCTGAGCCTCAGCAACGCTGTTTGTAGAAATGTCTAAATTCCTTAAATTTATTAAAGAGGACAAATCTGCAATGTCTTCGATGGTGTTATGGGATAAGTTTAAATTTTTTAAGTATATTAGGTTAGTCAAATTTTCTGCTGAATCAACACTACTCCATGTCAAGTTTAGTTTTTTGAGCTTGAACAACTCACAACACAGATTTAAATTAAACAAGATTGTTTCTGTGGTACTAGACAGAGAAGAAATGTAGTATTTAAACTCAAATAACGATAGAGTACGCGAGTTTTTCGATATTAATAACTGCAATAGTTCATTCATTTTTTTGGGCCAGACGTATCGATCATAAATTAGTAACGATATCGAATATAGTTGAACATTGTGCAAGATTAGTTTTGTAAGATCAGCAGAGCTACCTGCTATATCAATATCTGTCAAAAACAAATCCTTTAAATAGTTTTTAAAATAATTTATAAATAAATCTATGTTTTTTGGATCAACTCGTAAAATCGTTTCTGGTTCAAAAAACCAACTTTTTAAATAAGAATTAAAATGAACCGATCTGAACAAAATTGAGAGAGCAGTTTCTTGAATGAACTTGTAACCATGCAATGTAAATAACCAAAGCTTATCGAACCGTAAATAGAATAAGATATTTGCAAATAAATGAAGTGGCAAATCATATAAATCTGTTTTTAATCGACTTTCAACTTTCTCCAAATTGAACAGTAAGCAATTGTCGTCACTGGCATTATTTTTATTATTCTCGGCACACTGCATTTGACTAAGTCAATTAATATTGCAAACGTATCAAAATTAAAGACAATTCAAGAAAAAAACAACAGTTATGAGATCAAATAGTGAAGTAATGCCAAAAGAATACAAACAGATTTGGCCACTTCATGTTCAGTGTTAGCATTAGAAACTAGGGAGATTCCTGCTGATTGGATAATAAATTCTACTCAGAAGCGCTGGATGGGGAAGGTCTTATGTATGTACCGTTTGTACCACTCTTCTCTAGGGCTACAACATAGTCCTAGATGGCTCCGAAGCCAGTTCGTGCAGCCAGAAAAACAATACATCAGAAAATTGGCTGCAAGAACAGCAGAGGAAGCAAAACAACTACAATTATAATATTTTATTTTTATCATTATGAATTACTTTAGACCGATATAGAATTATATAAAAGGCGTTGTAATTTGACCAATTTCGAAAGAAAGGGATCAAGTTTTCCAATGCATATTTCTAGTTCTCTTCGAGTTTACATAAAAAGTCCCAAGTTACGGTCTTAGAGTGTACGCTCCTGAGAATCGGAATACAGGAAGCCCTACGGTTACGACTCACGACGGTCCGCGCGCAAAACAGCACATCTATATCAACACGTGATTGAAATTTACTGATCTGGATAAAACCGCTGTTGTGGATAGAGTCCCTCTACCAATGGAGTATTTTGATGAAGATGTTATCATCAACGACAGTCTGGACCAATTTCAAGCTCACAAATGAACAATCAAGTATTTATCAAATTATCGAACAGCACCCATAGCGCTCACGGAACTTTGTGTTCTCTTTTGTTACAATCATTCTAAATGTTTCCTCAAAAAGTTGATCAACACCTTTGCCAGTAAGACTTGAAGTCTCATAAAACCTCTCTACACAAAACTCTCTCAATTTAAATTTTCTTGCCAATTCATCTCCTTTTGCAGTAGTTACCATTGAATATCCATTTGCTCTCAATTCACTTCTTCTTTGTGCGCTCTTTCTTAGATCTGTCTTGCAAGCAACTAATACAATGGGAGTTTTAGGACAATGCTCCCTGACTTCAGACATCCATTTGAGAAGCACACTTTCAAGTTCTTGGGGCTGATCAACAGAATAACACACCAAAAACGCTTTTGCATCTGCATATGATAATTTTCTCAAATTATCGTAATCTTCTTGACCACCAGTATCCCACAAATCGAAACTGTGAGTTATACCATCTATGGTGGTGGAATGTTCCTTTTTGTAAAAACTTGCTGTTGTGCCCTCCTTGTCATTGTAATTATTTTCAAGATACCGACGAATCAAACATGTTTTCCCACATGCACTTTCACCAACCATAACTAGTTTGTTGGACATTTGGAATATATTATTTTTTGGTTGTTTGACAGTATTGTTTGATTTGGGAAAACAGGGCGTGATTTATAACTCTTGATTCAATAAACAAGATTTTTTTTCGAACGAAAATAGCCCAAATCTCATCCTTAATATTCATATAAGAACTTAAGAGTTCATTTTAACTTAAAAAGACCACTAAGTGATATAGATATACCCAAAAGCTCTAGTATTAAAGCCATATGTAAATATACTGGTATTTTATTCTATTAAAATAAATTTGGCCATTTTGGTATCATTTTCTATTTTCTTTTCAGTTTAGCGACCCAAAAGATGAATACCCAATTGATTTTTTGCTAGAATGTCAATTTTTCGTTTAAGGTTTTTGGTATAAATATACTGTATAAATTATACGAAAAAATAAAAATTTTATCAAATCTGATTAAAAAAACAGCTATTTTGGTTTACTTTTTTTGCTGGTTTTCCTGTAACTCATTAACTCGTAACTGGTTGCAGAAAAGCAATAAAACAAAACCTGTTCTCAAAAGTTCTACATTTAATGTTAACAATTATCAAATGTTAACCTGAATATAACAAGTTAGACCCTCAATGTGTCAATAAATAGACAATAAATATACTGTTGAACAGAATGAACCACATATTAAAAACTGAAAATGAACATGATTATGAAAAATTTGTTCCCATTTAGCTGGATACAATATCTGCATATAAATGCAAGCAGCACGATATCCTTAGCTATGGATATCTTTTTTATTTTTTATTTTTTATTTTACTGATGAAAGATTTTGTAATCAGGGAAAAGAAGTGATTGATTGAAAGTGTCACAAAACACACCGAATAATGATATCTGTGTTTACAAGGAGCTCTTTAGAGTTATACAACATTAACAAACATGTATTTTTGACAAATGCACTAACTTCATTAAACAGAAGAAACCGACATGACATAAGGGGCAAGTCAAAAAGAGTTCACAGTTATGATGAATGGAAAATCAAAAATGAAAAAAAACAATCGATAAAGAAGCTCGATAAAGAGATAGCTTATAAAAATTTGGATGTTTCTCAAAATAAAACATGGATTGCTGATCCGATTGCTAAAAGAATGTCAAAGAAAATCTTGTCTTCTGTTTCTCTTGAGAAATGTCTTTCAAAACAAGAAAATAGTCACTTGAACGCCGATAATTTTGGTGGTATTTTACTTGAATCAGTGAATGTATTGAAATCAAAATTTCGTAATAAAGAGTTTGATCATCATAAGCCTTTGAAAGATTTGATGCTTTCATCTTTGGAAGATAAAGAGTTTGGCAAGTTAGTTACCACACACAGCCCTGATGCAGTATCAGAACTAGAGTCTACTTTAATCAATCAAATAAATAAATCAACGCCAGAGAGGTTGAATGAATATGATTTGAGTTTTGAAGATTATATCAATCCATCAATTTCCAAATTGCTTGATATTCTTTATTTTATAGGATCCAGAAAGACACCAAAATCAACAGTTTCAAATTATGATCCATTAAAAAACATGAATGAACAATTTCAAAAAATTTTAGAAATTGTTTTCTATAATATATTAAGAAATAAATTGACAATTTTTACTCCTTCTAATGGGTTATCTATAGACATGTCTAATCCTGCTGAATGGTTTCCATTAGCAAGAAAATTTCATCGAAAAATTTTTATGCACCTTGGACCAACTAATAGTGGTAAAACTTATAATGCATTGCAGAGATTAAAAAATGCTAAATCTGGGTTTTATGCGAGTCCATTGAGATTATTAGCCAGAGAAGTATACGAAAGATTTAAATCGGAGGGAAGAAGATGTAATTTAATAACTGGAGAAGAAATTATATTGGATTGTGATGAGTTTGGTAATCCTGCGCCAATATCAAGTGGAACAATTGAGATGTTATCTACCACACAAGAATATGATGTAGTAATTTTGGATGAAATTCAAATGCTTGGTAATGAGCAAAGAGGTTGGGCCTGGACTAATGCGTTGCTTGGTGCTGTTGCAAGAGAAGTTCATCTTTGTGGTGAGGAGACAGCATCAGATATTGTACGAAATTTGGCTGAATTATCTGGAGAACCTGTTTTTGAAACTCGATACAAACGATTAGGGAAATTACGAATTGAAAATAAACCGCTTAGCTCTCAACTAAATGCTCTACAGAGAGGTGACTGTATTGTTTCATTTTCTAAAAAGTCTATATTAAGTTACAAGTCTAAAATTGAAAAGGAAACGGATCTAAAATGTGCAGTGATTTATGGAAATTTACCACCTGAAATTAGAACTACTCAAGCAGCCGGATTCAATAGTGGCGATTATGATGTTTTAGTAGCGTCAGATGCGATTGGTATGGGATTAAATTTAAAGATTAATAGAGTCGTCTTTTCTCAATATAAAAAATTTGACGGAAATGAGAAAAAACCATTAACAGTTTCAGAGGTTAGACAAATTGGTGGCAGAGCTGGAAGATTTAAAGTTAGTCCTCTTTCGAATTTGGTTAATGGTAACAAAGGTAGTGATTCCGATAATAATAAAGTGGAAAATATTGATATCAATAAAGATGATATAAAATATGGATATATATCGGCATTTTCTAATGAAATATTAAATCATGTTAAAAATTCGTTTTTAACAAGAACTACACCAATAATGAAAGCTTGTTTATGGCCTCCGGATAATATATGGGCACAATATATTTCTGAGTTTGATTCGGATACATCATTATATTCTATTATTGAATCATTTGAAAAGATTATTAGAGGAACAAGGCATTATTTTGCATGCGAGATTTCGCAGCGATTAGAGTTAACTAAAATATATCAAGATACTCCATGGTTTCCAATGACCGATCAAATTCGATTATCAAATGCACCAGCTGGTACACGTAATCCAGAACAAATTAGGGTTTTTGTTGAGTATTGTAAAGCGATTGCGTTTGGAGAGAGAAAAAGTATATTTGATTTCAATGATTCAATACCATTTGGAGTGTTATTAAATGAAAGAGAGTTAGAAGATGTGTATGAAATTGAGTATAAAGAGTTATTAGGACTCGTTAATCAATATGTCAATTTAAGTCTTGATGCGTTTAAAATGGACGATGAGGGCAAACAGAGGTTATCAACATTGGAAGATATTCATAAAGCAATTTTACTTTTCAATTGGTTAAGTTATAGATACCCCACAATATTCATTGATAGAGAACACGCAGTTGAGTTGAAAGAATTGTGTGAAGCAAACATTACAGCTGAATTAAAGAAAACATATGATAATCAAAACAAGATTAGGCAGAAATTATATGAAAAAGCTGGTATCAAAACTAATACAAGTGGAAACACCAAGAACAATGAAATCAAAGCTCAGTCCATAAATGCGTAGTTAATGAGTAAAATATTTATTTCATTTAATGCGTTATAGGAATTGTAAATATTTATAAATATATATATAGGATTATTGGTAATGTAACATATCAAAGAAGATATGTTCTTAAAAAGTAGTCTCAAATAATACAAGCTTAAGACACAACAAAAAGATGAAGCAAGTAATAAATAGAAAGAAAGTGTAAGAAAGCAAAAAAATGATTTTGCCCAGGATCGAACTGGGGACGTTCTGCGTGTTAAGCAGATGCCATAACCGACTAGACCACAAAACCACTTCTTATATCCTGGGTTTACCTTCTGTTATAAGAGCCAAAAATAAACACGTGCTTTTCTTTAAACCGGACAACCACACCGGATTACACAAGCGGAAGATTATTCCATCAAAGTTACTCCGCATTCTCCAACCACGACACCAATCCCGTTAGCACAGGGGCTATGGCTAATCTTGGTATTTCTATTGTTTGTGCTTACTAAGCCGTGCATAACTCCGCCGAGAGCTCTTTGCTCCTTTTAAAACAGGTCTTGTTTGTTTTTGGCTTTGTCTTGGAATAATCGCTTTTTTCTAGTATAAATACCGGATCTGCTCGATTACATTGCTATTAGTTTTATCCATTCAATTCAATCCAGCTCTACTCAATCTAACTCTACTCAATCTAACTCTACTCAATTCAATTGTATTATCTTCTACTGTATTATATCCACAATGGCAGGATATCCCCAAGTTCTTGGAGGCGTTACCAGAAAACTCTCTGATTCAGTCACCATTCATTCAACTCCATTCAAGAGAGCAAACTATTTCAACTTCGGTGCTAGAATGGCTATTCTTGAATTAAATAAATCTGATGAATATGTTATTTGGTCTCCATTACCAATGTCTGAGGAGTTCAGAAATTGCTTGAAATACTCTGGTATCAATAAAGAAAACGACAATGTGATCAACGATGATAACTTTAGTCAATTTAATAACAAAGTTGTTGCTATTATTGTTCCTGATAATGAACATTTATTATCTATTCGCCAAAACTTAAAGGGAAAATTCTTTCCAAATTCAAAAATCATTGGTATGAACGATTTAAAAAATCTATCAAATAACGATCTTAACTTAATCGATATTAAGTTTGACTCTAATTTAGCCAATAAAATTGTCAAAAGAGATCAATTAAGGACCGATTTAAATATTTCAAATCAAAATATAATAAATGATTTAGAGTTTATCTATCTTAATGGTCACGAAAACAAAGAATTGCTCATGTTACACAAATCTTCAAAGACTTTATTCCAAGCTGATTTATTATTTAACATCGAAAGCAAATATAGTGAACAATACTCATACAATTTGTCATCCAGTCCATTTTTTTCATCTAATAACAAAGATAATTTCTTCATTTATCCAAAATCACCCTTAAACGATAACTTTACCAATCATAATCCCAACTCTTATTCCAGTTTCTTGACAAGGTTTTTGCAACCAAATTCCTCATTGTTCAAAAATATTTTTGTAAAAAAATTATTGTTTCCAATCAAATCTGAAAACAATAAACTTGCAATTAAACAAATTTATGATGATTGGAATTTTGATAATATAGTTTTATGTCATGGTAATGTCATTGAAAAAACAGGTAGAGATGTATTTTTCAATGTTTTCAATGACTATTTGAAATAACAACTATAATAAGTATAATAAGTATAATAAGTATAATAAGTATAATAATAAGTATAATAATAAATAAATATTTAATATTTTTAAGTGCTTTTTTTTACCGATTTTCTTGAATCCCGACTTTTGTAGTTTTTATTGTTGTATACACTTTAAATCAACATTTCTCTTTTCAGGACATACAAAAATAAGGAACAAAAAACTCAATTACACCCATTGGTTTGTAATATAATAAATATTAAATCCAACAAAAAGTTTTGTTTTGTCTCTTATTAAATTTAATACCCTGGTTAAAACCACCACTCTTGCATCTAATTTTGATCATAAGATCAATTATAAAAAGTCTTAATACTCAGAATAATAATAATACAATCTTCGTCCTTAATGTGAGTTTTCTTTCCTCCAGGGTTTTCTCACATCCATGGTAAAATTACAGGGACAGTTTTTGTAGTTTATATACGGACTAATAAACAGCACCATGCAAGAACCCCAATAGGTGTGTTCTTAGCAGTTATTTTTAAAAAAAAAAGAAATAATACAATTATTGTCAATCCATTCAACGAAATGGATACTCGACTAAAACCAAACATACAAAGTTTACCATTCATATTCATCGAGACAATATTATCTTACTTACCTTTGAATCAAATTTGGTTATTTACCTTACATGACAACAAATTTGTCCAGAGGATTGCTTTATCAATTTTATTTAATTCCATTTATTTCTAAAACTATCCAACTTATAGAAAATTACCAAATCCATTATGGATTACAACTAAAAATATCAAGTTATTAAAATGTAAAATCAGGAATTACTCAAAGTTTTTATATTTAACAAATGATGATATACCACCAATCATGTCGAACAATTCCGACACTGCTTTGTTATCAAAATTAAATTTAAAATCAATCACTTTCAAATTTTTATATCAACTGCTTTTGGAATTAGAATGATCTGAGGATATGAAGAACTTATTTAAGTCATTATTATCCGAGAATTCAGCTACTTTAGAATGATTTGAGGTTTTTTTTCTGGGTCAATCTTTGGATAAAATTCTATCAAATTCAAATCGGTATCACAAATTGAATAATCTTAAAAAATTAAAACTACAAAACTGCCATATTGATTCAACATAAAATTTAACAGACTTAAATTTTTCATTTAATCAATTTTTCACAACTGGAGATCTATCAAATCTAAAGAATTTAAACATCTTAAATTTATCTCATAATCAAATTATATCAACAAAGTTTTTATTACCACTATTAAATTTGAGAAAACTCGATTTATCATCTAATAGAATCGATAAAATTGATTATTTTAACCATTTAAACCTTTTAAAAAAGATAAACTTGGAAGATAATAAGATTAGTAAAATTGAAGGTTTGAGTAAATTAAGAAACTTGAATGAATTAAATAATTTGAATGAATTGTGCCATACTCCTAATCTTAGATATTTAGATTTATCAGTTAATAGGATTAAGCATTTTAATTCATTTTTGGATTTTCATAAACTTGAAACATTACATTTATCATTTAATTTACTTAAAAAATTTCATTTAAATAAAAATTTTGAGAATCTTAAGTATTTAGGTTTATTCAATAGTAAAATCAATGAGTTTATCATTGATAACCATTGTGTTTTTTTCATCAAAAATTTTGATTTTAGATAGTAATAATTTAAGCAAATTAGATGGGTTTAACAAATTCATCTATCTTGAAGAATTGATTTCGAGCAGAAATAACATAAGCCAAATTAATGACATGATTAACTTCAAATCACTAAAGACTAAAAATATTATATTTATCAAAAAATCAAATCAAATCAGTCACAAAAAATACATTTGACAAGCTTGATCAATCGAAAAAACTATTTAGAAACAAATTTGTTAGAAAAGTTTGAAATTAACAATAATTCTTTAAAAAACCTAGAAGGCAATAGATTGAAAACATTCAGAAATTTTGAAAATTCGAGGAAACTAAATTTTCTTGAGTTCATGCACAATCAGTTGAAAACCAAGGAGAACTTGAAGTTTTATTTGTATATTCCAAATGTAGTTTATGATGGTAATCCTTCTAATCTATCAAAAGAACAGAAAGCGGTTGAAAATTCCCAATAAGATTTATCAAACATACCGGCGCAAATTATATGCAGACAATATATAAAACATATAAATACATTAACATGCATAAAATTTGCGTATAATATATAAACAATCACCGTCATATGAGCCGAAATCCTGTAGACTTTGTATTTCGCAACTTTTTTGAGTCTATTCAGTCTGGAAATAACTTGATGGATTCCTTTGGTAAAACACTGTTTAATTATGGAAGTCATCGCTGGATCTGAAATAAAGCTAGTGTCTCACAGCTTTCCATATCAACTTTACTCAGCTCTTAATCTATAGCAGTAGTCACTAGCAAATTTTATGAGTTCAAATTAAGTGAGCCAAAGAACCTTTTATTATCAGATTATTACTATCCACAATCCTGATGAAAATGAATCAGTCGTTTAGCATATAAAAGATCATAATAACCGTTTGATGAACTTCAAAACTACATCGTCTAATAAACCGAAACAGAAACAAATGGAATTGTGCTGAATGATGATTAAATGTAGCATCCAGTTCAAATGAACTATTATATTTTTGTAATAACACCTTTGTTGGGCTCCATTTAGAATGAATTTATCAAATCTCTGGTTTTTATTTCCGATTTTTTGTTTCGCACCGCTTAAAACGTGATGAATTTCGTTTATGTATAAGGATGAATTATTCACTTGAAATACAGTCGAAAAAAAACATCTCAAAGATTCATTATTAATACAAAAATAGAGACTGGACACAGTAAAAATAACAATCATAGTGAAAACAAATCGGTTAACTCATCTATTAAATTTGAAATAGGCTCCCAAGCAAGCCTATATGATTTGTCCTTTTATTTTATTAAAAGCATCCTTTCCTTCTTACCTATGAATAAAATTTGGTTATTCACATTACATGATAATGAATTGATCAAGTATATATCACTATCATTGTTGTTCGGTTCAGTAACTTTTAAATATTTTCAACAAAATATGTTTCTGGCACATGAAAAGTATTTACGTATTGATTTAATGCACATAAATCTGTTTGATAGCCGGTCTTTAAGTCATTTAGAAAACTTGTTTGTGACTGACAAAGATATGGAGTGCGATATTGAAAACCTCGAAAATCTTTTGTTATTGAAAACAAAAATAAAAAATTTTTTTTTGATACTATATGATGAATATCACTGGTCAGCAAAAGTGAGAAAATTTTTAAAATTGTTAATATCAGACGATCTAACCAATTTAACGTCGTTTAATTTATTTTCTTTTAGTGGTGATCTGCCTTATGCTTTAGAAAATATTTCATTTAATATTAATCAATGTAGTTGTTTGGTCAATCTTAGGGAATTGGATTTATAATTTTCTGTGCTAGTATCAATGAAGAATATATTTCATATAGTAGATCCATGGGAATTCAACCTGGATTCAAACAAAAGCAATAAAATCAGGGGATTATTTTATTCAAAAAGTTTAGAAATATCGCACTTAAGTTCAAATAGAATTAGCCAAATTGAAAATCTATCTTATTTGATAAATCTAAAATGCTTAAATTTATCAGAAAATAGAATCTGTGCAATTGAAAACTTATCTAATTTGGTTAACCTAACAGGTTTAGATTTATCCATAAATAAGATTGGTAAAATTGAAAATTTGTCTAGTTTGATTAATCTAACGAATTTAGATTTGTCCTCGAATAATATTGATAAAATTGAGAACTTGTCTAAATTAATCAATTTAAAAAGTTTCAATCTATCTCATAATAGAATTGATTCAATCCAAGCTCTGTCCGATTCGGTCAATTTGGTCAATTTAAATCTTTCATTTAATTTTATTGTAGAATTAAATTACTTGTGTGATCTAATATGTTTAAAGGATTTAAATATATCGTATAATGGAATAATAAAAGTTGGATGTAATTTAGATTTGGAAAAGTTAAAAAATTTAAATCTTTTACACAATAAACTCGCCAAAATTGAAAAAATATCAAAATTGAAAAACTTAGAATATTTAAATCTTTCATATAACGAGATTACCAAAATTGAAAACATATCTAATTTTGTTAGTCTAAAATATATCAATTTGAAAAAAAATGCAATCAATAAGATTGAAAATCTATCTAATTTAAAAAATTTGAAAACAATAAATTTACTGAAGGCTTATATTTTGGGGGATATCAATGATTCTAGCGAGTTAATCAATTCAGGGAATCTTAAAGATCTAGACTTATCAGAAAATGAAATAAAATCTGTTGATTGATATCCTATGCGTTCTTTGCATAATTATACAGCCCAAAAGCATTATCATACTGATACATACACACTAACGCAGACTGTAATGCATAAGGTTCTGGTGCTGAATAGACCACCGTCTAGAGTTCGACAAACCGTGCTCGAATGAATTTTCATACGAAGCATCGTCGGCTTGTCGACAATTTGCCACAAAATTCTGAGGGTCGAATCCCGGAAGTTACCCTTCCGTTGACCGTCCATTTGTTGAGATTCGGCACACGTGATTAAAATTCAGCTAGCATACTTGTTTGTACGTATCCTTATTTCCAAGGGGAAACGAGCTTTCCAGACGTCACGTTACCCACCTTAGAAAGGATAGACTCTCAAGACCATTTACAAAGCTTCTGCAAGAAACCAGTTTATTTACCGAACTATAAATAACCATAACACTGAATAGAAGCTTTATCAATGGTGGACACAGCGACAGCAGAAACCCAATTGTTGAACCAACTGATGAGATAAGTGATTGACTAGAAGAAAGAACGCTTACTGCTTGCCATTTTATATTATCAATGTTACTATGTCCTTTCTGGTCTTTGATAAGCTTTGGCTATTTACATGGCTGGATGACAAGTTGATTCAGAATAATTCAGTATAACTTTTGTTCAACGTTATTTTTTCAGATATATTTGGTGGTTATTTCTGCTTACAACACAGTAATATTTTTTATATTAAATCTACCGAAACAAATCTATTTGCAAAACCATTTGTTGGATCGCACCAAACACCTATTAATAAAAACGATCGCTATAGGATCTGATAGTAAAAAGCTTGGACGACTTTTTGCAGTGAAACCTGATTTCGAGTTCTGGTAATTGATTGTGAAGCAATTTAGTCAGAGGATATAAATAACATGTTCACTTTACTAATATTAAAAGTTTCATTCACTTCAATGCATTTCTAACTCACGTCTAATTATTATGTGATTCCTATTGGGTATCCAATATTTTTGAGATTTATTCAGTCCGTTAAAGTCTTCAATATCGAAAAACTTATCTTCAAGAACTGCACAATCACATTAATCAATGCTGTCTTCAACTTAACAGAACTTATACAATTGAATTTGGACCACAAGACCAGCAAAATTGGTGATTTACCTTGCTTTGTACATCTAAAAAGTTTGAATTTAATCTCAAATGAATTCAGCGATATTGGAAGTCTATTGAGCGTAGTATTCTTGAGGATTTTGGATCCATCAGGTCAACAAAGTCCCTATTGAATATTATGAGCTTGAAGTTTTTGGATTTTTCATATAATTCTATTGTTGGAATAAAATACAAATACAGACACATTGTTTAGACTTCTAAAAGCATCAACCAGATCGACCATTCATATAAATAGCATACATGATTAAAAATATTTAAAACATTTAAACTTGCAAACCAACAAAATTGAAGAAATGTTCCATTTATCATATCTAGGCGGCTTGAGTAGATTGTTTTTCTTGGGTAATGAGATTATAGAAATAAAAGATCCATTCAACTTGATAGACTTAAGATATTTAGAAATTCCAGTTAGCTGAATCTGAAGCACTGGCAAATTATATAATCCAAAATGTTTACATAAAATTCACATAACTACAGAAAAATAAAATGTAACAAACATATGTTGTTTATTTTGTAAATTTTAATTTCTGGCTAGAGTTTTTGGCAAAAACTTTAACTGATGGAACTTTATATGACATAACATATATTACAAAGTTGAATAATGATTTCTAAAAGTAATGGAAGAGATGTTTGAGATCAAAATCAAGAAAGAAAATGTATTTATTGTAATAAATTATAATTATGATGAATTAAAAGCAAGAACTAAAAAAATTTTATTATAAAAAATATTAGATAAGTAAAGCAGCAAGACCAGCTAAAAAGGCTGCACCAGTAACTTGGAGTTTATCAGCACCACCTGTATATTCCGAAAGAGAAATGGTGGTTGAACTAGCACTGGCTTTTGGAGCAACAGTTTCAATAGATTGCTCAAATAAAGTGGATTTGATTGAAGTGGAATTGTCATCAATAGATTCAGATGCTGGTGATTTATCGCCAGAAGATTTATCACCAGAAGATTCAGATACTGATCCAGTTGGTGATGATTCTGCTGGAGATGATTCTGCTGGAGATGACACAGCTGGAGAAGATTCTGCTGGTGATGATTCAGCTGGTGATGATTCAGCTGGTGATGACACAGCTGGTGATGACACAGCTGGAGAAGATTCTGCTGGTGATGACACAGCTGGAGAAGATTCTGCTGGTGATGATTCTGCTGGTGATGATTC